GCACGATGGAGTATCACGAGAAAAAAGTGTTACAGTTACACATTTGTTGGAGTTTCTGCATCACAAATTTTCTCTGTGTGGCAGAGAAAACTTGTAATGCGAAGATCATAAGGGAAAACAGGAAGGAAAAGAGGCTCGGAAGCATTTCCTGCATGAGAAAGGTTGTCTCTGTTGCCAGTCTTGCATGACAATGTGTAACTGTAACACTTTTTTCTTGCGATATGGAGGGCTTGATGACGCCGAATTTGGAAAAGGACGTGATTTATCCTGTGCAAAAGTATCGTATTCGTATAAATGCAAGTCTTGCATCACAAATTTCTTTCTCAAGGTAAATCAGCATTACAAATTTCATTTCTCATGCTGAGAAAATTTGTAATGCATTTATACGAGTACGATACTTTTGCAGTTCATATGATTGACATCATTTTCGCGCCCTGCTCGCTCTCCGACGCGGCAACAGGGAGTTTGATTGTCGTGCCCCACGACTTGACGACTTTAAGAGAGGCGTTTGATGGCACAAAGGTGAAAAAGCTGACTTGTTTAATTCCCCAGGGGCCAGTCAATTCAGGCGTCTACTTGCCTCGATTCGCGATTTCGAGACAGATCCTCGCGACAGTCGTTCCTGAGGAGTTTTACGAGACTTTCTTCACGATCAAGATGCCGTCAGACGTGAAAAACGTCGTGCCGAGCTACGCGCTGATTGGCGAGGGCTACGACAATCAGTACAAGATTTTGGAGGAGGACTACGAGGGCGAGGAAGTATCCAGTGCAAAAGTATCGCACTCGTACTAAAAATTGCAGTCTGGCATGACAGATCCGCTTTGCTACTTGAACCTGCATGACAAATTTCATTTTTCTTTCTGGGAAAATTTGTCATGCGATTTATACTAAATACGATACTTTTGCAATGCATAGGAAGATTACGAAAACGACTTCGGCTACGCGGACCAGCTCGTCACTGCCTCCGCCGTGCACGTCGATAACAACGCAAGAACTTTCTCGTCCTTATACGACGAATTATCCGCTAAGGAATCCCAAATCTCCAGCGGTCTCTGCGCGCTCATTCCCGAGTCAGAAGCCATGTCCACCTCGATCAACAACGAGCAATTCCGGTGGGGAATGGTGTATGATAACGCGGTGTGCACGGGCCCCCGGCCGATCGACTTAACCAAAAACGTCTTCCGTTATTCCCCGTCGAAAGACCCATACCGCGATTGGGCGACGTCGAATCTGCGCGTCATCACGATCCGACTGTTCGGGGTGGACACGATGACGCCGAAGAGGATCTTGGGTTACAACGCCGACTACACGGTGGAAATGAAGCAGAAAGACACGGATGTAATTTGGTACGACCAGGCGGGCGTCAGCAAATTGGTTTTCAACGGCAGTAATTTCACGGATGTTGCGACGTTGATCCCAAGTGGGGTGTTCGCCTGTCGCTTTGAAAACTCACTTTTGACAAACGCGACCGCTTTGTCCGTTTCCCAAGCGGCTTGCGACATGCCGAAGACCGATTTCTTCCGCGCAAAGGGAAAAATCAAGGTGGATTTAGGGCTGAAGATCGACGACGACGCGTTCTACCCAGCGAATGAAGAATCTTTCACGCTGGAAGTGTTGCAGTCGCCGAAAATAACCGCGACAAATCGGTTCATCGTCTACAACACCACGGCAGACCCGGTACAGCTTATCACAGACGATCAACCCACGATGGACCTGTATGGAAATGCGCACGTGAAGCAAAATCGGTTTTTAACATTGAACCCCTTGAAATTGGGCTACAGCTTCATCCTGTACGGGCGGAACTACCCCGCGGCCGAAGATGTTTCTACTGTGCTATGTATCTTCAGGATCGCCGCTGCCGATCCCGTCAAGGAGTACATCCCGAGCGCGCAGCAACTGTACAAGACGACGGCGGTTTGCTATGCGCAGAAGGTTTGCTACTGTTTGACGCCGAGATTGCACGACAATGTGATGAAGACGACGACGAAATTGGAGCTGTTTGTGTCGCTCCGGTTTTTGTTTAATTACTACGAACTCACCAATTATCACGACACCAGCGAGTTCCCCGTGGAAGTGGAGGTATGGCAGACGAATGAGAAAAAAACCACATCTATCAAGTGCAAAAATGTCTGGGTCTGGAAGAATGCATGTTTGTCATGGTTGTCTAGCATAACTCTTAAATCTGTCATGCGCGTTACCCAAGAGCTCCATTCTTCTGTGATGCAGAAACGCAGTCTGTCATGCAGAATAGGCAACACCTAGAATCTCAGAAACTTGTCATGCTGAGCCAGCATTTGTGGCCTCATCATGAGACGCCACCCAGCATCACAAGTTTCCAGACCCAGACACTTTTACATTTGATAACATCTGCCCCGATTATGTCCTCTATGCAGACGACGTTCACCAGCTCGATCCAGATCCCGTACAGATCCTTCAGGAAGAACAATCTGCAGGAATCCATAACTATGCATTGCAAAAGTAACGTACTAGTATAAATTGCATATACAAATTTTGGCAAGAAGAAAAATGGAATTTGTAATGCTGTTTTACCTTAGGAGGAAGATTTGTCATGCGTATTTGCAATTAGTACGTGTGCGATACTTTTGCACAGCATAAGAACAAAGTCGCAAGTCCGTCAACCGGTGATCGGCGGGGTGACGCGGAAGATGACGACAACAACGCACGACTCGATGTTCGAATCCTACCCGGCGTCCGCGCCACTGAATCTGAGGAAACAGAGGCTCTACGTGAAAGCCGCCGCGCCGATCGTGGAGTTTCTCGGTTACGCCCCTTACACCTGTAATTTCGAAGACAAAAACTTCGGGTACAACACAAGGAACGTAATCAGGCGCAAGTTGGATCCGAACGCGACAGACTCGGAGGAAGTCGAGGAGCAGGAAAGAGACATCATCAGAGCGGTTGTTTCCGTCGGTATTGCGGTGGATGACACGAGCTTTTACTGCTTGATACCTAGTGTGTCTGAGCCGAAATCAGTCTCGGTGCGCATCATGTCGCCGTTGGGGCGAACGGTGCACCGGATTGATAATTTCATCTACTACGAGCCGCTGCTGAATGGGGAATTTGTGTTGAACGAAAGGGATTTCGCTGGCGCGACGGAGGAGCAAAAGACGAACCCGGATGTCCCGCTACCGGCAAGAAGCTACAAATCCGCTTTGTTTATCAATTTCCGGGTGGAAACCCCGACCGTTGCGTACCGGTCACTCAATATGCAGTGCATGTTCGACTTCCGGCACGCGGTTTTCCCGGCTTTGATCGAATCGGATCGGATTACCTGTGACTGGGACCGCTACGGGATCGACCTCGCTGCGAAATTTGCGTACTTGGACAGACACGATTTGAAGAAGCAGCTGAATGTGACCACCCCGAACTTCTTGGTGAATGAAACGCGACTGTTTTCCAGAAGGTTGAGACTCTTGTACGACAACGTGTACGAATCCGAGCAGTTCTTGGATGTTCCGGTCGATCCAGAAGCGGAGCGGACGAAACTGTTTGGCCCGGAGTTGGAGAAGAAGGACTTGTCTTCCATTGTCGACCCGGTTACCGGGAAAATCACGCTCGCGGACGAGATCGAGGCGGCCAAGCCGGTCATGCAAGTCAGCTACTTGGATGCGAACTCGCCCGGTCCGAGGCCGAGCGACCACCACAACTACTGCGACTCGGAACTGTTACTCCTGGCCGCGGAGCCGAACAAGGGGCGGATTTTGTCCGGTTTGCAGCAAGTTACTTTGTACTTCGAGTCCGTCGCGGATTGGACGCAAGACCCGTCGGACTGCATCATGCGCGGAGAGTATCGTACGAAAAAAGTGTTTCACTGTAAGGATTTTGCAAGTTTGGCATGACAAGTTCGTTACACATGACAGGGAAAACTTGCCATGCGAGGTTCCTAAGGGAAAACACAGCTAAAAATCGCCTGTCTTGCATGTGTAGCAAGACAAACACTTCTGAGATGCAGTTTCTGCATTACAAGTTTACAGTGAAACAGTTTTTTATTGCGATAGAGAGCAGTCGCACCAGCCGGGCGGCGGGGAGATTCGGAGAAGGAAAATCGCGGGCTGCTTTTTCGACGAGTACTTCGCCCCGGCGGTGGAGTACGCGCGGGATTTCGTTTCGTGTGTCGCGCCGACGGTTTTGATGGCCCACCAAGCGGATGTGTTTGTGGCATACGAGTATGAGTATCTGGAAACCGCGGAGGAGTACGAACAGTACATAAAATTCGTGCAGTACAGAATCGAAGAAGAAAAGCAGCTGGCGCTTTCCGGAAGTGAAAAACCTTTAACCAGGACGGAGAGAAATCGGTTGGCGCAACTGCCGAGCAGGACCAGCATCGTGAAGGGGACTTACGCGCTGGCCTTTTTCTTCTACGAGGCAGAGACGGTCGAGCAGGTGTATTTGTCGATGGAAAACAAGTTGGTTTTGCAGATGAAGCCGAACCCGTTTTTGCAGTCCGACGATTTGTCTGTCCAACTAGGGGATTGGACGGGGGAGAACGTACGGTATTTAGACAACTCGACCTTCGAAGTTTCGGTTCCCGCGCTCGCAAGCTCCTACGGGTCCGGGGAAATAAGCGAAGATGCGGATGAGTCTGAGAAGAGTAGTCTTTTTTCCTACAAGGTGCCGGAAGTTTTGGGGATGGACGGAAAGGGCGATCCGGATCTGCCCTTTTCTTTCTCGAGACAAACGAAACTCTCGGAAAGCCAGCATGGGCTGATGCGCAAGTTCAACTTAACGCTAGACTCGGACCACGTGCGGTTTCACGACATGCTGATGAACGTGGGGCTGAAGTTTTACTACGTGCCAGTGGATAACGTTGACAACACGAGATACTACGTGAAATTTGATCCTCCACCGACGTCGACACTAGGGGGCGGCGGAAGCAGTGTTGGTGGAGGATTTTCTCTCGCTGGAACATCAAGCGATGGTGTAGTTTCTGAGCCGGTGGAAGTTTTGTTCGTGCGGCAGGCGAAAGAGCAAGAGGCAACCGAACCTGTTTCCAAGCCGCATTTTCTCGACAACGTCGAGCTAGAGTCGGGAACGACGGGCAAGAAGTTGAAGCTGCACAATTCCACGCTTTTTCAAATTGCCTACAACACGGATTCCAGCACTCTGAAAACTCCCGTTGACGTGATCGAGGTGGCGATTAAACATCCAGACACCGAGTCGTTCATCTGCGTGGACGAGTTGACAAGTCAGCTGATTCATCTAGAAAATTCCGAAGCCAGGTGCAAGTTCAGAATCGATTTCGTCTTCCCGACCGCGAAATCCATCGATTTCACCAGTCGCTATCTAGAATTCTTGCGGAACTTCGGGCAGCAGAACGCGGCAAAGGCACTGGAATTTCTCTACACGGACGGGGACAAAGTGTTGACGCCTTTACCCGGTAGCTCAAGCAGCACGGATTTCCAGATTTCCGCGACGAAAAAGAAGTACAATGCGCTGCAGCTCCGGGCGAGCTACAATCCGGTGAACTTCGACGGAACGTACTTCCCTCTGCGGAGTTTCAGCAAGTACCCCTTTATCCGAGAGGCGAAATTCTCGATGGACGGCGGAAAAATGTTCTTCGCGCCAAACGCTTACGGCCTAGTCGGGAACAGCAACGCCGTATGCAGACTCGGGAATTACGGGCCTTTCCCGGTGGAAGCGGTTTCGGTCAACGCGACATCATCAACCGGCAGCTCTTCCAGTCGTGAACAAATCACGTACCGAAAGTGCGACATGGCGACGGCGGTGGTGTCTGGGATTCTTTCTGCCGGCGCGGAGCCGAATTTGGTGGAAGCATCCAGTATCTCCCGATCTGCGTTCTACGGGTCTCGCGCGGCGGGCTTTTACGGGACCACAGTGGATGAATTACCCTTCGCCGTGGTGCAGGCTGGGATAAATGCGACGGAGTTTGGAAATTTACTCGACTTCGAGTCCATGGCGGTTTTTGATTCTCGGTTCACGAAATTGGGAGAATTTATCGTGGAGGAGACGGAGGAAGAGGAAATCGCGCGCAGACAGGCCGAACAGGCGGTGGAAGATGCGAAGACGAACCCGCTCTATTCCTCTACGTCGACAAGCTCCACGAGCACGACGACGACGACAACTTTACCCGAGGAAAAAAAGCAGTTCTACTCCGTGAACATTCCGTCCGAATCCTGGGGGTCTATTACCATCGCAGAGATTGAGCCGAAGTTTGGAAGGCTCGAGGGCGGCACGCCTCTGACCATTCTCGCAAAGCTGCCGTTATTGAACGACAGGATCTCCCCACTAGCGTCGTTGACTTGCAACTTCGGCAATCTCTACACGACCCCAGTGGACGTGATCGCGCCTACGTTTCCCAACGCATATGCATTGCAAAAGTATCGTACTCGTATAAATTGCATTCATGCATGACAAATCTCTTTCTAAACCTGAAAAAGCATTACAAATTCCACTTCTGTTCTTGCCGGAATTTGTGATGCAATTTATACTAGTACGATGCTTTTGCATTGCATAACGCAACGAGAATCACGATCAAGAACAACGCGAACGGGAAAACAACGTTTTTGTCGGTGCACCGGAACCCGCACAACCTCGGGTCGTTCAATTCGATGGCATCTGTGAACGACTACCCGAGACTAGACCAGGCGTTCTACGACGTCGCGCTTTCCGACCAGGAGCAGGAGTGGGAGATTGTGACGAAGTCGAGGAATACGGTCGCAAGCCCGATCGACCACTACTATTACTTGTTTCACCCGGAAACGAAGTTGTTCTTACATGTAAAACCGGAGTTCCTCTACTGTTCGTCCGAGCACGTGTTTGACGGGTTCAAAAACGAAACCGAGCCAACAGTGGTGCAGAACTGCACGACGTACATGCGGGACAACACGACTTTAACCGCGTCGGACTACCACTTCGCGATGATTGATCTAGACAAAAACTTCCGAGTTAATACAGAACACCAAACCGAGCCTGATTTCGACGAAACGGACGCGTTGTTTGAGTTCCGAATCACGCAAGCCGCTAGTAAACTATTGGGGAACGGGGCGGAGTTCACGATGTTCCACGTGAAAACCAACACTTTCGCGGAGGCGGTGCACAATTTCTCGACGAACAGCTTTGAACTTTCCGACTACGACAACGATGTCTACAGTCAGCCGCCCTACAAGGCGAACGTCACTTTCGACGTCGCGGGGTCGGTGCGCGTGAAGCCCAAGAAGCTTGAAAAATCATCCCTACAAACCGGGGGTGTGCAGGATTTTTTCCAACTCAACAGCTTCCTCACTTTCCAGATGGACATCCGCGAAACCGCCTACCCCTGGTGGTCGGCGTTGCGGTGCAAATCCCCAGCGCACACCGAGCCGGGGGTCTTGCCGATCATCATCTCCACCGGTATGGGGGAAGAAACGGACAACAAAAAGATCGCGGACATGATGCAGAAAAGCTTGGGCGCGGACCAAAGCTTCAGTCCCGGCGGCGAGGATGACGATTCGCTTGGCGCGGGAATTGTGAATATGGGGAAAGGGGCGTTTGAATATTTGCCAAACTTCTACGTGAAGGACTACTCCCCGAAGCAGCTGTTCGATGTCGTGCACACCGACTACGAATTGATGCCGATTCGGTACGTCACATTCACGGTTGGCAATCTGGACCAGCCGGGAATGCGGAGCTTGGCAAACAGCTGGACGAGGTAAGTGAACGATTTGGTTTTTGTTTTTCTTTTCTTGTGGTAAAGTTTATTCACGCGGCCCAACGAATCAAGTAGAAAGAACAAGCGTGTGATAGCATGCTGGGTAATGTTACTCTGCATGGTATCACGCACTAGATATTGATGTGGTGCGGGTTACTGCCGTGACAGCATCGTGGATAGAGTTACGCAGCACGACACTACAGCGATTTTTTTCTCAAACACACGATACCGTCGTGTGACAGATGATGGTGCATGGTGTTAAGGCATCTCTCTTGCAGCATCTCTTTGGCACCATTCGTTATTCTTCCAAGTGTATGTCACAAAACAGGTACGAGCCCTGGTGCAACGTCAACACCCTGATCGCCCGGGGCGTCTGGATCGGGCGGGACAAAGTGCAGTGCCCGATCAAACGAACCTTACCGCTCCTGGGCCGCGCGCGGTTCTTCTCCGAGCCGGTGAAACGCGATCTGACCCCGGTGGTCAAGACCTACATGCAGGACCCAGACCACCCCGCGAACTACACAGTTCTGAGACTTCTCCGCGGTCCGACGGTCAAACAGCCCGAACCCTTGTACCGGTTGCGGGACGGGGAGGTTGGGCCCAGCCGGGATTATTGGGACGACTTCTACGAGCACGAGTCTGAGAAAGCCAACCACGAGTATTACGTGGGCTTCAGTTTGAACGGACCCAACGGGGATTTTGTGTTCCCGGAAGCGGGGAATATTCGGGAGGAGCAGCTGAAAATAAAAGCCGGAACAGCAAGTGCATCAACTTCATCTGTGGACACAAATAACCCACTGGGCCTCTACCCGGATTCAGGCACCGGAGCACCCTACGACAGTGAGACCGCTAAACGAGAAGGGGAGGTTTTGTCAAACCCGAAAGAGATTTTGAACATTCCAGTGAAGAAGTTCTCCGTGCCCTTCGCCGGTACACCTCTGTCGCTCTCGCGTGACGGCGGGCAAATCACTTTGAATGGGTTGGATTGGAACGAGGACCTGGTTGATCTGTCGCAGCAGGGGGTTTTTCAACTTTTCCTCATCTTCGAATTCTCCATGGTCTCCAACAACTTGCAGAACGAAGAGCACCCTTGTTTCTACCTGAACAGGTTGGAAGCAAAGTGCAACCGGCCGTTTATGTACGACGAGGCCTTGCTCCCGACAGTCTCCATCCCACTCACCATGCGGGCGGTTTTAGACGGGGCCTCGTACCAGTTTGCTTTACCGTTCAATGTCACCTTCGCGGACGTGAACTTGGTCACGAGCGTGTTCCCCAAGTACATCCCGATGGTGCGGGACTCCGCCGAGGCCTGGCAGTCCTCGTATCCGGTTTCCGACCTGAGTACGCAGCAAACGCAGCTGGTGAAGAGGTCCGCGGACTTCACCCTCTTCGGCGGGCCGTTCAACGCCTTGCTCCCCTACGTCTGCGTGTGGTTCGAGCCGGACGGGAAAGCGTTAGCCGTGACGAACGTGACGAGCTCCCAACCCGACAGGCTGCTCTGCAACACGCCAAATGCCTACGTCCCCGGGGACATGGAGGTGTCCGTCTTCGTATTCCCCGCGTTTGAGCTCTTGTCCATGACGACGCTAGAGAGCCCGGACTTACGCCTGCCGGACATCTACGAGGATTTAGGCGGTCTGGCCGTGGGCTCCGGGTCCGTTGCGTTTTACTCCGCGCCGGTCGTGACAAGCGTCTACCCCGCGAGCTGCGGTCTCGGGAAGGATCTGCAGCTTACCGGGTTGTACTTCGACAGAGTCTATCAAATGTAAAAATGTCTGGGTCTGGAAGCTTCTGAAACTTGTCATGCACGTTGTGCATGAGCCATGATGTCTGTGATGCATACCCTAGCAAAACAGATTTTTTGAGGGCTTCTTGATGCGTATTCCGCATGACAAAACCTTCTCAGCGTAGCAAAAATTGCATTCCCTTTGGTACTCATGCAATACAGATTTTTTTGGAATCCACGTGCAGCATCACAAGTTGCAATCTTCCAGACCCAGACATTTTTGCAATTCATAAAGTCCCTGATAAGACCAAGATCCACTGCACGTTCAGCGACATCGGGTCGCCGCGAGGAGTATCAAAATGAAAAATCCCCCCTCCCCATATTGAGACGGAAACTTCTGTTGCTGAATTTGTGTACACAAATCAGCCCTGTCTTGCAGTGAGGCACTACAGGCAAGGCCCCAGCCTGCGTATGGGTGTTTTGTTGTAGGCTCTTGGCATAAGAGAGGCCTGCCATGTAGGTGAAACAGCATTACAAATCGCCTCCATAAGGCGGCGGATTCTTTGGCTTTGCATTCTTGCAAGACAGATGTGATTTGTGACCTCAAATCCGCAACGCATGCAAATTTTTGCAAACATACCTTTTCGATAAGGGGAGGGGGGATCTTTCCTCTCAATAAGGAGATGCGTACTTGCGGCAAACGCACACGCAGATCGCGACCGAGTTGATCGTCGAGACAATCATCCCGCCGTCGTTTGAGAACAAATTTTCCAGGCAGGAATCCTACGCGCGCTGCGCCTGCCCGGACCGGGATTTGCTGGGAACGGCCAGCCAAATCATGTTCCAGCTGATGGCGAACGGGGAGCAGTTTATCTCCAGTCCGCAGATCCTCGGTGTGGAACAGATGCCGTCTTTCTTGAAACTACCGAATTTCGTCGACATGGACATCCCGACCGCTGAGGCGTATCCACCGCAGTTACTCCAGTACGGGGTGAGCAGCGGCGCTTTGCTGCCCTTGTTTGTCCACCCGTCTTCGAGTTATTCCGGGCCAAGTGGGGAATATTTGAACACCGACAAGGAAAAAACACTGTTTTGCCAAGTGGCGAACGTCGCCGGGAGGGTTTTGGCCGTCGACCAGAAATTCGCGACCCAGGCTGGGGAATTCTCCCCCCAGTCGCTGTTCGGCGGTGCGGCGGCCAGGCATTACTGCCACCTCCCGGTCTTCACGCTGCGGAACCAAACTTTGCCATCCGCCGAAATGTACGCTTCGTTCGACGGGGTCACCTGGTTCTTCGTGAACAAGGTAACCGTGAACCCAGCGCCAGTTTTGAAAGAACTTAAAGCTCCTCCGGGCTTAACGGAGGGCGGGTTGTACCGACTGGACGAAATGCAGTATGGCGATATCTTCGAAAAGGGCTACATGGAGATCGGCACGGTAATGGGGGAAAATTTCGTCCCGGGGTGCAATTGCTTGTTCTCCTCCGACTACGTAGCGGATGGTCCGGGGAACCAGATTGTTGATTTGATGGATCAGCAAAAGTACGCCGTGTCGGAGCACTCCACCGTGGTGGACTCAACGAAAATCATGTGCGCGTTTCCGCCGAAACTCTTCTTCGAGAAGTTCCTGGTGTCCGTCGCCTGTCCGCCGACGACGATCGCGCAAAACTCGCTGTGGTTTATTCCGCCGAACCGGCTACCGAAAATCCGGCAAATTTACCCGGACTCCCTCGGCGCCTATTTGCAAAACACGATCACCATCTACGGGCACAACTTCCACAGCTACATTGGGCGCGTGAAGGAGCACATGAAGAACAAATTTGATCAATTGATCCCCAGCAGGGATGACTACAACGCGATGAATTCCCCCTTAAGGGTTCGCTTTAGTGGCTACCCAATCGGCGGCGACGACAACGATTTCCCGGTGGAAATTGTTTCCGACACGATTTTGCGTGCGAAGATCCATTTCCGGTTCGACCCCCCGCCAAGGTTCGTCAAAGCGGGGTTTACGAGGAGAGATTACAACAATCGGGTGCGGGTGACGTTGTTTCTGTCCGACGTGAACCAGGAGACAAATTACGTGGAAATTGATGTTAGACGACCCAGTTCCGCGATTTTCGTGGCCGCGAACCCGCTAAGTCTCGCGCCGCAGGTATCGCAAGAAAAAACTGCTTCACTGTAAACTTGTGATGCATAGAACGGAACGCAAATGCGTTTGTCTTGCTACACATGCAAGACATCGGATTTTTAGCTGTGTTTTCCAATAGAAAGCACGCATACCAAGTTTTCTATTGTCATCTGTAACAAACTTGTGATGCAGATCTTGCAAAATCATCACAGTGAAACAGTTTTTTCGTGGGATAGCAGGGCACGCGGGACTACAGTTTGGTCGTCGAGGGGCACAACTTCCACTATACGGATTTAGAGCGGCAACTGGACTTAACGCTAGTTCCCTATCCCTACGTGTGGTGCCGAATTGGCGATTTGGTCACGGATGCCTACGTGAAAAACGACACGCGGGTCCAGTGCCGGGTCCCTGCGTCCTTCTCCCAGCAGACGTCAATCCAGATTATCAACATCAAGGAGGGAATTTCCACCCCATTGCTCCCGTTCGAGTACTACAGCGTCCCGAAGAAACTCACCTACAGCTTCAACGAGCTCCCCTACGCGCTGACGCCATACTCGTCTTTGGCGATTTTTGGCGAGCTGTTTCCGATTGGCAGCAGTGAATGTGAGCTGTACTTTGATTCCATGCCGACCCCGGCGTTGGTGCAGACAGTGGAGCTGATGACGGTCACGATCCCTCGCTTCACGTCCGCTTTGCGAGTGACTCTCACCCTGAAATGCGGCGCCGCGCAGATGGGCCCGACGCAGAACTTCTACTTCACGGAGAAGCCGGAGTTGTTAGCTGTGTACCCCACGAAATTCAACGTTGAGGGCTATGAGTGGGTCACGCTGCACGGTAGGAATTTCATCGACACCGTGTACTTGACCTGCACCTTTGGCGGAAAGCACGTGGTTTCCGGTCCGGACAATGTCGCGTACCTGAATCCAACCACAGTGAAGTGCCGCACGCCGGAATTCCTCCCGTCTGATTCGAAAGTCACGATTCAAGTTTCCACGGACGGGGTAGTGTTCAGTAGTTTGTTGGAGAAGACCATGGATCCGGTTTTGAAGATTTACAAGGACGCGATGATCCCGCTCACGGCCCGAATCCGCGTTCTCTCCATCGCACCGCGGCTGATCGCGCGCGCAGCGACGACGGTGTTGAAGATCCGCGGGAAGAATCTGGTCGCGGGGATGTACTGCTTTTTTGAGAATTCCATTACGAGCCCCGCGGTCGTGATCGACCAAAACAACGCGGAATGCACGTTGACGGACGAAACAACGGAGTTCGCTTTGCAGTCGCAGGGCGGAACCGCGAAAGTGCAGCTGCAGCTGATTCTACCATCAGATACCCTCCGCTTCGCCTTCTTTCACGTGGCGGAACATTTATTGTCGGTCAAAGTCCGAGAGCGGCCGATGTTCTACTCGCTCACCCCGTTTTTCGGTTCGACGTATGGCGGCACAGAAGTGTCCATCAAGGGTCAGAACCTTCTCCCCGACGACGAGCAAGACGCGACAGTGAAATGCATCTTCTGGTTTGGCCGCTACGCATTGCAAAAGCATGACCTTCGCACACAGTAGAATTCGCATGATGAATTTTTCCACAAGGAGAATGAAAGGAAATTTGTCATGCCGGTTCAGGTATAAGCGCAGGGCAGCGGCAGATCTGTCATGTCAGCCTGCAAATTGTACGAGTGCGATAGTACTTTTGCAAAAATCCATATCCTACCAGTGGAGGCGATTTCCGTGAACCAAACGGTGATTACTTGTGTGACCAACGCGGCGCTGAACCCGACCCAGTCCTGGTCGCAGGAGGTCCAGGTGCAGTACTTGAACAGATTCCTACGCGTCTACCCGTCCGAAGCGCAGCTAGATCCGCGACCGTACAACGTTTCCACTTTCACAGAGGGCTTCGAAGAACCGATGATGCTCTCGACCGGCTTGAAATTCAACTTCGAGCCGCCACCGGAGATCAACACGATCGAGCCGTTAGTTGTTGCGCAGCACGACTACATCCTGGTCGCGGGGAAGAACTTCCTCCGCGCGGGCGTGAAGACGCACATGCGGTGTCGGTACCGGTTGAAGTTGGACAATCTGAACACGACGGCGGAGCAGGCGCGAGTGTTGCGGATGAATAATGAAGTGTCGGAAACAAAAGTGTTGGCGAACATCATCAACCACGACTTGATCCGGTGTAAAACCGTTCTAGTCGGGAACATCACCGTCGACGTGACGATCTCGATCCAGGAGAACCCGTTGCTAGAGTGGTCTAACAGTAGGGAAATCAAAGTCTACGAGGCGCCGAAGGCTTTCCAGACATTAGACTTGGCGCTGGAAACGGTGAGAAAACAGAAGGAAGCGCAGTTGCAGTTAGAAGCGAATCAGGCGGCTGGCATAAGTTACAACGTGACGACGACAAGCACTACGACCACCGACCCGTTCCTGCCTCTGAACAACAACACAAACGAGACTTTGGCGACTTTGGTGTATCACCAGTCCGTGGAAACGATAGCGGTTGCGATGGACCTGGAGAAATGCGAAGATAATGAATCAGGTGAATGTCTCCGACCGCCGCCCGGTGGCTTGTTTGCGCCACTTAGCTGCGCAGATTACGCGGCGAAGGGGGGATGCTTCTCTCTAGTCTTCGACGGGTGCTGTCAAAAAACTTGCGGGATGTGTCCGGATGTGTTGAGTAAGAACTCGCAGAATTTGGTCTGTTTGATTGTCGATCTAGAAACCGATAGAGTTGTCATCGTTCCGAGACGCTCCGACAACCTCTTCGGAACCGACGCGCGGGTCACGACAAACATGACGCAGGAGTTAGTGCTCGCGAACTGCCTAACCGCACCCCTTCCTCCCTACAAGAAGTTTTTTGTCAAAGTGGCGCTGTTATCTCGGAATTATCAAAACATTTTCGAGCGGTCGATGTTCTACCAGGAAAACTTTCACCAGATCTACCAGCAGCGCACGAACGACACGAAATTGCTTCAAAACGAGCACGACATCTTCGCGATTGCGGCCACCGGCGGGGCGCCGATGCTGACGTACACCGGGGGCGTCGCGCAATTGCTGGAGAGAACTTTGTTCCCGAAGTTCGGGCAAGCCGGGACGCCTCTGTTGATCAACGGGGTCGATTCGGCGTATGTCAAGTGGTGTCGGTTCGGTACGCCGGAACTCGCATCGACGACGCCCGGATCGAGTCCTCCGTGCCTGGAGTGGTGCGTGAACGACGCAGCTAGCACGGTCCCGTATTGTTGCTCGGAGACATTATCCTCCGGTGGGAACGCTTTAACCGTAGCCGCGGTCGCCCGCGGGCCGAAGCAGGTGCAGTGTGTCGTTCCGCTTATGCCGCTGCGGTCGAAATTGCAGGGCAGAGTCCCGCAGATCGACGCGGCGTTCCCGATTTTCTTGGGGTACACAAAGCAAAACCTGTACGACAGCAGGCTGACATTTTACTACGAACCGGACTACCAGGTGACGAGGATTACGCCGCAAAGAGGGACGAAAACCGGCGATGTGCCGGTGATGTTGGAAACAACAGCAATCTGGCTTGAAGGCTTCCCTCGACGGGCCGACTGCTTCTGCAGATTTTCCTCCCCACCCGGACAACCTCTAGTCCACGACTTCGAGCGGCCCGCAACCTGCGACTTCGCGCTCCGCGTCATCAACTGCACGACGCCGACGGTCCCGGCCCCGACGATTCTGAAGGTGCAGGTGGCGTTGGCGGGGACGTTAGGCGGTTATCACCAGTGGTCAGTGGAGCCCTATGTCTACTTTGAGTTCTACAACGAGGAAGAGCTTAGCTTCGTCTCCATCTACCCACCACTGGGGTCCTTGCAGGGGAACAACACGGCGGACATCTACGCCACGGGGAACTACCCGATCTTGTTCAAGAACTTCTACAAACAAGTGCTCGAACCGTACAAATTGGCGAACAAGGACCCGCTGGCGATTTACGAGACGCAGGAGGAATCGGATTTCCCCACCCCGGTGACGTACTGCAGATGGAACAACGAGTACATCGTGATTGCGGAGTTGGTTTCCAGCACACAGTTGATTTGCAACGTGCCGAGCAGGTTCATGTTCTGTCAGAACAATCTCCCCACCAAGAACGAGTCGCTCATTCTGTCGAAAGACCCCCAGTTCGCGATTCCGGAAGACCCGTGTTACAACGGGACGTTGTTCGATTTGGAAATCTCCTTCGCCGGCAATCCGCCGAATTTCCTCCCGATCAACAACTTGCAGTTTATCCAGCACGATCTAGTTTCGTACAAACAGGAATTCCAGTTGCGGATCGATCCATTGTATGGGTTCGGTCAGGTGCAGTTGAAAGTCACCGGGTCGAATCTGAAGTCCCTTGCGCCGGAGCTGCCGAACTGCGTCTGGAACTACGGCACGTACATGACAAGATTGACCGTGTTCAATTCCAGTTACGGCGAGTGCGACGTGCCGTTATTGAAGGACATCATCCCGTCGCAAGCGGAGTACGACGCAATCGAGCTGCCGCACGACATCAACGTCGACATCACACTGGACGGGGGAGAAACGAGGTCTTACTTCTCGGTGATTTACCAGTTCATCGCGCACTTCCAGATTCTCGCGCTCTCCCCGAACCGGGGGATTTGGTCGGGTGGAACGCCGTTAGAGGTTCTCGGGGATTTCTTCATCAAGTCCCCCCAGCTCTTCTGTCGCTTTGGCAACGTCGAGGTCCCTATCAAATGCAAAAATGTCTGGGTCTGGAAGAATGCGAGATTTGTCATGCTGATCTGGCATGGCCCTTAAATCTGTATTGCGTGGCCACAAACAGCCTCTCTCGCCTGTCATGCAATAACGCAGTTTCTCATGCGGAATACGCAGCACAGAAGCACGAAGCAACTTGTCATGCTTGGCGGCGCATTACACTGCATTTGTTATTGACTGACTTGCATCACAAGTTTCGAGACCCAGACATTTTTGCATTTGATAGTCCCGGCGGTGTACGTGAGTAGACTGCTCTTGACCTGCGTTGCCCCGGCCTTACCCCGGCCGACCACCGTGGACGGGCAAACGGCGTACCCCTTTTCCTACTCCGTCGATGCGCAGCGGTTTTTGCCCGCGCTGGACGAAAACGGCCAGCAGATCTTCTGGTACGCGATGGAAGAGCCGGTTTTGGACTTGATTAAGCCGGACATCGGGCCCTACACGGGTGATACGAATGTCACGATTAGAGGAAAGTTTTTCCAAGACGTGTCCTACCTGTCCTGCAGCTTCGGGGTGTTCATCACACCGGCGTTTTACGTGAACGCGACGGCGGTGCAGTGCGTTGTGCCGCCGTGTAAGGACGCGTTTGGGACTTCGATCTCTATGACGGACAACGGCTTTTTCCAGGCCTGTTTCGGAACCGTTGCAGTGAAATTGACCATGAATCAAGAGGAGTTCTACGGAAATCTCACCTTCGAGTACACGAACCGGCAACGGATTTTACAGGTGTATCCCTGGTCGACTTCCTTCGAGCCGATCGACTTGTTCGTTTTGATCAACGGAACGAATTTCGCCGAGGAGGGCATGTACTGCCGGTGGTCGACGCCGGACGGGTCGCATTTGGACCCGGTGAAGGCGGTGGAAGTGCAAAAAGAGTCGATGCGGTGCCGGGTGCCGGGGTTGCCGCCAAAGTACCAGATCGACACATCGATCGTGCAAGCGGGGTCCGCCGGCGCGATTCACGACACCGTGATTGGGTACTTGGAGATCTCGCCCAACCCCGACCAGGACTACACGCGGGACCGACTGCCCTGGACCTGGTACCGACCGGCCATCGTGAAGAAGGTGATGCCGGAGACGGTGTACCACGGGAAGCCCGTGCAGGGGGCTTTTGTGATTACCGGAAGACATTTTAGGCGGTTGGACGCGGAACGGGAGCTGCAGTGCCAGTGGTTTGCGGACGCAACAAACCCGGCGAACTACGAGTTGGTGCAGGCACACTACCAATCGCCGACGGAGGTCCGGTGTCAACCGACGCAGGCGGTGTATTCTTCCACCGGGTTGGACATTTCGCAACTGAATGTTCCGACGAGGATCGAGGTCGGCATGTCGCAACTAACCTACTCCGTTTCGCAACACACGGTGATGGCTGAGCCATTTGTCGATTTAGTGCACCACTACGAGCCGAGTCCGATCAACCCGCTGATTCAGATCCAGTTCCCGGCGTTAGATTTCGACTACGACAACTTGAACCTCGGGGGAGCACCGAGGTGTATCCACCTCGGGGGGTGCACGCTCGGGTTGCGCGGACACAATCTCTGGAACCCGATGCTGAACCATCTGAATAAGCTGTACGTTGTCGTCGGGGACACAATTGTAGAGGCCAGGCACTGGTTCGCCTACCCGTACGGCTCCAGACGGAAGTACGCGACCTTCAAAGCGCCGCCGGTACCCCACAGGGCCGATTTGGCGAGAAACGCCGCGGTGTTTGTCACGAGAAACTTGCAAGATTTGTCCACCGCACGGTTCGATTACAGGATAACGTACGTGAAATTAGATGCGGGGAAGTACTACCGGCCGGAATTGCAAAACGGAACCGCGATTCCCTGTCCCCGTGGTCACTACTGCGAGGGGGCGCTGCAGACGAACTTCTCCGAGTGGCTGGTGCCGCCGACCGAGCCGCTGCCCTGTGCGTCCGGAACGTTTCAGAACTTCACCGGGCGGGGCGACTGCAAGATCTGCGAGGAGGGGACGACCTGTCCGGAAACCGGGATGGGCGAGCCGATCCAGTGCGCCGTCGGCTACATCTGTTGGACGCGGGGCGGCTGGGACGCCGCGATGCCACTGTGTCCGAGCGGAATTCTGTGTCTCCGTCCGCCTTACGGGAAGTCTTCGCTCTACATCGCGACGACCAGCCGGATCCGCCGGCTGCTCATCGCTTCAGAAACGGGAGATCCGAAGTACTTGGAGCAATTACTAGATCTTGTGCAAGACGACGAGATGAACGACTTCCTCTCTTCCACCCAGATCACCAACGCGGAGAGGAAGGTTTTGAAGGAAAACATGTTCAAACCCAGGCTGTTGGAAAAGATCCAGCGCTTCAACGAATCGCTGCAGGCGGAGCGGCGTGCGATCTTCGCGTCGGGGAACGACAAGCAATCCATCTTCGGCGTCGAGGGGATCGATACAGACGCGGCGCAAGCGAAGGAAAACTTCCTCTCCCGAAAAGCGCAGGCGAAGCGGTTGCTGCGGCAGTTCGTTTTGCCCGATGGACAAAGGTACCACAAATCCGTCGGGGCCGAGCCGCCAATCCGGAAGAAGAACATCATCACCTCGCATGCGAAAAACCAACTCTACCACGAGTACACCACGACCAGCCGGTCGATCTTCGACGAAACTGCGAAGGGGAAAGTTCCTCTGGACGAAGAGGAGGAGGGCGAAGAGAACACGCTGCACTTTTACAGGATGATACGCATTGCAAAACTGTCGTACGTAGTAGAAATTGCATCGCAAATTTTTCCAGAAGAAAGCACAGAGTTTGATGTCATGCGGATTCAGATTAGCAAGCAGGTTTGTCATGCAGAACTGCAAGTAAAACTAAAAACTGCCACTACGACATTTTCGCCGAGGATAATTGATGAACCATTACTACTACGACCCGGACGAGTTGACCTACATCATCGACTCACACCAAGCAATTTGGGAGGCGATGGACATGCCGGAGCGCCGACGTGCGCTGCTGACCAACGTGATCGGCAGCTCGATCGAGGAGATCGCGAAGGGCGTGGAGGCGGAGAAGAAGAAGGTGGAGTCCGTCGGCGTGCTCCCCTCGAACAAGCACTTCGGACCTTTGGGCCGGGGCGATTTGGATCTGCACGAGGACGGGCTGCAGCGAATCCGGGAGATTCTCTACCGGAAGAAAGCAGACAGACGGGAGCTGCAGGAACGCGATGCGCCGACGATCACCGGCCTACCGATTCAGGTCGTCCCGTGTCCGGCGGGTGTGTACTGTCCGCCCGGGTCGATGGCGCAGCAAAATGCGGATGGGTCGTTTCAGGTGGTGTCCGCGAGCCAGTGCTCGATCCCGGGGGTGGTGTGCACGCCGGGAACGAGCGTACCCGTTGCGGTGGACACCACCGTGCCCGCGGGCATGTACGTCGACCCGCAGTCCGGGTTACTGGTCTCCTGTCCTCCCGGATACAGCTGCCCGGGCGGGTCGCAGACCAGCGGACTTCCCTCCGCTTGCCCACCGGGGCAGTTTCTGGACTCCGCGGGGGGCGGTCAATGCCGGACCTGCACCGCGGGTACCGCGTGCTCCGGCTTCGGCGGGGCGCTTCCGGAGCCCTGTCCCGCGGGGAAGGTGTGCGTCTTCCCGGGTAGGTCCGGCTCGGTGTTCAACTGCCCGGCCGGGAGTTACTGCCTGCCCGGGACCTTCACGATGAACTCCAACGCGGTCGTGCCGGCGGGCTTTAACGCGCCGGTGATTTGCCCGGTAGGGACGTATTGTACCCAGGGGACAGGGAAAGTCGAAGTGGACGACCTCGACCCCATGGCGCCGAAGAACTGCGTCGAGGGGACGTTTTGCGGCGTGAACGTGACCAGTCCCGGCGGGACGGACAACTGCCCCCTCGGGTGGTACTGCGAGCGTGGCGTTCCGTTCCCGAAACCCTCGCCCCCCGGACATTACGTCTCCGACTACGGCCAGGAGTACCCGGCGAAGTGCCCACCGGGTCTTTACGCGGACGTCTGGGCGTCGATCCAGTGCAAGCCCTGTCCCGCCGGTTTTGAGTGCGGACAGGATGGAACGGAGGATCCGAAACCCTGTCCGGAGGGAACGTTCCGGGACGCCAGGGGGGATCCTTTGGAAAACGTGTTCTGCAACCCCTGTCCGCAGGGCACGTGGTCGCCGAACACGCAAGTGAAGCGCGAGGAGGACTGTTTGGATTGCGACGAGCGGTACGTGTGCTCCATCGAGGGGATGGTCCGGTTCGCGACCATTGAGCAGCCCTGTCCGCAGGGCGCCCCGCCGACGGAGATTTGCTACCAGAACTCGCTCGGGACCGACTGCCCGCCGGGTTTCGCCTGCGCCCGAGCCACCACCCAGTACACCGCCGGCGACTTCCCCTGCGACCCGGGGTACTACTGCGCGCCGCGGACGGTTCCGCGAGAGATGCGCAACTTGCTGTGTCCCGCGCAGTACTTCTGCAAGGAAGCAACGCGGTCCTCGGCGAAGAACCAGTTTCCGTGCCCGGCTGGGTTTTTCTGCCCGGCAGGGACGGCGGCGGAGTCGATTCGTCCCGCGGGGTCGAACCGGCTAGAAACGAAATACTACAATGTCCGGTCCTGCGACAGCTTCATGCTCACGATCAGCACCTACGCGTGCCAGTTCTACACCTTCTCCGGCCCCGCGACGGAAGCGCCGCGGACGGAGGCGGGGGAGTTGATTTTCCCCATGGCGATCCCGAAGGCGAGACGCGTTTTGTCGATTTTAGGGCTGGATTCCCGCCCGACGCAAGAGATGGACGATGTCACCGCGAAATCGATTTTAGCCGAGTACATCTTCGACGTAGAGACGGATCGGCAAAAGGAGTACGAGAAGCACACTGGCCCGGCGGCGCGCAGGTCCCTTCACGAGGCGAAGAACCCGTTTACAAAGATGGAGGAGCTGACGAAGGCGGAGCAGAAATTGTTCGAGACCAAGGCGAAAGTTTCGCAGGAAGCCGCGCACATTTTGCTGCAGTTCTCGCCCAAAACCGATTTGCCACTGCTATCTTACAACACCGCGAAGCAGTTGCAAGACATGCACCACGCGGTCACCGACCCGTACAACATGCCGAAGACTTTCGAGATGCTCGGGAATCTGCGCGACCCGTATTTGTACCCGGAATCGGCGTACGAGTTCATGGAGAACATCCTGTCCGAGCAGTTCGCGTACACCGAGGTGGAAGACGAGGACGACGAGGACGATATGAACGAGCCGCTCTTCTTCAGCGAGCCGAAGGTCGCCTCCGTGCAGGTCGGGGGCACCGCCGGGTTTGTTTCCAACGTTTATCAGCCACAAGCGCTGCCGGGGGCCGGCGTTGCACCTTCTAGGTTCTCGAGTAAGACGATGTATTTGAATGACATTTACGGAAACGACGACGTCCGGTACGATCAGGAAACGACATTTCTCCCTGGGCATTTCTCGGTGGAGGAGGCGTTGTACGCGGTGACGAGGGAATTGATGATGAATACGACGTGCAAGATTATGTTCTTCAACTTCATGCTGCGCACGATCGAGGATTTGGCCGCGAAATCCGCACAGTTCGCGGTCGAGGAGAAGGGGCCGGAATTCTACCAGGTCGATTGGCACGACGTGGGTGAGGCGAACGAATCCCTGCCGCCCGACCTCCGGGGGTCCAGCTGTGCGACGAGGACGCTCGTGAAGACTTTCAAGAACCGGATTATGAAGATTGTGGCGCGGGAGCGGCAGAACGGCATGAAGGATCTGGTGAAAGAATCAAGGATGCGCTTGTTTCCACATTTGAAGGAATTAGAAGACAGGATTGGCAAGGTTGTGGCGGAAGGAGGGAACAAAGGCACAGCAGCTGGAGCAGCAGCTGGCTCTCCCAGCGAAAAACAAGAAGCAGCACCGCAGGAAGAGAAGCGCACTTCGTTTATCAACGTGGACACTTTGCGCTCGACAACGCGGAGGTTGCGCGCGTGGATGTTCGGAGGCGATTCCCCAGATGTAGAGGAGGAGTCGGCTGGCGCGAATGCAGCCGCAACCCCCACTGCTGTAGCAACGTCAACATCTACTACCAAGGCGTCTACTGCGCAAGAAGACCAGCTGAAAATCCCCCGGTCCTGGGGACCGGCGATCGACGCGCGGGGCTTGGCAGAGGAGATTTTGGTGCGACGGGAATGGAGTTTGGAGCAACATGCGCTCTCGCCTACGAGCATTTTCCGGGTGGTGGCGCCGGAAGCCTGGCGCATGGCGACGGGGGTGGATCTGTACGACCAGTACCGAAGCATGCGGAAAAGGCGCGAGTTGCTCCGGCTTCCGGGTCCCGAAGGAGAACAAACAAGCTCTTCAATCCAGCCTGTCATCCCCGTCCTCGACGAGAGTTTTGACGACCCACTATCCGAAACCTCCCTGCGCCGCCGCGCCATCGAGATTCTCGCGCTCGACGCGTCTTCTCTACCGGACAACAGTCGGGAAGTCGCGACGTTGGTCGAATCCCTGCGCTACAACAGCATGCGGAACATCCAGGAGAACCGGCTGCTGGAGGAGAAGTCCGAGGAGGAAAAGAGAAGAAAGCTGCAGACCCTCGGGGTCGCGAATTCCAAAAACGACACGATCTCCTTTCGCGGGGAATCCATCCTGCTCGACAGCAACCAGGTGCTCACGGTCACGCAGTACGAGATCTCCGAGGTGCCCTACTTCGCGATTCCGAAGGTGGACCGGGATACGAAGGCGCTCTGTCGCTTCTGCGACCCGGCGAAGGAGGAGTTACTCCCTGGCGCTTTTGTCTACGACAACGTCAACTGCCCGGTTTGCGACTACCACTACGAGTACCGCTCGCTGAAGTGCCCGAAGGGAACGGAGTCTCTGTTCCGCTCGTCCCAGCCAGACGACTGCAAGCAGACGGGGACGGTTATTGCCGCGATGAACGCGTACGTTTGTTACCCGCCGCGCATCTGTTGGGAGACCAACTACCGTCGCGAGATGGAGAACAAGCCGCGGCCCGAGGGCGAGGCGCTATACATCCCGAGCACCGAGGAGTTCTGCGGCCCTCGGCTCCCCGTCTCCGCTTTGTGCGGCATGAACTACCCGCAATTCCTCACCGGGGGCATGCAGCCCCTGGAGGCGGTGAAGGCGAACCCGATGATCAAGAAGTCCTTCGTGTGGGGAGACCCGCTGCCGAATAGTAACAAGGTGGTGACGTTTTTGGGTTACGACCCGGACATCGAGTGTGTCGAGTTCCCCAACGACTGTACGTGGCCGATCCAGAAGGTGTCCATGCAGCCCATGGACATGATCGTGCTGCAGATGAACTTCACGAAGGTGCACCAGGATATCCGGTACAACGCGCAGGGCGGTGGACATTACCTGATCTACATCATGACCAGCTCCTTCGAAAATCTGCTCTTGTCCGAGGGCTCGACTGCAAGAAATAGGCTATTGGCAGGTCACGCCCTGCCCCCGTACTTCAAACGCGAGCGAAATGATAAGTTGCACCACTACTTCGAGATCAAGGTCTTCGCCCTGTACGCGTTAGATATCCGCGTCGAGATCCATTTATTGCACGGCATCCACTTACCGCGACTCGCTTCGTTCAACGAGACGATAGATTTGAAACTGTACTCCCCCTTCCGGACCTGGGCGGGCACGCGGAAGTTCTTCATTGCGTTGCTGGACAAGGATTTACTGAACAACGGGGAGTACGAACTGCCCTACAACATGCCGCCCGACCAAGCGAACGTCGCGAAAACCGGGGAGAAACAGATCCTGATCGACTTGGCCCGGTACGAGTCCCCGGATTTCAACAACGAGCCGCAGAACGTGCTAAACGATGGTGAAGAGGACGCTTTGTTCTCCCTGCAGACCCAAAGTAACATCTTCTGGAACGTGGAGCGGATTCAGACGGTGGCGATGAGCTGGATCCCGTTCTTTTCGAACTGTGAGGACTATGACAGCCACATCGTGTTCTGGGACTTGCTCGAACAGCCGGAGGGGAGGTTGGACAAGAAGCGCGGGCGCTGCGTATCCTGAGTAAAAACGTACCCACCCCAGAGTCGAGATGGGGAATTTGCAACACAAACCTAGGAGTTTTAGGAGTCACGCGTGACAAGTTTCAGTCCGTAAGGTAGTGCAAGTTAGCAAGGAAAGCCGCATCACAAATCCACCCTCTGATCCTGTTTACAGCATTACAAGTTCCAAAACACGATTGGAAATGGCTCTCATGGGGATGCGCATCACAAATGTTCCTGTCGTGGCAAATCTGCATGACAACTATGGCGTGGGTACGTTTTTACTCAGGATACTGCGACGTCGAGGAGCCGGACGAGGAGGCGTGTCCGAACGCGGCCGAGGGGCTATGCATTGCAAATATGTCTGGGTCTGGAATAAAAGTGGAATTTGAATTTGTATTGCGTGTCTTGCATTCCTAGAAAATCTGCGTTGCGTGAGCAGCAGCAGAGCCGCTTCCTTTGTCATGCGAAAACGCAATTTGTAATGCGTGCTAGACATTAGAAAGCGTTTAAAAAACTTGCCATGCGTGGCTGCCATGGCAGGCGTTGCAATTAGCAGCGAGTCTGCATCACAGGTTTCCAGACCGAGACATATTTGCACTGCATAGGGGGGCCAGGATGACGATTGCGAAATTTACGATAAGGACGAGGTGAAGCCGGTGGCAGAGTTGTTCTTGGACTTCAACACGATGGAGATCATCATCGAGCCCACGGCGGACAACTGCGAGTTTGTGCTGAAGTGCAGCTACGAGGAAGAGAAGTCCGAGGATAACATGAATACCGTCTGGCGCGAAATCGAGGAGGAAGAAACCAGCATCTACTACATCACCCGCGATCCCATCGAATACGAGATCTACATGGAACCGTCCGACTTCTGGGAAGAAAATTTCCTCGGCACCGACGACTTGGTCCCCGTGGGCTTCGGCGCGGAGGAGCGTGAGGGGCCGTACCCGCGGCACGTCACGTTCAACATGGACTTCTACCAGATGACGCCAGGGAGGAAGCGGTTAATCGGGGCGGAGATGTCCTTAGGCGAATTCGACGACGACGATGCGGAAGTTGGGTACTGGCTATTGATCACGTTTTACCAAAAGGAAAAATCCCCCCTCCCCATATCAAACCGAAGTTTCTGATGCTGGATTTGCGTACTCAAATCAGATCTGTCTTGCTGGCGAGGACTGCAGGCTCCTGCCGAGCCTGAGTAGAGAGCTTTTGGCCTAGACGCTTAGCATGAGAAACGTCTATGCTGTAGGCCCAACAGCATGACAAACCGCCTGCATAGTGCGGCAGAGCCTGCGGAGTTGTCTTCTTGCAAGACAGACTTGATTTGGGATCTCAAATCAGCAAGACAAATTTTCGGAAACATACCAACCTTTTCGATATGGGGAGGGGGGATTTTTCCGCTCAATACGTTTGCCGCCATGGACTGGCCCGACCTGATGAACAACTTCCAGCTCGGAACGCCGGTCTACATGGTGCTCTATGCGGTCGTGGGTCTCGCCTCCGTCTTTATGTGTGTTGCGGCCTGGTGCATGGTGCGGCTCGGGTCGAAGAACATGCGGCAGCCGCCCGTCGATTTGTTTGAGTCGTATGAGTTTATGCTCTTCTGGCCGCTCCAGGGGGTTTTGATCGCGTCCGTGCCGGTCATGGTCTTGTTCGGGATAATTGTAATGATCACCGAAGTGGACCCCACCAGGACGGTGCCCTGCGAGTTCATCCGCCTCGACGAGATGGGTGCAATTGTGGATAAAAAATGTCTCCAGGGGAGGTCCGGGGTGTCGTTCTTCCTTGCTGGCTTCTTTATGCTCTGGTCGGGTTCGAAACTCATCGTCCCGAAGTTGCGGGTGGAAGAAAGTCAGTACTTGCTCACGCAAAACACGGTGAGACTCACGACCACAGAACTCATCCCCGTTCCGCCCGCACAGAAGACTCTCGTGGAGCAACTCCCGATCCGGTGGAAGCGGTGCCACCTGATCTGGTGCTCGATGCTGATCACATTACCCCTGGTTGTAATGTTGGAGTTTTCCTACGCCGGATTTTTCGGAGAAAACGCCGTCGAATTTATCGTCGGATTTCGCGTGTTATGCATTGCAAAAGCATCGTACTCTGCAGTACCAATAGCACTTGAAAAAAATTAGAGCCTGTCATGCGCGATCACGTATAGAAAAAAAAGCAGATCTACTGTCATGTCTTCCGACTGCTATCAGTACGAGCGCGATACTTTTGCACACTGGATAGCCGTTCATGATGTTCACGGAGGGAGTTTTGTCTAAAGCAGTTCGGGAAGCCCTGCTCGTCGGCCCGTTGTCCGCGGCCTGCGAGGTCGTGTTGTTTGTGGCAACAATGGGTGCCGATGATTTCATGGACTTCATTGACGGTTACTTCACCGAGTTGGTGCTGGCCATTGGGGAGCGGCTGTTGCTCGGATCGATCATCGCATTAGTGGACGAAACCGCGGCGGCTGCGATCAAGTGGGTGCGCAGCAGGGGCTGGTACTGGATGGTCAGGTCGATTTTCAAATCGGAACGAGTTGGCGGAAAGGGCGGAGGAATCATCTACAACGTGAATGACCCGGACGATGCGGATTCTCAGGCCGAGGAAGAAGACGAAGAGGAGGAGGAAGAATACGAAAGGAGATTTCAATTCTGATATTTTTGTCCTGAGGCTGAGCTGATGTGCTTGTGACCAAAAGCTGCAAAGTGAAAGTTGAACTGCGTTGTTCCAATCTGATTCACTTATGGCTTGCTTTGCAGAATAAAGGAAAAGGCTACGATGATCCGCCGCTAGGGTCGTGACTACAAGTACTGACTTCTACTTTACACAGCTCATAACTTCACGAGCCAGCAGCAGCATTGGGCGTCCAGGATGAAAACTACGCATTTCCTTTCCATACCCCGGACGAAGAGGAAGAAGAGGATATGGGATTCTCAAATGTTACATTCTCGGCTGTTACATGATTTACCATGCAGAATGGTCATCGGCATCGGCGCGATAAAGCTGGCGCGCGTGACAAATTCAAAGTCTCGAAGGGGTAAGTAGCATGGAAGTCCCTTGCAAATTTGTATACGCAAGAGGCGCAAAGTACCCCCACCCAATTTTGCTACTCTTGCAGTGCAAATTCATGTAACAGCTGTGAGTGTAACGCTTGAAAAGTCCATAGAGGAGGAGGCGGTCGTGGAAGAGGCCATGGAGGAGCACATCGGTGGTGGTGGCGCGGTACGCATCGCAAATGTGTCTGTGTCTGGAATCACGAATCGCATTTGTGATGGTAACTTTCGACTAAAGACAAAGACCTGCATTGCATAACAAGCAACAATGGAATGCACTAGATTGTTGCCGCTCGGACGAGGCGTTTCTCGTGCAGGATAGACATGAGCAAGTCTTCGCTTGTTTACCTCTGATGCTGGGACATGCATCACCGTCTTCGCGGGCGGTCATGTAAAATCTAAATCTGCATATACAATCTTCCAGAAGTAGGTTCAGAGTACATTTGCAATGCATATGCGGCCATGGCGTTGATCCTTTCGCCGATCGTGCTGGTCGCGATCTTTATCTTCCCGCTGACCACGGAAATCCCCGCGCAGTACGGAATCAGAATCGGGGACTTGATCTTTTACATGTTGTTCGGTATTCTGATGGCCCCGTTTCAGGTGATGATGGACATCATTCTGAACAACGCGGTGGAGATCCAGGCCGGGGTGAAGATCTTTGACTACATGATGTACGCGAAATACCGATGGAGGAACCGGTACTGACTTTATTTTTATTTGCGAGAATGAATTTGCTGGGCTCGCTAGCATCGATCTGCGGGTAGGAGGGGAGGGATCCAAAAATCGTGAGGTATCAAAGTGCGTCATACCGTGGGGAAAAGGCCTTCTTAATCGCCAAAATTACAATTTTCGTTTTGGACCCAAAACCGCGAGGGGGCAAAGTGCGTCAGAGCGTGCGGGGAAGCTGATGTTATTGTTGCGTTTTTTTGGGCTTGCTGGCACTCGGGAAGGCCGGGGTGGCCCAAAATCGTGAGGGGGCAAAGTGGCCGACAGCATCGGGGATAGGCTTTCCTAATCGCGAAATTTGCAATTTTTGTCCCGGGCCCAAAACCGCGGGGGGGCAAAGTGCGTCACAGCATGGGGAATAGCTCATCTTATTCCGAAAAATTGCTGGCGATGAGATTGGCAGGGGACCCAAAAATCGTAAGGTATCAAAGTGGGTCATACCGTGGGGGAAAGGCCTTCTTAATCGCCAAGTTTGCAATTTTGGTTTCGGGCCCAATACCGCGAGGGGGCAAAGTGCGTCACAGCGTGCGGGGAAGCTGATCTTATTGTCCCGTTTTTTTGGGCTCGGTGGGACTCGGGGAGCCCGGGGTGGCCCAAAATCGTGAGGGGGCAAAGTGGGCGATAGCATCGGGGATAGGCTCTCCTAATCGCGAAATTTGCAATTTTTGTCCCGGGCCCGAAACCGCGGGGGGGCAAAGTGCGTCACAGCATGGGGAATAGCTCATCTTATTCCGAAAAATTGCTGGCTTCGCCAGCAGCTGAGATTGGTAGGGGACCCAAAAATCGTAAGGTATCAAAGTGGGTCATACCGTGGGGGAAAGGCCTTCTTAATCGCCAAATTTGCAATTTTGGTTTCGGGCCCAATACCGCGAGGGGGCAAAGTGCGTCACAGCGTGCGGGGAAGCTGATCTTATTGTCCCGTTTTTTTGGGCTCGGTGGGACTCGGGGAGCCCGGGGTGGCCCAAAATCGTGAGGGGGCAAAGTGGGCGATAGCATCGGGGATAGGCTCTCCTAATCGCGAAATTTGCAATTTTTGTCCCGGGCCCGAAACCGCGGGGGGGCAAAGTGCGTCACAGCATGGGGAATAGCTCATCTTATTCCGAAAAATTGCTGGCTTCGCCAGCAGCTGAGATTGGTAGGGGACCCAAAAATCGTAAGGTATCAAAGTGGGTCATACCGTGGGGGAAAGGCCTTCTTAATCGCCAAATTTGCAATTTTGGTTTCGGGCCCAATACCGCGAGGGGGCAAAGTGCGTCACAGCGTGCGGGGAAGCTGATCTTATTGTCCCGTTTTTTTGGGCTCGGTGGGACTCGGGGAGCCCGGGGTGGCCCAAAATCGTGAGGGGGCAAAGTGGGCGATAGCATCGGGGATAGGCTCTCCTAATCGCGAAATTTGCAATTTTTGTCCCGGGCCCGAAACCGCGGGGGGGCAAAGTGCGTCACAGCATGGGGAATAGCTCATCTTATTCCGAAAAATTGCTGGCTTCGCCAGCAGCTGAGATTGGTAGGGGACCCAAAAATCGTAAGGTATCAAAGTGGGTCATACCGTGGGGGAAAGGCCTTCTTAATCGCCAAATTTGCAATTTTGGTTTCGGGCCCAATACCGCGAGGGGGCAAAGTGCGTCACAGCGTGCGGGGAAGCTGATGTTATTGTTGTGTTTTTTTGGGCTCGCTGGCGCTCGGGGGGCCCAAAATCGTGAGGGGGCAAAGTGGGCCATGGCATCGGGGATAGGTTTTCCTAATCGCGAAATTTGCAATTTTTGTCCCGGGCCCGAAACCGCGGGGGGGCAACGTGCGTCACAGCATGGGGAATAGCTCATCTTATTCCGAGATTTGTTGCATGTGGGATCGCTGATGTTATTCCGAGAATTTGCTCGGCTTGCCACAATCCCCAACCCCATGCCTGAAAAGTAAGGAAACCCAAAACCCCGTTGTATTTTGCCACGTTGTGCTGTGCCAAACCCCACCACAGGCTGGTCCGCTGGATGTTCGACGACCCGCGGTTCGATCGTACCGTGAACGAGACCGTGCAGTCGGTGAACCACCTGTGTTTCTCGCCGCAGTACTACTTCATCCAGTGCTACTTCACCTGGGGCATTGTGCTGATCATCCTGGCGATCACGGTCATGTGCCGCGCGCAGTTCAACCCGTTGGAGGACCCGGCGTTTGGGTACTTTATGCATTACAAATATGTCTGGGTTTGGAAGAATGCAAACTTGTGATGCGCCTTTCACAACACATACAGATCTCTCATGCATAGGCAGCAAGCGTTGCCCACTTTCTGTCACCAAAATGGGGTATTTGTCACGCGGATTCTGCATTGTGGAAGCAAAGCTTCTCGAAACCTGTGATGCTAGAGCTTCCATGCCAGACCTTCTGCGTCATGCAAAAACAGCATGACTCTTCCAGACCCAGACATATTTGCATTTGATATACTTCGTTTTGCAGCAGTTCTTCGCCAACAGGATGCTGGATAAGCTGGTCCGGTTATCGAAAGGAAAAATCCCCCCTCCCCATATCAAAACGGAATTTCTGATGCTGGATTTGTGTACACAAATCAGGTTTGTATTGCAGAGAGGCACTGCGGCCAGATTCCCAGGCGCTAGGTAGGGGCGTATGGGTCTAGTTGTTCAGCATGGCAAGCGGGTCACTTTTAGGGCCAATAGCATGACATATCGCTTCCATAATGGGGCGGAAGCTTCTGCCCTTGTCTTCTTGCAAGACAAATGTGATTTGTGGCCCCAAGTCAGCAACGCAAATTTTCGGAAACGTACCGTCTCGATATGGGGAGGGGGGATTTTTCCTCTCAATACCGGTTCATTTCCTTTTTGATCTGGCAACCGCCGAAGGCCAGCGTCGCGGCGAAGAAGTTTTACCGGGAGGTGACGCGAAATTTGAAGGTAAAGCAGCAGGAATACCATTCCCACCAGTGGCGAAGCACGTTCTACAGGAAACACAAGCACTGGATCCTGCAGAACTTGGATTTGGTACAGCTAATTTAGGTTCTATTCAGACTTGTGATAGCAACAGCACTCACTGTCACATTGATTTCTTTTCAACCCATTCGCGAGGGTGGTGTGGTGGTGTTTTCATGCAGTGTATGGGTGGAGAAGGAGAACGAGGAGGAACACCACCACCAGCCCGGAGCGTTAAAGGCAGGTGGAAGATGTTGACCGGTAGTGCGACAGATTTTCCGTGAATGCGAGGGTGTTATGTACTTGTAGAAGAAAAAAACTTCACAAAACGTCTTTCTTTGCTTTGAAAATTGCAACTATGCGTGGATGTAGTAGAAGAAATCAAAATCACGGGAATCAGGTGCGGTTTGAGGATGATCTCAACATGCAAAAACCGCTTCTGGCCGTAAACTCTGATTTTGCATCTAAAAACCAGCTGTATCAGCTGCGGATTCGGAAGGAAAATGGATACAGTTTCAGGCTCATGTCACCGAGCGGCGGATCCGGCAGCACGTCAGATTCCCTGAAGCCTCCACAATGCTTTGAAGTTGATGAGACGTCAATGTTTTGTCCTTAATAAAAATAAAATTTTAAAACTTCGCGGATTTGCTTCCGCGATAAAAATAAAATTTTGAAATTTCGCGGATTGGACTCACTACATTTCATGTTTCTCAACTATGAAATAAGCAAACGTCAAGGCGTGGGTGATGGTTCTGGTGACTCGTTCAGCGCTTTTATTGATTTTCGTATCAATAAAAATAAAATTTTCAAATTTCGCGGATTGTTCTCCACGAAAATTGTTGAACTTCAAGCATAAACCACACCCAGATGCGTGCTGGAAGCGTATTGGCGAGTATTGATGAGCTCAAGTGAGCGCTTTGAAGCTGCTGGAGCTTGTTCGACTGGGGATAAAAGCTAAATTTTTAAATTTCGCGGATTTTCGACATGAATAAAAATAAAATTTTGAAATTTCGCGGATTGGAACTCCCTATCCGACTTCTCGTCGCTGCGCGCCTACAAGCTCATTACCCTCGGTCGTCCTCATCGCCTCCTTCGATGCGGTGAAGAAGAGTGCTCACTTCGGACCAATTCCGAGCACACGCTCGGTTTTAGCTCGGAAATCGCACTTGCACGCCGGCGAAGCGATATAGCGCAGTTTGTATGTGGGTTCTGTATACTAGGGTGGAGCTACTAGTACAACGTCACTGTTGTGCAAAAATCCACTTTGTTCATTCAGATTCGGAAAAATTTAATATCATAGGTCTTCACTCCGCGTTCCATGCGCCGGTACCGCAACGTTCTGGATGACGCGTACCAGAAAGTTCTCAACCTTTCCGATGAGAAACAGTACTCAGTGATTCGGCAGAAAGAAGAGAGAATAGAGACCGAAAACGTCGCCTCGCAGGACATGGTGCGCGATGAGGATCTGTCGGCGCTGATCAAGATGGGCCAGAAGAACCTACCCATTCTGGATATCGACCGACAGATGGCCGAGGAGGCTCTGGCACAGGAAAGGAAAGAGCAGTGGGCGTTGTACCCGATACCCGGGTTCAAGGAAGAGCGAATGGAAGAGGAAAAGGTAGAAGATTTGCATAGTAGTTTTTTTTTCCTCTTATTTTGCATATATTTATGAAAAACACAAAGTGACACTTGTAATTTTCTTTCTTGACGACCTTGTTGGTTTCCAATCTATCAGGCAAAAATTACGCGAAAAAAATCCACCTCCATCAGATCATGCCTCTCGCCGGTCTGTCTCTCGTGTCCTGGCTCCGGACCGCGCGCAGACACGTGGAGATGCTTCGATTGGCCGAAAAGTGGCGCACGGAAACAGAGCTGCTGGACTACTGCGAGACGTGCGGTGTCCGTGGGGACGATCCACGGGCGAATCAAGAGAACGATTCCCCCTGGGCGCCACTTGGGCCGAAGCTGAGGATGTACGATTTCCACGACTTACCCGCGTTAGTTGCGAGGTTCGAGGAAAGGTATTGCGGTCAGTCGAGCGAGGATTTGATCGACCAGGCGGACATCCAAGCGCTCGGACTGCCCGGTGGAGATTTGCCAAAGGAAATCTTGGCCATGACGCTAGAGTCGAATTCGGTAATCGATCCGTATGCCGCCAGTCTCAATCCCAACGCCGCGCAGATGGAGGAGGAGAAGGGAGTAGAAGGGAAGTTGGCCGATATCTTCAAGAAAAAGGAAAACGAGATGGACGCCGAGACGAAGGAACAGCACCGGCAGTACGTCGAGGAGATGCAGAGACAGGCAAACGAGGTCTTGCAGAAAAAACTCGATCAGGGTGGCAACACGGTGGACGGCGCCATGTACAACGGGGCGACATTCAACCCGCTGCTGTGGAAGCAGTATCTCACTAGGCAGCATCTGTTCGCGACGTTGTGCTGGCGGTGCGGACATGTTCTCGGTTTGGTAAGAACCCCCACGGCGTCTGTCGCATCGGAAGACGCGGATGAGCCCGAGGATCCGGAGATGAGCCGGCAGCTGATGAGCTCCGACAGCGACGAGGACGAAAACGTCGACGAAGTCGCGGAGGTCTTCCCGGAATGGCTGGAAGTGCACATTGCGGCGAAGACACGCGAGCAGATGTTGCTGTGGAGTCGGTTGGCCAAACAGAACCTGCGGGAAAGGAAGAGGTTGGCATTGATGGACAAGACGTGAAAAAGAAGCGTCAGAAAGAAAAAGATCAATACGTAGGACTACACGCTAGTCTACAAATAAGAAAGAGCTTCAGTTTCCAGTTTCTCATAATTACTATTCGTTTCGTTCCTAAGTGTTGATGTAGCACGTAAAGGCTGTGTCAAAAAAAGAACTACCCGTAGTTCTACCCGTAGCGCGGTTTCACAGTCTTTTTGAGGTGATCCGACGTGATCGCAGTTCGCGAAATTTTACGTATGGCTTTGATGCAAACAGCGTCGTTACAGTTTCAAATTAGTGCAGTGTCTGAAAGAGAAGTTGCGTTTCAAGGATTGATTTTAGTGACCCAAAAAAAGAAAGGAGAGCGAAGAAGGACCGCTCTCCCTCTTCATGCACTATGAGCGCCGTATTCTTTATCTTTTCTCTTTTAAAACTCTAACTCATCAAGCAGCAAGAAGACACGATCTATTAGAGATTCTATTTTCATACAGAGCGCAGCGCCAGCCGTGCTGGCAGTGCGTGGAATGGCCATGAGTGATACTTCTTTGGATTTTGCATCAGCAACTGCTTCAGGGCATGCATTGAAAATTCGCAGTTGAACAGTAAAAAATCTGTTTCTGCCACGTAGATAAAGATCAGTGGCAAAACGGCAAGCAGTAGCTGCAGCTGCATTGCGCTGGCACAGTAGTCGCTAGGCCGATTCCTAGAAAACGACCTCAGCGGCGGTGCCGGTGCACCGCCAGCTAGTTGCTGCTAACTAGTCCGTAAGTGATAAAACTTCTTCTTGATACGATTTAATATACCAGATTGATCAGTGCTATAATAATACCTTTTTCGTTTCGTACTCGTAGCTTTGATGAGCAAGATAAGCCGCGGTTTGGTTGGAAGATAAACGCACAAAGTATGGTCCATGAGGAGATTTTTTTGAAATTCTAACTCTTCATCGCTCCGTCTCCGTACTTATCGTGGTTTCCCAAGACGAGAATGACAAGAGTTCTTACGCAGCCACTTCTCGCGACGTATGTTCTGATTGCAGCCGGCAGTCTCGCTCGCATCGCCTTCTGTATGATCAAACCAACCAGGAGCAAAAACGCGTTGATTGCAACTTTTTGAGGATCTAGATAGCGAGATTCCTTCCGAGACCAGGATGAAAAACGACAACGATCTAGCATTTGCTTTTTTAGTCCGGCAGGAGGCTGTCGCGTCAACGTAGCTGTTACAGCATGTCGTTCGTCTCTCATGACCATGAAGATCACGATAGATGAAGTTCAGATGGTAGTGGTAGATCGTTGCAGCAGCTGCAACTTTTTTCCAGGCTGCGCACGTCGGTGTGTCGTGATTTTGACTTACCGATCCTGATTTTATTTTTGATTTGTGCGATGAACATCGATTTTTTTTTCAATTTGATCCGCCAGGATTTGCTTTTGCGTTTTGATCCGCTCGTTGATTGTGATTGATGAGCAGGCAAAGCAGGCAAATAACTTTTTTGCATTCACCTTGATAAAACACTATTAGCCTTGGATACTTTAGAAGAAATAGAAAACTTTCAGTCTTATTTGATTGTAGAAGTAAACTAAAACAACACCCGATGAATTTCTAATTCCTTAAGAGTATGTTGAAATATTTACGAACAACCACTTGCACTTTAAAATAAAACAGATCAAATGTAAAAATACCGAATGTCAATGAGTATCAAAGTGATGTTGATCCAGCAAAAAGAAATGAGAAAAACAGTATCGGAATTGGCATCAACGGTTCCAGCAGAGTCGCGACTAGTACGCAGGCGTGCAGCTTCCCGTTCGGACGCGATGAATGGCAAAACGAAGATGAAGAACGTGGCTAGAAGATGCTTAGTGGGCATCGTCGTATCAAACCCCGGATTCTTCTTTCACCACCAGTCCCCGGCAGCTCCCACACTTCTTGTCCATGCCGCCGGCAGTCACGGAGGCATCGGCTTGGCCGGGAGGCAATCCCTGCGCTTGGCGGAGCAAGACATGCTGGCACAGCAGAGAAGGATGCAGGGAAAACACGAGTGGGATCACAGCACTCCGGTTCTGCAGCAACCGTTTCGATTCTTGTCTCTCGAGGAGGAGAGACGCATGCAGGTGGAGGAACTGCGACGGAGTGGGAAGATAAAAGAAAAACAAACTGCCTTGGTCCAGCAGCAACAGGACGAACTCGACTGTCTGAGCTGCTTCCCCACCGCGCCCATTGCCGCGCTGTTGCCGCACCATGTAGGTTCCCAGGGTAGAAGTTCTTCCGGGTCGTTGCTCGGAAAGAAACGATCTTCCCAACAAGAAGGGGAAACACGCCAGTCCACTGCGGGTTCTACCGTTGCAGCTCCTGCTGAATGCAGCACAACTAGTGTAGTCAACAGTACTACCACTGCCAGAGAGACCCTTGCCGAGGTGCAGCTTCGCCACGCGAGAAACAGACTTGCGTACGACTTCCACACCTACGAATATGGCTGGAATCCAGTGGACATGAAGGCGAGTTACCATTTAGATTCCCTCGCTGCGATTCCGAAGTATCGGAACGAAGATGCAATCCTAGTACAAGCAGTGGCGGACGTGTTGATCCTCGAGGGGGAAAAGAACTCGAAACTTCAGGCGGACAAACACGGGTTACCGATCCCGTTTGAGACGGAGCATCTCCAGAACCCCCTGTGTGCAGAAAGCTCTCACATCGACGGCTTCTACGACATTTTTGCACGGAAAAATGATGACACCACGAAAATTTCCAAAACCTGGATGTCTCTGCAGCAGTTTTTCAAACGCTTTTGGCAGTGGAGCAAGGCGTCTGCGGAGGCCTACGTCCTTGCGCTGATTTTCATGCAACGGCTGGAAAAGAAGTTGAAGATGAAGCACGGAAACAGTTTCAGCACGAAATTCTGCGGTGGCGAGCCGGTGATGCCGGATTTTGTGTTGTCCGAGCGCGACGCTTACTCGATTTTCACGGCCGCGTTACTCCTCGCGACCAAATGCCATGATGATCACCTCCACGTCGACCGGTATGCGGCGATCGCCGGGGCGAAGCGGGAGGATGTGATCAAGTGGCAGAACGTTTTTGTTTCCATGCTGGATTGGGACTTTTTCGTTTCGGTGAAAGAGTTTGAGGTGATGAAAAACCACCTGTTACTTTTCTCGCGGTTCCAATTTTCTCTGAGCAACCAAGTGGAAGTTTCGAACGCCTTTCTGGCGCGGGAGGATGTTCTGGATCTGGCAAAGAGCAGTAGCAACAGGCCGGCTGCTCTGCTGATTACAGATGAACGCCCGAAGTCTGAAGAACCGACAGGGTTCCTGTCCGGAGCTTTGCCCGCGGCGGCAGTCGTCCCTCCGTCTGTGGGTCGGTCCAGCAACACCAGCTCCTCCTCCTCGGACAACGAGGAAGTGGCGGCCGCCATTCAACAACAGCGAGATCTCTTTGCGCAGCAGCATAGTCTACTCAGTGTAGGTAATGATATTGCGCATGAATACGAAATCGACCACGACGGCAAGAAAAGTGACGAGACAACTCTTGAGCTGCAACAATCTCCTTCGTTTCTCCAACGGTTGAAGAAAGACGGCGAGATTTTAAACTTTTCCGACGTGGAGCAGTTTCCAGCGTTGTTTCTCTTCCTGAAACACTCGATCGAAAAGTTTATCGGTGAAGAGGAGAAAACGATTTTCCAGGCGGAACAAACGCTGCAGTCGCTAGAGCAAGACGCCCAAAAATGTGATGAAGAACCTAAAGGCGAACGTCAAGCAGTGTACAACAAGCCTGCTCTTGCAATCGAAACCAGCAGGACCGTGAAGAGCTGCATGCTGATGAGCATGGAGACATTGCAGGTAATCACTGCTGTAACCGCTTGGTACAAAGCAGTTTTCGAGGGCGCGATGCCACTGCTGGAAAAGGAATTCTATCGAAAGGAGAATGATGTGGAGGTCCATTCTCTCGCCGGCGCTGCGAAGAAACCCTGTTCATCTTCAGAGCAAAATATGCAGACCGGCACAAGCGACGAGAAGAAACCCGCGACAACAGAGCCGCCCACGGAGATGAAGCCCTCGACGGGGAAGATGGGCAATAAAGACGGAGGGGGTCGTACTAGTTCGGGCCCTGCGCCAAAGAAGGTTCTCTTACCCTACGGCTTTGAACCCGTGGGCGACGACCTCATCACAGCGCCGATTTCTCTCGCGGACTCCGAAGCATCCACCTGCTATCTTCCTGGCACTCCGAACTACAGCCGAAAACATTCTCTGCTCTCCTCCCACGCCTCGTCGTCCTCTTTCGGAAATTTGGACGCCGGTGCAGAGGGAACATGCGGTCCGACAGAGGGGAACACAACGACAGGAAGCGCATCAAACGGCAACGAGCGACGTGTTCTTGCTGTGCCGACGTATAATTCCTTCGGAAATTTTAGCGATGGCCGTGGTGGTGCTGCCTCCGTAGAGCCACCGTATGTGGGGCCCGCGCGTCCTCCGTTCACAGAGGAGAGAATTCATCCGGTCCTCGCCCAACACTGTGCCGAACTTCAAAAAGCCGGCTTTTTGGACGGGGATAAGAAAGAAGAGTCGCCGTGCGACCTACTACCGGATGAGGCGAGCGGCTGCAAAGTCAATCCCTCGAGTAGAACCGCTGCTGATCGTCAAGCTCAACATCCTGAGAGCGCAAAACAGCAGCTCCATGAATTGGAGTCACGACAGAGCAACCTGGCGGAAATCGCGACAGGGCTGGCCTTGTTGCACGAACAAAAGTTCCGCTACAACTTCCCGACGCGGCTTGTGCGCACGAACTTAGGGTTGCAGGAAGTCCTCGCGCCTTCGACACAGCAGGAACAGCTGCAGCAGCAGAACCGTCGAGAACGCGACGTCTCCCCCGCGTCTGGGGATAGTTCCGAGGAGACCAGTGAAGGGCGCAACTCCCACTCGCTTTCCAATCACTGCAGCAGCAGCGCAGGTGAGAGTAGTGGGTCGGACAAGGCGGTTAGCAACCGACAGGTGGCGAGTTCTTCAAATGGATCTTCTTCGACTCCTAGCTGTTTCAGCATCGTGCCTGCGTCTCTGAAACCCTGCTTCGGGTGGCTGAACATGCTGGCAAGCGACCTCAAAGGCGAGTGCTGTGGGAGAGGAGGAAATGCATATGCAAATGGAAACAAAAATCACAACCAATACGGAGTAAACGGCGTTGCTAACCACGGCCTTGTTGACCCGCGACAGAATTTTTCGCTTTTCCAACCGCAGAAGGAGCCGCCACCTACCTTCATCCGCTTTACCCTAGACGACGACCGAGCGCCGCTGTACATTTCTTCTTCGGCGCAAAAGAGGGGCCTGTTCCGGCGGAGACAGTAAGAAAGATGAACTACAGGCGCAGCTAGTAGTTTAATAGTTTTCACACTCAGGTACTGGTGGAGCCTGCTGTTTGAAGGTGCGGCGCGAGCTACACTAAGGCTGAACTTTTCGAGCAGATGAAGGCTGTTGTTTTGTATGAGATCGTTGTACCGTTGCAACTGATCGCGCAAGCCTGCTGTTTGGCGTGCGTGCAGTGATGAATCGTAGTCAACAATGAACACCCGAGTGTGAAGGCGAAAGCAGACCTCCCTGTTGCCAATTTGATAAACTCTTCCTCTTGCAGTAGAGGTGGAGCAGAGATTAACCGAGGAGTAGGAGTCATCATGATCACTGCCGACGACGGCGGTGCAGTGTAAAGTAAAGTTTACCGCAGGTATGCGTGTAGGGAACATGAGGTGAGGTTTGGACTTGCGGGGAACAGGAATGAGCAAACAAAATAAGATTTTAACGGCACTGCAGTACATTACGTCACGCTCTCAAATCTGCGTACTTGGTAGAATATAGACGCCTTTATTGTATAACACATGCAGTGCAACTCCGATACATTCGAAGAATAGTGAAAGATCGATCTCTGCTGGTCGTGACAAAGAATTTATGGATTTCCAAGAAGAAAACTTAGACTTACGACTACTACTAGAACTAGAACTTGTAGTACTCAAGAACGGCTGAAGAAATCAGCTGCAAACAAGCTCGGAGACGTGGTTATTGGAATTGGACTTGTACATTATTTAAGACGAGCACGAGTTGGTGGAATTCGAATTTTTCATTGCTGGAAACAAGCAACTAGAAATATTCACTGGAGGGAGTTGGACACACGCGAAGTGGTCTAGCACAGCACAAAATTTTGCGGTACTCGCAGATATTTTATTTCCGCAGGTCGGTTTTGTTCCACATTCGCGCTGGAGGGCCTGAAATAAATCAAGAATCGGACTGAGAAGAAGATCGAAAGGAAAAAATCATCATCGTAACACGGATCAGAATTTTGGTGTCGCTCGACTTAGTTCCGATGGATCATAGGCAGGTGAAATTTAACATCGAGAGGACGCATTCGTGCTCAAAATAAATGGTGGTCCTCGACGGGGTATTTCGGCTTGTTCGGGTTTACGGCTAGGCGGGCCTTTCATTTGTGGGGTCCTATTTGCAGCTCTCTGTCCGAAACTTTGAAACAGGTCCCGGTCGTTAGTCATTTTTTTCTTCGTCCTACTCTTCTTGTTTGAGCTCACGACCTTTAGATCTGTATAGTGCTTCGCCTCAGCAATTAATACCCTTTGGTTTATCTTGTTCTCAGCACTATAACAGAAAGAGAACAAAGCATTCCATAGTTATTGAGAAATAAACTCATCAGTACATTTCTATTGGTTGAGAAAGCAACGAGACGCTGTTGCCGTTTTTTCCTTTCTTATTCATTCTTGCAGCACGCTCCGATTTGAGATCCCCAGTCCGTTTGATCTTTTTTCCTCCTCGCGACCAACAAAAGGAAATTCGTGATTAGTAGGAAGAGATCATCGTTTTTGTTGGAAAGTAATTCTACGACTACGTCGTCAGCGTCACAAAGGAAGAACATACAGTTCCGAAGGTTCGCGATGGCTGCGCCTGGTAGTTCTTCCGGCTTGCAGCCACCGCCTCCGCGGTCGCAGCAAAGCCAAGGCCCAAAATCTCAGCCTTCCCCTATCATCGCCCAGCCTAAGGGGGGTGTTGCGTACATTGACCCGAGTCAGTGGAACAAGATCACGGTGCAAAACGAGGCCTACACAGAACTCCTTCGGTACGCTGGCACGCACTACAAGCGTGGCAGAGATGTGGAGCAGCTGGAACTTTTTGCCCGAAAGCAGCTGGGGAAGCAAATACCGATTCCAATTACGGGCGAAAAAAAGTTGATCTACTTGACGCAGGCGGTGGTGGACAAAGCCTTTCAATTTCTGAAGGGCTTGATCGCTCAAGGAAAGATTTCGCAGCAACCGGCCAGCCAGCAAGCGAATAGCGGCGCGTCTTCGACTTTCAAGCCGTTGAATCCGGGCGGCGGTGCTGCAAACACTAAGCCAGGCGGTGGCGGCGGTCCCTCCGCATCGCCGGCCGACGCGGCGCGCATGACGACGGGCGTCGGCAGTTCCTCTTCGTCGAGCAGTTCCAGCAGCTCTCTTAGCGGTGAGAATGCAGGAAACAAGGCACCACAGCAGCTGAAACCGCAGTCCAGCTTCAGCCAGCAGCCGAAACAACTACCGTCGAATAATTCGCAGCCAGGCGGGAACTCAGCTGCGGCTGAAGCGCTTGAGAAAAAAACTAACGATGTCTTCACGCGTTTGAGGCGGAAGGCTGAAGGTAGTTTACACGACGCAGACAAGATGGCGACGACGCTTCAGCACGTGGCGCGAGATGCGGCAAAGTGCGCTTCTTGGGGCCACACCACCCAGTCTATGATGAAAGGCATTCAGAAGTACAGCATCTGGCGCAACAACTATGTGAAGGAGCTGCACAACAAACAGATGGCGAAAAACAAGAACTACGGACGACCCGGAAAGGAGCAGCAGAAGAAAGGCAAGAAACCGGCTTCGAACAAGCGCCCCGCCATGGACTACGACGACGACTCCCGACCACCGTTAAAGAAGACGAAGGAGGAGATCGAGGCCAAGAAAAAGCAGAAGGAGCGCAGAAAGCGGTTGGACGCGAAGAAGGAGGAGCTAAACCAGAAATTTGACTTGGACGTGCTCGAAGCAGAGAAGGAAATGAAGGAATTTTTCAAATTGCAGGAAGAGGACCAGAAACGGAAAAACAAAGACACAGGTGCTGCACCAGCCGGGGCGGCAACTGCTGCTGCTGCTGCTGTTGCACCAGCCTCGACGATGAACACCGGTGCTAAGCAGAACGCTTCCCAACCGAAGAAGAAAAAGCTCACCAAGGAGGAGCGCGCGGAGATGAAGCGACTGAAGAAAGTATCCTGAGTAAAAACGTACCCACACCAGAGTCAGGATGCGGATTTTGCAACACAAACCTAGGAGTTTTGTGAGTCACGCATCACAAGCTGCAGTCCGTAGCGTAGTGGAGGTTCGCAAGGCCAGTTGCATCAGAAATCCATCTGCTCATCCTGTTTACAGCATTACAAATTCCAAAACACGATTGGAAATGGCTCTCATGGGGATGCGCATTACAAGTCTTCCTGTCTTTGCAAATCTGCATTACAACTCTGGTGTGGGTACGTTTTTACTGAGGATAGAAAGAGCAGGAGGAAAGGGAAGAAAGGGAGTACAACGAGCGCATGGAGGAAAAGCGTAGGGAGTTTCAGAACCTCTCCGAGGAGGAAAAGCAGGCGCACTTCGAGAAGATCAAACGGAAACGCATTGCGGATATCTGCAAGGAAATGGACGACCAAATGACGACTTTATTGAAGAAGAAATCCGGACAGTACAAAGACGATGATATGGAAGTAGTCGACCAAAATTCTAACATCGAAGACATCGACTTTGAGAAGCTGGAGAAGGAGAAAGAAGAAGCGTTAGCGAAAATCGACATCGATCCGGAGGCGAGAAGGAAAAAGTACATGGGTCTGATCCACATCATTCAGGAGGAAATTACGATCAAGAACATGCCGAAGTTGAAGCAGCCCCTGATGGAGCACCAGGTCGAGGCTCTGCAGTGGTTGCTCTCCATCTACAACAACACAACCGGAGGTCTGCTCGCAGACGAGATGGGTTTAGGGAAAACCGCGACGGTTATTTCCTTTCTCGGCTACTTGAAAGAGCAGAAGTACAACCACGGACCGTTTCTCATCGTCGTTCCGAAAACGGTCTTGCAGAACTGGCAGGACGAGTTCAAGAAGTTCTACCCGGATTCCGATTTGGGGAAGAACGTGTTGGATCACAAGGGCAACATCTCGAAACATCTCGCGACGCATAGTTTAGTAGTGTATCAGGGAAACGCGGACCAAAGGGAAACTTTGGATGACATCATATTAGAGCGCATCGAGGAGATTGAAAAGGAGAAGGAGGAGGTGAAAGACCCGAAAATGCGGAAGAAATCCTTGTTGATCCTGACCAACTACGAGCAAGTTTCGACCAACAAGAATTTCGCCCTGCTCGCCCCGGAGTACGAGGTGGTCGTCGTCGACGAGGCGCAGCGGATGAAAAACCAGAAGTCGCAATTCTCCATCTGCATGGCGGAAAAGGTGAACTGCAAGAAGAAAATTCTGCTCACCGGGACGCCCTTGCAGAACAAAATTTCCGAGCTGTACGCATTGTTGAACTTCATCCTCCCTGACCTCTTCGACAACGTCGGCGAGTTTTCCCATTGGTTCTCCGCCCCGTTTCGGGAAGAGATGGATGCTCTGGAGCAGAATGTGAGTTTCACGGATGAGGAGGAGGCAATGCTGACGAAGAATTTACACGCGATGCTCGCACCGTTCATGTTAAAGAGGATGAAGTATCAAATGTAAAAATGTCTGGGTCTGGAAGAGTGCCAGACTTGTCATGCAGATTTTACATGACTCATGAGGTATGGTATGTGAGGCATGGCATGACAGATTCTGTGAGAGTTCTATCATGCCTATCCTGCATGAGAAGCTGCCCCTCGATTAGGTCAAAAGTGGACAGCTTTTGGTAATCATGCAACACAGATTTTTACATGATTCTGATTTAGCATGAGAAGTTGCTTTGTTCCAGACCCAGACACTTTTACATTTGATATGAAGTCCGAAATTTTCTCCGACGAAACGCTTGCCCCGTACAAGGAATCGATCGTGAGGATTTCTCTTTCCCACTGGCAACGCAAATTGTACAAGCAGTTGCAGGAAAAAACCCTCCAGATCGAGGAAGTGAAGCAAAAGGCGGAGGAAGAGATGCTGAAGGACGAGTTTGAAGAAAATTACGAACACAAGAAAGAGCATCTTGAAGAGAAGAAAACCGCGCAGCACGAAATGGCGAACATCATGATGCAAATGCGGAAGTGCGTCCTACACCCCTTCCTCTTCTCCGACGCGAACGCGAACGAGAAGCTTAATCTCGTGCGGACCAGCGGGAAATTCGAAATGCTGGAAAGGGTCGTGACGAAATTGTCAGACAACACGCTGAACAAAGACCACAAAATCCTGCTCTTTTCCCAATTCACGTCGTGTTTAGACCTGATTGAAATGTTTTTCGAAAAAGTGATGCGGAACAAGATCGGGTACCGAAGGATCGACGGCAGCAATTCCGCGAAGGAGCGGCAGGATTTGATCACGGAATTTACCAACGACAAAAGCCTAAAAGTCATGTTGTTGTCCGCGAAAGCGGCGTCCGTCGGGATCAACCTGCAGGTCGCGGATACGGTGATCATTTTCGATCAGGACTGGAACCCGCAAAACGACCGCCAGGCGATTGGCCGGGCGCATCGTGTCGGGCAGAAGCGAGAGGTGCGGGTGCTGCGGTTCATCACTACTTCCGCGGTGGAAGAGATCATGGAGCAGCGGTGCCGGGAAAAATTGGAGATGGAGAAGAAATATGGAAGCAAAAGTGTCTGGGTCTGGAAGATTCTGATACTTGTCCTGCACGTTTTGCATGAGCCGTGATGTCGGTGATGCATGATGCCCTAGCATCACAGATTTCCTGAGGGCTTTTTGATGCCTATTCCGCATGACAAACGCCCTTTTCGCGTACCGCAAGTTGCGTTCTCTTTGCTGCTCACGCAAGACAGATTTTTTGGAATCCAAGTTCAGCATCACAAGTTTCATTCTTCCAGACCCAGACACTTTTGCAGTTGATAAGAAAATCATCGGCGCCGGCGGGTTCAACAAGGGCTTGAAAGACGGGAAGAAGGACGAGAAAGACGAAGCGGACAAGCCGGTATAGGTTTTTTTTGGTTTTTGGCTGCTCATGTTGCTCACTTGCGCTTGATGTCGAGGTGCATTGTCATGTAGTTGTTCATGTGACTACTATACAAGTATGACAGCTTCAGGTTGATGTGGTCCAGCTACCACATTTTTACTATACATACCTTTTACCCATAAAAATCAACAGCTTTCTAACCACGCGGCGGTCGTGAAAATGATTCAAGAGGCGAAGGAAGCTGCGTTGAAAGGCGCCACGGCCTCCAAGTACGACGACAGCTCGCACGTTTCCAAGTTCCCGCCAACGACGGTGTCCCAGCTGAATCTGATCCTTTCTCGGGATGAGGAGGAACGGAAACTGTACGAACAGATTGATACAACGAAGTTTTTTAAGAACAACACACCAGCTAGTACTTCTACCTCAACGGCGAACGACGTCACCACGCACGAACAAGTGCTGGCGATGGAGAAGGAGCTGGATGCGTTGAGCAATGTGGATCGGATGGTGAAGGTGATGGATTTGACGAACGATATGAACTGCAAAAGTTATCGCACTCGTATAAATTGCATGACAAATTCTCTCAGCATGAGAAATAAATTTTGTCATGCGGATTTACCTTGAGAAAAAAATTTGTAATGCATGATAGCAATTACTACGAGTACGATACTCTTGCACAGGATAAACGAAAACATGGAGCGATTGGTGAAGTCCGACCGCCTGATGGGCGTGAAAGAGGTGCCGGACGTGTTAAAAGTGGTGGAGGAGTCCGAGTATCCTGTGCAAAAGTATCGCACTCGTATTGCAATCATGCATGACAAATCTTTTTCTTAAATCCGCATTTACAAATTTCATTTCTCATGCTGAGGAAATTTGTATATGCATTTATACGAGTACGATAAACTTTTGCAGTGCATACCGAGGACGAGGAGGACGAAGTGGAGGAGGAAAGCAGCAGCAGCTCGGACGACGAAAACGGAAGTTCGCCCGAGGAGTCGCCAGGAGAGTCCGGCGGCGCGTCGCAGGAGGAATAGGGGAGTGATGTGGGTGGAGGTTGCTGGAGGTCTAGAAGAAGTATCTATGAAACGCTTTTTGCGTGAATTGTACAGAAGGCATCCGCTCCTGGTTTGTCTTTGGAGAATGAAGGTAGATTTTACTCTATTTTTCGTCTGAGAAGACGAATACACTGATGAAGAAATCAAATCCTGTTTTCATGACATTTCACGCTCTTCACCACAGCAGCGACTTCTTGGCTAATTGAAAATAACACGGCGGCACTCAGTCATGTCAGTCATTTTCATTTACGACTTTTTTAGAACAGTTTTTGAAGGATATTTATTACAACATAAAGGGAGCTGGCAGTTCAACGAGAGCCCGAGTGCTGACCCTGAAATTCTGGGACTGAAGGTCCGGGAACGCAAAAAAAAAAAAACATCCTCGATTGCTAAAGATGCATGGCGGATGACCCTATCATCGGCGACAAATTTTACCTCATGATCTCAGAAGTCATTTATATCCTCCATACTCATCGTTGTCTTACGGGTCAAAAACTCGTAAAGAAAATTGAAGACAAGTTGACTCCATGTCCATCATCGTCGTTCGTGCTAGACAATAAAACCTAGTGCATCTTCACGATCACGTGCGTCCGTCGGTTATTCTTGCTGCTTCCGGCTTTGCCGTTGGGGATTCCGGCTTTGCCGTTGGCATGTTTTTGAATTCATAAGATTTTTCCTCTTCTTTGCAATTGGTAGCGAGGGGCTTCAAGGGGGTGGAAAGTGACGGACGAACCTTGAGAATTTCAATGTCAAGGGTTAAGAGAAGAAACATCTTATGCCCCTTCTCTTCGGAAGATATAGATGTCGCATTTTGATAAGAAAGCAGAGGATGACCCCTAGTCCCGAAATTTCCGCTACCATGGGCATTATTTGTCGAAAAGCAGTCACGTGTCTTCAATTTGCAGGTGCCCTGCGCGCTACCTCTAGAGATAATTTCCGTCTCCTCTAATCAGATTTTGTCTCTGAAGAGGGCAGAAAGAAGACTAGCTACGCTGACGAGAGATCCTAACTCGTCACGATTGCTCTTTCCAAAAATGTCCGCCACTGTCGTTCCTCGCTGATGGCCATGCCTTCCAATCCCCCTTTTTTTTTATCCAACAAAAAGCTTTGTTTTGGGCTAGTCAGCTTGGACGCCAGGGCACAAGGAGACAGGTATAGTGACACAGCCGCCAAGACATAGCAGAGGCGAACGGAGTCGAAGACAGCGCCAGCCTCTTGGGTGCCCGCTTTCTTTGCGTAGCAAGATCGTGCGCACCCTGGCTGTGTCTTCCCAAGCGTGACGGGGTGGAGCGATTACGTACCTACGAGGATGAGGAGCCTCGGCTTGCTAAAACATCATTGCGGACGGCCCCGCATTGATGTCGGACAAGTCCCGAAGACGCATGTTGATCACGTTGAACCGCGGCGGAGGAGGAGATGAGCAGACATCTATCTTAATCCTCCTTGAACACTAGGATCTGCACTACTTCTCTTTGCTTATGGTTTATAGTTGATCTCATACTAAAAAAATAAAACCTAGTGCATCTACTTCACGATCACGTGCTTCCGTCGGTTATTCTTGCAAAAACGATCACGTGCCTCTTGCAGCCAAAATGGATAAGAAATATCGAGACCCTGGACAAAAAATGAATAAATGCAGATCGGTCAGGTGACGTAATTGCTACTAGACGTAGGCATAAGAAATATCAAAATAAGCAGGATCCTGAAGAAACTGAAGCGTAAAAAATGTTTCAGTGGAAGGAGTTCTAGTTCTCGTCAGATGAATGAAGACGGAAATCGGTCAAGAGAGCAGCACAGAAATAGATCCGCGAAGTACCTCTATTGCTCCTGGAGGTTCCTCGGATCATTCTGAAAGGCTAGAGTCAAGATCGGTCGAAAAATCACGATCAGACAGAAACAAGATCCGCGTAATTAGGGCTCCTAAGAGGATGATCCTGCAAGAAATGCGAAGCCCTTTTTTTAGGAACAAATTGGCCTAGCAAGGAAAAAGGCTCCTAAACGCCGACCAAATGAAAACAAAACGGCAACTAACGGGGCAGAAAAGCACGAAAGGGCGGCCCAAGAGCGCCCCGGCCTTTTCAGGTTGTGCCCCCTCTACCCTGACGCGCGCGCCCTCGTTCCGTGTGCCAATTGGCGGCCTTCGGTGGCACCAGCGGGAACAGCGCGAATTTCTATGCGCGGCTGTGCGCGCATGCCTTCTGGGCTGTCCGGCCACCGGCGTGCTGCTTAGCGACTATCGCGAGGACTATTTTGCGACAAGCACCCTCAAAGCAGACGCGCCGCTTTTTGACAGACGCGCAGGCTCCATACCGGTGCCGAGGGGAAGTCGTGCGAATGTCGGACCAAGCATTGCGGCCCTCTGTGTGGGGTAAAGCTAGTAGAGGGCCAAGCGAGGACTCCTCCGCCCTTGTGTGTCTGCCCCAAGGTCGCGAGATGTTGAGTCAGGTCGGAAGAGGGGCGGGGGAATGAACCGACCTGAAGGCCACAGAAAATGCGAAGGGAAGGGCGAAAAAAGAACAGCAACAGGCGCCACGGGAAGGCCTCGACGGCCCGTCGGGAAGCCGTCGGCCCGTCCTCAGACACGGTGGGACTCTCGATTTTTTCCGGTTGGGAGGGGCCCCCAACCGGAGAAAATGGAGCGCCCCACCATGTCTGAGGACAAACCGGCGGCTTCCTGGCGGGCCGCGAGGCCTTCCCGGCCGGTGCGCCTGCACGTAGCTGTATGGCCTGCCACATAGCGGCCCCTTCCCCTTGTCCCTTTCCTTGAGCCTTTCCTTCGGATTTTGGTAGATTTTCGGCAAATTTTTGGGAGCTTTCAAAAACGCAGAGTGATACGCACTCCGCCTTTTTTTTGAAACGCACAGTGACACGCAGAGTGACACGCACACTGATACGCACTCGTCAAACACGACCTGTTTCTCGTTTTTGACGGGTGTGTACTGTCAAACCGCTCTGTAAATTGACACGCAGTGAGTGCGTGTCAGTGCGTGTCACTTTTACAGAACGGAGAGAGGTTTTGGAAAGTTTTGGAAATATAATTCACCGACGGTATTGAGTGACACGCACTCACTGCGTGTCAAGTGCGTGTCACTCTTCACGCCTGTATTCTCGCCACCAGCGATTCGGTCGTGCGTGTCACCAGAATATAGGTGCAAAAAGTGACACGCACTGACACGCACTAGATGCGTGTCACTATCATACCGTGCAGGAGAGTGAGAGACAGCGCCTGTCGTCTTTTGGTCTTCCCCGATGGTATACGGTGACACGCACTGAGTGCGTGTCACTTTTTGCACCTATATTCTGGTGACACGCAGTGACACGCATTGCGGTACGCAAGTGACACGCAGTGTGACACGCACTGCGTGTCACTTGCGTATCACTTTGCGTGTCAACTGCGTGTCACTTTTTGGACTCAACTGCGTGTCAACTGCGTGTCACTTTTTGGACTCAACTGCGTGTCACTTTTTGGACGTTTTGCTTGTCTGAGCGTGTTCATTTTTTTGCGCCTTTTCTTCCCGAATTCGAGTGCCTTTTTTTGCGCCACATTCTGCTTTTTTGAACAACAGAAAATACGGCTTTTTTCTGTACTTTGGCAGCTCCAAGTTGAAGAAAAAGGCCGCGCTGTATGTTTTGCTGCAGAAAGTACTCAAGACCGGCGCCCCCGCCCTGCTGGCGGGGGTCGGTTGGCCGGCATGGGAGAGAGCACGAAGCGCCCGGAAAAGGGAAAAGAGGCCTTTTCCTGAAACTTGGCGGCCCGAAGTTGCAGAAAAAGGCCTCCAAATGATTGCCGCGAGCAAGTGCGCGCGCTTGGTCTGGCTTGGCTTCTTTGGCTCGGGCGATGCTTCCTCGCTATTGTTGGGCGCGCAGCTGGGCGCGCGGTTGGGTGCAAGCCGGCTTCTTGGCTGCGATAGCTGCGAAGAAACGAAAAGACGAGCTTTTTCTGCAACTTGGCGGCCCCAACTTGTCGAAAAAGCCTGTCAGCCGAGACCTGTTGAACAAGACCGCTGCGCCTTTTGATGCTGCCTGGCCGGAGGGGCCCGGTGACCTTCCGCCCTAGGCCCTCGCATTTGTGCCTGGCCGCTAACTGAGGCCTTTTCTGGCAACTTGCAGCTGGGAACTTGTCCAATTTGCGCGTCTTCTTTTTGTGTTTCTTGTGTTGGGCTCTGGGGCCAAAAGAAACACTTCGACAGCGCCACTCCCTATCGCCGCCTGGCGTCCCATGGCCATGGTAGTGGACATTTTGAGCGCGTTTCAGAAGCCACCCAGTTGCTAGGCCGATTTGACTCCGACTTTTTTACCCTGAGGCCTCTATGTTGTTTCTAGTTCTAGTAGAACTATTGGAGTCTTCGTGTCAGCCACTTGCTTCTGGACGTCAGTCCTGGTGGAGCTCCGGGTCATTTACTCCTGACCAAAGTTCAAATATGCTTGCTTTCCAATCTCCATTGCAGTTGTTTTGTGCCAATTGATGCTGGTATTTTCATTCGTGAATCTTCCTCGAGCTGCAGCTTGACGTTTTTTGGGATACTTAACAACATACTGCATACTACTTCTCTCATCAACCCCGAGCTTTCATCATTTTATTTCGCTTTTCATCTCATAAATTTGGGGCAGTACTACCACGCGGCCACTCGAATCGGCAAGTCGGCTTCATTTATTTTAGCATATTTCTTTGCATTACTTCTCGTGACAGCTACTGAGATTTTAACGCTGACGAGTTTTGTGCAATTTATTATCGGCAACGACAACATTATTCCTAAGTTTTTTTTTACCAACACCAACACGAACCAGCCGCAGATTCCTCGCACTTTTGTAACTATTGTTGATCTTCCCCATCCTTTAGTGAGGGGGCGTAAATAGTTGTACGGTTAGAAGCAGCTTATTTGTGATTCAGATATCAATCCGCAAGAATTTTCAAAAGGAACAAGAAAAACGAACAGCTATAACAGTACACCACAGCGAGAATGCTTTTGCTTGGAGCAAATCGATCGTCTCTCGTCCTTGGGAGTGTTTGCTCTCTCTACTCCTACGGCGTGTTTGCAGATGCCGCAGGTCCGGTGGCGGGGGTCGATGGGCGTCAACGACGGCCGCGCTCCACCTCACCAGCGAGTGGGACGCGCAGCAGGACTAGGGCCCCGGCGGACCGAGACCCCACGGGACCGGGCCCGCGCGCCTCCAGCGCCCCGCCAGCACTGGACCGCCATCATCTTGGATGGGTATCTGATGTGCCGCTGCAGTTCTTTTCTCTTGCCGGCGGACCCCTGGCAGACTTGGGTGAGCTCTCGCCGCACCAGTGGTCACAATGGAGTTCGGCAGAGCTTTACCACCATGTGGAGACCGTGCTATTACGTGCCGAAAAGCTTCCCTGTAAAATGGTCGACATTGTCTTCCGTAATGGTGCCGCAACATCAACTCCTGTTATCCTACCTCGTCGGGATGTCTCTCGGAATCTATCCGCAGTAAAAGCGTCGCTGCGATCCCCAGGGTCGTGTGGTCCAAATCTGCATCCACAGCATCAATCTCTCACGTGAAACAAGCCCTATGAAGAGAGATGTTCTTCTAAATGGTACAGTTTAGGATTTGTCATGCTCAAATCAAGACCAGCACAAGCTGCAATGAAGTTGAAGTGGCTGTGCTGGCTCCGTGATCTGTCCCGCCTCGCGCAAACTACCAAATACGACCACCCTGTAGACACCCAAATTTCTCATGCATGTCTCCCGCGACAGGCACGGCAGCTCGGCGACTTGTTTTGCCCTTTGCTTCTCATCTTGACCACTTAGGTGGGGACCGACGAGCACACTTTTACACCGGATAGAACGGAGCTCCGCTTTTGTTAGCAGAAGTGTTGCGGGAGGATATTGTGCGAAGTGGAACTACCAGGGCAGCACAACCCCACCAACTCCATGTCGTCGCTCTGAGTGGGGGCAACAAGCCTTTCCCCGATCGGGGGAGGTATCAAGTGCAAATATGTCTGGGTCTGAAGATGAAAATTTTGGATCAGACAAAAATCTATCTGTCATGCATGAAAGGCAATTCACCTGATACACAATGTCTCGCCCGCAGTTGTAGCACAGTCTGTTTATGTCATGCATGACAGGCAAACACGCAGCAAAATCTGGGATTTCTCATGCGGGATAGGCATTCATTGAGAAAGCTCCTCAAAACCTGCGATGCGATTGCTTGCACGCCAAAGCTTGTGGGTAATGCAAAAACTAAAACAGCATGACCAGATCCAGACAGAAACATTTTTGCAATGCATAGGAGGCTCGCTGATGCGATTGATCTTTGGCGGGTTGATGGTCCTCATTACTTCGATGACGCGAAGAAAGTGGAGGGGCGTCGCCGCATCGTTGCCGAGTTCGGCGATGTAAACGAGTGGAATGTCTGCCTAGTCAAGAACATCGGCTTGTTGTTCTCTGAGCTAGATTGGCCGCAGTTCTTTCATCCGACCTTCAAAATTTCGAAGTGGTACACACGGGGCGTGCGCAAAATGGAGGGAGTCTTCCGTAGTGCTGTCAACTTCAACGAAGACATCAGTGCGTGGGACGTCCAGGACGTGGTCAGCGTATGGCATTCTCAAACTTGGCTACGTTGGTCGTTCTTGATAGTATTTGTCATGTAGAAGGAGCACCATCAGCATCACCCTTCACGCGGTCTAGCTTCCTCGCATGGCGCAAATAAGCCCTCGACGGGCTAGTAAGAAAATAAATTTGTAATTAGCACTGGAATCCGTTGTTTCAAATCTGTAATGCAAGACACGCAACATCATGCGGATGCGTCCAGTCCTTGGAGCCACCGCCCCCCTTTTTGTTTTGGCTTTTCCTTTTGCTACAGCTAGTGTTGCATAAAACTACATGAGTCCGCATGTAACATCGCCGACCAATGTAAAAACATTTGAGAATGCCACATAGCATGCGGGGAATGTTTTCAGGCGCGGAGCACTTCAATCAGCCACTTGGACCTTGGAAGGTGGGCGCTGTGCGAGACATGAGCTTTATGTTTTCTGGTGCTAGTGCTTTTAACCAGGCCTTGAATGAGTGGGACGTCAGCAATGTTTTGACCATGGAGAGCATGTTTGGGAAAGCTAGCGCCTTCAACCAAGAAGTCAGCAAGTGGAACGTCGTCAGGGTGCGCACTATGGCCGGCATGTTTCGGGAAGCGGATGCCTTCAATCAGTCGCTTGCCGAATGGGGGGAAAAAATCGGGCTGGTCGATCCTGGGCCCCAATATGCACATCGCTGGGACGTGCGTGCCACTGGAATGTTTTTTGATGCCAGGTCGTTTATCCTGTGCAAAAGTATCGTACTTACTCGTATTGCAGTCATGCACTACAAATCTTTTTCTTACGGTGATTTCGCATTACAAATTTCATTTCTCATGCTAAGGAAATCTGTAATGCATTTATACGAGTGCGATACTTTTGCAGCGCATATCGTTCAGCCAAAGTTTGGTGGCTTGGGATGCGTGGATGCTGAAACAGCACCGCCGGAACCCAAACGTCTTCTTCGGAATGCTGCAGGGCGCTGTGAGTTTTGTCCCAGCGGAGCAATTGACGGAAAATCAGAGGAACATTATGCACAAAAGCTATGGCTACGGGTACGGCATCAACCAGGCCGGCCGCGTCGACCGCGTCGCCGCGGACCAGCTGCCGGATGTGTGATCTACATGGCCCCGATGAAGAAAAGCAAAAGAGAAGTCGAAAGCGCCTTGATATGCGCCCTTGCAGTTCTTACACGCGAAACTGCAAGAGCCGGACGATTTCTGTTTTTTTTATTCAGCGGCATCTGGAAAATTATGATGGAAGGCTGGAACAGCCGCCGCTCCACCTTCGCACTATTTCAGCATCGTAGTGCGATAAAGGCGCATCTTTCTCTTCACTCGAGGCGTCGCTTTTTTTATGCAACAGTATGCAGATCGAGGATGCTCTAGCTCTATCCAGCCTGGATGAAGATTTTTTCGTGTTACTCAAGATATTTCGGATTCCTTTGAAGATTTTACTTTTTCGTGCTTGCCAGTCCTTCAGCCCCAGCTCCTTCCAGGTCAGCTCCTTCACAGACGAAAAACCCGCTCCGGCGACTCAGCTCGATGCTCTAGAGGATCTGGCACTGGACGAGGACCTGGAGGCTTTTATGCGTGATTGAATGAACAAGAACACCACGGAGGAGATAGTCCTAATGAATCTACTTAAGCAGAGCGCTAAAAACTTCTTCGAAGAAAAAAGTGCATAGCAGATGGGGCCGATCATGATTCTGAAGAGCTTTATTATGATTAATTTCATCTTTCCTTGCATCTTTTTCTTTTTGCAAGGTCCTTTTGTTTCTCAGTATTTCTTGCGCCGGCGAACTTGGGTCGGTGCAGGAACTCTGGGACCAGAGGAGGAAACATCGGAAGAAGCTGAGCTTCTATGGCCGCGTTTTATTACAATTACTACAGTCCGAAAATAATTCATTTTCTTAGTCTTTCCTTGACTAGATCTACAATATTTGGTTCAAATGTGCATCATATCGTGTGTACTAGAAGTGGAGATGATTTTGTTTCCACTTTTCTCATGACTCATGAGTCATGAGATCTACATTCAACACGACCCGCATTTGGAACTTCTTCCTCGTGTAATGTTTTACTACAAAATAAACTTTGTTACCTCCAGGAAAGAACATTAACAAGTGAAAGCTCTTGGGTAGACGTAGAAGTTATTTCTGGCGCACGAACATGACTCACGTGGAAGCTTGTATGTTGTGCGGTGCCCCCTGAGGAGCTACTTGCGCCGCAGCAGCTACAACATGGAGGCACATTGCTGATTTACGTGTATGATTACTCACAAGATCTATTGTTATCGCAGGTGCAGCTCATATCAAAGACTAGAAGAGCTTTCTTTCTTTCTTTCTTTCTTTCCATGCCCGGGCATGGCTTCAAATGTTCTAGGCCCTAAAAGTTCCGTTGCAATCCCAATTTCTTCTTTCTCGATTTGATCTCGCAATAAGGTGAAGAACGGTGAAGAACCACGCCGCGCTATTTTGCGCGACGTATCAACCTATACTTATCGATGACAAGCGGAAAAACTGTGCTGATTGACGAGCTTCTGTGGTTTCATTTGTGTGGGGAGCGCAAGACGCTCAATGAGGTCACGTGTTCGAATTGTTCGGATTTTGTTGGTCTCCCATTTCGTTAGTGATAGAGTGTCCGTGTCGTCGCCTAGGCGTCTACCAATAAATCGCACACGGCTAGTGCGTGGCGTTATTTTCTTGGTTCCCCTTCCATTGATAGGCATGTCCATGTCCTCGGTGCCTTACTAGCGGAGGAGATCGATGAACAAAACGAAAAGCGCCCAAGCTCCAAGACACACTACAAGAAATGCCAGTGCGATCAGATCCAAATGCCAACCATTGATTTCGCCCATGAGTTAGGACGCGTCTTGTGCGGGGAGTACAGATCTACTTCTGAGCCCGGCACAAATCACTAACGAGGATTATTTGAAAACCTCGCTTAACAGTATATGGACCAATCTTCTCCTGCCGACGACTCCCCTCTGTCATGCGCAGCTGCAATAAGCAGCATGCCCTCGTCGACCTCGTCCCAGGTCGACCACAGCAGGGGCTTCAGAAATGTTATTTATTTCATAGTCATAGACATAGCCTTTTTGCCAGGCGCCATAAAGAGCTGCAGCAGAGGTGCAAAACTAGCATACGTTCTGTCCATTTAAAACTTGTGAACAGCCCAGAGACTTCTCACTCTTGCCGTTCTGCTTCACTGCGGAAGTTTTCATCATCTTCCCGTTTTCCACACCACGCGCCTTTGTACACTCCTGCCACCGATATTCACCCACATCGAGCATTTCACGATATCTTCAAAAAGACTCTCTGCTCACCAAAGATGTCCCGAGAACAAGTAATGAACCGCCAGCATCTCCTGGCGCATCGCTCCATTTCCTGCTGCATCGGCGGCGGTGGCGCATCAACTTCCCGCGGCGACAAAAACAATCCAAAGCCCGAAGGCGAGGCTCAGCCCAAAGAAAAAAAAGATCTTGTCGATTACGACAGCAACAACCTCCCGATCCCGCCGGTTGCCGTCGAGCGGCCGGAAACCGTCACGATCGGGTTGGTGGAAAACGAGGATCGCGGCCCGAATCCAATGAACCCGCCGAAGACGAAGACTGACAACTACTTCTGGCTCCGCGATGACAGCCGGACGAGCGAGGAAATCTTGCTGCATTTGAAGAAGGAAAACGCGTTCACGGCCGCGAAGACGAAGGAGAACAAAAGTTTGGAGAAGGAACTGTACGACGAGCATCTGTCCCACCTGAAGCAGACCGATCAGCGGCCGGCGTACGCGCACGGGGAAAGGTTTGAGTACTACACGAGGACAGTCGAAGGGCTGAGCTACAAGATCCACTGCAGAAGGCCGATCGGGTCATCAAACGTAAACGCTGAAAAATCCCCAGACGGCACGGATGAAGAGGTCTTGCTTGATGAGAACAAAGTTGCAAAGGGGCAGTCGCAGTGCGACATATGCGTGGTAGCGGTGTCGCCGTGCCACGAGTACTTGGCGTACTGCGTGGATTTTTCGGGAGACGAAGTGTACCACTTGCGGGTTTTGAAACTCGGCGCAGGAGCTGCAGGAAGTCCAAGCGACGGTGAGCAGCATGTCTTGATCGACGAGCTACTGAGCCGCACGGGTGAAGGAGCTACTGCCGGCGAAGATGAAAATGCCGACGCTCCTCAAGGTGACCCAGCGCCCCCCGGAACTCAGCACCTGATCTGCGGCAACATCGTGTGGGGAGCGGACAGCAAGGAGATCTTCTACGTGACGCAAGACCCGGTGACCCACCGCCCGAACAAGATGTGGAGGCACAAGATCGGTGAGAAGAACGAAAACAGCGAGGCCAAAGACCCTCTGTTCGAAGAGAAGGACCAGCTGTTCATTCTGGATATCAGCAAAACGAAAGACGGAAAGTTTCTTCTGCGGAACAGTGCGAGCAGCGAAACCAGCGAGGTTGCCGTGATGCCACTTGAGAAAAGCGGTAGTGATGCCGACGCGACAATCGTCCACAGCCGGGAGTTTGGTCTCCGCTACGAAATCGAGCACTGGGAAGGGTATGTGATCGCGGTGACAAATTACGACAAAGCCAAGAACAACAGGGCGCTGGTGAAGAAAATAATTGGAACTACAGCAACTTCATCAGTGCTCGAGACTACGCCAGATTTTTCCGCCGCGAACGATTGGCAGGAACTATGAACTGCAAAAGTATCGTACTCGTATAAATGCATGACAAATTTCCTCAGCATGAGAAATAAAATTTGTAATGCTGATTTGCCTTGACAAAGAAATTTGCAAGACCTGCATTTATACGAGTGCGATACTTTTGCACAGGATAGGAACTGTTCCCCTACGACAAGCTCCGGGAAATCACGTACGTCGAAGTGTTTGAAAATTTCCTGATGTTCGAGGGCAGGGAAAACGGCTTGACGAAGATCTGGTCCTTCGACATCAAGCAGTTTACAACCAGTTCTGGCACCGCAACTCATCATCTTCAGCCGATTGACACATCGCTCTTCCCCGAGCCCGACATCCACGAGATCCACTTTTCCATCAACAAGAATTACGCCACAGATTTCGTCCGACTCGTGTACAGCTCGTTGGTCACGCCGACGACCTGGTACGAGTACCGCCCGCTGGAAAAGAGTTGCAAAATCATCCACGAGGAGCCCGTGTCGAACTTCGATAAATCGAAGTATGACACGACGCGGGTGTTCGCGACGAACGGGAAGGATGGGTGTAAAATTCCAGTTTCTCTCGTCTGGAGCAAGGAACTCTGTCCCGATGTTAGGGAAAGGCTTTATAATAATTCCGGTAGTTGTACTACTAGCAGTGCCGCAAAATCCTATCCCCTCCTTCTCTACGGCTACGGGTCGTACGGCGCGTGCGTCGACCCGGGCTTTGACCGAGACGTGCTCACCTATTTGGACCGGGGCATCATCTACGCCATCGCGCACATCCGTGGGGGCGGGGAGATGGGACGAGAAGTTTGGTACGAGGAACAAGGGAAATACTTGACGAAGAAAAACACCTTTGAGGACTTCATTGCCTGCGCCGAATTCTTGACGAAACCCGGGGGCGAAGATGAAGGTAATAAAACTCTAGCGCCTTTGACGACCCCATCCAAACTTGCCATCGAAGGGCGGTCCGCGGGTGGGTTGCTGATTGGCGCGGTGTTGAACATGCGGCCGGATTTATTCTCCGTGGCAGTCGCGGGTGTGCCGTTTGTGGACGTCTTGACCACCATGGCTGATCCGAGCATACCGCTGACAATCGGTGAGTGGGAAGAGTGGGGAAACCCAAATTTGGAAAAGTTCTACGAGTACATGAAAAGCTACTCGCCGGTGGACAACGTCAGCTCCGGTCTGCGACAGGAAGAGGTGCAAGTGGAGGTGGCGGGCGGAGAAACGCGTCAGTTGACGACTGTCCTGATTCTCGCCGGCTTGCACGATCCGCGGGTGGCGTACTGGGAACCGGCAAAGTGGGCCCAGCTGCTGCGGAAGGAGAAAACGCGGTTTGGCGACGTGTTGCTCAAAGTGGATTTGGAAGTGGGGCACTTCTCAGCCAGTGACAGATACCGGCACATCCAGGAAACCAGCTTTTCGCAGGCGGTGGTGGTGAAAAAGTTGACGCAGTAGAAAAAGATGAAGGAAAATGAGGAAAAATGCACAATAACGACTGACGAAAATAGAACTTGTTGAGTTCTTGTATTTGTGACATACTAGCGCCATCAACATTATGTGACCTTGACCGCAAACGCTACCGCATAGCTCAACCGATGAGCTCGTGCTAGGCTGTTCTAGATTTTTTAGAACAAGCTGCAAGTGTGACTCTGTCTAAACTGAAGAAGGAGGAGAGGAGATTTTGTGTGACTCTGTCCAAATAACTGAAGAAGAGAGCGAGGAGAGTGACAAGGAGTGTTAACCGTGCCACTACGTACCGTCCAAAACCTTGAGAATGAGACCATCATTGGTATATTATTGAGGTCGTAAGAAAAGTATGAGTTTTTACCTGGATAGGTTGAAGGTTTTCTCCTCCGGCGTGGATTTCTTCGCTTGGCAGAAAACTAGCTGTAGTTGTTCGAAGTTCATCCTGATGAAGATGAAAATCGCCGGATGAAGATGCCGGCGTTCGATCCGGGCCCGCGGGTATCGCGCGTCGGATTGTTTCCCTTCAGAGTACGGAACTTTCACTCGTTGTTGCAGATTTTTCTGCTGACGCCCGATGAAAGCACTGCTTTCACAGGTCATGCTCCGTCTCCGGTGGATGAGTTGTATTCGACAAAGAACAGCGATGATCATAGTGGCCTTTCCGCGACTGCCGTCTTGAACGAGGACGGAGAAGATGATCGAGATGGGGATGATGATAATCCTTTACCGGCGGACGACGATACGGAAGTGGACGTCACACCACGCCACCACCACAAAATCAAGAACCGTCACCGCGGCCACCACAGAACAGATGCCGGGAGGAGGCACAAACGCAGGAAGCACAAGCATCATAGGCGGAAAGAACCGCACAGAGAACTCGAAGAGGAGGACGACAGCGAGATCGTCGATGCCAACGCAGCCTTGGAAGATTTGGCGGAAGAAGCTGCGCCAACAGTGGTCAGGCCCTCCGCGTTTACTGCACTGGAAAGTCGAAGTACCGAAAATTATCCTGAAGGAGTGGCATCTACTACTTCCAGCAACTCTGACGCTGCACCACCAGACGACACGATCGATCCTGAGCAGAACGACATCACTAGCTCATCGTCCCTCGACGTCGAACAAACAGACCATCGAAAGCAATTGCACCAGCGTCCCGCGAGGAGCCCCCGCGGCTTCCACGCACCTTTCCCACTGCTCCCCGCACCTTTAGTAAAGCAACACCTCGTCGCGTCCGCGCTGCAGCAGAAGCAGAGACAGAAACAGAAATCGGACAACACGGGCGTTTCTAAGGACGAGGAAAGCGCGAGTGGCGTCGGCGAGGACAGCAAGGACAGAAGTAAAAAGAAAACAGACAAAGGCGGCGAGGACAGCACAACGGACAATGAGCAAGACGACGCGGATGACGCGGAGATCGCGACCGAGCAGTTGACGCCGCTGAAGCCGGAGAAACTGTGGGACCTGTTTAAATCTTGCGGCTGGAAGAAACAAGGAACCGACAGCGAGAAAGAAGACTACTTGGAAAAAAAATTCCAGGATTTCGTCGCGACCGAACTGAAGTCCGCGTTTTCCTCCCCGAATTCCCACCAGCAGCTCCCCCGGGATTTGTCAACAAGGAGCAAAAGAACAGTTTTTGTAAGAGTTTTGCACGAACAGGCGGATTTGTTTTGTGAGTCGTTGATCGAAGACGACGGGGAGCAAAGCACCGACGCGAACAGCATTGAGGCGAAGACGAAGTCGCAGCTGCCTTCCCCGCAGTACGACCGGCACCAGCAGAGGAAGCCGCGGTTTGTGACCGATAAGTGTATCCGCGACAAGAAGGAGGACACGAAGCAGCAAACCATGGTATGCCGGAACGCGTTTGGCGAAGACTTGGGGAAGTACGTTTTGGCGAACTCGCAAAGGACGCAGGACTTGAAAAGGAAGTGGAAGGGGAAGAAGTTGAGTGAAAAGGACTTCACGGAAGTGAAATCTCTAGCATCGTTACCGATGTTCGGATCGGGCTCCGAAGAAGTGTTTTTCACCACGCCGAACGAGTCGAAACGAGGTTTGTATTGCGGCATGGACAAGGAACAAATGCTGGGGAAATTTTACGAGGGGAAGGGAAAGGAATCTGCTTCGGAAGATAAGAAAAAAGGCGGGGAGGACGAAGGGTCGTCGTTTTTGGAGCAGGGAAAAGACGACGAGGAAAAAGGAAAAGGTAGTACATTGTCGCTATCGAACTTGAAATGTTACAAGCTTGCTACGATGCTTGCAATAAACTTGTGTATGAAGATGTGCTGCTTGATGTTGCTATGAATGCTGCGATCGCCTCTGCTGACTCTGAGACGACTTTTGTAGCACGTTCTTTGGGACGTCGACGTGTGTTCATCACAACAAATACAGTGACGAGCGACCCGGAGCAATCTGAGAACCACTTCTACGAGATTGCCGATTACGAGAAGGCCTGCAAAGACATGTGTCCGCACTACGACGATTTGCTCCACGAGGCTGAGAAGGACGCGAAGAGCGCGCAAAGTAGCAAGCACGCCTCCTTTCTGGTCGACGGCATGTGGGTTTGTGTGTCGACTCTCCGGTACGATAGCTGCAAGAAGGATTCTGTTGCAATCATCCAAAAGATGAACAGCAAACAGGGAGCAGGCTCTGGTGGAAAAGCCGGGCAGCAGCTTCTGCAAAAAACCTCCAATCTGATCCCCGCGTCAGCGGACTGCTTTCTGGAATTTCTGCAGTCCATCCTGGATTTCCAGCTGGAAAATGCCAGTATGAACAACGAAAAACGCACCACCCAAGCGATCAACCTCCCCTCGGCTCAGGACATAGAAGACCGATTAGAATACCTTCGTGTCGGCACAGCGAGAAAATTACGAGAAGACTGCGAGTCCTGGCTGGGCAAAGAAACCCGAGTCGGGCCGGTGTTCGGGCTGGGTCGCGTTTGTGACAACGGTGCGGACGTCGCGCCCGCGATTGCGCAGACGAATTTTGATTCCGCCAGTTCCGGCGCAAACGAGTTTCAGGCGATGAATGCGCAATATAGTATCATGGAGCGGAAATCCTACCACGCCTTTCTCCATCGCGAGTGCGAGGCGGTACAGCGGCGGTCGCCGAACTGGTTTCTCCCGAGCCTCTGGAACTTCCAGCATTCCGGACCCACGGAGCACTGCTCGCTACACCGCGTGCAGGCGAGGCAGGCGCGGATCGATTTTATGATCCGGGAATTCAACAAGTTACCGGAATACCTGTCGAAAATCTTCATCGCGAAAGTGTTGCTGAACGAACTAGACGACGACGCGGTGCACGCGTTAATCGGATTGGATCGCCCCGCCCGGAAGGCGTCAACCACCATGTCTTTCGTCACGTCGGAATTGCTCGGGAAGTTCCGGAAAGTGTTGAACAAGTCACAGCCGAAGGGGAAAAAACTCACCGGCGAAGAGCACTTGGACGTGATCTTCGCCAGGTTTTTGTCCCGAAGCGAGCTGTGGCCGCAGAAGTTTTGGCAAAATTACGTGTCCCCGGCTCAGATGGCGGCGTTCAAGCAGCGGAAGGCGATTTACCTGAAGGAGTGCGACCGGCTGGGGCTGCCGATGGCGTTTCGGGACGACATGGACCCCAATTCCGCGACGGGATGCACGCGGGAGACGATAAAACTGCAGCTGCAATTAAAAGCGGACGAGTATAAAATGAATCTAGATTCCGAACAGAGACTGGAGCAGGAGGCGAGGAGCGCGCAGCTGATGGCTAGGACAAACTCCGGGAAGAAGCGGGCTTTATCCTTTCCGGACTCATCCGTCCCGAAGCAGACGGCGCAGGACCTGCTCGACGAGGCGAATAGTGGGAAGGCGAAGTTGGCGGATCAGACGACCGATAATGGGATCGTGGTATGGAGTGACAACAGCGAATCTCATCGGAATCTGGGCCGATTGCAGGATTACAACACGTGGCGGGCATATTCGGACGAGGGCGGGGAGATGGCGGTGCATAAGAAATTGAAGTTCATCGACCCGAAAACTGGGGAGGAAAGTAACGACAACAGCGGGGGCCGAATGGATCGCAGTGTCAAGGCGTCGGAAGCAAGTGGGTCGTCTGGCTCTGCGGATTCGGGTAAAAAGGAAGGCGAAGGGGAAACAAGCCCAGACTCCGAAAACCCCGAGCAGCCACCGCAGCAGGAGGAAAAGGGGAGACAGCCGGAGGAGCCACTAATGGCCGATCATTTACCGGTGACGCAGCAGGTATTCAAGATTCCCGGGGCGATTCTGGACGAGATGAAAAGCGGGGAGAAAGTGGATGCGAGTGGCGAGGTGGTTCCGGAAGAGACGCCGGCGGGAACGGAGGAAGGTGGTGGGTCGGGTGAAACTACGGGTGCAGCTGCAAGTTCCGATGGCGCAGCAGTCGCTGGCGCACCAAGAGAGGAAGGTAAAGAAAAAGATTCCAGCGAGATCACCATGCCGAATGGCGAGAAAGAAGCCATAGGTGGGGAAGAAGTGGCGGGAAAGGGACGTGAATCTGGAACACAAGTGGGTGACCGTGACGCTGGTGCAGCAACTGAAGACACCGACTCAAAGAAGGATCATGACGGAGAAGGAACTAAGGGCAGTCCTGGAAATGAACCCGCTGAAAAATCAGCCAACTCGGTAAGCGACAAAGAAGACGGGGACCACGGGGCTGGAGGTCACGAAGGCGACTCTCAGGGCCGCAAAGAGGAGGCTACTGCGGCTGCGGACAAGGACGAGAAGAAGTCCGAAGCTAACGAGGAGAAGAAGGACTCAAATTCGGATGATGAGTCCGACAAGACAAAAGTTTCGGAGGAGGAAGACGCGTCGGGAAAAAAACCAGAAGAGTTCGATGATTCTGAATCGAAAAAGGACAGTGAAGAAAAAGAGGAGCCCGAAAAAGCGTCAGCAGAGAAGGACTCTGTTGCTGGTGATGCTAAGAAGTCTGAATCGGAATCGTCGGAAGATAAAAGTGATAAAGAGGACGGAAAAGCCGGGGACGAGCACTCAGAGTCAAGCGACGGTCCCCCGAAGAGCGAACAGGAACACGAGGAAAGCAAGGACAGGGGCGATGCCGCAAAAGGAGGTGAAAACGACCACGGGAGGGATGAGGGATCTCCTGGCGATGACAAGGACAAAGATGAGCACGAATCCGGGGCAGCTACAGAGAATGAGCACGCGGAAGAGGAGCATGAGGAGGCGGAAGAGCATGAACACGAAGAGAAGAGCGGCAGTGGAGGTGCAGAAAACGAGGATATGGAGGTGCCATCGATATTTACTATCACGCCAGGCCTCATTCGTACCCGGACTGTATCTCTAGCAGTCTCGCGACAACCGAAACTTGCGTGGAATAAAATTAAAGCTTCCTTCTCTCTGCATATGCATTACTCGATGAGACGAGTGAGATGGAACAGCACCGCGAATGGCCATGTCTGACGTGACAGAAGTTTTTTCACAGGAGAACGGGCGAGGACACGAATGGCAACGAGGATGGCGGGCAAGACGACAATGACCAGGACGCCGCTTCTTCCTTCGTGGAAGAGAAGCCTAAGCGTAAGCCAAGACAGAAGAACGAAGTTTCATCTATCATAGTAAAAAAGCCTGGCAGCACCAGCACCAGCATCGAGAATAGCTCGGCAAGAAACAATGAAGTCGCGTTTATATCAAGAACAAGCAGACCCCAGCATCAGCAACAGCATGCGACAGAGCCAGACCGAGACGAGAAGTGTGTTACTGCGAGCAGCATCAGGCATGTGGACGAGGCTCGAAAGGATGTTCAGATCCACACTGTCGCAGTGCTGGGTGGCTCACAGAAATATAAAGAAAACCTACATTTGCTGTAATTACTTTGCAACTTTTTAACTATACGCGAAAAGGTTTCTAGCGTTTTTCTCAAAGTGTCAACGTGCATAGAAGCAGCATCACGACGCCTGGACAGTCGTTCGCAGTCAGGAGCAATGACCCACATGGCCTCGCCGGCGTCCGCTAAGACATCAGAAGCAAACGCAAATGCATTTGCGGAGATATTACCGTATAGGAGGCAAAACGCGGCTAGCTTTAGCGCAGAGCTCACGTCGCCGGCCTCAAGCGCAACCGCTCCACTACTCGAGATGAACAAACTCCTAGAAGCCAGCGTTCGTGTTGGGCCTGTTGACGATTTAACAGTTCAACGACTTAAGCGAAACGCCGTGGTGGCCGGCGTCGCGACAAAGAACCAATTAATGCCGATCGTGTTCCTAAACGAGAGGAATCAAGTTGCCGGTCGTTTTCACGCTCTTCTCTCACCCCGAGATTTGAACGCGAGGAAGTTGTCCACCATGAGAACCAAGTCGGGTGAAATATTAAAATATATCCAGCTGGCACATGACTTGGAGGCGGAAGTTGAATTACAAGAATCTGTCGGGACGGCAATGGAGATAAAAGCGTGGCCAGATGAGGTTGCCAACGGAGATTTCATCGTGAAGGTAACCATTCAGAAGCACATTGAAGGACAACTCACTCCGCTTCAACTTGAAGGGCAAGTTTCCGTAGAGGAAGTCCGCAATTCTCAAAACCGGGGGTTGACGGGGGACATGGCAATTCCAGAAGATTGGTCCTGGACATCTTCAAAGGTTCAAAAAAACGGAAACGAGTGGACCTTGCAGGCCCCGCCCGAATCTGAACCATCAGACTTTCCGGCCGCGTCAGCGCCGGGATTTGTAGAAACAATTCGATTTCTCAACGACGCAAACCAAGAACCGATTAAAAGGCCCGACTCTGGTACAGAGAACATACCTCTGAACCTGAAGCTTGTGATTCAACGTTGGAGACCAGCAGGGGAAGGCATGCGTTTGGTACAATTTTCTTCGAATTCACCCGGTAAATTTTACCAAGACGCACAGGGAAACACTTACTCCTTTCTCGTGGTGGAGGATGCGGTCGTACCGAAACCCATCGAAAACCCGCAACAATCCGCTTCCATGCCCGAAGACGATGTCGCCGAGGATCCTGCGCACGAGATGCTACATGCTGGAATCCATCCAAGCGATATGCTACGACGCGCTCAAGAACTAGAGCCAGCGGCAGCTCCGGTAGTGGTCGCGGGAAAGCAAAGGCACGACCACTCCACGAGTAGCGGTCGTGTTGCAGGCAACGTCGCCCGTGCCTTTCGCTGGGCTACGAGCGGAGGACGACGATCAGCGACTAGTTCATCTGCGTCTTTCATCGAAACCAGACTCGGCGAACACCTATCCGAAAAAGTCCGGATCTCCTCAGTCGACAAAACGGAGAAAACGGTAATAAAGCGCACCGAGGCCACGCAGGAAATGCTGGAGCAGGTGAAGAACAAGGTAACAGCTGACATTAAGCAAAGAGTCGAAGACGATCGGTGTACACCAGACGGCAAACCTGTCTCCATCGAAGTGCAACTCGACGTCGTCGAGGACCCGACCTCCGAGTCAAACGAAGTCTCGATCAAACTGTTAAAAAACGGCCAGGAAGTCGCCCAGTCCGAGGACATTGCGAACGAGGTCCGTGAAGAATTCGAATACGAGCTCGGGCAGTTGATGCAGGAGAAAACCGGCAAGGTGACAGAGGTGGAGCTGACGAGAAAACTGGAACACGGGGATTCCGCCACACCCGTGGTGCTCTGGACCGACGACGGGTCGGAAAATTTCAAGAAGGGCGACCCGGGGTGGATCATCGTGATTTTCTTCGAGGAGTCTTCCATCCCTTCCGCGGAGCGCGATCTCCGCCGGTTCCGCTACCGGCTCCGCGACCACGTGGGCCACTACATCATGGCGGCCACGGGGCAGCGGCCGGAGCGGGTGTACGCGAAGAAGATGGAGAGCAGCGTCCCAGCCTCGGTGGAAACGACGTCGGATGTGAAGCAGGAAAAAAGGGAGAAGACGGAGGAAGAGAAGGACTTGACCAAGCAGTACGTATGCATTGCAGATATAACATAAACTTCTTCTGGTTCTGTAGACGGTGAGCATGCATAAATGCAGATTTTGAAAAAATCCAAAACACAAAGCTTCTCATGCTACAACGGCGGCATCACATGGTGAATCTTGTCATGCACGGTTGTCATGATTCATTTGTACGCCCACGGTAGATTTTCTGTGCATGATGCGCGGTCGAGTCCAATGCCGTGGACCAAGACTCCAAAGACGAGAACAATGCGAGCGACAACACGGCAAAACTCGAAGCGAGGGCCTCCAACACGTTGAAAGAGCTCGAAAAAGAAAAGGAAAAAAGCGACGGGCCACCCGCCGCTGCGGAAGAAAAGTTTCGGAAATCGACAAGTAGTTCCAGCAGCTCTTGGTCCTCAGCATCATCATCGTCTTTTGTCCAGTTAGCGAACAAGAAAACGATGCACCACAAAGATGAAGTAGACGCACAGGCAGCTGGAAATAATGACCAGGGCGAGGGCAGCGGCGACGAGGAGAAAGGAAAAGACGACGGAGGTAAAGACAAAGAAACTGCAGACGATAATTCTCCTGCTCCAGCACGACCAGCAGAAGAATCCAATAGTTTGAAGGAGTTCAACGAGTTACCCAGTTTGATTCAGCCCGCCACCGCCGCAAAAGCGCTGCTCTACATCCGCTACGATGTCCGCGCAGACCCGATTACGGGAGTGAGGAACGATTACTGGAAGGACCCGGGAATCATGAAGCAAGTGGCGGACGGCTTGTTGCAGTATGGAAGGGGAAGGAGAGTAGATTTTATGTGTCAGTCTCGGTTTCGGAAAATTAACCGAGGTAAACTTTACAAATGTGCATGCTGAAGTGGTACCTGTCTTGTTTCTAAAATCCACACACGCACAGATTTATTCTCGTTTCCCTTCCATACCCAGCTGATGAAGGGGATTCGAATCGTGACCATCGTGTATTCCGTCCAGGGCGGACCCGTCCGGAGCGACCTCCTCGCGGACACAACTGTCGACCCGGTAACTGCCGTCAAAAACGAAGAAGACGCCGCGTCTGTGGAGACAAAGCACATCTCCAAATCGGGCGAAGTCATTTCCCACGGTGGGGAAACGGACTTGACGATGCTGCTCTTCATCGGATTCGGCGCAATTCTTCTCCTCGTCGCCTTTCTGCTCTTCTACTTCCGAAGACCCAACAACGACGACGACGATGTTTTCGTCGACCTCCACGACCCAAGACTGGTCCACAGCAGCCGGGAGCACCAAAGAACCTTCTCCAACGAAGCAACTCCCCGGAGCACGCACTCCTCGCCCGGGCGGGTCAGTTTGGAACGCGGGCAGGTGGAAAAACTACCGACGGAAAACGAAAACACCTCCTCCGCCAGTTCGAGCGTGGCCGGCGGAGGGAGTACGCCGAAGAAGGGGGTTTCAGGTTCGCCCGGAGGGAAAGACAATCGAAAAGGTCTTGCTGCGCCAGCTGCTGCGGGCGGTGGGAAGGGTTCCAGCACAGCAGGAGAGAAGGGAAGTACTGTTGTCGGACAGAAAGCGCCGGGTAGTCTTGTCGCTGGTGGGAAGGAAGGCACCGTGAACATGGGCTCGGCGGCGCTGGCGTCGATGACGATGCCGGGGAATATGACCATGCCAGGCAACGTGCAGATGAAGGGAAAAATGCAGCCGCAACAACCGCACATGCAAGCGGTACCGCAGGCAGCTGGGAGCATAAGTAAGGGAAATATGGTGAAAGGCGGTGCTCCGCAGCAGGCGAACACAGCAGGAAAAGCAGGGCCAGGAGGAGCAGCTGCGGGACCGACTGCTAATCAACATCAACAAGCAGCACCAGGAGGTCATCTTGCTGGAAGTAAAGCGATGAAGGGAGGACCTCGACCAGGGGCGGGAGGACCACCAGCTGCCGCCCACAATCCAAACGCCAGTATGAATTCATCTGCGCAGATGATGATGAAACAGCCGCCGCCGGCAGCGTCCGGTAGTGTGATCGCGCCGCATAAAGGCGGACCAGCTGGTATGCCGCCGAAGCCGACCGGTGCCGCGGGTCCACCGCCAAAGCCGGGACAAGTAGCACCGCAGCATCAGCACCAGCCTGTGGGAGCGAAGAAGCCAGCAGGTGTGGCGCCAGCCCCCGGAGCAGGCGGAGCGCCGGCAAACAAGCCCGGTGGTAGTTCCCCACCTGGAGCGAAAGGTCCGCCGGGAAAACACCCGCCTGGAGGCGCGCCACAACCCGCAAAAGCGGGCGGACAACAAATTTCTCCAGCGCAAGCAGGAAAAGTAGGAGCCGTACAGGCAAAGGGGGGTGCTGGTCAACAGGCGGCGCAAGAACATGTACCGCCCGGCGGTGCAGGGAAGATGCCAGACGGGGCGAAGGGAATGATGAAGCCGGGCGGTGCTGGGGACATGTTGAAAGGTGGCGGTGGAAAGCTGGTTGACATGAAAGGTGGCGGAAAGCCGGTTGAGATGAAAGGTGGTGGAAAGCCGATCGAAATGAAAGGCATGATGAACAAACCGGCAGGAGATCACACAAAGGGAATGGTGAGGCAAGTCAGTGCGGCTGGCCCACCCGGGGAGGCGAAAGGGAAAAAGTAGTGCGCGAGGAGGAATCCGATTTTTTTTCACTGCTTCGATCTGATTTTCGATAGCATCTTTTTTTTTTTAATTTGTTACCTCCGGATTTTTAGCAGTTTACCCAGAAAAAAAGTGCAGATATTTCGTTAGTCCCATGTTTCAGTTTAACGACTAACTTTTAGCAAAAACTCCTTTAAGACTTGTTAAGATACTTTTAGCAACTTCTTACGCAAAATTAATGGAAATTGAAAGTGACGACCCTGCGGTCACTGCGATACTTTTTTATGCAGATGAAATGCGAGTCTTCCGTAGGGGCAGGAGGCTGGTTGTCCCAGGATATAATGAAGCTTTTTCTTGGTTCATGTATGATGATGCTTCTTCTACCTAGCGTACAGTTTTCAAAATGAAAATAGGCTGGCCACTGACCACACCAACCTGTACATCATGAAAATGCACTGTGCCAGCATGTGGCTTCGTTACAAACCAAGAACTTTTTTTTACCACGCCCCCTTTTTTTCCTCTGCCAAGCAGTTTTACACACATACGCAGTTTGGCTTTAGTTGTCTACTAGAATCGCACAGTACAGCAACAAAGGAACAATTTCGAACAACAAATCTATCAAAGTAGACGACGTTTTGATTTTTTTACAAATGAACAGGAGTCATTGTCATGCAAGGCGAATCTTCCTTGCTTCAGATCGATGATTGCACAATCAGCGACTCATCGGGAGGATGAAACGCGAAATATGGTTGGTAGTGGTTCAAGCGGCTTTTTTTTTGCGTAAAAACGTTCGGAGGTGGCGTCTGAGCGCATGTTGTCAGAGGAGTTGTTGAGAGAGGAGAAAAAGTACGGACGGCTCATGAGCTGGGAGAGCACAACGCAATTCCGTGACTCAGTCAGCCGTGGCCCAGGTGTTTTTTTTTCATTTGTTGCGCTTCCGCTTCCGCTTCTACTTTTCGCTCATTGTTATAACAAGAGACGCGACCACTTCTTGTTTGTAGCTTCATCGGTAGAAACAAGCCGGACATCCGAAAAGCTGCCGAAAAAAAGATGTTGTCCCGAGCAATCGGACGTGGCCTCCGCGCCAACCAGTCAGTAACGAACTTCAGCCAGAGGACAGGTTTGTAGGGTTCTTTTGCTGATTCTTTTCTTGCACGATGGGCACGACACTGATGTTTGAAGATCAAGATGTAGAGAGCACGCATACCCAATGTGTAGTAGAGCTCCTTCATGTATACCGGCAATCGCTGATACATACAACTCAAATTACTTTGAAAACTTCGAACTATCAGCCCAACGCCAGTTCGCCGACGCTGCCGCCAAGCCAAAGGCGCTAGGCCAGAGCACGGCGACGCAAACACCCATTCTGTACTACAACAGCACGCAACAAGCCACGTCGTCGATCAATCACCGCATGTTCTACGTGAACGTCGTCGGTATGATACGATGCGATCGATTGATTCATTATTCTGTATCAAATCTTGTTTATGATGTTTTCCACTTCTATCACTGCAGCGCGCATGAGAAACTTTCACAAACCACAAAAACTAACAGCAATGATGGCGGTCGCGGATGCCTTCAATACCCTGGTGGACTTTTGAAGGAGATGCGCAAAGGACGCACGGGGCGTTTCTTAGTTCCTCCAACCCGTCTGTGCTTCCGCGTGGAAGTGTGACAAAAACGCAATATCCTCGGGTCAAGTTCAAGAAACCTCTAAATTTGACACGATTTTTTCACATTCACAGACTACTCCGACGGCGGTTTAAGAACATAATAAAGCTGAAGTCACAGCATCAGGAGATTCAGTTTTCTCAACAAAAAGTGTTTTTGAAGTACGAGGCTCCTGCTTTATCGCAAGAAAGTTGTTCCCAATTCAAGACGATCATGAGCTCAGGCAGAAGAAAAAATCTACCCGAAGTCGATCTTCTTCTTCCTTATGGTGGCCGTGCAAAAAATACCCAAATGGGTTCCTCGTAGTTCCGGATCGGGCAATGCTGTAGTGCATCATGAGAATGAAGTGCACAGCTGTTGCAGAAAATGAAAGAGCCCTGCTGGCCCTACCGTCGGTCACGCCAAAGCCTCAACTGATCATGATCTAGTATAGTAAATTCAAAGATACAACACTACTAGCAACTGGTGTTGCCCAGATTGATGTTTCTGTGGCTTGTAAAAACGAAGCACACAAATAATATTGTTTTACCTTCTTTCGGTCGTGTAAGCCTTCTACGGGTTGCGTGACTTCGCACCGCAACATCTTCGGTAACGGTCCTGCTGCTGGTGATGAAATCGACATTTTCATGGTGAGATGTCGATAACTCTCCTCTCCAACTTGTTTGTCAGCAGGATTGTATTGCTCTTAATCTTATCACACCGTATGTACCTTGAAAAGTATACACAAAATCCTCGGCAAATTTGGTAAATTCAAATTTTTACCCACCTAACAAGTACAATCAAACCTAAATTTCAACTTAAATAAGTTTTCGCCTTCTAGCTACCCGGCTATACCATCTTTCCGCTTCATAATCCCTCATCTCAACAAGTAGTCAATATTTTTCTAAAAACCACTTCTAACTTTGTGCGTAAAAACACTCAAGGCAATAAAGCTAAAATGGCCCTTCTCAGCCTGTCCGTGTCTCCACCCGCGGCCGCTCTTGCTGGTGACGAGACGGGCGAGTCGGCGCTCTTGGAGGCGTATTTGCGCAAAAACCATTCTCCTCGGAGTTCGCGAATCGAATTACAGGAACCCCTCGAAGACGAGTTTGACATCCTGGAAGAGGAGCTTTTGCGCATCGAAAGGGAAGACTATGACGAGTTCGAGCGAACAATTGGTGGACCGCACGCTGGCTCTACGTCCTCTACCCGGACAATCTACACGTCGAAGAAGGATTCGACTAGACCGATTCCGGCTACAAAGGTGGTACACGACACGAACACCCACCCCCCGGCGCACAATAACAACGCGGATCAATTTCATCATGGGCAAAATTCCCGTGCCGTGGAGGCGGTTTTGACAGCGTTAGACGTGTCGCAAATCGTCGTGCAAGGAGTCAAGTCCGTTTTCAAGGTCGACGCGGAGACAAAGCAAAACAAGGAACAAAACTTGAAGTTCGAACCGGTTGGCCGGAGCGGAAACAACATTGATCACCACCTGCAATACGACCACATCCCGTTTCTCACCATTGACCGATCTAGTACAACTGCCTCAGGTGCTGGAGCCGACACCACAACCAACATGATCCCGCACCTGAATCCGGCAAACGCGGTGAAATCGCGTTTCAACAGCTACGAGAAACGCGTGCACAAGATGACTTTCAACGACAATTTGTCCTACGAGTGGATCGTGACAGACGAGAAGCATTCCAACGTGTTGCACGAAACCGCTTGGCTGGCTGTCGCGCCCCCGGCAGGAGATGCTAATGTTACTTCTTCTACTGCACCAGGAGCTACTGGAGGCCCGCCAACTTCTCTGTCTACTTCATCCAGCACGGTCCTTTCCGCGAACTTCCTGCCCCAGTTTCGCCTGATGCTGGAAGACATCAAGGAAAATGAGCGGCTGCCCCTGGTTCCGGCCTTCACACAGATGATCTGCTCCGTGGCGCAGCAGACCGTGAAAACGGCCCAGAAGACCGATTCCCGGGAGGTGAAAAAAGTCCTCCGCGGGTTCGAAGGCTACAGCGGCCATGTGGCGGATGCGAAAACGCAGCAATCTGATGTGCACAAGCAGGGACAAAAACAGTTGTTGGAGAAAATCCGCGAAAAGGGGTTTTTGGGCACATTTTTTGCAGGACACCTTCAAGGGCAGGAACAAGAAGACGCGACGAATTATGGTGAAAATAAGGAGCAAGATCACAACGAGCAGAACAAAAATAATTCCACTTCCTGGTACAACGAAAAGTACCAGATTCTCGATGGGGCGCTGCAATTTCTCCGCTACGATGAGGACGAATCCCCGGTGAAGATTGTGTTGAAGGGTTTGATTTGGCACAACCTCGCGTCGATCGACTACGTTTGTCGGTACGAGAAAAAAGAACCTCTGGACGAACTCGACATAGCCAAACGGTTCTACTTTCAGAACCACTTTGAATCTCAATTAATCCGCCAGAGATACGCGGGGAACGACATTCAGCCAGAGGAGATCTCTGTTTGGGGCGATTTGGTATCGGACCAAGCCCTGAGCGACCTGGCCTTCAAAGGCTTAGGAATGTACTACGTCCGCCGCTTCGAGAAGCAGGGAAGAACGGTTTCGCCGGCTTCTAGTACGACATCAACATCATCTCCCACGAGTCGTACTGGTAAGAAGCACAAGAATCAAGAACTACCTATGCAGGAAGACAGCAAGGACGTGCAAAATCTGGAGAGGTTCGCAAGAAACCACTTTGAGAGTGATGCCCAAGATGAACTTTGCGAAAATTTCGTGAACCAGATGCTGCAGCAGGTGGAGTTTCTGATCGACTTTTCCGCCATGGCGGAGTGCGAAACGCGGGAGGGATTGGAACGTTGCGGCGCGGTTGCGTATTTTGACAAGAGCCGGAAGGTCGTCGCGATTTACTACTGCGAATGGAAGCGGTTTTTCTTTCCGACCGTTGAGTCAAAGAAATTTGGCGGCAAGGGCATCGCGGTGCCCGGCTGCTTCGTCAAAGAACAAAACTGGTTTGTGGGAGGCGGCTCTGAGGACGGTAATGAAACTAAAACTTCCCGTGCGGGTGTGAGGAATCAGCCGGTGCCGAATCGTGGAGCCTGCTACTTGTATCCGCCGAGAACTGTAAATCAGCAAGCCGAAGCACCATCAAAGGAAGTGAATTTCTCCGAATTGTTCACGGCTGAAGGAATAACAGATCTACCTAAGGCCGCTGCAAGAACTGCTCAGGAGCACCAGCAGCGAAACAATTTTGAGCAGGAGCGCATCAAACATAGCCTCTACAATCTGCTGGACTGGGAGCGCGCGAAATTTGCGTTCCGGTCCGCCATGTTCACCTACTGCACTCTACGGTCCCACCTCTTCGAACTGCATTGGGTCATCTCCAACGGCCTGGCCGTCGCCGCCAGGAAGTTGCCGAAAGGCCACTTTCTGCGGAAGATCCTGAAGGCCCACACATTCCGGACGGTGGCGATCAACTGGTCCAGCGTGATGATTCTACTTCCGGAAAACATGCTGGCCTTCCGGGTGTTTCCGTTTTCCAAAACGGGGTGGCAGAAGTTTTTCACCAACTGTTTAGTCGAGTGGAAATACATGACACTGGAGGAAAAGATTAAGGAGAAAAACCTGCACTTCGAAACCACGGGTGAGCCGAACATCCGGCTCGCGCAAAACAACTTCGAACTCAAGCAGATTCTCCGCAAACACGTGAGCGACTTGCTGAAAACTGAATACGATGAAGTGGATGAGCTGTATGAAGACACGCACGTGCAAGATTTCTACAACGACTTCCGGCAGCAGCTCCGTCTGCCACGAGAAACCGATCAGCAAGCCTTCAAGCGGAACCACTTCGGGTTGCCGAAGTTCGACTTTGGGGGCACGACCAGCGGAGGTGACCGTACTATCAATGCGCGAAGCTCGGACCAGAACGACGTGAGTGTTAAAACGATGCAGAGGTTCTGGGACACGTTGGTGGACTTCGTCGCGGAGGGGTATGCAAGAAAAAAACTGTGTTAGTGTAAGTCTTTTGGGAAAACAGCATCACAAGTTTGTCTGCCAGGACAGGAAAAACTTGTGATGCGCAGATAGGAAGGGAAAACACATAGGAAGCGAGCCGATCATGCATGTCGAGCATGACAAGTGTAACTGTTTTGCTTTTTCTGCATCACAGATTTACATTAACACAGTTTTTTTCTTGGACAAGGAGATCTGCATGGTGACTGGCGGCCACCTGCTGCTTGGCTCTTTGTCGGAGTACTTCTCTGACTGCAACGTGTGGAGCGGAAAGATTTACAAGGACAGTCGACTACACTCCGACGATTTACAAGTCTGCTGTGCGGCCGATCTCGACTCCTACTTGCTGGGCTTGATGCTGCTTGTCGCCACCGGAGCGCAGCAGCCCTTGCTGCTGGACGAGCATTGGCTGGAGCAGATCTATTCCCTGGATAAAGAAGAGGAGCAGGAAAAAGAGAAATTAGCGCAGAAGAAAATAATCGTGTTGAACACGAAAAACGAGCTGCTGGCCTTGGTTCACCGCATTCAGGAACGGAATAAGGGAGAAGAGAACGTGAAGTGGAACGCATGCAATCCGGTAAAGATGGAAAGTTCCGTATCGATTTAGGCGGAACTACGTCGGATATTTTTAAGCCCTAGTAGTATAACTCGTGCCTGTCTATTTTGTCAGTCACAGTTACTAATACGTGTATGATTATATTTTTGAGTACTTGCTACACTCACATCTGCTGTGACAGAATGGAAATTGCTCTGTATGATCAGCGTAGTTTTTACAACTTCTTCATCCACCGTGCTCTCATGCTGCTGTACCTGTATGATTTATGTCTCGAAGATGGAGCAAGTCCTCCTAGTCCTCCCAAAAATAACGCCAGCACGCAAATTGCGAGAGAAGTGTAGTACGTGCAGCACATCGATTATCAAACTTCAGAGTAGCGTAGTTGCAATTGGAATCTCACTACTTGCATCATTACCGCCTTATCAAAAATCCGAGGGATGAAGGAAGCGGTTATTTTCAAACTCAACCTGTAGTGTATGATTTGCTCGAAAATCCAAATAACGTGCTGGCCAGTCTTTCGACCCAGACTGTCCTCTCATTCATTAACGAAAGGAGATGTTTGATGAAAGCGAGTGTTTTTTGCTGCGAAAATCTTGTTCGCGCGGGCGTATGTCTATACGCACAAAAGATCATAGAGATCTAACCATTTGACCGTTGATCACGAAGGAAAATTCGTCACCGTCAAGAAGATCTCAAGTGGATCAGTTTCTCCTATCGAGACGCATATTATTCAAACTGAATTTCATGTATATCGATCTGGTGGGGTTCTCCCGTGTGGAGGTTCTGGTTGTCTGGTGGCAGCGTGTATGCAGTGCAAACATGTCTGGGTCTGGAGCACAGTTGTCATGATGTCGATTGTGGATTCTTGTCCACACAGACAAGGGATATTCTTGTCGCACATGCATCATGAGCTCTGCAGCTATGTCACACACGCATTACAAGCTTCCAGACCACCCAGACATATGTGCAAGAATTGATGGAGCGAGATACAGCAAAAAGTTAGGAGACCACGAAGCTGGAGGGCTTCCTGATCTGTGGCAACTACCCTTGGAAATTTCGATCAAGACAGAAGCAGTACACACCTCTTGGTAGATCAGGAATTTTCTCAAACGAATTGCGCTTCTATTCTGCGGCATGGGGTGAAAATGGTATTATGCTCTTGGTGATCACGTTTTTGTAGGGAAGCAGATCTGATCAACCTTCACCCCTGCAGCAACGCCCTGCGCTGCCGCCTGCTCAGCTGCTCACGCCTTATCTCTTCATGTTACTGATCCCGATATATATGAGAACCACGAGAACTACCTTATTGTCAGGCCCATGGTTGGTTTCTTCTTGTCGACAATATGGTCCTCTGGAGGATATTGAATGTTTTTGCTAAAGTACCTAATAGAAAAGTACAAGTTGTAGGAAAAATTAAATTTGACTTGGCAGCACAATTTTGCCATAGTTGAGTCTTCGTGTGTAAGATTTATCTCGACAGCATAATATTTTGTGATATGTACAGTACGGCGTATTTTTTGTATTCGCGTCGTTCTTAATCTGGTAACCAAATGCGTACAATCGTTGTGGAGGGTCTGACTACCCGAAAATTAGCCGCGATGCGACACGGAAAAATGTTGCAGTTCGGAGGTGGAAAGAACACTCTTCTTCGGAAGATGATGATGCCCGTACTAGGTTGTTTTTTCAACTCCTCTATCACGATCCTTCACCTGGCCAGTACCGGCGTTTCAGCGGCTTCTGCGTTTCCTCCCGGGATGAAAAGAGAAGAAAACAAAGCCACAGCCGAAAGAGATGACATCAAACCAGTCCGCATTCTGGTTCTCGAGCCGGGCATGGGTTTGGGGCTGGATCCAGAAACGAACGAACCGAGACTCACCCGAAACCAAGTGACCGGCAAACGGTTTCGGGCGAATCATGTGATGAAAAAACACACAAAAGTGCTGCACACGGAGCCTGTTCGAAACGCGGCTGGCGAGGTAGTAGGACGGCGAGATGTAAAAGCGAATTTTGTGACGTGGCACGCGGGACGAAACCGTGAGGAAGCAGAAGAAACAGCGGCCTTTATTCCAAAAGGGCTGCAACCAAACGGGAGTCGTCGATTTGTGATCCAAGACGAGGCTAGCTTTCCTTTCTCAAAAGATTTCACGGTTAAGCTGTCCAAGGACACCCACAGTGGCTTGGTGTGGGAGGCCATAGCGGAAACAATGGTGAAAAAGAAAAAGCCGGCTCGGAGAGGCGGCACTGCCGAGGCGGGTAGAAGAAGAAAAAATAGCTCTTTTAGTATCCGTCTGGGCCGCAAACTGAAAGCCAAGCGCGAGATCAGATCGCCGGGGGGGAAGAAGAACACGACCACGCGGCAAAAGGTCGTCGTCGATTCCTTCGGAGTGACCTCACAGGCTGAGTACGAGAGTTTTCTCCAAGACATCGGGCACAACAACCAACGAGGACGCGCGAGCGACCACTTTGCCGTCGAGGAATTCAGGAAGCAAAACACCGCCTTGAAACAATTGGCGAAAACGCTTTTCGCCGTTCTGCAGCACGCGGCCTTTGTGGAAATATCCTGTGCAAAAGTATCGTACTCATATTGCAGTCATGCATTACAAATCTTCTTTATAAGGTAAATCCGCATTACAAATTTTATTTCTCATGCTCAATGCATTTATACGAGTACGATACTTTTGCAGTTCATAGGAAAACTGGCCTTATGATTTGGTGGTGTCAGCCAGTAAGGGAGAAAACATCGTGCGCCAAATGCTGCAAGATTCGTTACTGGCCTTGTCGTCGTCTCCGCGTGTTCGTGGGACTCCTGCCACCGCGTCCACCGGTGACACGCGGGCGCTCGGCCAAGCTGCAGTGCAGAGGACACAAAGTAGAGGAGAAAACTATTTGGACGAAGACTTGCGACAAAAACCAACTGGCGGAAAGCAGCAGCTGCGGCTCCCACCGCCGTTCTCGCTGCTCCTCATAAACGGCTTCGAAAACACCCGGGAGCACATTCTTTCGCTCGCAACTCGTCAGCGAATCGAGCTTTCGGCGCAGGAAAGTGGTGTCGTGGCACGACACCGACGTCTCAACGACATGGACGAAGAGTTACCAACTGAAAAAGTTCAAGTTGTCGCTGAGTCTGGATTAGAGGCATCTCAATACTAAACTATTCCGCATTTTTGAACTTATGTTCTCCTTCTTGATCCTTGCACAAGGCACGAACCAGTTCCTTTTGATGCAAAATTTTTCGTTGAGCCCCGACCCGGAGCGTGTGCAGCATATACAACAGCACAGTGACTTCACTATTTCCACTCTATTCATTGCCCAGAACTAGACTCGGCAGACATCTTTCCATTGCATACCAAGATGTCGAAAACGAAGTGATGAATTCATTTATTAACGCCTACATCAATGCCTTTTCCTTTTCCGCCGCCTCCGCAAACAGCCAGATCTGTCACCGCCTGATAGTGGAAATAAAGTTCCCAACTTTCCTCCGCTCGCCGCCCTCCGCCCATGGGAATCCTGCCGACGAAGTTTGCCTCAAGCTATTGATGCACCAAGCGAATTTTCTTGGTCTTTACCTGCAGCATTCCGGCCAGATTGATAACGACGCGCCAGGGCGAAGAGCTATTCGCGAGAAGGCCTACCGGCCGATGTTCGATGAGTACAACAGGCATGCAAAACAGACCGGTGCCACGTTGTGCAAGCAGGCCGCGCTGCTGTTCTTGTTGACCAAGCGGGCTTGGTTCGAGAGTGTGGCGAAACAAGAGATTCTGCACTACGTTCAATCGGAACGCGGTCGCGCTGTCCTCACGAAACTGCTAGCTGACGGCGTGGTGTCGGTTTCCCAGCAGGAGAAGGAGGACGTAGCTAACGTTTTACGGCAACTAGTAGAGACCGTGCTCGACGAACGTGTCTTCTCTCTTGCGGAAAACGACGAGGAGGTGCCGGCAACACACAGCATGTGGATGTCGTTGCTGAAAAGCGCAGCATTGCAAAAAGCGCCGACCTACGAAATTGTCAAGGCTCTGAAGCTGCTCCAAGACGAATCCGTACAACCTCCACGGAGTAGTTCTGGTGTACTGGGTAGTGCTGACGTCATGTTGGCGGGGAGCGGTAGTTCATTCCTGGGGATGGTAGCACCGTCCTCGGGCAACTCCCATGTTGACAAGGAAGTACGAGGACCGAAAATCTTGCGCCGCTTGGTGTTCACCAGCCATGGAGGGAAGAACACCGAGACTGGCGAAAGCAACCAGGACACGAAACAGCGGGCGGCGAGGCACTTGGTGAGCGATCTGGGCGGCGAAGGCGACGTTCTGGTGTTCGATTCCTACGAGCTTTTTTCCCACACAATTGAGCGGAAAATGGATCCGACTGCAGAGGGGCAGAAGGAAAAAATCTCTGTGTCCCCCCCGGAAAATCTCTTCCAAACACAGAAACTGCAGCTGAATCCCGACACGCACGGCAATCCGGTTTCCTTGTACGACGTTCCCGCATGGACAGGGGTGAGCACCCGACTGCCGGGAAGGCCCGGATTCCATTCAGGATCGTCGTTTGCCAGCTTGCTGGTGCGCTGGGCAGTGGAGGATGATGATGAACATGAAGAAGTACCAGAGGGCTTGTTACCGTGGTGGAGCCTCCATGACGAGAAGCAACGCGCGTGGTGGTTGGAGCGGTTGCGGGAGCGCGACAGTGCACGCCTCCTGCCGGTAGAACAGGACACTTTGGCGCGCATTGATCTGACCGTGTCGCGACGTACTGGATCCACGCTCTCCTGGCCCGTGGATTTTTACGTCGACTTCGTGGAGAGGAGCTTGCGTGGTCGTCGTGGAGGTCCAGACCATATTACGCATCAGTGGGAGCCGCAAAACCTCCAACTGAGGTCGGGCAACAAGCGATGTCGAAGTCGAAGAAGTAGTGCGCACTCTATTACTAGTTTGCGCCGGAGGCTCGCGAGCCAGCACCTCATGCTGACCACGACAGGAGATATGCAAAAGCGAAGGGACGACCGCGACCGAGGTCTTCGGAAGTATCCAGGAGCCCATGAGCTAGCGCTTAGCAGGGAGCTTCAGAAGCCCTTTCTCGCGCCGAAGACGAAGAGAAGACGCCAGAAGAGCAAAGCCAGAGCAGCCTCCGTAGCTCCGCGGCAGAGTGCCGTGAGAGACCTGTCAACAGTAGAACGCCAATGCTCGCGACGAGGAGAGCCTGGGAACGACGAGGGGCCACAGTTGATTGCGGACGCAGATCCATTTTTTCAAGTTTTGTTGGGTTACGGGGGAGATGTCTGTACGACACCGGCTACTTCTTTGCATTGGCACTTCGCTCCCCACTACAGGGCTTACAATAAAATGACACAATCATCGCAAACCGAAAGTAGTAGCTCTGTGGCTCTGGGACTGGGAGTTTCTTCCTGTCCGGCATCGCTTACAAGAACAAACGATCGCCCTGGTTTATTCGATGCTCCCGACTCTTGCCATATCCAAGACAGGCTTTATTCTTGGTTGGCGCCGTGCGACCAGGCCGAAGTAGAGGAAGTTAGAGCCCTCTATCCCGCCGTGGGCGACCCCGAGCAAAAGTGGCAAGCCCCGGGGAGAATCACAAGGCTCTTTCGCCCCACACGAAGCGATCGTATGGTCTTTGGACGTAGTGGATGCTCAGTTTTTTCGCGCAGTAGTTGCAAGATCGACAAAAGCAGCTGGACCCCCGCGCTCGGCGCGCAGACGATGCGGATGCGTCTTTATCACGTGCTAAACAGTGCAGACAACCTCGCCGGTATTCTTCGCGACGGCTTTCGAGAGGATTACGCAACGACGATGCTCTTGGGGAGAGGGGTCTATTTTTCGACAGAAATGGACACGCCACTGCTTTTCGGAGACAAGTTCGTCGCCTACGAGCCGCCACTGCCGTTGGCTTTAGCAGGGGATGCGCAAGAACATGTTGATCGAGGCGGCTTATCTTCTGCGAAGGTTGTTGTACAACGCCCGGCTGCAAATGCACAAGACGAGTACGTTGTCAGCGATAAATCTGAGCGAGAAAGAAGGAATATCAGGACTTACAAAAAGTATCTGTTTAGCGCCATGATGACGGGTGTGAGCAGCCTGGGACCACGACGTGAAGGCAATTCTATAAGTGGCGCGCCAGCATCTCCAGTGCCGTCAAATACTGCTCAGCCTCTTGTGGGAAAAGATTACAAGCGCCCCCTGCCCACCCCCTTGTGCCCGATTTTCCCGGCGAAGTGGGAAAAGAGGCACCGGAAGCAAATAGACATGGAGTTGCGTCAGCACCCCGACGAGGACGACGAGTTACTCTTTTTTCGGCAGCGCCAAGCGACTGCAAGCCTGGAGATGGCACGACACACAATAATGGAAGAAATTTCGTTTGAAAGTAGAGAGCGGCCTTACAAGCTCTTCGATCGGAGGGTGTGGGACGCGGTCGCGCTTACTGCGGGTACTACTAAAAACGTTGCGCCTTTTGCAGAGTCAGAGACGCGGACAACATTGAACGCAGCCACATCGGTGGTAAATTCTGGCTCAAGAGCAGACGCAATGTATGTAGAGGGACAACGTCGAGAGCAGGAGCAAGATGCGTTTCTGAAGCTTCTAACGGAGGAAATTTACTTCGGCCCGGAGTGCCTATGCAGCCGATTTTTGAAAGTCAAAGAAAGACCGCGAGCCAGCTCGGGTTCGATTCCACCGGCCAGCTACCTGGAAGAAGACAAGCTGCGTCACGATCCACGGTTCGGTTTTCGCCAAGATTTGGCCGGGGGTCCCGCGTGCTTTGGAACAGGGCCAAGCCTCCAGGAGATGGAGATGGCAAATTTATTCGCGGGTGAGGTAGGAAATAACAAGACAGCCAAGAATAAGATGAATACCGCTGGGGGAAAAACACAAAATGTAGTCACCACACCTTCGGATAATGTTGGTAAAAATCACGACGACGAGGAGAAAAGTGCGGCTGATGAAATCTTTTCTCAATTCTACGACCTGGCAGTGCAGAACGCCCAGGTGGACGTCGATGACGTTTTTCTAGCACCAGAAGCTGATGCTGACGAGGTTGACTCGCAGAAGACGTTGCGGTTTGGCGAGGATTGTGAAGAGGACGACCAGGGGAGCAGCGCGGGCGAGACCCGACCCGCAGCGACCGGAACAGAAGCAGTAGCAGTAGGAAGAGGAGCACCAGAGCAAGCGCAACTCCACCCTGACCACCGCCCGCCGGTCGTCCAACTGCGACTGAACAAAACGCCGCGCAGTTTGTTGCTGAAAATGCTGATCACCGGCGAGGAGCCGGAAGTTTTGCAAAAGTTACCCGAAACGAGTAGACTCTCCTTCTACTCCTTTGTACACATAAAGTTGTTGCAGTGGTTTTTCGACCACTCGGAAGCCGTGAAAACAGCACGAGAAGTCGGAGCGTACCAAGTGCACATCAAGACTAAGCGTACAGAAGTGCTGACCACTACGGATGCACCTGCCGGAAAGGCGACAGACTGGAGTCTCAAAGACGGAACCGAACACTACGTGGTGGCGGACTACACGAGGGTAAATGGGTTTTTGTCCGACCCCCGCATCGTAGAGCTGGAATTTCAGCAGTGATTACTATAGTATGCATCATAACAATACGTGGTAGAGTGTTGACGACATAACTACTGTGTTTTTTCGCGTTTCTGTGGTTCTCCGTTCTTGCTTCGCGCTGAAGGCGGTGCTGAAAGATTGAAGATTTTTGCTCCTCTCCACGACCAGCGAAGAAGCAGACTATTGTTTCCAACCGAAAAGAACTGAAAAATCAATAAACGGCAGAATTTTCTCTGCGACATTGTGGTCTTTGGCTTTCGGGATCGGGGAAGATTATTTTACCCTTGTTGTTCTGTCCTTTAGTGGCCGAGGCTAACATCGGCACGAGACAAAATAAACATCAATGGAATTCTGTTACTTAGGGTCTACATCGCCACGAGAGTAAGGTGTACCAAGAGTCATATTTGTCGGTTCATTAGGTGAATGATCATGCTCAGGATCCAGACACGATCGGCACCACCAGAACTGGCACTTCTTACTACGCGTCGGATTCATGTTGAGTTTCCTTTTCGGTCATTCTCATTCATTGCAAGTTGTCCTCGCGCGACAACGAGGAGATGTTCGGTCTGTGATGTACGTGGAGTCGGTCTGGTGCCAAATCCAATTTGTTGCTATAGTACATGTTTATTAAGTGATTCGGATGTGGAGGAAGATAAAGATGCTCGGGTACGATGCTACGTTATTTGTCGGTTGCTAGTACTTTCTTATCCGCAAGAGAACCTGCTAGAAAGATCTTTATTTTGCATGTGGATGTAATGTAACTTAAACCTAGAAGACAAAAAGAAAAACAAACAAAAAACTACCCGCGACTGTTGATAGTGTAAACAAATACCATGCATTGATTCCTCGTTCTCGCGGCAGTTCCTTGCTCCTCACTTTGGCTCTTAAGACATAGTGAAGCAGCTAATTACGCGTATAAACCGTAGACACGAAAAAAACAAAATAATTTTTTTGAGCTCATACCGAACAAGGGCGTCAAGCGACCGTGATAGAAACGGAAACAAAGTCTATCTAACGTTTTGTCTGAAAACAATAAAAGTTGCAGGGCAGAACGCTGATCCGCTCGATATAAAAGGAAAAAAATACTACTGCGTACGAGTGCAACCAACTAAAAACATGTTGCGCGCCAAAAGTCTTTTGTTGTTTCACAACCTCGCCACGATTCTCCTGTCGGGTGTTGGCATGGGTGTCGAGGTCGCTGACGGGGTGAAGCTTTCAATCCTTTTCCAAAAAACGGGTCAGAAGACCAAAACGACACTTGCGCCCCCAGGCAGTGCTGTCACCCAGCAGAACTGCTTCAACAGAAACGGCGTATCATACACGAAAAAGCTAGCGCATCATGTCTGTGTTGCAAACATCAGCGGTACATGATTATATCTAAATGCACCATAATTCATCTCAATTCGGCGGGGTCATGCCTGAGCCCGTAGCAGAAACATGCATTCAGTATGTTTTTGGCTATAATTTTCTTTGCTGTTACAATACAGATACAGGCATGAAAAATGATCCGCTAGAAGCCTTTTTTGCTGCTATCCGGCAATGCGCTCGTCGAGACTTGGAATTCGATCTACAACGATAAAGGAGGGGCCCGAGGTTCCTACCCGGGTCTAGCGCCGCCTGAGGCCTCCGCTATAATATGCAGCGCAACTTATAAATATGGCATTTTTGTGCCCACTGGGCACTGTGAAACTGGGTTGAAGAGTCGTGCGCAAACTCGCAAAAACCATGTGCCCAGCCGGTCACAGGCACGGAAGCGAAATTATTTTGTGCATGGGCAGCAAAGGAGGTTCTCGCTGTGCTGCCTCTTACGTGGCACACCTTCCCAAGAAATAACACGAAGCGCTGCACCTGCAGCAGTCTTCTCATACATAAAAGTTGTTGAAGATCCTCGAGATAAGCCTTTAATGTTGACACGGCTCCACGAAGCCTAAGCCTTCGAAGCCTGTCTCTACTTTGTTTTCCAGCTTTATTGCCAGCCTATCGAAGTGGAATAGGAAGTGCTGCAAAATGAGCTGTGTGGTAATGGAAGTCTAAGTATGCATCTACTTCTTGTCATCTTGCGCTGACTGACACGAGTGCCAACTCAGATTTCGCACGGTTTTTACAGTCGATCGATGAAAGGACATTGTAACAACCGGCAAGACACAGACGCAAAGCGCGGGGAGAGTGCAAAGCGGGTAGATGTTATCAAATGAAATAGTGCTAACTTTGACGGTTTATTTCACAGATTGCAATGATCATGCATGACAATACTTTCCCCGTAGCACGCAAGCCGTGTTGTCCCGTAGCACGCAAGCCGTGCAATACAAATTCGGACACCTCTTTTTCTGATGCATTACTGCATGCCGAATTCCGTTAACGTTGGACGTTTTTTCTTGTGATATTTGTCTTGGTGGACACCTTGGCCAAACTTAGCGCGGACGATATCAACTGCAAAAGTAAGTGCGCGCCAGAGGAGATGGAGGAAGTGCAGCTGTTTATTACCAAACCTGATTGCAATTTTTGTTGAAAATTGATATATTCATATTCTTAAACTAACACTCGACGAAAAAAGATGTTGAGTGGTGTTTTCAACTCGATAGGGGGTTTTTACATCGCAGACAACGCTAGCGCTTTTCACACAGGGCGGGGCACTTTTCACCCTGACAGACAGCGACAAGCTGCTAACCGAGTACATGTCCAGCGCCAAACAAAACATGGAAAAGTGGGCACTGGAAGCCACGGACAGCGCACGGAAGAAGAGCGGAGATGCGACGGTGGAGGTCCGGGTTATCGAAGGTGATTCCTTGTTGACGACGCGCTACTTCACGGAGCTATATGGGGAAACTTTCGTCGTTTTAAACATGGCAAATGCCTTTTCCGTGGGGGGTGGTGTGAAGTTCGGCGCTGCGGCGCAGGAAGAAAATCTGTTTCGACGTTCCAGCTGCCTACTGCAGCTTCGACCCGTAGAGGTGAAACGAAACCCCGATGGGTCGCTGAAAGACCCGAGTAAGTATACCCGAACGAGCAGCGCCCTGATCAATGGCAAGAACGACGTGGTTGAGCTAGACGTAGACAAACCGCGCGTGTGCGTGAAGGGGGCCGAGGACAAGGCGCACCCGGCACTCGGGTACGAGTGGCTGGCCGCCGAGGAGGCGTTTCTGTGGTACGAGATGCGGGTATGAGACTGCGCAACTCCCTCTCCCCCTCATCTGTATTGATGCGACGTGGAAAGCAATGCAAAAGCAAACACCCCCACCTCCTGTGGAGCCTGTGCATGACAAGTTCTTCATGCGCCTAGTGTAGTACCGTTTGTGCTTCCGGAGCCGATGTCATGCAAACGGTAGCACAAAGCGCAAGCAGCGCTTAGATTTGGCATCTTGCATGATAAATGCGGTTCTGACCCTAGATCTCCTGCGTCCGTAGCTGGTTGCGACGATGGTGCAGGGGTTTTTGATGAGGTGCGGTCGGGTATGCATGACAAATGAGGTGGAGGGGGAGTTGTACACACTCATAGCAGGCGGCGGCGGTGCACTACCCGAAGCCGAACCCTACCAACTGGGACCGCGCCGAGGCCAAAAAACGGATCAAGGCGCAGTTCGCGACCATGCGGGCCAAGGGGAAAAAGTTCGCAATTCTGTCCGCCTTTGGATGTGGGGCGTTCAACCAGCCAGGTGACAAGGTGGCGCAAGTGTACAAGGAAGTCATCGAGGAAGAGAAAGCCGGGTTCGCGGGGGGTGCCCTGATTTTTGCGATTATTTCCCCCTACGGGCCGCAGAACCAGCACATGTTCGCGCAAGTGCTGTCGCCGACTGGACAACCCGAGAAATTAGAGGAATTGGCTCCTATCACTAGTACCAGCTCGACTAGTACCACGTCGTGCAATTGCTAATGCGGAAGGTGATTCAACAGGTGCACATGGACGTGCGCTGATACTGATACTATGTATCACAACAGGAACAGATCTTTAAGATTGAGTTTAAATTATAAAAAGCAATGTCAATGAAAATGATATTGTACTTCACGAGCGCGAGGGTCGTACTTTTTTCATTTATTAGATTTATGAAACTTGTCTTATGCTCTTACTCAGAACCCTGCTCTGTTTTCACACAGTTTTCTGGTTGTATGCGCATCAACTAAGAGTTTCTAACTCATTCTGTCTAGAAGTACTCTCTAGGCTCCACTATTCTATTGACGATGACGTTTCGTCAGTTTTCTAGGTCGTGAGCGGAGTGGAAAGATTTAGTTAGCAAAACCAGATGATTCAAGCACCGACGAAGAACTGTGACCCCCAGCGGGGGCACAGAAAATTTTGTATGAAGACGTACCTGGTAGGCACGCGTCAGCATCTGCTAGAGGGCGAGGTGCGAGATGTGCGGCGCAGTCAGCTCGCAGCTGAAGCTGCTGCACATCTAAAAACCGTGGCAAAATCGATCGAGATGACGCTTGTAGCGAGAACCGCATTGATGCAGCTATCAGGAACAAGGAATAGAGATTGCCGGAGCGCACACAGACGCCCGCCCCCCTCGGGGAAGCATAGGCTCCTCCTGGATCCGATATTCACCTCTCGAGATGATCTCAAGGTCTCGCCAGACCAGACAAGTTCACAGAGGGTCGCCTCACACTCTTGCTCGTCCGTACAAATCGTTTGAGTGGATCGCTTTCCTGGTGTCACGATCAAAAATCGAGCGTCGCGTACCCCAGACAGGGCACACCCAAGCAAGCAAGCAAGCAAGCAAGGCGAATCAGGTATGTATGTGTATTTACTTAGCAAAAGGTCTCGTGTCAAGAGAATACCAGTGGATCGCTATGTGTGTTTTGAGAATGAAGCTTTGAGAACTGAAGGTGAAGATCAGGATCAGCAAGATGGGCGAGCAAAATAAATAAATGTCTCTGGCATCCTGATTCTACAAATCAACGTATGTGATCCCGAGATGGCACCAGAAAATCTGGATCTTTAGCTAATCGTAATCATGTCAACCGCTTGGAAAAAAAAAAAACTCGGATCAGACTCTGCTATCGAAAAAGGATCATTTTCGATGAAGATCAGGAATCCGAATCTGATAGGATCCGTCTGTAAAAACGAAAAATTGATGCGCAATCTCATGGTCTTCGTCTTGAAGAAATTTCCATTTCGTAGATGATATCATAAAGCTCGTCAAGCTGTACTGAACTCGGCATGGCAGGCAGCCGGAGTTTTTGTTGTGAAATGTTGTTCGCAATTTGTTTTTTATTTATCCGTCATGTGCAGGCGAAACCAGATCAATATCTGAGCATTTTAGCCATAGCTGTTTCAGTTGCAGCCTGCATACCGACGTTAAGTCCAAGATCTTGCAGAACTGGCATAATTATTAATTTGATTGGTGCGTACTTTTCGTGGCGGGGATGACAATACACACTACACTTGATTAATGTACACTTGTAGTCGCACAAATTAAATTGTCGACTCCAGTATCGCTCAGATTCATCATTCGCCTTCGCTTTTTCATACAGCAGGTTTAGCATTGCAATCATGTCGGACGACAGCGACTACGTCTATCATGATGGTTCGGACGATGAGGAGCATCTGGACATTTTGGACGATCGCGCAGCACAAGACGCAACGGAGCACCATCAAGCCTCCCCTGATAGCAAACAAACTCAAGGCGACACAACTGCTCTCCAGCCCGAGAAGATGTCGAAAAGAAAACGGAAAAAGCTGGAGCAGCTCCAGAAGAAGAAGGAGCTGCAGGATAAACAGAAGTCCGTCTTGGACGAGCTGCAGCAGTACCGGCTATCAGCGAAGGAAATCGGGCTTCTGAACTCGACGGCGCGGAACCTCAGTTCCTGCGGCACGCGGCGCGCGGAAGTTCTAGCCGCAAAACGTGCCCGGGAGGAGGCGAAGGACGAACAAATTTTGAAGAAGGCGAAGATCGAGAAAGAGGAAAACGAAAAACGAATAAGAGCGCTGGCGGACGAAGAGCAGATGGCGAAACTGGAATTGGCAAAGAAGAGTCAAACTTGTACGGAAGAAGTCGTGTCGGCGAATAAAGATGTTCTGGCGCAAGAAGCCGTAGCCGGTCTGCAGAAAAATAACGTCGGCCGGGGCCGGCGACTGTCGAGGAAAAACAAGCAGGCGAAGCTAACTGCTGAGAAAGAAGCCCCCGAAATCTTCGACGAGAAAGAGCGCGAGCAGGCCGTAGCTTTTGGCGCAAAACCTGGCCAGCGCGGGTTTTTGGAGATTGAGACCGCAACGACGTTGATAGAGTCCTCCGATAAAGACGACGATGATGATGAGCTTTCCTTGGATCCGTTTCAGAAGAGGGCAATGGCGAAGGCAGCTGCAGGAGCTGCTTCCGAAGAGCAAGCTGGACGGAAGACATCGGATACCATGTTTGTTTCCCTGGAAAGTCTTGCTGGTGCTGCTGCTGCGGAGACACCCGGCGCAAAACCAGCCGTTGGAAGCATGCCCAGCACAAAAGGCAATGCGCACTCAGAAACTTGTGCCGCGGAGGCCAAAAGCAATGCGGCCTGCGTTGACCTTCCGAAAAACTTGGAGATTTTCAGGATTAACAAAAATAAGCCGAAGAAGAAGAACACAACGGCTGATCTTGAAGTCGATGAAGACGAGAACACGCTGCCCCCCTCGGCCACAAATGCGAATAAGCTTTTGACCCCGCGGGGTAGGAACAAACGGATCACCCGCAAGACCGCCATCGAGGAGCAGCGGAGCAAACTGCCCGCGATCGAGAAGGAACAGGAGGTGATCGAGGCTTGTTTGGAAAACGACGTGATTCTCGTCGCTGGCGACACCGGGTGCGGGAAGTCCACACAAGTGCCGCAGTTTCTCTACGAAAACGGTTTTTCGGAGTTTGGCTGCATCGCAGTAACCCAACCGCGCCGCGTGGCCGCGATTTCGGTGGCCCAGCGGGTCGGGGACGAGCTCGCGCTGCCCGAGGTAGTAGAGCTGCAGAAGCAAGAGCAGATCTGTTCAGATCAGGATCAGGTGAATGGGGGGACTTCTAGTTCCACGACTACTGCTAGTCTTGTTCTTGACCAAAACAAGTACCTCGTCGGATACCAAGTGCGGTACGACAAATCGTACTTCCACCCGGAGAAGACGAAGCTGAAGTTCCTCACGGACGGAATCGTGTTGCGGGAAATCCAGCACGATTTTCTCCTACCGAACTACAGCACGATCATCCTCGACGAAGCGCACGAACGCAGCGTGAACTGCGACATTCTGATCGGCATGCTGAGTCGCGTCGTGGAGGAAAGGCGACGCAGGTTTGAGGCGGAGTATGAAAGAAGGAAAGCTACTTATTCTACTAGCAGGAGTTCTACTCGTCCGAAAATAAATCCAAAAGACGGTTGTAGTTCCACAAGGACATCACCGACTTCTGGCGCGATGTTGAGCCGTGAACCCGAGGACCAAGATTCTGATCATCCCGAAAACTTCTCCACTTATCCGAAGACCTCCCTCCCGTTGAAGCTGATCATCATGTCCGCAACTTTGCGAGTGTGCGACTTTACGGAGAACACGCAGTTGTTCTCCAAGCCACCTCCGGTGGTCCGGATTGACGCGAAAACCTTCCCCGTCGCGGTGCATTTTGACAAGCGGACTTCGCAGGACTACCCGAAGGACGCGGCGAAGCGGGCGCTAGAGATCCACGAGAAACTGCCGTGCGGCACGATTTTGGTTTTCGCGACCGGGAAATCGGAGGTGCACAGAATCATCCATTTGATCAAAAAGGAGCATGGCATGAAGGCGAGAAGGATAAAAAAGAACGGTGGCAACAAGAACGGAAATGATTCTGCAGGAGCAGCAGGTGCGGACGAAGACGGACAGGACAGTAGAGATTCTGATTCAGACGGCGATCAGGAAGATGAGAATTACGAACTTGGGAACCACGACTCCGAGGCAGAGGAAGACTTCGATGATGATTTGACGGCAGTCCCACAAGTTGTACAAGATGAAAAGGAAATGGAAAGCATAGAAACGGTTGACAGTGTCAATGTGGAGAGCGAAGCAAAGCGAGCGAAGATGGGTCTTCGTGGCGAAAAAATGAAAAAGAAAAAGCTCCTCCAGGACTTGAAATCCAAACTCGCAGAAGACAGAGCAGTAGGTGCGGGGATCACTAGTTCTACGAAAGCAGGTGTCAAGAAGAAGAAGGTTTTGAAGAGGAAAAAAGTTGACAAAGAGACAACTACAAGTGCAACTTCTGCAACGTCAGAAGTAAAGTCCGCAAGCGCACCGGAAACTACCGCTATTGATGAAGAAGACGATGAGGATCTTCTTCCAGAGGATATCTTCCAGCTCGACAAGGAAGAGGATTGCGTTGACTTGGTCACCGCAAATACAACAAGCGAAACCCAAAACGATAATTCCACGCAAAACGCTACCTCATCTACTTCGCTGAATAAAGAGAACAAGCGTATCCAGATGTCAAAACTCGACCGCAGCCGCACGGCCCGCGGGTTGTTCTGTGGCGGAGACAAAAACACGGAGAACGTGAAGCTCACGGTGTTGCCTCTCTACGCGCAGCTGCCCGCCCGGGAGCAGATGCGGGTTTTCGACAAACCACAGGAAAACGAGCGAAGGATTATCGTGTCCACGAACGTGGCGGAAACCTCTGTGACGCTCCCTAATGTGAGATTCGTCGTCGACGCGGGGTACGAGAAGAAGCGGAACTTCACCCCAAGCGGAATTTCTTCCTTTTCCGTCCAGTTCATCAGCAAAGCCAGCGCCGACCAGCGCGCAGGCCGGTCCGGCCGGGTCGGGCCGGGGCATTGCTACCGGTTGTACAGCTCCGCGTGCTACAACGACGTGTTCACGCAGTTCCCCCCGATCAACGTGCTCAGCGTCCCGATGGACAGTGTTTTGCTGTCGATGGCCTCGATGGGCATTCCGGACCTGGACAAGTTCCCCTGGCCGACGCCGCCGCCCGGGAAGAACGTGAACGCCGCGCGAATGCGCTTGGAAGCGCTGGGGGCGTTTTCTTCTTGTTCCTCAGTTGGAAAAGGTGAGAATTATGCCGCGACGTCGTGTAATATCATCAGTAATATAAAGAAGAACAGCAGCAATATTACGACGATGGGACGGCGATTGGTTCTGTTCCCGCTTCAACCCAGGTACAGTGTGATGCTGTATCAAGCGCTGCAGAAGGCGCTCGAGTTGTATGGGAAGAGAAACAGTACTGCAGTGGATGGTGGGGGTCAACATGGAAGTAAAGCGAATGCAAGTTTAACTTCGAAGAACTACAAAACACTCGCCCAACTTCTCCTCCAATCCGCCTGCCTCCTGACTGCCGCGCTCTCCACGGGGAACGTGCTAACCTGGAACGCAGGCACTGCTAGCGCTAAAGCGGCGGGGCAAGCGGATAAAACAAAAGCTGACCGTCTTGAAGATGGCGATGCCGCAGAAACAACCTCCGACATGGAAGGTGTTGACGAGCGTCCAGCAGACAAAAACTTCGCTCCCGGCGACGATGAAGTCGACTCCCTGACCCGGAAACAGCAGCAAGAGCTCGGCATCTCCACTATGAAGCGCGGAGGGGTGGTCGAGAAGAACGGGAAGGAAATCAAAGAGCCCGACTGGTGCTTCGATTGCCACGACGACATGGAGGCCTTGCTCTGGGCCATGACGGAGGTGCATGCGCGGTTTGGCGGCAAGACCACACCTACGAAAGGAGCAGATGTTCTTCATGGAGACCAAACAGAACAAACGGGAGCAAACTCTACAACCTCTAAAGACAACTTCTGCATCACCAACTGGATAAATCCGAAGCAGATGGAGGAGGCCCAGAATCTGAGCAGTCAGCTGCTACAGATTCTGAAAACAAAGCTTTCACTGCCGAAGGGACTGATCTGCGTTGCTGACAGTGCACAAAAACCCTCATTGTCGAAGATGTCGGCTGCCGGTAAAATAAAGGTAGCAACCAGGCCCAGTTTCAGAGTTCTGAAGCAGCACAACATCATGCACCACCTCCGAACCACGATTCTCGCTGGCTTGGTGGACAAAATCGCGAGACAGTCTGTGGAAAAACCGAAGCTCTACGAACTCGCGCTCCAAAATCCAAATTTTGCACAGCAAAACAGCTTCACAAAGGTAAACGCGGCTTTACACATTTCTTCTCGGCTACTGAAGGAGCGCCCACATCTGCTGTGCTACGTGGATTTGCAGTCCTCTGTGTGCGGGAGAACCGGAAAGCAGAAATTCTTCCTGTCCGGCTGTATGGCGGTTGACACGGTAGAGTTGAGCAGGTTGAACTTGTTGAATCTCGCTATTTCCGATGGTCGTGCGGTCGAGGAGCAACAAACGCGCACTACAAAAACGACCGACGCGGCGTTCACCTCGCCGCTGCTGTCCTATGCCAATGGCGTGCTGGCGATTCCGACGCCCGTTTTGGCGGACAAATTTAGCGGGAAAATTACTGTGCACTGCCAACCGAGATACTTGCCTTTGGATAAAATGCTGTTGCCAACCGTACCGAACGTCGACTTGGCGGAAATTGAGAGAACAGTGGCATTGACGACACACAACTCGTTCGCGTCTTCCGTTGACAAGAACAACTGCGGGGGAACAGTAAATGATCTTCCCAAAAGTAGCACTACATTGTCCAGCTACACGGGCGGCAGCATTCCGGAAGTGCAGACCCTTCGGTACCGGGTGTTTGCGAAAGCGCTGCTGGAGGGAGCTATTTTTCCGCAGTTGAAGCGACAGGAGTTTCGGATCGACCGGTCGTGTCCCATGGACCGCATTCTCACTTCGAAACAAAGCGAACTCGTCGGCACTTGTGGCTTGCATGTCGCGGACTTGGTGCAAAATCTGGTAAAATTAGGCGTGAGCAGCAAAACCGCGTTCTTGGAGGCGGATAGGAGGAGAAATGGCGCTTTGCGCGGCCTGTATTTGAATTGCTTGCCGAAGAATAGTCGCAGTCAGGCGATGAGGCTGCTGGCAGAGGCGGTCGTTGGAAGATAAATCTCGAAGACCGCCAATTGCAGCGAATCCAACCTCCAATTGTATCGTGACGAACGACTGCGAGGATCTTGTGACCTCTCGTTTAGACCACCCGCCTTCGAAATTTCGATCTCGTCTATACAGACGCAAACGCATGCAACTACAAAAAAGAAAATACTTGATAACATAGCAGGAGTAGTAGAGAAGTAGGAGCTGGAATTGCGACATCAAGGTGCTCCTTGCAGCCTTTGCGGCTCCCTGGACGAGGTTTTGTCTTCATAGAAGTGTTCTTGCGGTACTGACGTGACAGTGACTAGTGAAAAGTAATGACGGTAGGTGTGATATCAGCCGTCCAAAAATACAAGCATGTGTGTAAGTAGTCGTGCGAAATATTCCTCCCGGTCGAGAGACATAGAAAGTGCTCTTCCAGTAGTGCAGAAAAAATCACGCAACGGTGTGTATGCTGAGAGAGCTGCCTGTTTCATCAAATTCAGAAGTTCGTTCTTGTCTCATTTCTGAGTTACATATTTCTGGGCCGCTTTGTGCCCATCGGTCGACTATACCAATAACGGCACTAATTGAGTTTCATGAGAGATGCTTTTCTACTGCCTCTTTTTCGTCTGCAAACGGTTAACGGTAGTACCAAGAATAACCTTGCTGAGATTGAAAACAAAAAGTCGTACTTGTTACAAGCGTTGGTGCCTTTTTCTAGACAAGGGACGATTGTCATTTTTTTCCAAAATAATAGCGAAAGTTGTTTGCAGTATTTAGGGGAGGGAGTAAGAACATCGAGGTAGTAGTAGACGATCGCTAAGTAACAAGACACCAGCTCAGAGTGTGGTTTTTGAGATTCAACTTCTTGAGGGGTTGTATTTGATATTGATTTACTTAAATCTGTTTGTCACTGTGTATTTTTGACGACCACACGGACACGTGTGTACCTTATTGTATTTTTAACGTCCGAAAGCGGCACAGCTTGCATCTTCAAAAATATTGCTGCAATATGTCCCCGCTCATGATGGCAGCTACCGGTCGCAGCGGCTCTGGAACCATACTCGAAACTTAGACTCCCAAACGCTCCCAGTCCGAAGCCATGCGTGACTCCATTCTCGGGCGCAGTTTGCAGTTGCAGAAGGAGAGTGGTCACCAGATTAGTAATCGCCACACGTCGGCAAGTACGAACTTGAATTCTTCCTCTTCCTCGCCCAAGAAAAGCAAAAAGAGTTCGCAGAGGAGCAAGGATCATAGTTCATCCAGTTCTAAAATGACCACTGCCGGAGCGTCGTACGAAAGCTCTAAGCATCAAAGTGGGGCCGCCGCGGTGGACCACTTGTCCGCCACGGCTGCGAACCAGTTGGTCCTCCCTGTGCAGCCGCATTCCTGGGTGGCACCAGATGGAAATAACAGCAACATCGACAATTCAGTCGGTTCCTCCGTATCAAATGTAAAAATGTCTGGGTCTGGAAGAATGCATGTTTGTCATGCTTGTCTGGCATGACTGTTAAGTCTGTCATGCACGTTGCCCAAGAGTCGCATTTTTCTGTCATGCGGAGACGCAATTTGTCACGCAGAATAGGCAACACCTACAAGCTCAGAAATTTGTCATGCTGAGCCAGCACTTGTGGCCTCCTCATGCTACGCCACTCAGCATCACAACTTTCCAGACCGAGACATTTTTGCATTTGATACTCCGAGAACTACAACAATATTGATCTCCACACCGACAGCAGCCGCTCTTCGCCGCTGCCGCACCAGGTGCTCAGCCCGGTGGAGCTGGAGCGGAGCCGGGACAGCAGCAGCAACGCCGCGAGTCGAAACAGCGGCAAGAACTCGAACGGAACGACGTCTAATATGTTGAACACTTCTACCGCACTGCACAGCAACTCCACGGCCGCCACGACTGCCTCTAGTACAACGACTACAGGAGCTGCACAAAACCACAGCTCCCAGCATGCCCCGACATTGATGGAAGATGTCGTGGACGACGAGCCGCGGTTGCGAAGTACCAACCGGACCATGAGTGGCGGCAGTGTGAAGCACTCGTTTCTGTCGAACAGCATCGCGCAGCGGCCCAGCGCGCACAACTCCATGTCCCCGGAAGTGGGTAGTGCGGCGGGCCGACCGAGTGGAATCCTCAAGTCCACACCCGGCCGCGTGTCTGTGCAGACCAACGCCCGCTCCACGCCCACAGTGTTGTGGCGGGACGAGGAATGCTCGAGCAGAGACGTACATTTTCTACGTATCATAGAGTTTTTTGTTTGCCTACCGTGCTCGTGCTGCGGTCGCGCAACAAAAAAGTACGTAACGAAATGACTTTCGCTTCTCCTTCTTGAAGAGTTGTCTCCATCATCTCTTAGAACATCGAATCCAAAAATAACCACAAAACTCAGCTCGACAGCGTGCAGGAGGTGGATAGCTGGAAAGACATCAACAAGCGACTGTTCGAGGGGGCTCCGGCTGGCAGTGGTGGCTGCTGTGCAATCATGTAAAAACGAATCAGCGGATGGGTTTATTCTCTTTTTTGCATCACGAAAATGAATAGGTACACTGTAAAAACTTGATGGCTTGCAATAGTTTTCTATTACTACTTGTTGTTGATCTTTTCCTTATTCCCCCACGTCTTGTTTCCGAAGCCTACCTGACTGGAGTCTGTACTCAGTACGCGTGGAGATGAAATTACGGTAAAAGGTGCTGTCGAAATCTTTTCGTGCAGCAGCTTCTACCATACCTACCTTATGCAACCAACGTACCGCTTCTGCGTCCTACCTCGAGCAATTTTGACACCACTCTCGCCTCTCCTCTGTTGTATATGCTGTAAAAAACTTTTGCTGTTTTTAGGTTGCAGATTAATGCATTTCTCTCAACATCATAATATGTGCTGGTCTACGATTATGTCTAGGCAGCTTGTATTAACGTCAAAGTGCTCGTTTGCATGTGCAGGCGAAATGTATGTAGTATTTGAAAGAGTAGGCGTAGTCACGTTGAGCTTTTGAATGCGTTATTGATTCATCTTGTTTGTCATCTATTTTCCCTGTACTTTTTACACTTGCAGTTTCCTACTTGTGACTTCAATCTCCGACGCCTCATAAGATTTGATATCCGCATATTGATTACTTTTTTAACTATTGACAAAAGTCAAAAAAAACATCATTTTTCTCCTCTATCGACGGCACCAGCTGTTGAGAACTCAATCAGCTGCCGTTAGTCTGTATACCCCTAGAGGCCATCAGTGTTGCAGATTTCAAGAGACTGATTCGTGTGCGTTTGCTACAGAAAAGTGTTGTTTATGAGCATTTCCATTGTAAAGTTGTGAGTCTTTTCATAACGAACGCCGACTATTGACACAAATGCACCAGCCACAATCCACTTCGAAATCACTGCAATACTCCACTACCTGAAGATAAAAACCTGCCACCATGATTTTTTCTAGAACATAGTGAGTGTAGATTAGACCAGTCTAGAAGTTTTTACAAAATTGCAGCTTCGCCGCGCCGCCACGCATTAATACTGGAATAGAATCGACGAGATGCTGCATTACACAATGGTTTGATGACTCAAGTTGTCTTTTTACGCAAGAATTGATGTGAGCATTCAACATAACCAACTACATACTCGGGCTGATGACTCTCTGAAAGTTCGATTTTCAATGTCACAAATAGACATTTTGCTGCTTCATCAGCATCGCGATTCGTGATTTGAAATTGAAAATTTAGGGGTAGTCACACTTTTAGGCAGTTGTTGTATCATTCAAAAGCATTATTACACTGATTCTGGACACGGAGATCTGGAACGATTATGCCGCGTCGAACAAGCTGCAGCTTTTATTCCAATGGCATTTGGTTCCGTGACTACGAAGCTCTCCAATAAAACACTGGATGATAGATCCGATCCTTTTTGTATGAATACGCGTTTTGTAAATGGCAATAGCCTGCTGATCGAACATATGGCACCTTTTTTACCGATGACATTTTTAAAGCGGATCCGTTCTTTTCTTTTTTTGGATCGTCGCCAGCAGCGCATCGTTCATTTGGTCCGACCATTGATGTGGTAAGATGGAACTACTCGAAGGTGTACTACTCACCTTCCATATGGCCACTGCAACAAAGGCACTGAACTCTTTTTTTTGAGTAACGTTCAAGATCTGATCATGCTGTTCGCGATGAATAAAACGTTGGTTTTGCTTTTTTCCCAACGTCCAATATGCAGCGAGGATCATGTTGATCGTTCCAGCTCGTCAATATACGATAGAAGCGCAGCGAAAAGGACGCCGGCGCAGGGTCGAAGAATGGGTCTTGACCAGGTCGCCTCCACAGCCGTTCAGGCCGTAGGCAGCTAGAATTTCGACGTGGCAGTTCCTTCGGGAAGAAGATGATCCTAGAGTTGTGATACCACCAAAATGTTGCTCCAGCAGCAGAGCACAGGCAGCTCGGGCAGCAAAAGTGGCAGAAGCTTCAGGAAGTCTGGAGATGAAGTTGTTCCGCCGCGCTCGGTGGAGCAGGAGGAGGTGGAGCCTGAAGCTGCGCAACACAGCGTGAGGATGAAACAGACCGTCGTCCAGGCGGAACCTGCTCGCTACAGAGAACCATCTGGCGGCCCGTCGCGAGAACAAGACCTGGATTTCTTGTGTTGCAACCAGAGCTGCCCTGGAGACTACCGCAAGAGCACTGTGGAGGCGCAGCATTACGCGCAGCGGAAATTTATAGTGCAACAGGCAGCTGCCGCTGCGCACGCTCAGCAGCAAACGGCAGGCGGAAAGAGGGCCACGTCCTCGCAACAGGACCGAGTGCACTTCGACAATGGCAACGACCTATCGGTGACTGCAGGTGGAGGCCCGACGGAGCAGACAAGTAGCACAACTTCAGCAGATCATCATTTCTGTGGAGGTGCACATGATCTTGCCAGCCCCGAGCATCATGCTCCTGCCCCTGCGTCAACGAATCAGCTCCGAGAGCAGGACAAGAAAAAAGCGTACCGCCCCGGCGCTCCCAGAGCAGCATCCCGGTCGGACATACTCCCGGACGCTCGGGCAGCTCTCGTGGCCGCCGCGACGACCAGCACTCCCGGTCTCCGGGGCCGCGACATCGCGAATTGCAGCGAAGGGGAAAGAACAAGTTTTTCCACACAAACGCTGCAAAAACGGCTCGACCTGTTTCGGTGTACCTCCTCAAACCTGCCGGCGGAAGAAAGGTGGCTGCAAAGGCGGAATCTGGTCAGCAGAAAGCCGCACTCTGTTTTAGGACGCTTTGCTCGTAGCCGCGGAAGGAAGGTACTTATTTTTTCATACATAACATTATGCTGCGGTATAGTTTTTCTTTTTCACGTTCTCCTAAATCTGAATCCGATAGATCCCGAGGGGCCGCGTATCAGCCCAAAAGCTTCATAAATGTGCTTGCTGCGGCCAATATATCAAATCGACTATGAAAATTTAGATGGACAATAAATTTAAATTAGAAGGAGCCTCGGAGGCAGCATATTTGAATGATGATAATTATTGAAATAGGAATTCATACGCATTACTATCCATAGAACACCAAGATCAGGCAGATCGGTTCAAAGTGATAAATCAAAACTGATTGGCACGAAATTGAACTTCACCGAAGGTGAAGATGATCCAAAGAATGCGCTCCATCTGGCAAGCTGAAAAATATCGGTAAAGCCAAAGTATGAAGTCTCTGTGTCGGTCATGATCTGTGGAAGGATATTGATAATTACGATAGTTATGAAATGAATGTTGCAGCTATTGCTAGGATCAGTGTCTGTGTGGCTACACTTTCTCCTGTTGTGTTGACGCCAACTGCTGCTCAACTATACTCACTGCGATACAGGTCATTTTTGCGGCGTTTTATTTCCAGCACTATGCTCTGATTTATCGGATTACTTCGTGCTGAGGTCTGCGTACCTTGGTACGAATTTCTATTTGTGCCCACCAAAGTTAGCTTTTAACTTCTTTTTAAAGACGTCACGGTGTCAAAACACGCTCACCTCCTCATCCAAGAACATTTTGCGTTCGTCGAGACAGCATTTAAAACGCTAATCGGACGATGAATTCTGACGAGCCAACCACGCTTGAAGATCTGTTTTCCCCGAAATCTGTTCAGGATGCTGCGGGGCGCTTTTCCGAAGACGTTGACTCTGTGGAAAACATCACGCGCGCCAGCCAGCATCAGCAGGCCACCCCGAGCACACCAGCAGCAGGCGATCATGATAACCCAGCTTCCGAAGGCCGGACGGTCGGCGTGAATGACGCGGTGCGCCGGGAGTTGCAGGAGTGTTCTTCGCTCACCGCAGCGGAGCGGCGACGGAACTACCTGGCGCTAACCGGGAAGTTGCCCTCACAGAAATCGCAGCACTTGCGGAAGTCCAGATCGCAGCAACTGTACGAAAAGCAACAGCAGCACATAGCAAATGAGGACGAGCTGGATACTTTACTGCACGACGACGGCGCCCGCTTGCGCATGCAGTGGCTGGCACTATCCTCTGCGTCGCGGGAGAGCGTTACCAGCAGCCAAAATTTGGTGAACAACCGACGGCTGCGGTCCTCCATTTCCCCGTCCACGGTACATAACATGATCATGTCCTCGTCCTCCCGCCCTGGCACGAATACTCTGGTGAACACTGGCGCAATGACGAACACGGCAAGTAAACTCTCCACGATTAGCAATGAGCACGAGGAGCAGACTACTGCGCACTTCGGATTAGTGCTCCACCCCTCGAGCAGTGGCCCGTCGTCAGAGCGGGGAAATTATCTGATGGACAGGATGGAGGTAGGACATCAAGGTCTGCATCAGCAGCAGATCGATTTTTCCCCCGCCGACCAGGTAGAAGACAATTTGAGCCTTGTCAGTCCGCCACCACTGCCAACGGGGACGGACGAAAGGACTCTGCAACGCGCACTGAGCAACGAAAGTGCCATCGAGCCGAGAAGGGACCCACACGATTCCTTTCTGCACAGCATGTCGAGGCCTCTCGCGGGAAGAAGAGCAGTGCAAGACTTGATGTTTCCCGCGGATAGAGCTGCTGCAGCTCTACCTCCGGAGGGGACGATGAATCATACGTCGAATCATCCACAACAAGTCCATCTTTCCGTACCACAGAACGCGGCCATGGCCGGTCTTACAACTGGGTCGTGTGCGGATACGAATCTAGCGGAACAAATGAGGCCAGGAATGATGAATCACGTTCACGAGCCCACAACACCCGTCGCCCCTGCGCCTGCAGGTCCTGCTGCGGAGTTGAGTAAGAAGAACATTCAGCAACACGACCGAGAAAACGCTCCGCGTCCCATCGTGCCGGTTGTGGGCGGCGGTCTTGGGCAACATCACCTAGTACAGCCAGGCTTCAGTGGTCCTCACAGTCCTCAACAATTTTTACTGCCCGGTGGTAAAAATTATATACCGACAGCCCCACCACACGGAGCTGCTGCTGTTCCTACCACTGCCCTCGCGGGGCCTGGTGGTGTGAAAAAGGGCGGTGAGGACTTGCGCTACAAGTCGCCTTTTGACGAAACCTTGGAGCGCGGCGCCACCTTAGACTGGGATGACCTGTCGTTCGAGGTGCAGGGGAAAAAGATCCTTCGCCACTGCTACGGCCGACTCTTCCCCGGGGAAGTCGCGTGCCTCATCGGCCCCTCGGGTGCGGGAAAATCGACGTTGATGAACCTGCTGGCCGCGAGACAGCGGTGGAGGGGGCCGGGATTGAAGCTTACGGAGAACTGCATAAGGTTCGGCGGCCGGGTCGCGGACTACGAGGGATTGAAGGATTCCGTTGCGCTGATCATGCAAGCCGAATCTTTCGTCGAAACGCAAACGGTGGAAGAGTCACTCCGCTTCGCGGCAATTTTACGAGGCTGCGCAGCAGCGGGCGAGTCGACCACGGAGGAGGATTTCTTCGGGCCCTACTTGTCCGACAGCAGTTGTGAGGAGGAAGAAGATCTGGATGTCGATACAGCAGGAAGAGTGGATCATCCAGCAGCCGTGGTGGCCGAGGATTTCAGTCCGGAAAACGAGAAATTCGATCTCGAGTCCCAGCAGCCCATGTTGCCAAATAAGGATCATCGACGTCGTGGTGGAGAAAAGGATAAAGCCCAACCATCACGGTCAGGAAGAATCTCCAATGGAAATAGGAACAAGACGAGAACCAACCAGGATAAGATCCGGCGGAAGATGAAGCGGAAGAACAAAAAAGAGACACTCAGCCTGATTGACCAGAAGATCAACGACGTTTTAGGCATGCTTGGCCTCGACACTTGCCGAAACGTCCCGGTTCTGCGAATATCGGGCGGGCAAAAGAAGAGATTGGGAGTTGCGCTTGAGCTTATCGCCGACCCCAAGATATTGTTTCTGGATGGTACAGTGTGATTTTTTGTAAAATAGAACTAAATAGAAGATGTTGATGTTGCAAAGAATTATATGCTTAATTCATTGCGCGAAATCTTTTCCCTTTCTTATTCTTTCCCTTTTCGCTCACCCTGAATGACTGTGACAGAGGCGCTAGTATAATTATCCGAGACATACACCACGACTACATCCTCAACACACGACAGAACCAACTTCCGGCCTGGACTCCTTTTCGTCCCTGCAATTGGTCCAAAACCTCCGCACCATAGCCCGGGAGAAGCAGGCGATCATTTGCCTCACGGTGCACCAGCCCGGGTCGGATCTGTTCGCCCTGTTCGATCGGGTTTACTGCATGCGATACGGAGAGATTCTGTTCCACGGTTTGAACAAAAACTTGGATAACGTGCTCCACATGATCAACCCGAACGCGATCCGCGAAGACGCAGCAGCAGCAGACCGGGAAAACCGCATAAAAAAACGCCGAATTGAAGGAGAAGCCGGGTCCGACGACCCGATCTTCGGAATGGGTATTGGTAGTAAAGTAGCGGCGAACTACGGCAGTGGTTCTCCTTCTCGAAGATCTCGTGTTCGTGCTGGAATAAATAAGAGAAATGAAACAACAGGAGCTGCGGTCGTTCCTCCTGCGTATCCTCCTGGTGCAGATTTCGCTACATCAACCTCCTCCAACAGTCTTAACAACGTTCTGAATTCGACCAACCAGCACAGCAGCCAAAACGATCTGGACTTCGCCCTGGCGGTGCAAAACGCGAGTGCTTTTGACGTGAATTTTACGACGGATAACGAAAGAACGCCTTCGCCAACTGGTGCTCGGAGAAAGAACATTAACCGAAAAATTCCAGACAATTACGATGCGAGAATTAGTCCGGAGGGCCAAGCTGCCAGACCACTTGGTGATGAAGTAGAAGCTGCTGCTGGTACAAAAAGTTCTGGCGCGGCGGCAACACCTAGACCAGAAATTCTGAGCAGCAACCGCCCTGTTGTTCCCCAACTCCCAGATGACGAATTTATTAAGCGAACTACCTCCACTACCACGTCCAGTCCGGGTAACATCTCCCGCGCCGGGCAAGGAAATTCGCCCTCTCATGGTGCCGTGCTCGCAGGACAGTTATTTGTCGCCGATCATGGTGGTGCACCAGCAAGAACAATGAATGGAGCGTCTACTTCTTCTGCAACTGAGTTTGTGTTTCCACAAATCGCAGCAAATTACCCAGTTGCAGATTCAAAACAAGAACTCCCAGCATCGATAATTGTCGGAACGGGCCCCGCTTCCTCCTCCTCCGCCGGCTTCGTTCCGCAGACTTCTGATGATCGCCAGCACCAGCCTCAACACCACGGTTGCGTGGAACTCTGCAGGTTTATGCGGTCCTGGACGATCCCGGGCTTCGTCGCGATGTGTGGCCACCCGATTCCGCTGGAGTTTTCCACCTGCGATTGGCTTTTGAACCTGGCCCAGTCGCTGGAGGAGGCCGAGATCAAGTCGATCATTGAGAAATCGCGGAAAATTTTTGACGCGGGCCTGGTCTCAGTCTCCGATTTTGAAGTAATCGTGGAGAAAGCCAAGCAGGAAGCCCTGAAAAACGGCAGCGGAAGCGGAAAAGCAGGCCGCGGATCGACAAATTCGGAAAGAATTTTTGCGAACGTCGTATCAACGTCTACGCCAAAAAAAGCAGCAGAGCCACAGTTTTCACCTTCCAATTATGCCACCGACGACCCCCACCAGGATGAACACGAGATGGACCTGTTCCTGCAAAATCGTATTTCCGCACTCTCTCCCGTTGGTACTAGCCGGGACGAGATGAAGGGGTTGGATCTGATAGAGAACGACTACGACATCCGGAGTCTGTCCCAAAGAAGTAGCACCGACGTGGTTCTTCTACCGCCTATTTCCAAAGAACACTATCATGATGACCGCGAAAGTGGTACTTCTGCTTCAGCTGCACGACCAGCGGTATCTGAAAAACACCCAGAGCAGGTGGCTTTCCTCGATGGTAGTGGCCAGCACCACCAGCAACTTCCCCGCTCCTCCGGTTCCACCTCCATCTACCACCAGCCCTACTCGACCCAGAAGCTCCGCCCCCGGGCCCGGCCGTCCTGCATGGCGCAACTGTACTGTCTGACGAAGCGAGAAGTGTCCCACACCTTTCGCTCGCTCTTTTCGCTCATTTTCCGCACGTTCACGCCGGTGATCCAAGTCGTCCTCTACTCCATCGCCTTCATGAACACGGGCCGCAACCTCGCCACCGGGGTGGAGATCGGCCCCGACGGGAATCTGCAACCCATGACGAGCCGGGCGCAGTTTTCGGCCAGGATCCGGGATCTCTTCATCTCCATCGCGACGGTGTATTTCATGTCCTTCACCGCGGGCGCGCAAGTGGTGATTCTGAACATTCCGAAGGAGCGAGCGGTGTTTATGGCGTTCTCAAACGTTACATTCTCAACTGTTACATGAAATTTGTAATGCAAGAATGGCAAAAGTGAAACGGGAAACGTTGCGCCTTTTGCATTACAGGTTTGGAGCAGATTGTAATGCTATCTAGCGCGTCGAGAAGTTGTCATGCGGAGAAGGCTTGATCGTGTTAAGAGTGATAGTGTTTTTGCATGACAAATCATGTAACAGTTGAGAATGTAACATTTGAGAGCGCCATAGTGTTCCTGCGGGAGTACACCAGCAATCTGTACTCCGCGAGCATCTACTTGCTGTCGAAAATGCTGGTGGAGCTACCGTATCCTGTGCAAAAGCATCGTACTCGTAGTAATTGCAGTCATGCATGACAAATCTGGTTCCTTAGCTTATTCAGCATTACAAATTCCATTTTTCCTTCTGCAAAAATTTGTATGTAATGCTATCTCTACTAGTACGATACTTTTGCAATGCATATACCGATCACGTTGTTTCAGACACTGCTGATTGCGGCGATTATGAAGGGCGGCTACGGGTATAACAGCGGGTTTTTGGAAATGTGGTATCGCGAGGAAAAATGCCCCCAGCCCCAAAGTTGCAAAAATTTGTGATGCAAAGTTTCCAAATGAAAACTTTTTGTCATGCATGAAAGGAATATGAACCTTTCTGATGCAGAGTCTAGGTGTGTGTCGCGTCGCTTGCATGACAGGCGCCGCTATTGCTGGGATCTTTTGCAATACGAATGTTTGCTATTCACGATCGGAAATCTGTGATGCTGATAGATGCAAGAGGGCGAATGTTTCATTTGGAAAGGTTTGCAACACAAATGCTCCCAAGTTCGGGGGTGGGGGCATTTTTCATTGTAATATGTGGCTGCTGTTGTTTCTGTCCATGTCGTCCGGCGGGGCGGTTGGGGTGGCGATTTCCACGTCGACGACCATGCCGGAGGTGTCGCTCGTGCTGCTCACCGTGATCACGAACACCATCCCCGCGTGCTTCGCCGGCGTGATGCGGGCTTTATCGCAGATCCCCGCCTGGATCCGGTGGCTGAAGCACGTGATCCAGATGTCGCACATTAGCGCCGCCATGGCGATGATTGAGTTCGACAGTATCGGCACTGTGTCGGAAAACGCCGAATACCAACAGTACTTCGAGGAGGAACGGAAGAGCTTCTTCGAAGGCAACGACATCCGGAAGGAATTGCTCGCCTATTATTTCAGCATGGCGCTGCTGCTCTGGTTCGTGTTTCGAGGCTTAGGAATACTGTTCCTCAAGGCAAATGCGAAGAGTGCGATTGATTGATAATTAGAGATTATTGAATAAAGTGTGGCGGTCTCATGTCTTGGCGAAGGAAGAACAAAAGCGAGGTAGTAGTGGTTTTGAGAACTACATGCACAGTGGTAATTACGACTCTTATTTAAAGAGGGCACTGATACAGAGGCGCTTCTCTATATTTTTCATGATAGCGCTCTAGACATCGATTCTTTTGGTGTTTTGGTTTTGTGATGAGAAGTAGGTGGAGTAGATGTAGTAGTGGTTTATTCCCCTCCTCCTGCTAAAGTATTGCAACACATACCTTCCAGCTGCGCAAGCGCGGCCACGTCCACCCAGAGCTACTTCTGATCACAGTAGTTCTCCGAAGCCGTAGACTTTTCGACGTTTCAGGAGTATTCATTTCCAAGAAATAGATAGAAAAGAATGAAGACCACATCGAAAGAACCCCGCTACGCTGAAACCTCGCAACCACAAAAGAGTGAAGGAGACGCTCATTCTTACTCGCGCAGCATGTCACCAGCCTATATATGTAGCAAGGACCTCCCCCCCCGCCGAAACGTTATTTTTATCGCAGCACAACCCTTCCCTCCATCCCCGGACTCCCTTTGAATAATATGGTCTTGCACACATTGCAATCGCCCGAGCACGAGCTCGAATATTTTTTTGACTTACGAGAACCCTCGCTCGGAATCGGATTCGTGATCGTGTTCGAATGGATTTTGCCGAAGAGGCCATGTTCCCCGAGTTTTCATTGGATTGAACGACAAAAATGTTGGTTGCGTCGCTGCAGCACTTTTTCCTTGTGCTTTCTCATATCGTTGCACAGAAATAACAATAAGACGAAGAACAAGAAAATTGCTTGCGACAGTTGATGTAGTTGGCCAGACACGCGCAGAAGGCTGGATGCCCTGCGACGCAGTGCTGATTATCGTGAGATGAGAGCAAAAGTCGACGGTGTTGTCTTGTACGCGCAGCACAGTAGAGGTGTCAATTATGCTACGCAAAAATGTGAATCATTCTGTCAAGTAAGAGTAACATGTTCTTAGCTACCAATCATGTTTTCCAAAGCGACCTATTGATAGCTATAATTGTTTGTTGTCATAGTTGAATGTGAGTAGCGGACGAATATCAAGGTAAGTATTATAAAATTTCTTCCTTGTTCCTTGCTCCAGAAGCGAAAGCACAGACATTGTTTGTAGTGTCTCGTCTGCTCATCGCCCGCCAAAGACTGCGGCGCGAGCGGATGTTGTAAGAGGTTTTTTGCTCATCCTGTGTGAACGACTGAAATTGTGAGCTTGGAGACAATAAACTTTCCACCACCATGCCGGAGCAGCCAAAGTCATCGCCGCAGGACCTCAAAGGGGCGTCCAGTTCTCATGCGGCGAAACGACATGGGAAGACCATCGAACAAATTTACCAGAAGAAGACACAGTTGGAGCATATCTTGCTCCGTCCGGACACGTATGTCGGTTCTTGCGAACCTCAGATGTCCGAAATGTGGGTCTTCGACAGGGATACGGCGTCGATGCAGTTCCGGAAGATTACCTACACCCCCGCATTGTACAAGATTTTTGACGAAATCCTTGTCAACGCCGCGGACCACCTGCAGCGCTCGCAGTCCAAAATGGACAAAATCAACGTCACGATTAACCAGGAAACCGGAGAGATAGCAGTCTACAACAATGGCGATGGAGTACCCGTCGAGATGCACAAGGAGCACAATGTTTATGTTCCGGAATTAATCTTCGGTAACCTTCTCACATCTGATAACTACGACGACAACGAGAAGAAGGTCACAGGCGGGAGAAACGGTTACGGTGCGAAGTTGACAAATGTTTTCAGCAAGAAATTTGTTTTGGAAACCGCGGACCACAAAGCGAAGAAACGGTTTACGCAGGTGATGCGGGATAACATGTCGGTAAAAGAAAAGCCGAAGATCGAAGCCTGGGGCAAGGAACCCTACACGAGGGTGACTTTTCAGCCAGATCTCGAAAAGTTTGGCATGAGGGAGCTGGACGATGACACGGTGTCTTTGTTCCACAAAAGAGTGTGGGATATAGCGGCAACGACAGATAAGAAGTGCAAGGTACTTTTGTTTATGTACAAACTGATTTCTTCGTGATCACCAGGAGGAGTTGTATTCCTATTGCCATGTAGAAGTAGCAGACAAACACAGACTCGCACTCGGAGGCTTCATATCTATGCGCCTCCGCGGCGGGGCTCTCTTGTTTGAGTTTTATTTTCTCAATTGGAATGAAAATCAGGTTTTCCTCAACGACAAAGCCCTTCCGATCAACGACTTTCACTCGTACGTGAACTACTTCGTAAAGTCGGTTTCGGTAGTAGAGGAAGGTGAGGGCAACAAGCCACTTCAAATCATCTACGAGAAGTGTAACGAGCGATGGGAAGTCTGCGTCACGCTTTCTCTCGAGCAACAGTTTCAGCAGGTCTCGTTTGTGAACAGCATCAACACAATCAAAGGCGGTACACACGTCAGTCACGTCACCGACCAGTTGGTCGAAGTCCTGCTCGCCAAGGCACAGAAGGGAAACAAGAAGGGAATGCAGATCAAGCCGGCGAATGTGAAGCAACATCTCTGGGTCTTCGTGAACTGTCTGGTCGAAAACCCAGCATTTGATTCACAAACAAAGGAGACGCTGAAGACGCAACAGTCGAAATTCGGATCAAAGTGCGAGCTGTCCGATACGTTTATCAAGGACGTGTTGAAAAATACCGGGGTGATTGATATGATTGTGAATTGGGCGAAGGCGAAGGAGAAAGTGGACTTGGGGAGGAAGCTGAAGTCCAGTGGCAACCAACTGCGAGTGTTAGGGGTTCCAAAACTGGAAGACGCAAACGAGGCGGGCGGGAAAAAATCGAGTCAATGCACTCTCATTTTGACCGAAGGAGATTCCGCAAAGGCGTTGGCGGTATAGCTAGTGAACTCTTTTGAATTTTATGTAAATTTCTTCTTTTTGTTTTTAAAAGCAGAAAGCAAAACCAAAATCATCGATGAAGATGCCGATGCATCACACAACATGTTTCCCTGTGCATAGATCATCAATAAAACCAGGTCGCGGGCCTTTCTGTAATTGGCCGCGATTTTTACGGTGTCTTTCCTCTCCGAGGTAAAGTGCTAAACGTCCGGGAAGCCGCTCATAAGACACTACTAGCGAACGCGGAAATCCAGTCCATCCTGAAAATAATGGGCTTGACCCCCGGGCAGGAGTACGATGACTTGAACAAGCTGCGATATGGTTCGATCATGATCATGACAGATCAAGATCTAGATGGGTCTCATATCAAGGGCCTGCTGATTAACCTCATCGAAGCCTGGTGGCCGTCGTTGATGAAGCACAAAGGTTTTCTCAAGGAGTTCGTAACCCCAATCGTGAAAGTCCACAAGAACGGGAAAAATGAAAAGAAGTTCTACACCTTGCCCGACTATGAAGCCTGGAAACTTTCGCACAACAACGGTATACCTACAAATCCTGCTGCTTTATGTGACGCAGAAAAAACATAAATGCATATACTTTTTCTTTTCTGTTGATGGAACGAATGAATTGCAATTTTATCACATGCATTTTTCAGGTAAGGGCTGGGATATCAAGTACTACAAGGGTCTCGGAACTTCAACAGCAAAAGAAGCGAAAGAGTACTTTCGAGACATCGAAATCAACGAAATAAAATTTTCGTACACCGATGACGCACAAGAAGCTGTCGACTTAGCGTTCAACAAAGCGCGTGCAGATGACAGGAAAGATTGGATGAACAACGCGAAGTCGACCGACATCGTGGATCACAACAAGAAGGAGCTGAGATACACGGACTTTGTCAACAAGGAGCTAGTGTGGTTTTCCAAGTACGCAGCATTGCGCGCAATCCCCAACGTGATTGACGGATTTAAACCCGGACAGCGAAAGATAGTCTTTTGCGCATTCAAGAAGAAACTGAAGAAAGACATCAAGGTGGCGCAGTTCGTCGGGTATGTGAGTGAGAAGGGAGCCTACCATCATGGCGAAAAATCACTGGAGGACACGATTGTTGGAATGGCGCAGGATTTTGTAGGATCAAACAATCTGAATTTGTTTTTCCCAAGTGGTCAGTTTGGAACAAGATTGGCTGGTGGAAGTGACCACGCGAGCGCAAGGTAACAGTTTTGATTTGCGCTTCTTGTAGTTGGGTTTTCTCCCCGTCCTCCGGTGCAGCCGAGTTCGTTGTCCGCTTTCTCAAAACCTTAAATCTTCAAATTCAAAAAAAATCAAACAGGTACATCTTCACCCGCCTGATGCCGTACACACGGAACATCTTCAACGAGGTGGACGACAATGTCTTGGAGTACCAAAACGAGGAGGGGCAGTGGATCGAGCCAACCTTCTACGTCCCGGTAATCCCCATGGTCCTCGTCAACGGCGCACAAGGAATTGGGGTCGGTTGGTCGACGAACATCCCCAACTTCAATCCGTTGGAAATAATCGACAACTTGCGGCGGTACTTGCGAAGGCAACCCATGACTGCAATGGCGCCGTGGTACAAGGGGTTCATTGGTGATGTGGCTGCTGAGCAGAACGACAGCGCGAAGTACCTCGCTAGCGGGATCATCAGGAAGATTAGCGAAACCCAATTGGAAATTTTGGAGCTACCAATCAAAGAGTGGACCAGTAGCTACAAGGAATTCTTGGAGAGTTTGTTACCAGGAGCTGCGGAGAAAGCAGAGAAGGATGGCAAGAAGAAGGAAACAAACCAGGAACCAGTGATATCTGATTGTCGCGAATACCATACCGAGAATTCTGTGCACTTTGTTTTGAAATTGACGGAGGAGCAGATGGTGCGAGCGGAGAACGCGGGCTTGGCGCAAACTTTCAAGCTAAAAACTTCTATTGCGACAACAAACATGATGCTCTTCGACACCGAGAACAAAATCAAGCGGTACGAAACAGCGAACGATATTCTGGAAGAGTTTGCGATCACGAGGCTGGAGTACTACGATAAGAGAAAGAAATACTTGATCGACAAGCTGGGCCGAGAAAAGATGATCTTGGATGCGAAGGTGAAGTTCATTCTGATGATCATTGCGAACAAAATCGAAATCAGAAATAAGCGAAAGAAAGCACTGATGGAGGAGCTGCTGGCAAACGGCTTCAAGCCAATGTCGGAAATGCAGAAGGGAAACTTGGGAACGCTTCCAGGAGAAGATAAGGAGGGCGGAAACGATGATGAGGACGGCTCCAAGGAGGAGGAAGAGGAAACAAGTGGCGCCTTGAAGGCGGATGACTTCAACTACTTGCTGGGCATGCCACTGTGGAACTTGACACAGGAGAAGGTACTACATACGGAGTCTACTCCTTTCGAAATTCAGACCTGGCGTGCGCGTATGCTTGTTTCTGACAGTTGCAGTAGACAAGGCGTGCTCGTTGTGCAGAACGAACTTGATGTTAGATATTTATCACAATCATACCCCAATGCCAATTCGAATTCCAATTCTCAGGTCGACGAGATGAAGCGCCAAGCTCGCGAAAAGACCGATGAGCTGCGGGTAGTCGAAGGCACCACACGAGAAACTATGTGGGACAACGACCTCACCGCGCTGCGGCAGCAAATCATGGAGGAGTGGGACAAACAGGAAAAGGAAGAGGAGGACGTATTGAGAGGAAAAATCCCCCCTCCCCATATTGGAAACGCATTCGTCTGAAAATTTGTGATGCAGATTTGAGGTCACAAATCCTGTCTGTCTTGCAAGAAGGCAAAGCCAGAGAATCCGCCGCATTATGCCGGCGGTTTGTGATGCTGTTGGGCTTACACCAGAGCCGACGTCTGTCATGCTAGTCCCCTACGTCGAAACCCCTCGGCCCAGGCTTGGCATATGCCTGCAGTCCTCTCCAGCAAGACAGACCTGATTTGTGTACGCAAATCCAGCATGAGAAACTTCGTTTCGATATGGGGAGGGGGGATTTTTCCCTTTGATAGGACGCCAAGAAGGTGCGCGCAAACACCAGGAAGAAGCAGCAGCAAAACGTGTTAGACGTCGGCAACAAGAAGGGCCGCAAGGCAGCAGCAAAGGACGATGACGACGACAAATCCGGGTTCAAGCCGCAGGCGGACGTGAGTGCACTTGTAAAAAGCAAGAAGAAACAACTAGCCCCGCCTGCGGGAGTGGAGGCGATGGGGATTGTCAAGGTCGATTTAGACGAGAGGAGAGAATACATGAAAACCCGACAAGTCGCTGACCGGGTGGAGAAGAAGACCGGAAAGCGGGGGGGACTCGTATAATTGAATTCTCGAGTATCCATTTGAACTTGCTTTCTGCATACAGTTTGTCCAGCAGCGGAACCTGCCCCACCGCAGTGGGTGGATCGATATTAATGTTGCCATTTTCAATCACGATAAAAACCTATGGCAAAAACAGACCCAGCCCTCGCAGGCCCAGACTTCTAGGCCGCAGAGCCAAGACGACGACGGTGGACTGCTGCAGTCTAACACCCAGCAGAACGCCAAGCGGCCGAAAGGACGGGGTAAGAAGAAGAAAGACGACATGGAAGTAGATTCGACGGAGGGCAAGCAGGCGAAGCTGGATACCTACTTTAGCTTGGATCGTGCAGCAGGGCTTACTCCTGGCGACGGCAAGGCCGCGTCAAAGAAGAACAGTAAGTCGGCATCCGGAAAGCAACCCTCATATCCAATAGAGAAAAAAAACCGACTTCCATCCATTTTTGCATCACAAACACAGACCATTCTATGTTTATGTTTTGCGTTCCAAATACAATTTAGATGGGGGCGGTTATTTTTTTTTGCTGCGCATACTTCACCAGAAGCATCTACGGGACAACAACTAGCAAGTGCAGCATCGCTCGTGCAGCAGCAAGACGCGAGCTCGACAACCACCAACAGCCTACTGGAAAGACTCCAGAGAGCGAGGGCCGGGGCTGGGGAGCGATCCGCGGCAATCGGCGTCTTCGGGGTGGGAGGTGCAACGGGCAGCGGCGGGAGTCTCGCGTCCATGATGCAAAGCCGGATATATGCTGTGTTACTTCGTCTCTCGTCAAGCTGAAGGAGTGCTAGGAAATTGTCGTGCTATCCATGATTGTCAGGCCTCCCCTGTTTGTGTTTGAACACACACATAAGCACGGCAGTTCGAACTGGTTCTTGTGCAAGACGCTCTCTTGCATAAGTTTGTCTACTTCCACAAGCACGACACACGAAGCTGCTTGCCATTGCGTTTTTGTATATGAATGTGCATTCATCTTCACGAGGAAAAAGATGATCTTGTTCATCACGGGAAAGGAGTAGAAGATGATCATCTACATCTCCTTTACGTGATAATATGCAGCATGCACTCGCACGAGTGTCTTCCATATGAAGAGCCACAGCACAGACTTTAGCGTGACGCGAAAAGATGTTTCCATGTTGACACCCCCGCCTCCAGTTACGTGGGACCGTCAGCAAACTATCTAAACAGCCTCGACAGTAACAGAGCACCAACAAGTTCTCCACCGGGCGGAGCAGTGAGCTACAACTACACAGCGGGAGCTTCCTCTTCCTCGAGTCGGCTGAACCCGGGCATTTTGGATGGTATCCTGTGCACAAGTACTACCGCAGTCGTAAGTACTTATTGCAACCGACGTCACAGCCCTGCTTCGTGACCGGAGTCGGCCGCATGTAATCAAACATAAATTCAGTTTTGTTTTCCGAGGAAATAATTTGCAATGCAGTTACTTACCAACAGCGCGATACTTTTGCAATGCATATGCGGTGGCGGGGGCGGATTCGGTGCGAGCAGCAGTAGTTCATCGTTCCTGAACATCAACACTTCTTCCAACCTCGCAGGAGGCCCCTCCGGGTCGAGCAGTTCCGCGAACGAAGGGTCGGAAAGCGACAAGCTCGACCTGGACAAAGCTAACTACGCGGCCGCCGAGGGGGATGGTGCAAAGAAGAAAAAGGCAGCACCCATGAAGCGGAAGAAGGGCGCAGCTCTAATGGAGGACGACGAGCAGGAACTCTCGAAGAGTACCAAGATGAGCAAAAAAACCGGGTCGAAGGAGTAGCGAGAGGCTGGGATTGCTGACAGTGTCAGCGCAAATTGATTACTTTTACGACTTTTTAACTTCAATTGAATCGTGGTGGTGCTTGTCAGTCATTACACTGTCATGATCTTTTCCTCGCAGCAAATCAAAGAAAGTAAATATACGACTTTTAGATACAACTGACTTCTTTCTAGAATTAGGCGATGAATATTACAATAAAAGACTATGAATTTCTGCTTCCCTGCTACCTCGTTGAGCTTGATGTACCAACCCCACAAGATAAAGCATCATTTTGATGTTTTGTACCGACAAAGTTGTAGTGCACGGTACGCGGAACCCAGTACGCTTCGCTGCAAAGCAAACGATAAAGAGAAAATTAAAGTTTGAAATCAAGAGTTGCCACGTTATTCGGAAATAATGTGTTGACCTCCAAGCAGAAATTGAGGCTTTACCAGTTTACAAGAATATTGAGCGGGACTAGATTAAATATACCCAAATACGGAGGTGTCGTGTGACATCTGAGGTTAACAACCAGAAATGAATTAGAATCTAAACCCACCTCCCCTGATTAAATTTTGTACCAACGCTAACGATTGAAAAAATGAAAAAACACCAGAATCTTCTATGTTACAATACAACTTATATCCTCGCAACCGAAAAGTACACGATGGAGGAACTGGGATGAAATCCAGATGAAAGAAAGGCGACAATTTTTTATGAAGCAACACCGTCACCCCTGGGCAAGCAAATCTCCGGCAGCATCAGGATTGACATTGAGTCCTTGTTTTCACTACGGCCGTCTCTTGTCTGCCGTCAGTTTGGATTGTTTTGTGCCGTGCTGCACAGTTTGCCAGCGCTCGACGTGATGCGAGATGAGCGTTGCTTTTTCTCGTAGACACAGTGCGTCGAAAATAATTGTGAGAAGGGTCAACAATTCTGCTCGCGACGAAAATCGGCAAAATTTTGGCCAGAGAGTGTAAAAGAGACAGCAACTAGTGGGATGGGGAGTGCGTGGTGGCGCATTTCCGTCTGTCGCAACAGAATTGTTCTTCTTCTTGCATACGCTACGATTCATCTTCTGTCACAACTAACTTTTTAGATCCGTATTGCCGATGATGAATGCCGTACCACACAGCACGACACAGCCAAAGCAACGCAAAGCATGGCGAGACTGCGGATGAAGAGCAGTGGCGGCAGAGGACAATTCCCTGTAGTTTGCAAGAACGTCTGCAGTTCGTGCAGAAGCCTGCTCATTCGACTGATAATGTGCTGTCTGCACCGCACAACTCTTCTCGACCTACCTCATCGCGTCGATTGCCGCACGGCACACCTGCGGCATGAAAAAATGTTGCAGAATACTAGAATAGACCCGACCGGAGAACAAGAGCAGCAAGAGGTCGGGGGCACAGAATTCGCGGATCACGACCTCCAGAGCCACGAACCGATGCAAAGCCAAAGCGCGATAACACAACAGGACATCATCGCGCCCCGCACTTCCGCTACTATAGCAGCGCATGGCCAGCGTGAAAATAAAACTGAAATACGAGCTTCTACGTCTTCACCTGCCACGGACGATGACAAGGTGAAACTTCAGGATGATGCTGGAGATGAAAAACTAGGAACGTCTGCCACTACGAAAGAAGCAGAGCACACCAGGACTCGCGCGAAGGAGCAGTTGATGAACGCCACGTCTTCACAGATTAGTACGGCAGCAGCATCTTCACAACACGGACACACAAATAATCAAAACCACTCCACTACGGCAACACGAGCCCAGCCATCACCATATACTTCGTCTTCCCTGCACGAAAATGCCAGAATACGAAAGAGGCACGACTACTACAAAAGCTACGACAAACGGCACAGTCACCACCCAAACAAGGGAACAAAATTTCATCAGCTACACCCGCTCAACCTTCTTTTCCAGAGAGCAGACAATGCGTCGAACAGTAGCAACGGCACTTGTGCCTGCGACGCTAATAGTACAAACGGAAGCAACGGGAGTAATGCCACCGACTGCACCTGCGACGAGCCCGTGGCGGCAACGGAGGATGAGGCCGCTTCGGTGTCGATTTTTGAGGAAATTGGTGCGTTATGCTTTGCAAAAGTATCGTACTAGTATAAATTGCATCGCAAATTTTGGCAAGACGAAAAGTGGAATTTGTAATGCTGTTTTTACCTTAGGAAGGAGATTTGTCTTGCATATTTGCAATTACTTATTACTACGAGTGCGATACTTTTGCACAGGATGCGTGTGGCTGTTCGACAACTTCGGGACCTATTGGGTGTACGTGAAGATGATCATTGGTCTCCTCGCTTTGTTGGTGATCGGACATTATTTGTACGAGAAGTACGAGGAGTTTATGTTGCACCAATCTCTCACGGCAGAGCATGATCAGCGAGAGGAAGCAGACGATAAGTTAGCGAAAAATGATGGGGATGAAATATCGCTAGACGACAAATGGATGGAGGACGACCCGGCGGCGGCGGGGCCGGAAGACTGAGATTTTGTAGTTTGTTTACAATAGCAGGAGGTGTTGTTTCCGTTTCGTTCAGCAACAGCATGGACAAAACTCCTTGTACGATGAAGAAGAGCTACTGCACTTTCGCAAGCCGTTGGCTTCATGTCGCTGCAGCAAACTACAACATAACAGAGTGTTCACGCGTCTCTTTCGGTCCATATTTAGATCTTTGGAATTTATCGCAGGATCAATATTGTCAAAACAAAACAAAATGTAACTTGTGTGCAGTGCTGGTTGCTTTCCGAAAGAAAAGTTCTTGTCGTTTCCGTGTACATCTTCTCACTGAACGATCGTCTGTGAACCACTTTTTAATTTTTTCGTGCGATTTTTCGATTTCGTTTTGCCTCGTGTTTTCGAGAGCACTTTTTGGTCTCCTTGTTTCGTAGTCCTTTAGGTTTGGACCCCGAAAAAACAGAAATACAAAATCTAAATCTACTTCTTTCTCTCCACCATGAGGCAGACGTTGGTCCCGGCGTTTGCCCTCGCCGGGACAGCCCTGGCCATGCCTTCGGGGCCGGTCGCGAAGGTGACGAAGATGCTGTATGACATGCAGATATGCAACACAATTTTCCCACGTACACGTACAAACTGCATAACAAATTTACAATTTTGCCAACTTAGAGTATATTAGCGCTTGCTGTGCTGAATAGAATTGAAGCGCAGTTTTGTCATGCACAGACCGCATTTGTACGAGTGCGGAAAATTTTCTGTGGATAGCAGGCCGAACTGGAAGCAGAGAGCAAAGCAGACGATGCCTCCTACGCGAAAATGCAGTGCTGGTGCAAGAAGACCATCCCGGCCAAAGAGGCCGCCATCCAGGAGGCACAGGCGTGCCAAAAGGCGGAAACCGCGAAGATTGAGTCCGCGAAGGGACGAATTGCGGAGGCAGAAACGTCAATAAAGGAGTTAACCGAGCAGATCGATTCCGAGACAGAAGCCTTGGAAATGATGACCGGACAGAGAATAAAAGACCAAACGGCTTTCGAGAAGGTAAGACGGGTGTCCTTTGTTTATTGGAGCTCCCATTTAAAGATGATTCTCATTTTCTTCGCAGGTGAAGAAGAACAGAACACGTGCTGATCACTTTTTTCTAAATTTTTGCGGTGCTGTTCACCGGATTAGGATTTAGATTCCGAAAAATCGAAAAAAAATTCTAAACCCCACTTACAGAAACAAAAAGAGCTGACCCAGACGGTGTCTGCGCTCGCTCAAGCCGTCGAGGTGCTGTCCAAGCACAACACCGGGTTTCTGCAGTCGACCCAGGGCAACCACATCTTCAAGAAGGCACAGACCCTGCTGCAGTCGCAGGTGACGAAGCTGGGCTCCCACATCAACTCCGTGATCAACCCCAGCCAAAGGGAATTGCTGAAGAACTTCCTGCAGCAGCCCACCTTCGGCGCCTACGGCTCGGCGTCCGGACAGGTGTTCGGCATGCTGCAGTCGATGCACGACGAGTTCACAAAGGATTTAGCCGAGGCCCAGGACGCCGACGCAGCGGACGCGAAGGCGTTTGCGGCGGGCAAGGAAATTAAGCTGAAGCTGATCGCTGACGCCAAGGCCGCAAAGAAGAAGTCAGAAGCGGCTTTGGCCTCAGCGAAGGAAGAGCTCGGTATTTGTTTTTTGAATTTAAATAGCATCCTGCGTGCTGCATTTTATTGCATTTTTTTCATTTTGAGCGAATACACTAGAACACGAATCATCCTAAATTATTCCAAACACAGGCAACGCGGAGGCCCAGCTCGCCGCGTGCACGGAGACCCTCGGCGCGGAACAGTCCATGCTCGAGGAGGTTATCGCCGACTGCCAGCAGAACGTCAAGGATTACGAGACCCGCACGGCCGACCGCGCCACGGAAATGAAGGCGGTGGATATGCAATGCAAAAGCATCGTACTAGTATAAATTTAAATTGCATTACAAATTAGCCCAGCATTACAAATTAAATTTGTAATAATTAAATTTGTAATGCTGATTCACCTTAAGAAAAATATTTGTAATGCAAGACCTGCATTTATACGAGTGCGATACTTTTGCACTGGATAGTGGACACCGCGATCAAATTCCTCGACTCCGACGAGGCCCGCGATCTGTTCCAGGACACGTTTTCCTTCCTGCAAGTGAAAGCCGCGTCCAAGGAGCAAGTCCAAAACTCCAAAGACATGCTGCTCGCCGCCGCGAAGAAGTACAACGATGTGCGGATCACGATTCTCGCCCAGAAGGTCCGCGCCGGCGCGTTCGACAAGATCATCGCTGCGATCGACGAGATTGTGAAGGAGTTGAAGCTCACGTTGAAAAACGACCAGGCGCAGTTCGACGGGTGCAACGAGTTCATCAATGCGAAGACGAAGCTCGTCGAGGAGCTGACCGGGCAGCTGGAAACGCTCGCGGCGGAGGCCGACACGTTGCAGACCGGGATTGACGAATTGAAGTCAGCGATTGAGGCGTTGGAGAAGGACATCGCGGCCTCGACCCTGACCATGAACCAGGCCGCGGCGGAGCGGAAGGAGGCCAACGCGGCCTTTGCGCTGGAGCAGAAGAACAACGACGCGGCGCACAAGCTGCTGACTAAGACGAAGGCGGTACAGATGTGATGACTGTGAAGTAAGTACTTAGTTGGAGCCTCATTTGTTAAACAAAAAGAGCGATATTGCAGTTAGGTGTTTCACTTTCGCTTCCTTCGAAAACTTTAGTGTTGACCCCCTGAGGATTCAGATTCTGGCTTCTTCAAATTTCGTTTTCAATAAATTTCTATTAGGTCCTCGCGGAAGCCTTTACGTCCACTACTGGCGCGTACAGCTCCGGTGCGGCCGGCGCTGCGTTCCTGGAGCAACCCGACCGACCCGATGCGTTTAAGCAGTACGAGGTGAACCAGGGCGGCAACAAGGTGTTGGAAATGATCCAGGGCATTTTGGACGACACGGAGAAGGCGATGGCCGACGCCTTGAAGCAGGAGAACATGGAGCAAAAGTCCTACGAGGACCTGGTAAAGGACCAGAACACGCTGATCGTCAGTATCAAGTGTAAAAGTGTCTGGGTCTGGAAGAGTGCGCGACTTTTCATGCAGCTTTTCCATGACCCATGAAGCCCGGAATGCAGGACCTAGCATGACAGATTCTGCGCGATCTCTCTCATGCCTATCCTGCTTGAGAAACTCCCTCCCGACTTGGTCAAAACTGGACGACTTTTGGTAATCATGCAACACAGATTTGCTCATGCTTCAGATTTAGCATGACAGGTTGCATTCTTCCAGACCCAGACACTTTTGCATTTGATAGTCAGCTACCAGAAGCAAATCAGCGAGAAGGAAGGAGAGAAGGCGCAGAAAGAGGCGGAATTGGCGCAGAACAAGAAGACCACGAAGGCGACCGAAGAGACCAAGAAGGTTGAGTCCGACCTGTTGGCCGGGAAGAAGGAGGAGTGCGCCTTCATTCTGGGCAACATTGGCGTCAGGAAGGTGCACATGAACGGCGAGATCAAGGCTCTGAACGACGCGAAGGCCTACTTGAAAGGCATGGAGTAAGGCGAAATCTCTTCGTAGTACGAAAAGCGTTTCGATGAACTCGAATAAGTGGAGCAGGTTAATCTGGGGAAAAAAGGACAGAAACCGACACAAATGGAAAGCGCATTTTCCACACGGCTGACGTTGAGATGTTAGTAATTACTGGTAGCGCAGAAGCTTCAGTCTCGATTGTAGAATTTATGTTTCCCAACACACCAGCACCAAATGCGGCTCCGTCTTCACCATAACCCTGTTATTTTACTTTCGTTATTGCAAAAGAACTAGATCTTACTTTCGTTATTGCAACACAAACCTTTTATCTTACTTTCGTTATTGCGCAAAACTTATGTTTTAAATTCGTTTCATTCGTTTGTTAGTTCTATCATTACACCGGGGCCGGGGCCGCTGATTTTTTCCGGTTTCATCAAAAACACAAAACGATTCTAAAGATGATGTCTGCAATCGAATTATGGCAAGTTTCGAGCCACCAGATTTTTCGCTAGCTGTGTGAAAATGTACAACCCTGCTATTCTAGAAACATGCCAGCGACGAAAAAGCGTGCTTGAGCTGCTTGCAAAACGGAGCCGCTGTAACGGCGGCGACAGAATCCTCGCGTTTTCGATTTTATCTGAAATGCCGACATAGTCAGCGTAAAGATTTCGGGTGTCGCCAGACGGTGCAACGTGTCAGTTAATATCGTTTGTGCAGATTCGCTCGTTGTCGTTGGTCGGAATGAATTTTGGAAGTCTAGTGCTCGGACAGCAGGATAGTGTTGATCATCTTCGTGGCGGACAGTCGCAGTTTTTGCGATATGGTCGTAATTTGGAAAACATGCAAGGAGATTAACATCCCGCTTTGGACTTGGTCGTGATCGTGGGTGGACATGGAGATCGCACTGTCGTCTGTAGTCACCAGTCATCGTTGTCACATAAAAAACAGCTTTAGGATCTTTTTTGAAGTGGCGCATCCTGCTCAATGTCGCTTTGTGTGGCCGCTTTCTTCTTGCGGAACAAGTAAGTATGTATCCATGGAAGAATGACTGTTCGTCTCGACTTTGGCAAAGCATTGGTTTCAATTGAAGTCGGATTTGATTCATAATATTTCGCTCGCTACGTCGTTGTACCTGTGTGTTTCTTGTTGATCGAAAAACAGCAAGCTCGACGACAAAACAATGGCTCCCATACCGGAATCGCGAATGTTTCGTGGCGTCGACGGCAACACGTATCGCGTGAAAAAAGCCGCCGAATTCCGCGACTGCACTCTGCTAACGGGTGAGCAGATTGCGTCCTTACAGGAGGAAAAGAAGTGTTTTTTGACTTGCCTGGACTACCTGCAATTTGGCGGATCCGCTAACGACGAAGACGAAATGAAGCTGATGTGTCGCACCGCACTCCACGCAAACATGCGGAAAACGGTATTAATGTCTTAGGCTGGCTGGCGCACTTCCACTTTCGTGTTGGAATGTTCATCTCTTTCGTATGACCTTTTTCGCACATGTTGAATCGTATCAAAACCCTAATCCTGCGTCTGTAATATAATCAGCTCCACGACCAAGTTCTTCCCGCCTACGAATCTACGATGCGTCGTCATCAGTTAAAATACCAGATTTTCTACCCGGGTTTGATCCTTCTCTCTTCCTTCGTCCTCGTGATGCGGTTCTACTCCTCTTTGCTCGCCATCGGAGGGTGCGCCAACAAGCGGTACGGGATTCTGGACTGCGCGGACAACCGAGTGCGACACAAGCACCATTTCGATGTGTTAGACGGGGTTTTCGTCACGGTCATTGTGCTTGCGGTTCTACTCTCGGTGAAGAACGCCTACGTAGACTTCAAAATCTTCCGGCCCCCCTCCGCAGCCCGGCGGGGGATCTCGAGCGTGCCGGAAGCGCTCGACCACTACGTGAAAAAGCTGGACTGGTTCGCGCGCGGAAACACCGGGAAGTTCTTCAGCACGCGGGCAAATTACACACGGGGACTGGAAGACGAGGAGGGAATGATCACTTCCGCAGCCGCGTTGCGGCGGCGCATGGTCGCGGAGCAGCAAAATCGGCGAGACGCGGATGGCTTTGGTATGCAACCCGAAATCATCCCGTACGAGACTACCCAGTTCACGCGGCAAGCGTTGCTGTATTTGGTGAGATCGGACATCATCGCAGAAGACAATAATACTTTCGGTGGCGCGTTCGCAAATTACAACGCAGGTGGTAATTCTGCAGCGCTCGCATTTGACGTCAAAGCAGGAACAAGGAAACCAGGCCAGGACCAGCAGGCTATCTTCGCAGAAAATTTCCATCCGGGACAAGATCTCCCTGCTGGTGTGGGTGCTAAGGAGGTCGTGGCAGAAGCAGGAGCAGCTGGTTCATCCAACGTTTCTGAGCAGCAAAACGGGAAAAGTGCTGCACGACCAGTTTTTTCCTTCGCTGGGACAAGAGGAAGCGCTGCGGAGAAGGCGGCCTCATCTTCGCATGATCCCGAAAAAAATGCAGTCACCTCTGAAGATCAAGACGCCGCGATGTTTCTGGAGATGAATGAAGCGGATCTCACGAATGCGCAACAACTGTTAGGTGCGAATGCCTTCGAAATCATGGAAAGCAGTGCAGTTTCCCCCCTTACAGCCGGAGCGAATGGCGCGCCGCTGCCGAAGGACAAAAAATCCCCTAATAAATCTGCCAGCAAGGGGGTGAAGAAGCGAGTTGGTGCGACGAGAGGGGGTGCGGCCGCGGAGACTGCGACCGCCCCTGCAGGCGGCGGGTATGGTGACGATATTGCCCCTCCAAGGCTTCAGTGAGCTACGTTGTTTGTTGAAAAACAGTCTGTAGGAAGATACGCGCACGGTCGTGTTGATGTCAACGCTTTGACGTGTGATGTGTGTCAAGTTTCCTAACCGGCACTGTTTCTATCGATGTCGTGCTTCGATGGGCTTTTGCTCGCGAGCATTCTAAATTTACAGTCGTTGTTGTTCCTGTCTTTCACTTTTGAATCCATTCTATTCATGTTCGTCGTCGAAGTAGGTTCGTGCAGATGATGCCAACCGCACTTCTGCTCATCCTGGTCGTCGTAAGTAATCGTCCAAAAGCTGGCTCTGGTAGTCACTTTTTCTCTTCCCGTTCTCATCTGACTCGTGCTAGCAGTCGTTCAGTTTCTTCTACTTCTTGTCGCTGGCATGATGTTCGTTCACATTCATCATGCGTCGTCTTCCCGTCAGTCTCGCCCTCGTCGTGGTGTGCTTCAGTTTTTCATATTCCCTAACAGCTCTCTTGTCACAGAAACAAAGCAGAGCACCATGTTGCGAACTTCAATGATTTTACCCGTTCCCGTATGCATCACGTCTTCGATGGTGCATTGAATCACCCCAGATGAAAGGTGGAAACTCATATGTTGCCCTACGATAGTATGCACAGTGAGTAGAGATAGATGTGTTGTGATTGTCGTGGTCAATAATAATTCTGATTCTTTTCCTCCGAAAAAAACCGAAAGCGCGTCCACCACTTCGACTCCAAATGAGGCCGCGTGATTTCACCCATGTCATGAAACAACGCCACCGGGAGGCGCTCCTTCCAGTGCCATTCGTGCTGCTACGCTTATGCTAGGTACCTACGCAGAAGATGAAGTTCTCAAGGAGCTGAAGTTTTCTCGTTGCCGAGGATGTTGACCAGAGGGCCTTTCTCTGTCCGGCAGTTCCTGCGCACGACAGTGCTGTCAGTACTGATTTCTCAACATGTTTGTAGTTCCAGTAGCAGGAGCCAAACTCCCACCACTTCCTTCGTGACTGGGCTGAGAATTGGCGGTACGAAGCAGGAAGAGCAGCAAAGCGGATATTCAGCTAACGAAGCCGATTTCATCCGAAGAGGAAGAGGACCTGCTGCGAGGACAAAAACAGAAGAGGACACTGTGCATCAGGAGCCGAGGCGGGCGCGAGATGAACCTCCCGATCGGGAACAATCGATAAGCGCCTTCGTACAACCTCGACCAGGCAGGCCCTTGTTGCACAGAAGGACATGGAAAGACGGCGCAACCACATCTGGAAAAAGAGGACCACTACTTCTCGGAGCAGCAAGAAGAGGGGGAGAAACTGAAACGCCCATGCTAGTAGGTGACATCACCGAGAAGCCATCCACTCTAGCTGCTGCCGGTTTTGCTGAGGAGAACAAGAGAACGCAAATAACTACGTCGAACTTCTTAAAGCTTGGGAAGACCACACTGAGCAGTGCTAGTGCTTCGGCTACGTCCAGGACGAGGACAAGAACGGAGACCACACGATCGCATGAGAGTACTGCAGCACACGTTTTTCCCAAGGACGCAGAGACGCACAGGAGGCTCAAGCAAGGCCTATTGCACTTCTTTGGGCCACCATCTAAAAGTACAACTTCTGAAGTGGACGACAATTTGTTTAATTCAACTGCGTCACTTTACTCACGACGAGCCTCCTGCCCGCAAGGCCGCTGGTCGAAAACGGACGAGGAAGTGTCGGAGCTGTGTGCGAAGAACTTTAACGCTACGGAACGAAGAGTTTACATCCGAGAGTTTTTGCCGCCTGAACAAACTAGTGCCTTCCCTACGCCGCCGGACCACGGCGAGAAGGCCGATAATTCTACCGCGGAAGATGAACAAGATTTCTGCTTTCCCGAGGGGCAAATGGAGGAGGTCCGGTGCCCCAACAGGGACTGTGAGACCAAGCTGGTGCGTGTTGACCCCGCGGCTCCAGATGCGCAGGGTCGCTTCGCGTGCAACAATGGCCGTTGGTGGATGCAATTCCAGCAAAGTGATTCCTGGAAAGTCAATGACGGCAAGGAGTGCACTACTCTCTCTGAATCTAAGGCCCACAAAGCTATCCTGCCCGGCACCCCGACCTGCGGCACCGAATGCGAGGGCTACTGGAAGGTTCCCGGCGTGCCGGAGACGGAATCACTTCAGAAAACGCGAACTGAGCTGGTGCGAGACTTCTGTGCAAGAAAGTGGCAGGGCGTGCTCACGGCGGACAAAGTTCTAACTCTCCCGGTCGAACGGGATTTGGTAAGCGGTTCCAAGGAGTACGTGATGCCAAGAACCTCGGACTTCTTCCTGAGACAAACCTACCAGGTGACGCAGCACGCGGCCCAGGGGGGCAGGAATTGCCCCAACAGGGAGAAAACAAAAGAGTACATCTTCTGCGCCACTGATTGCGAGTACGCGATGTTCGGCGACTGGAGTGTTTGCGAAAACGGAACGCAAACGCGCGACCTCGAGGTGGTGAACCGGGAACAACCGGGAAAATATTTGCAAGTTTGCCAATTCCATCCCGACTTTCGAGAAATGGTGAAGAAAAGCAAGACCGCGGAGAAATTGATAGCGGCAGATAAAAATGGTGTCGGATCATCGGGACTGAAGTACGCAAACAACAAGACGCTACAGGCGCTTGCCAATAGCGGCCTGCAGAGGTATTTTCTTTACCAAGATGCTGAAACAAGTAGGAATGCGTTGTCGAATCGACCGATCGAGCTCGAGGAGCACCGCGAGACGCGAAGTTGCGGCACGGACTGCGTTGGCGAATGGGACTTTACCGAAGGGGATTTGAAAAGGCAGTGTCTGTCGCAACTGAAGACCAGTTCCTACCTGCGGGGGAAATCCAACGCTTTTGTGTGGCGTACGTTCAAGCACACGCAGTTGGCACAGGACGGCGGGAGAGAGTGTCTCTTCCAGGATGGATTCAAGGACTGGGTGAAGTGTGATCCGGTGGATTGCCGTGGCGTCTGGAGCACTTGGACAACGAGTGAGGCCGTGTGCGAGCACAATACACACAGCGATGCGGAGGTACTTTTGTTGGCAGGCGAGGAAAAGAATAGAAATGCTGGAACTACAACCAGTAAAGCAGATGGTTCAGAACAAAGACAAACTAAAACGTCTTTCCTGGAACATGAGCCGGCAAAACTTGCTGACAAAATCAGCACCAAGACGAAAGTGCAGTTCCAGACCAAACCCACACTGCAGAGGCCAAGCGCATCCTCCGCACTTCTGGCGAGTCCTGAGGAAAGCCCTACGACGAGTGCGACGACACGAGAACAAGAACCGTTCCAGTCCCGAAAATTTTACGTGGAGCAGCCCGAGCTTTACGGGGGGATTCCTTGTGGATACGCCGATGGCTTCATCCAAAAGCGGCTCTGTGGACCGCAGTATACGTACCCGGCGGACAGTATTTCTGAAGATTCCTCAGTACCAGGGACGACGGCAAGCACGGGCACGTCAAGCACTGCTGCTACTACGTTACCGACTGTGTCTAGTGTTAACCAACATTCCCCTGTTGTAGTTCTCGAACATAAACCGATAAGAGCGCCAACTAGTGAAATGAGACCACCAACAGGACCGGAGGTTGCGCCAGGACCGGTTGGGACAGCATCAATTAGTCAATGGAGACCACCAATGGTTGCGCCAGGACTGGTGGCGCTAGGTGGGCCACAATTTCCTACTGGCGGAAATGATGCCGCTGGAGAAGGTGAAGAAGATGATAAAGAAAATGAAAATAAGGACGACAACGACGAGGAGAACAATTACATAGCGGATCACCAACCACCAGCTGAACCAGGTCCCGATGGGCCTCAGATTGAGGAAAAGGCACCTGCAGCTCCACGCGGCCCCGCAGCAAATAACGTCCCCGCATTCGCAAACGGGATTCAGCAAGATCACTCTTGCAGCACATTTGCCTGGGACAAGACGCGGGTTGAAGTTTTGGACAGTTGCAAAGCACAGCTCGAACAGCTGCTCGCGGACAAAAACGCACAAGTCGCGGCCGTCGGCCCGGAGGCGGTGGTTCCTGGCAGCTTGGACGCGGAGTACCTAGACAAGGCGAAGAGCATACAAGTAGAAGTGAAATTTATGCAGACCAGGGAGAAGAATCAAAGTACAGGTGGCGAAGAAGAAACAGGAAACAAGACTGAACAGGGCCTGTTCCAGCAGTACAATGGAGACGAAACAAGCAAAGCGGACGAGAAGGAGAAAAAAGCCAGCAATGGAGAAAGTATTGCAAACGGTAAAAACTCTACCTGCGTCTTTCAGGAAAACGAGACGAAGCAAATTCTCTGTCGCGAGGCGCTCACGGAGCAGTTTGACAGGTTAGGGTTTGCAAAGGACGAGGCCCAGGAGACGGAACAGATTATAGCACAACAGACGGTCGCAGATCTGGGTCTAGGAGGTGGAGGCGCAGGAGCTGCTCCTCAGGGTTATTTTGCTCCTCCGTCCGCCTCCGCGAGTCGTGAAATATTTCTTTTGTCGGATGTCCTCAACTTATTCTCCCCGTTTTCCGGTGGCACACACGAAGGCAGCACAAGCAGAACTAGTGCCACGACTTCTGGATCAGCATCCACGACAGGAGAGGAAGAGAATGCCACGACTTTTGGCGATCACGAAAGTTCTTCCAGTTCTTGTCTCTCCTGCACACCTTCCACCTGGACACCTTGCGGCTGGATGGGTTTCCTCGCGTTTGTCGGCGGGCTTCTGTATCCTGGGCAAAAGTATGGTCACTGGTAGTAATTATCGCAGTCATGCATGACAAGAGTCGTTCGTAAGCATGTGCATGAGCTAAATGAGCATTACAAAGTAGAACTTCATTTCTCGTGCTTGAAAAAATTTGTGAAGATGCTATCGCTACTAGCTACGATACTTTTGCAATCCATATCCTGCTCATAACGGCCGCGGCTGGTGTGGTACTGTCTGCGGATGATTACATAGACTCGTCTGACTTCGATGAGATGGAAACACAAACAGAGACGGACGAGTCGGAAATGTTGCGTGCCGCGGCCGCCCGCGGCGCCTACGATCCGGAATCCTCGGATCTTTCCGACTCGCAGAAAGAGCACATTCTCGAGCAGGAAAGAACGCTGCGGAAAGGAGAAAAAAAGTTGAGGCGGAAAAGGGAACAACCTCCTAAGCGGACAAACATCTTTACCGCGCTAAAAACGAGAATAAGGCGGGGTCGCGCTGGTGCTGCTGGAGGGGCGGCTCGTACAGCTTCTCCACGTGCTGGACAAGTAGGAGGCGCCGAAACTCCTCGCGGTGAGCAGCAGAGAAAGAACATCTTCTCCTTCTTTCGAAGGAAGAAGAACGCTGTGACCACAGCAGCTGAACCTCCGGTACCAAATCCATTCTCTTCAGGAGCCGACCACACGATAGGGACGAACAAGGTTGCAGTTGTTCCTCCTACTAGCACTACTTCGTCCAGCATCAAGGACCACTTGCACTTCCTCCGCACGGCTGACAACAAAACTACGAGTGCTGGTGCCCCGTCGATCCTCGCTAAGGAGCGCGAACAGCAAAAATTGCAGGGCGTGGCCGGGAATAGTAATAAACTTGGCGCCAGTGCAGCGAGTACCAGTAGATCTGGCTTTATGCAACTTTCTGGTCAAGGCGGTGATGAGCACTCTTCTCATACCACGGTGATACAGGACTCGAACCTCCTGACTTTTGAGTTCAACAGCGGAAGCAAGTATACCGTGCCCCTGCAGGCCGCAACCGCAGTGCATCACGGGGGAAATGATTACCACGATGCAGAGGATCTGCATAAAGTTAAAGACAGTACTTCGAACAGAATCAAAACAACAGGAACTACAGAATCAAAACAACAGGAACTACAGCGACAAGACCAAGAAGGATTTACCACGTCAGAAGTCGCTGCTGCGGTGCTGGGGCTGGAGAGGGGAGCCGCCAGCGCAGTGTTTCGCTACTCCGGTATGGAATCGGCTGTCGGCACAGCTTCTGCGAGGATGAAGTCCTCGACCAGAAGTCGGAAGAGCAGCTCGAGAATAGTAAGCCGCGATCATTCATCTCATGATCGGGCGTCTAGTAGCAGAGGCTCCTCCACGGCGTCCGCGTCTGCCTCTTCCCTCGATAGTGTAGTTGGTCGCGTCACAGCGACGGGGGCTCCGCGTAGTTCAAGTAGAGGAACCAAGAGACTAAAGAAGAAGCAAAAACTGAAAGGAGATTTAGACCTGCGGAGTCATGAGGTGGAACACAAGGGCAAGATCAAGAAGAAAAAAGAAGAAAAGCAAAGCGGCAGAAAGTCGAGGTCCCGAAGCGTAACACCACGTGGTGCGACGCAAGAAAACCGCGGCCGTACCGGCTCCGGTGCTGGTGACCCATTAGGATTCGCTGCCAGTGTAGTTCCTGGCGCTGAGAGTTTGGAGAACCGCAAAAGCAGGCGAGCACTAGCGCCAAGAGCACCTTCATCACATCATAACCAAACTTCGTCGGCCATAGACTTCGAAAGCAGCCACTTCACTCCGAGGAAGAGCCGAGTGCGGACAACGACGGCGCAGAACACTTCTGCAGACGCAGCACATGAGCAGATTGCTCAGCTTGGTAATTTATCGGCGAAGAGGAAAAGAAAGACGAAATTAGCTGGCGCTGATTCTAGTTCATCGGAAGACCACCTCGGTGAGAAAGTGGAGCCCATTCTTGACCCAGCAGAGGCGGCGCGCGGTAAAAAAGGCGGGAGGAAAAAGAAACCTGCTTCCAAGAACGCAGATGGTTGAAAGTGAAAGGCTGGGGCAGGGGGAGCTGCTTCGAAAAGCTACTAATTTAGTTGTTTGCTCAAATTTATGTAGAAATAGAAGTCTCAAATTTAGAAATTTTTTCTCCAATTATTCTGCGCGAATTTTTTGATGGTATCGCAGTAGCAGCCGGAGTAGTCAGACTCCTGCGCACTAGCGCGGGCATCTACTGCTGCGCTAAATCTTGTAATTTTCTAGCGATTCTCTCTTTTTAGATTCAGACGGTATTGTCTGATAGTTTTTGACCTGTACCCCTCGTTCGCGAGCCCCTTTTTTCACCTGTACCCACAAGTAGTTGTCCCCGCGAATCAATATTGCATTTTTTTCTTTGGATTTCAATGTCGTCGTCTTTCCCCTCTTCAAGATGATCGCTTTCTTTTCATCTTTTTGCTGATGGTGCATTCTGGTGCAGTTTGGCGGCTAGCACACAATCAACGTGCCCGAGCCAGCGAGTGCGAGTCGTGATTTCTTTGTTCAGCCAAGAAGATTTCGGGGGTTTTCTTGTTGGTTACGTTACAGATGAGGAGCGCAATAAAAGGAGCGACACAGCAGGCTTCATCTACATGTGAGCAGCAAGTGGATGAAGGCCACCAAGACTACAAAAGTACTGTCTTTGAGGGAAAGCGCGCTCGGAAGGCCGAGTGGAGCTCGCTGCTGCCGCTGCGTAAGTAGATGATAACGACCGGCCTCGCGGCCCTCAGTATCTTTGAGTAGAATTTCATTTGCGTAGCAGTAAAGAGACAAGATGGAGATCAACATCAACGCGTATTGAGCTGCCTTGCGATCTTGCAGGTCGCTCGTCCTTGTTTTTTCGTTGCAGAAAAGCCAGAAAGAAACTAAGTCGGAGGTTCCGCTCCCACCGCGACTCGGAGGCTGGTGAATTTAGATCCGGTGTAAATACATTTCTCTACAACTTCCCGCGTCCACCTCTTGAAGCACAAGCTCCACGACAGAACTCCTCCATCCTTGTTGTCGAAAAGTAGAGTTGCATAACGGCGCGGAACAAACAATAGCGAATAGGTCGGGAACAACAGGGGGAAGAAAAAGAGAGGGCCACCAGTAGTACGAAGATGCCGACGGCCGAGAACCTCGCGACTTCGAGCACGATGGCGGGCACGACCCAAGCCGCGTCCTCCTCCACCGCGGGACGGGTAAATCCGAACAGCGCTCCGGTCAAGTCCCCGTGGCTGGACGCCATGAACGATCCGGTTGCCGGGATGAAGTGCTACTCCAGCTTCATGACGCTGTGCGACCTGCACGCCGACGGGAACCATCGGTTGATTTTGATCGACCTGCAGAAGCGGATACGGATCTACAAGGGGTTGACGATCCAGTGGGAGCAAAAACTGATGGACGTTCCGGTCGGGCTGGCCTGCTTCCACCACGACACCGCGTCCAGCAAGGAAGCCAGCAAGTCCGGGGCGCAAATCCCCACCTTGGCCGTGGCAAGCGGGCACCAGATCTTTGTGTACCGCTACCTGCGGCCGCACCTCAAATACAGCCTCCCGAAGATGGAGATACACGCTCAGGAAATCGCCGTGTGGAGCAGCATTCGCCCGGAGGCGCAAAACGTGCAGAATGCCGTCGATTCGCTGAACCAGCTGCGGGACCAAGGGGTATACTTAAAGTAATGAAAATGTAAATTTTTATGATATGATAAAGGAAAAGCAAAAGCAGAAGCCCACCTCAGTTGCATGTTCGTGATGTTCCTGAGTTGATATTTCATTTCGTGGTTATGCTAAACTGCTAAACTCTATTTCTACAACAAGAGTTGTAGACTGTGACCAGCATGACGACCGTCAGGTCTCCTTAACCAACCGGTCCATGGACCTTCTGGCCATGGAGGACCAGCCCGATTCCGAGAAGGTGGACTACGTGAAACTTGCCCGGGAGCATCCCTTTATTCAAAATACGGCCATCACGTGCATGGAAACCTTGAAAGTCAACATCGAGGAGGAAAACGGTGTTTCCATGGTGGTTTTCGGTGCCGAAAACCGGTGCGTCTACATTCTCGATTCGAACGCCTTGGATGTGGTAGTGAAGGTGGAACTAGACTCTGTCCCGGTCTTCCTCGTCTGCAGCGGGCTCTACGATGTCGAATATCGTATTTTTTTCTTTGCTTCGCGGAACGACAAGAAATTTGAAGTACTTTGCGACGTTATGCCGATACATCACGACTATCCTGTTGTGCTATGGGTTCTTGTGCCTTTTTGCTAGAAGTCTGTCAGAAAGAGGTGGCGACAGGTTGACGCTTTCCCAAGTAAGTACTTACTCCTCTACAATCCAGGTATTATTTGCGCGTGCCGTGACGGGAAGATCTACACGATCAAAAACGGCGCCCTGCTGTCCATGGTGATCGAGCTGGAAACGTTGCCGGTCGGGTTGGTGAAGATCGAAAAGATGATCAATGTGGGAACGATGGACAACGTCGTGCACTGCTTTCATTTCAAGGGCAAGAAGCAGTACTCGGTGTACCTTGACGCCCCGATTCAGTGTATGCAGTTGATGCAGTCGCCGAAAACCAAGGTGAAAGCAATGCTGGTGGCCCTGCAAAACGGCGAGGTGCGACTGTACAACGGGAAGTTTCTAGTTCACACACTGTTCCTGGCAGAACCGGTGATCGGGATGTGCTTCGGCATGTTTGGCAGGGAAGACGGAACGCTCTGTACTTTATACTTTTGAAAAGTTTTGGAAATTCGTACTTTTCGATGATTTTGCTTTGGCGGATGCTGCATAGTTTACTTAGTTAGTTTTTCCATGGTGCGTCGTGGTTTTCCTTGTCAAGCTGTTGAAAGAGTTTGTTTCATGGTAAAGAAAAAATCGCATAATTCGTAATGTTTCTTCATACTGATTCCAAATCAACAACAAATCGGCAGGCATGTCCTTGAAATCTGGCGGTCTGGTGGTGAAGATGCTTTCCCGCACAGCAAATCTGGAGCGGTCCCTCGAGCCGCCCGGGCCTCCGCACGAGCAGGACATTCCGCTCGACATTCCGAAGAAAACGAAGCTGTACGTAGACCAAACCGCGCGGGAACGCGATCAGCCCGTGGAGATGCACCGGATTTTCCAACGAGACCTGTGCAAGCTCCGACTCAATACCGCCCGAGCCTACGTAAAACTGCTGGGCACGACGTCCAGTGGCGCAGTGGTGAAAACGGCGAACCAGGGCTTGGCGCAACTCCGGCTAAACGCAGGGGTAGTACTTGATAAAATGCATAATACTACACAGGGTTCACGATGATCTAGTTCTAGTACGTTACGTCTGCATGATGATCCCTAACACTACACTTTCGCGCCGTGTTCCGCCTTGACCGACGAACTATTCACCCAGGTAAAAGGCATGGGACCTGAGTTCGAGATCGAGCTTTCCCTCACCAATGCGGCAGAGAAGCAGATCCGCGACTTGTTCGTCCAGGTGGACGCGAATGGGGCCGTTTACGCGGTACAGAAACCGCTCACCTTCGTGCCGCTGTTGCTACCGGGATACCAGCTGGTAATACCCGTGAAAGTGGACTGCGTCGACTACCTCGCGCCGGCCGACCACATCCGGGTCAGCGTTTTGTGCCGCGACACAGTGCGGCCGCTGGTCGCCGCGGTGGTGCAAATGCCGGTTTCCGCACAGAGCATGATTGAGGACTGATATTTTGCTCGGGCCGATGTAGTTGTGGTGGCTCCTTAGTGTCGTGTGGTGAGCCGTTCGCTGTCAAAAAAGCCGTACAAGAATAAAGTCGCTCCTGATGATCTTGTTCTTGGAGTGCAACTTGCAAAAAGTAAATAATCTTCAGAAGATCGGTGGTAGAAAAAGTAACTGGACGCTGTCTGTGCCACCACCAGGAGTTTGGCGGCATTGGGGCGCGGTCTGCCTGTTGCTCTTTGGGAAAAAAGTCAAAGAGGGATTGTTCACGGCCAGATGTCGAGTCGCAGCCAGCAACCATGCGCAACTTTGTAGCTGGACGGTACATCGAATTTCAGCATCAATCATGAGTATCACTGTAGCATTCTAGTTGACCCATCTACCACAGAAAATCAAAAACACGAAGCCGGCTAAGGGGCCAGAACGGCCGCAATAATCGATCCTACCCCCGCGGCGACAGTGACAGACCTGTCCACGCCTCTTCTGCTGGAGTCAGTCGTCCACGTCCGACCGTAGAATATCACACCAGAATACAACTCAAATTCCAAAAAGATGGCTCCCTCTCCAAGCTTTGACAGCAAGAAGTTTTCTGCCCGCGACACGGTGTCACACACCGAGGCGGCGCACTCGAAAGCCATGGATTTGGCAGCGCACGTGGTGAATTTTGACGACAAGGTTGCGATGTTGGCCGAAAAAAACAAGTTGCTGAAAGGCAAGCTAGCGGCTCACCAGCTGGACACGGCGGAGGTATTAATTTTCTAGAACAAGCATAAGATTTTTTTCTGTTGACGCGAAGATACTAACTAAAAGAATCGTAGACCCACTTGTTATGCATTCATTAGTACTGCTGCGTTCATCAAAAAATAACGATCCGAGGTCATGAGGGAACTGGAGTACACGCGCTTCGCCTGTTTCTACAAGTGGCGCGACATCGTGGCCGCCGAATACCGGCGGAAGAGGTTACAAGCCAAGAAACAAGCCTTCCAGGAGGACGGGGACCGGCTGCGGTTGGACAAGCTAGATCGCGAAACTGTTTTGCGGGAAGCGGAACGAAAAAAAGCGGAAATGGAGCAGGAGAAAGCAACATTGCAGGAGGAGTGTACAAACTTCGGCTTTGATGTTTTTCATCCTGGAGTGCATGACTGGTTGCGTTTTTTGTTGAATAATTCACTCACTGAAATAAAAATACTTGCAAAAGGAAAAGCGAACTTGTTGCGTGCGTGACAAATCGAAGTACTCCCTTGTTGAACTTCAGGTTCCGCCGTGCGGTCCCAGCTCGAGCAGTTGATATTGGAAGAGAAGCAGCTGGAGTTGCAATTGGCAAGTAACGAAGACTGGCTTGACATCATGCGGACTAACGCAACGGAAAAAGCGCAACTGAGAACAAGGCTTTCGTCCTCACAGCAGAGCAAGCACGAGCCTGGTTGTTCTGTTCTCCATTCAAAATCCAGCACACCGCCGCTTACGCCGACAGGAAGACACAGCAACGTGTCCGTGTCATCGCTGGTGCGGGAGTTCGGGTATTGAAAAATGCCATGTCTTACTGCGTGAGACGTAGGAAAGTCAGGAGGTTTCATGGAGCTCCTTTTACGACCTGCCCTCGTCGACGCTCCCGCCCCCCCGCGCGCAGGTCCCGCGCCAGCGCCGGGCCTCCGCGCCAGCGCCGCCCCGCGCCGCGCGCATCGGCGCCCGTGCCTCCCGCGCGCCCGCCGCCCGCGCCGGCGGGCTTGCAGGGTCACAGCGTCTACGACCTGCCCTCGTAGACGCGGTGGGGGGCCACAGCGTCTACGACCTGCCCTCGTAGACGCGGTGGGGGGCCACAGCGTCTACGACCTGCCCTCGTAGACGCGGTGGGGGGCCACGGCGTCTACGACCTGCCCTCGTAGACGCGGTGGGGGGCCACGGCGTCTACGACCTGCCCTCGTAGACGCGGTGGGGGGCCACGGCGTCTACGGCCTCTGCTCGTAGACGCTGTGGGGGGTCACAGCGTCTACAACCTCTGCTCGTAGACGCTGTGGGGGGTCACAGCGTCTCCGGCCTCGGCTCGTAGACGCTGCGGGGGGTCACAGCGTCTACGGCCTCGGCTCGTAGACGCTGCGGGGGGTCACAGCTCCTTTAGCTTTTTGACTACTTCTTGCATGCAACGATGGCAGCTTTTAGTACTGCAAATACTGAGACTGACACTGACATCACACACAACTCCCATGCTTCAGGATTCCTCCCTCCTCCTCAACATCCACCTGCAACCCTGCGGGCCCCGGGCAACTGACCCTCCAGCAGGCTGCGCGCGTGAAGGCCGGGCTGCTGAAGTCCCTCGCGCAGTTGGACGAGTTCAACAAAAAGCGGCACAAGGACGCAGCGGCCGCCTTGGGAGGTCCTGCGCACCATGCGTGGTCGTCAAGTATGAGGCTGCAGACACAATCCGGGAAGGAGCTGTCGCCGATAACGCCGGAGGTGGTCCTCGGAGAAGATATTAGCGACTTGCACCGGCAGGCCCGCGGTGACAACACAGAGGAAGTGGTAAACCTGAATAGTGTCACGGTGAACCCACCGCCACCAATAAAAGGCCTGAATTCATCAGCATCATCCTATTATACGACCACGCCAAAGAACGCGATGCCACCGACGCGACTCCTCAGCACGAGCAGCTCGTCCGCGTCGGTTGGTATTCCCGCGCCGGCGAGCGTGACGCTGCCGCGGCCGACGGGCGCGCATTCCAGTTCGACTTTCAATTTACATAGTCGGATCGTCAGCGGAACAAGTGCTGCGGTTGTAGGGCGTGGAGTGTTGACCAGCACTGGTACTTCTTCTGCTGCTCCTTGTCAAACAGCTACAAGAACGCCAAACAGGAACCACTACGTCGGCGGACAACAGCACAACAACCTTGCTGCCGCTACACTATCGGCAGTTGCATCTACAGGCACGTCTGCCACTGTAAGTAGATCAACACTGAGGAAGCCAACCGGTCTGCGGTCGCGCGCCGGCACGGCTTCTACGACCAGTTTGCTGTCGACACCTCTGCTCAGGGACCGCGGATCAACCGGGGGTGCGTTTTCTGCGCAGGGAGCTGCGGCGGATGTAGTTGGGAACAATCTGGGTGCAGAGGGAGCGGACCAGCAGCGAGGGCCGAGAATCAGTGGAAGTGGAAAGAACGTCAAATCTTCCTATTGCTTCAAGACTCCGGTCCCAGCGATGGGGCCATTGTAAGATGACAAACGAACATAAGATGAAAGAATCAATTACGAAAAATGATAATCGCGGAACACTGGTGCAGCTGAACGGCCACACATTTGTACAATTTTTTGAAAATAGAAAAGCAGAGAACATTTCTGCAAGAGCTTCAAACACGAGCTAAGCCTAAGTGCCTAGCACCTGTTCTCTCCATGCCGACGAAGTTGCCGATGAGGGCCTTCGAACACCTTTCGAGCTCCTTGCGGCCTATCTTCGTCAAAAAGACCGTTTCTGAAATTGCCTTCGTTGGTTGCAAGTTCTGTTCACAAGCTGCTGTTTGCTCCTACGGAAGATCTTTCGTAATCCACAAGCTACTGCTGCTTGTTTAGCTTTTTCTAGCGTCTCTATACTTTTATTTTGCCAATTGTTTCTAGTACGGCTCCTAGTCATAGCACCACTCCGCTAAATATTCACCAAACATGAGTCTCTTCTTCCCCTCGCCGGCGACGTTGTTCGCAAAGATGGGTCCGACCAAAGGCCGCGGACCGCTGATCAGCAAGCGCGCCCCGCATTTCCGCAAGGGCTTTGGGTCCATTGGTTTGGGAAGGCACACGAAAAAGGCGTTTTTTCATGTGAATCCGCAACTAGTGCCCATGTTCAAAGTGCCCGATCTGACCGGGTTCAAGTTGAAACCCTACGTGTCCAGGAGAACGCCGGTCGTAAACAATGCCTGCGAATACTGGCGAACTGGACATTTCATTCCATGAAACAAAGAAAGTGCAGAAGCGGAGCAGGTGTACATTGTCGTCCAGCACGCCGCAACTTACTGCCATCGATAAAAACCGTCAATGGAAGCTGTGTCTTGACGTTCACGATGACGGCATTGTTAGTAGTCAAGTTGAAGAAGAGCGGTCTAACAACTGCTCTCGCTGTGTCCTCGGCGACACAAAAATCGATCCAGGAGTAAAAATATCTGTCGAAGGAGATCCTGCGCAAAGCCTCAGAACGACATACGAATGCTCAGAAGCAGGACATAATCAGATCGCACACCGTGAAACAAAGGATCTTGATACAATGCACCGTGTGAGGAGCAGCGTGGACCTAAAATGTAAAATAAAAATGATTTTCCGTCTCCGCTCACATAGTAAAGCTAAAGGCACCGCACCGATCCAAGTATTGATCCAATGCAATGGATAGGTGCAAGAATGTGAAATCGCTCTAAAGCAAAATGAAATGTATGCTCTTCCACACAACGCAGATCAAAACATCAAATTTCCGGTGCTACTAATTCATGCGCTCTTCAAAACGTAAATTGGGATGAATTGCGTTGGATCTAAGTATGATTTGAATTTGTGATACAACTTCAGGTGGGTTTTCCCGTAATAAGTACCATGGCTAGACATAAAGATTGACTTGTGTTTCTATTTGACCTCAAAGTCGGATTTCTTATTTTTGACTCTGCGTAGTTCGAGTTCCTCTTCCTGGCCTCGCCTCATCATTTCCCCGCGTGGAAGAGAGGGCAAAAATGGTAGAAGCGACCTCAAGCGACCTTGCCAACTCTTCTCGGGTGGTTTTGAAGAATATTCCGCCCTATGTTTCGGAAGCGAAGCTACGGGAGCGCTTCCGCGCGCACGGATCCTTGACGGATGTGAAGATTTTGACGACGAAGGCCGGCACCTCACGGCAGTTGGCGTTCCTTGGGTTCAAGACGCCGGAAGAGGCCAGAAGGTATGGATTTTCTAGGTTTTTTGTTTTTGTTGGTCGTTCTCCTTGCTTGATATCATCATGTGTAGCACTGGGTATGGGAAGATCTTGATGTGTAGTCGTGTAAGAAAGTACTTCTGAAATCGACCCCCGTCGCCGATTAACGCAGGTGTGTGAAGGCCAACCACCGAACTTTTTTCGACGCTTACAAGCTCCAAGTAGAGATCGCAAAACCCGTGGGCGACACGAACCTGCAGCGACCCTGGAGCAAGCACTCGAAGGGGAGCTCAAAATTCGAAAAGCAATTGGCGAAGAGCAAAGTGGGAGGAGGCGAAGGAGCAGATACAGTGCCAAACAAAACGGTGGAGGGTATCGCAGGTGCGACTTCTGTCGCGAAGAAATCTGCGAAAAGATCCAAAGCAGATGAAAAGAGCTTTGTCGCTGGACAGGGAGGAAGCGACGAAGCTGCAGCTCCTTCAACATTGTCCCCGGCAAAAGCGTTCGGAGAGGCAGCCGAGAAAAATGAAGACGAAGCTCTGCTTGCGGATGACGATAACGATGACGATTTTCTGTCCCGATTCAAAACCAACGCCGACGATTTGGAGTCAGACGGCGAAGACGCTGCAGGGCAGAAGCGGAAAGCAGACGAAAGAGATCATAACGCAGAATCCGCGACCACCTCGCCTGTTTCCACTAACCAGGACGGAAGCTCCTCCGCTGCCGATCGCGACAAGTTGTCAACAGCAAAGGATGTTGAAACAGCCACTCCAGCAACAGGTGCCCCTTGTAGTTCCTCGTCGGCGGCGTCCACCGGACGTCTGTTCGTCACGAACCTGCCCTACAGCACTACCGAGGAGGAGCTAAAAGATTTTTTCGAACGGTTCGGAAGAAGTAGCGGACAGAACACGACGACAGGTCCTCGTGACATAGACATAATGGAGGTCGGCGAAGTGAAGATTCCGAAAGACGAGGACACGAAGAAGTCCCGCGGCTTCGGCTTCGTCACCTACGTGTTCCCGGAGCACGCGGTCCGAGCCCTCGCCGAGTTGGACAAACAGTGCTTTCAGGGGCGCCTGATTTCCGTCCAGGACGCGAAGGAACAGACTTCGAAAGACGGCGGGGTTGAGACGGAAGCAGGGGGTGCTACCAGCATGTTGACGGGTTTATCGAGTGCAAACAGCCACAGCAAGGCGGGTGCTGCTGAAAAATCTTCCTACAAGCGGCAGAAGCAGCAGGAGCTGAAGCAGCAGCAGTCGGAAAAGATCTGGAATCTGCTTTACATGTCGGCGAATTCCGCGACCGACGCGATGGCGAAGCGGTATGGCGTTCTCAACTGTTACATTCTCAACTGTTTACGTGATTTGTCATGCAAATTTACCACCAAGATCGCCACGATTCAGCTGCTTCGCATGACAAATATCCGAAGGGCTAAACAGAATCTAAATCTGTGCCAAATCTGTGATGCAAAAGGCGCAATCTTCCCCCTTTCACTTTCGCCGTTCTTGCATTACAAATTCATGTCACAGTTGAGAATGTAACATTTGAGAACGCCATAAGCGGCTCGGCGTGGAGAAACGCGACCTGCTTTCCAAGGAGCACGACAAACTGGCAGTCACGGTGGCTTTGGGCGAGACGCAAATCATCGCGGAGACGAAGCGGTGGCTGGAAAAGGAAAACATCTGGGTGGACGCCTTCACCAGAAGTGGCAAAACCCTGCTCTCCGCGACCGAAAACCCGTTCGAGGAAAAAGCGGCAGCAATCGGAGGTGCATCATCTTCGGCAGGAGCTTCCTCTTCTTCATCGACAACAGGAGGCCCACAGCAGCCGGTGCAGCACCGGCGCGCGAAAGACGTTTTTCTGGTGAAACATCTGCCCGCCGAGTCGGTGTCCGAGGCGGAGCTGCGGGAGCGATTCGCGCGGTTCGGCGAAATCCGGCGGTTCTGTCTGGCGCCGTCAAAAACGGTGTGCGTCGTGCAGTTTGCGAGCAGTGTGGAGGCGGAGCGGTGCTTCAACAAAGTGAATTTCTCCCGGTACAAGCACGTTCCCTTGTTTCTGGAATGGGCACCCGAACAGATCTTCAGGAACGCAGGGGAACTACCTAGTAAAGATCAGGCGACCAAGAATCAGAAGGTACAAGAATCTGCTGGGGTATCAGGTGATGCGACGTCTGCAAAGCAGGGTGCAAATGGCGACCAGCAAGGTGAAGAACAAACGACTGACCAGCAGCACCCTTCGTGCAGCATTTTCGTGAAATATCTGAACTTCAACACCACCGAGATGAAACTGGAGCAGATCTTCCGGCAGCACGAGGGCTTCAAAAAGGTCACTCTGATGAAGAAGAAGGGCTTATCGTCAACCTCCGACAGCGCAGCAAAGCAAGTGTCGATGGGGTACGGATTTATCGAGTACCAAACTATGCAGCAGTGCGAGGCCGTGGTCAAAAAACGGCAGAACATGCCCCTGGACGGCCACGTACTGCAGCTGCAGGTGTCGGACCGGAAAAAGGCGGGGCAGTTTAAGGACAAGCAAAAATCTCTGGCCGGAGTAGAGATATCATCAACGTCGTCTAGGAGAAAAAACAACGCAGAACAGGACGCCGATTCTGCGGCCAACGGGGACGAAAATAAGCCGCTGTCCAACAAGCTGTGTGTGAGGAACATCGCTTTTGAGACGACGAAGTCTGAGCTGCAGCAGCTCTTCGCACCCTACGGGACGGTGACCTCTCTGCGCCTGCCGAAGAAGGCCGACCGGTCCGGCCAGCACAGGGGGTTCGCGTTTGTGGATTTCCTGACGAATATCAAATGTAAAAATGTCTGGGTCTGGAAGATTGCGAGATTTGTCATGCACATTTTGCATGACTCCCGATGTCTGTGATGCATGCCCTAGCATCACAGATTTTGCGAGGGCTTCCTGATGCCTATACCGCATGACAAATGCTCTCTCCGTGTACGCAAAACTTGGACTCTCTTTGCTGCTCATGCAATACAGATTTTTTTAGAATCCAAAATCAGCATGACAAGTTGGATTCTTCCAGACCCAGACATTTTTACATTTGATAACGAAATCCGACTGCTTGAACGCGTTTGAAAACCTGCAGCACACACACTTGTACGGCCGGAAGCTGGTCTTGGAGCCCGCAGAGAAGGAAGCGCTCACGCTAGAGGAGATCCAAGCCGCGCAAGTCTTGAATTTGACGAAGCAGTCGGAAAAGGAAAAGCGAAAAAGGGAGAATGTAGTTGATGCTGGTAGAAGTACCGCAACGGCTTCCGAGCAGAAGAGCGCGGGATCATTCGCTGCGCAAGTCTTGGAAGACGGCGGACACAAGGGGAAGAATTCCTCGACTGGGAAACCCCCGAAAAAGAAACGGAAGATTGCAAAATCGTAGAACTTGCAAAAGAACGGGTACAAAAGTTGCAAAAGTCCGTAGAAATTGCAAAATCCTAGAACTCTTAAACCGAATATCTTCTTCGCTTTCACTTGACAAAGCTTTGAGAAGCTTGACTTTTCCGCCCGATGGGCGTTATGAAAGCTAAGCACCCGCGAACGCACGCTGCTCGAGTTGTACTCCACTAGAAAACAGGGGTTGTGTTTTTGGGATGTTCGTACGCAAAGCGGTTGAGAGGAGGCGAAAACTGCTATAGTATCAAGACGAGAGCATTGTTTTTTTATGCATGGTGTGTCTATTTGGCAAGCGGAAAAAGGAAAAGCAAAAGCCCTAGATCTCGAATAGGATCGGTGGAAACCTCTCTTCGCAAATTTTATTTCTCGTGCAAATTTGTGATACAGCAGCAGCTGTAGCAGTTCCCCTTACACTTCTAGCTCCAGGTCCTCTTCACGTTCTTTATTTCCAAACCCTACTGTTTCTCTGACGTCTCTCCTCTTCGCTTCTCCGCTGAGGTCGTACGACGAGAAAGCATCAACGGATTCGTCTTTCAAATTGGTTTTATTGTGTCTTGATGCCCACTGTTTCTACCGAGTTCGGGATTATTATACCGTTTAGTATCTAGTTCTAGAGGCGTACCGCACCAGCTGAAGCAAGAGTTTATCGATAGTTCTCTTCCTCTTTGATCTGCGTCTGCTGCTGATCCAAGAAAGATAGCGTCGAGGTTTCAAACATATTATCAGTAGTTTCCCTTTCCGTTTCTTTGTTGCTATAATTAATTAAGCGCGAAACAGAGCCACAGACTAAGCTCTTCTTCGTCTTCGCTGTGAGAATCTGGAGAGCACTCATAGACACATACAATTTGCAATCTCCAAGGCTCACACACAGCTACGTACAGTCAGTCTCGGCAAGTTGTAATTTGAACATGTTCTCGTCGAACCGAGAGCGCCGGGTCGTGCCTGCGCGTGCAGGTGCTACCGCGGCAATGGTGCTGTTGCTCTCTTCCAAGGCAACCGTCAATGTTGCCGCCGACACGATGGAGAAAAGAAGTTCAACAGTGAAGAAATACACCCTGACGAAAAAGAAGTACATGAATGAGTACAAGGTCATGCCGGGGCACACCAAAAAGGAGCATATCATCTCGGACCGCACACACATGCAGCTGAAAGCAACCGAGCTTCCGGCAGAGCTGAACTGGGCCGATTATGCACGGGGAAGACTGCGCTAGTGTACCTACTAGTTTTCTTTGCCTGCAGCTGCAGCTGTGAAGATGATGAAGATCACAGCACTTTTTACAAGTGGGCCGCGCTCGAAATTGAACTTGTACAACTTCGTGCGCCTGTGCAGTTGGAGTTTAGGCTAGTACCTGAAGAAAGCGCAGAAAAAAATGAAAATAGGGGCGCGCTTCCAGATGAATGACACCACCTTTAAGCGGTGTTTAAAGAACGCCTTCGCAATTTTTTTTTGTTGCGAAACTGCTACACATGGATAATCATGGTACACCAGACGAGTTATTTTTTCTTGCATACCGACGTGAAGGGAAAGAGCCTGCTGACAAAGAATCTGAACCAACACATTCCGCAGTATTGTGGTAAGTATACTAGTCTTCGTTTTTTTAACTTTAATACGTGAAGATCCTGTTCCTGAAGATCCTGAGTGACTGAATGATTATCTCCTCAGCACAGGTCGTGTCCGCACCTAGTAGGAATATTTATAGAAAAGCAACACTACGAAACGCAAACGACGACATGGACATCATGATCCTGATATCAAATAAAGGTTCCTGCTGGGCCCACGGTGCAATCTCAGCGCTCTCGGACCGCATTAAAATCGCACGAAAGGGGAAGAGCCCGGACATCAACCTGTCGGTACAGCATATCCCACGAAAAAACTGTTTCACTGTGATGATCTTGCAAGATCTGTATCACAAGTTTGTTACACATGACACAGAGAATTTGCCATGCGCGCTTCCAAAGGGAAAACACCGCTAAAGAGTCGAGGTCTTGCAGGTGTGGCAAGACAAATAGTTCTGTCTTCCATTCTATGCATCACAAGTTCACAGCGAAGCAGTTTTTTCTTGCGATACAGCACGTGTTGAATTGCGGTGGCGAGGTCGCCGGAAGCTGTTACGGAGGATCGCAGTCCGGAGCTTACCAGTGGATCCATGATAACGGGTAAATTGTCTATACTGCAGCCTTTTTTAGACCCATGTTGATCGTGAGGTCTTGCTTGCTGTCTGCTATTCTTGCTCCCCGCTTTACCGGCATTGATCGCCGTGCATACTTCTGCATGTCTACGATTCTACTTAGCGGTAATACTAACAGTTGCTCCACTTGCACTAGCTAGATGGGAACTAAGCTGCACCTCTTCGTTCTTTGTCTCAGATACTTACACATGACGCACCGTCTTCTACTTTTTCGAGCACACATACTGGAAAATATCCGGAAAACTACCCCTGCAGTTTCGTCGCCTACGACAGTGGGAACCCCTACCTTGCCTGCTCTTCCGATAGCAAGAACGGCATTTGCGTGCACGCCGATTTCACTTGCACGGCCAAGAACGTCGCGAGAACTTGCTCTGTATCCATTCTGCAAATTTCAATTTAGCGACGTAGTACTACACATAGCGTGCTATATGAAAAATCCTTACCATGATGCGCCAGAACTATCTTTCTTGCTTGAAACATGCCAGCAAAGTCACGGCCACTTCTTGTGCTGTGCAGGGGGCGACATTAACGTGGAATGCAAGGCTGTAAATAAAAAACCTAGTACAACAGCTGCATGCGCTATGTCGCTTATGATACCTACTTTTGCAGTGGATACTATACCTTTCCGGAGATGGGCGGAAAGTGTGTGGGGTTGACCCATTTTCCGAACGCGACTATTGCGGAATACGGCATGGTGTCGGGTGTGGAAGACATGAAGAAGGAGCTGATGCGCGGGCCCTTGGCCTGTGGTAAGTGAACAACGTGATGCATAAAATAAAGCTCGTTGTTTTTTCATACTGAAACAGCACTAGCAGATGCATCGGAAGTACAACGTAGACGGGAGGTTTTACTTGTATTCGTCACACTTCATCACCATTTGCTCTGACATCGCTTTCGATCTGATCCATCTTTCAATCACTTTTAAGGTATCGACGCCGACAACCTGCGTGACTATCACAAGGGCGTTTTGGACATTCCGGACGGCACGCGCAACATCAATCACGTGATTTCGGTCATTGGGTGGGGCAAAACCCCGGAGGGCAAGGAGTACTGGATTGGTCGCAACAGCTGGGGCGAGTACTGGGGCGAGCTCGGGCACTTCCGCATTGCCACCGGCGGGTCACAGGCGGGCATCGAGGACGAGTGCTCCTGGGCGGTGCCGGGGTCCTGGACCGAGAACAACTTTCCGTGTGAGGAAGACGGCACGGGGTGCTTGGAAGAGGGCGACCAGGCGGGAACACCGGTACTCACCAATCTGGTGGAGAAGAACGTGCTGAAGAAGAACAAGGTGCAAGCGGAACAAGCGCAGGAGGAGGTGTACAACTAGGCGGGTCTATTTACAATTACAGTGCAGCTTCATCTTTTGGCGCCTTCGATTTTTTCCATTTTTTTTTTGATGTCAGGATGAGAAATTTTGGATTTTTCACATTTGAGGTTTTTCATCGATGGCACACTCTTGCTTTTTTTGCCTCGACAAGTGCAGCAACTTGTTGATGTGAGTCGTGTACACTAGATTCAGATTTACAAAATCGGTCTTCAACAATTTTTAGAGGTGTTTTATTCGATACCACTTGTAAGAAAACCAAAACAAACATGAAATTGCGCTTCTTCGAACTACTCCGCATGAGTTCCGGGAAGTACTAGAATAAGTCAGCACAGGACCAGGGACACGGACAGCGAACGTGCATGATTGCACCAATGGCGGAGGTACCGCATTGGGATTGGCTAGAAGAACAAGTGCGGTGCAAGCGAGTACAGTAGACTTGAAATTGTCTACAGCATATCCTCGGTCAGTATTGTATCGCTCAGTATGTGATCGAGCTTGTAAAGAAGTTGTAGGAAAGATTAACTTTTTTGGAAAAAAAAGTATTCGCATCGCTGCGTACAGCGCGGAGTAGTACTACCGCGGGGGTATGCTTTTTCTAGAAGTGAAGAGGCGACTGGGTCCTTGCTTCGACGTTTTCCCTTCTGCAGGAGCACTCCTTCTCGTCGTCACGATTCACATTCATCTTCGGGTGATTATCGTCTTTGATGAAGGAGTGAATAAGATCTCAACTTCCGGCGCAGCTTCCAGTTCCACACTAAACATACATCAACAAACTCTTCCTTCGACCGATGAAGAACGGACAGGGAAAAAAGATCCGAAGTCCGAGAGAAGGAGACAAAAAAGGTCAATTGTCGAATATAAAAAGATAAGTCCCGCCGCGAAGGACAAGGATCATGATGTCGCAGTCCGTGTCTTCGTTTTGTTTTCGGTCGCTGGCGTTTCGCACAAATTTGTTGTTTTCTCTCTTCACGGGCTTGGGACCCCCTTCTTCATCTTCGGACTACTATACAACTCCGATCACGACTTCGAAGAAGAAGGCAGCCTCCTTCCATCCTCGGCAAGGCTTTCAGATCTTTGCAGCGGCATTGTCCACTCAGACCACCCGATCCAGTGCCGCGCAACAACCTCGAAGGAGGCCGACGAACCGGCACAATACGCCCATTCGGCCGACGAGACGGCCGTCAGTCACAAGTAGCGTGACCGCGGAGTCGGAACAGGACATCGGGACCGACAATGAGCATTACCACCAGCGAGCGCGAGGGCAGCAGCAGCACAGAGCCGCTGCTCCGGTCGCGATGTCCTCAGGGGCTGCGTATGACTTCCGCAGTTCCAGTAAGGACAGCAATCGGGGCGGAAGTGGTCGTCGTGCAGGGTCGCTTGTTGGAGGTGGAAGCAAGAACACAGTAGATGAAACGCCTGCATCTTCACGAGGGACAACCACCACTGCAGGGGTAGTAACGGCATCAAGTGCGAGACAAGGAAAGCAAGGAAACTCGTCCTCCGCTGCGTCCGCCGCGATCACAAGAACAGCGGGCACAACTACTACAGCCAACTCAGCATTTACCCCTGCCTCGCAGCCAAAAAGGACATCACGTGGACTTCGAGACCACGGTCAGGAGAGCGACACTGGTGGTGAACCGATCCGACCTACACCCAGCACGACGATCCCGGTATTGTCCGCGACCGCGATTCGGAAACGGTGCTCCCCCGGTTTCTACTCGGTCAGCTTTGATCCGGAGCTGACCAAATACGCCACCATGACGGCCGACAAGAAAGTTCTGCAGACCAAAATGGGCTTTCTCTTTGTCCTTTCCGATTTGCTAGAGAACAATCAGGAGTGGCTGGTTGCCGATTTAACGCTGAGCAAGCTCCGGCGCTGCAGGTGCCGCGAGAATAAATTGGTGCTGCATTTCGAGCAAAACAACGCCCTGTTGGTGGAGAAAATCGTGCCAGAGCTGACCACGAAGAAGCAGATGACAGAGATCGCTCCTGGAACGGGGATATTTAGCTTCGCGGAACATCAAGTAGCCGGTGGATTTGACGGGACAAGTGGTGCAAACCCGACAGGCTTGTTGCCACCGCCACCGAGTAGCGACTCTACCTCTCACCACAACGAGGGGTCGACGTTGCTGCACCAGACCCGGAGCTTCGTTTTCGGCGGCGTGGAGATCTCGAAATCGCAGAACAGCACGTTGCAGCGGATGTTGACATCTTCAAACAATAACTCCAACAATCTGCTCGCCGTTTCAACCGGCTCCTCCGCCTCGGCGGTGGCTGGGGGGCCGGCGGGAAGCGGTTCGGGCGCGGGTGCACCACCACAGAAAATCACATTGGAGCCAGCGGAAGAAAACACAGAAGGAGCAAGGGTGAAAAATGATGCGGGAACGGAAATAGAGCTAGAGCCGCAGTTGCGCGAGAAGCAGCAAGGAGTCGTTCTCGCCGTGCAAGATTCCGAAGAATTCAAGGACTACATTCACCAACGCCGGGACCTGGCCTGGAGCCACGCCGAGCCCGTGAAGAAACTATGACAGTGCACAACTCCCCCTCCCCCTCATTTGTCATGCAAAATACCCAATCCACCCATTGCTTCTGAGCACTGTTTGCATGACAAGTTCTGGTAGCCCAAATAGCACTACACTCCAGTGCAAATTTGTCACGCAAAACCGGCATCCTTTTCCTTGCTGATGCCTGTATTGCTGTTCATGCTATACAAATGAGGGGGAGGGGGAGTTGTGCACTGTCATAGAAACGGAACAAAGTCGTGAAACCGAACCAGGACCTCTCGTTTCTGCTGGAAAACGTAGCGGCACCGCCAAAGCGGTACATGCGGTCCAGGGGAGGTGGTGCCGGCCACGCGAAGAAATTTGTGGAGCTGAATAACCGGCCAGGTGCAAGTTTTTGTGGTGTGATGTACACTACAGCTTCGGCATGTTGAGAAATCATCATCCACACTTTTTTTTTTTGAGACGATAAAAAATGTTCTCACACACACTCTCACCACATGCAATGTCGTGGACAGTGTGTTACTAGGCGCATGATGCTGCCCAAAGAAGTACGTACAGATGAACTACGGACGCAGAGGAAATCTAGAAAACAAATCATTATTTAATCTGCAGGCTCCACTCTCGAGGCGGGCGTGTACATGAGCCCGATCAACCCGAAGGTCGGTCTGGTTCTGGACAAGCACCGAACCACAGGCCAGTTTTCCGAGGTGTCCCCGAGCGTTCTGAAGGACAAGGTGAAAATCCCGAAGCTCGGTGTGAACCTGTTCAAGAGCAAAATGCGAAACGTGAAAACCGCGGCGAATGACGAGGAAACGAAGCGGCAAACGTCGATGCTGCTGCACGGAGTGGAGGTACAATTCTCGCACAGCCTAGACGCGCCGACAGAAGGAGACGGTGGAGTTGCAGGGCAGAAATCTCTGACCACGCTAGTACCCGCGCCAGCATTACCTTTCTCAACTTCTGCGTGTCCTGCACCTCCGGGGGCTCGTGTGGAACGACTGGTCCAACCTCTGGCCGCTCAGGTCCTGGACGCCAGCCCGGAAGTGATGTACAACTGCATGAAGTCGCTCGAGCTCTCCATGGAGATGTTTGACCTCTTCCAAGACGAGGAGTTGGAAGACGAGGAATTGTGCGAAGACGAAATGAAAGACCACGAAGTGACGCACGAAGGAGACCAGGACCCGGACCGGGAAGACCTCGATCTGTTGAACTCGGAAAACGAAGGGGCAGCTGGTACTAGGTCTAGGAACTGCACGACGATGAAAAGATCAACACGGGTTAACAGCCGAAAACCGACCGCCGAATTTGTTCACCAAGAGGTCCGAACCCCGCCCGCCGCCGCGATGCTGTCGATGAGTAACTCGCAGGTGAGTCTGCAGCAACTGCACCAGTCGGGCTTGAGCTACACCACCGCCGACGAGGCTGCTGAGCAAGCATTGGAGCGGAAAAACGAGCCCTGGCGGGACTTGTTTCACGAGGAGGTCGCGTTGCGCTTCTTTCGCGATTTCTCCCTGGAATTCTTCGGGCACGAGGGAGAGAAAAACGGGAAAAGCATGGCGGGCATTTACCAGAAGGACGAGATTGTGACAACCGTGCGGCGGGAGGGAAACACCGATGCGAAACTGCCCCTGACGGTTTTGAGTGCCATCAAGGCAGCGGGATTGCTGCAGGGATTTGTTGGTACTGCAACTTCTACTTCTGCTCCTGGTCACCAGCAGGTGGGGATTGACCACATGATCCAGAGCGCAGCGACGTCCGCAGCTTCCGACAAACCTGCTGGTATTGACTTTCTGCTCGAGATTACGAAGGACAAAGATCATGACACCGCGACAGAAGAAGTCAACGCCAACAGCCACAAAGATTACGAAGATCTTGCGGAGAAGAGACAGAAAGCAAGAAAGAAATTTGGGACGAAGGTAGGGATATTCCTGGAGAAGCATTTCGACTTCAAAAACTTGCTGTCCGACGCAAATCCTACACATCAAGCTGCAGGTGCTCCCGGCGTCGAGAACGCGATTTCCCAGTGGTCGTCGCACGACCCTGTCAACAACCCTGGAACAACCGTGACAGATGCGCGTTCTCTAACGTCGGTAAATAATAACGGCACCTCCAGCGAAAGCAACATCTTGTTCAAGGTCGGCAATATTAACGTAGGGACGGACCAAGGAGCCGGAGCGTCGGCGAAATTTGTCGAGTACTCCCCGCAAGCCCAGGCTCCAGCCTTCTTTTCCCGACAAGACTCGTTGGACGACATGCTGCCAATAGCTCGAACGGCTTCCGAGTCCTCGGCCGCAAGCCATGACGGAAGAGACAACAACTTAGAACCCATCAAGATGTTCCGAGCCGACCGTCCGTTTTCTTCTGTCGACCTCCATTTGATCGCTCTGGAAGATGCGACGCGACAGACCGCCGCGGTAGACCCCACAGGTTCGTTAATTGGTGGACCGGCTGCACCAACCCTGCAAAACATGGAGTCCATTCCCGAAGTGGTGAAAAACGGCCAGAACCTGGAAGTGACATCCACTTCCCTTGCGAAAAGCAGCAACGCGGCCGGGAATAATCTCAACATAGTACCAGATCATTCATCGGGTACTAATAAACAGCCCCAGCCGCCGGCAATCATCACGGGGGCCAGCAGCCATAGTTTAGGGAATTTGCTGACCCTTTCCTCGGGCTCGACTACCCCGGCGGGTGGGGCCGCCGCGGGTCAAGCACAACAAGCGCAGATGAACCAGGAGCTAATACCCACGATCTCCCGGTCGACCAGCACAAGGACCACGAACACGGTGCAAACCAGCAACATTTTCGATGCGCACCAGATTCTGCACGGGCCCGACACGGCGTTTCTGACGCAGGCCATGAACAGCGAGACCGAGGAGGAGCGAAAATCGAAATTTGTCCGCGTGCTAATCTCCGACGAGACCGCGTCCATTCAGTCCGAGGAGCCGCCGCCGATCTCCTGGCGGTTGTTTACCTTCCCCGACGAGGCGGAGTTCGCGCAGGAGGCGTACGCGCTCGTGCCGCCCGTGAAACAGTTGGTGGAGCTGTTTCGGGGGGAAGTTAGGGCGGCGTTGGAGGAATACGAAGCGGCCAGCGAGATGATCAGTTTGAGCGCCACTTCGAGCACGGGGGTTGTGACAACTACCGGCTCTACTTCCATCGCGGAGGACAGGAGGAGGGAATTGCTCAAAACCTTCATCCAGTCGCATTTCGCGGCCAGTGTTGAGCCAACATCTGTTGATAGTGGTACTACCGCAGGAGCTATGAACGACGTAGAGGAGCAGCAGCGTGGTCGAGAAGATCATCAGGTAGTTGATCCTTTACTACACAACAACATAAAGCGTGACACAGACGGAACGGTGACCAAGAGACCGCTCCCGGTGGGCCGGGTTTACCAGAAAGACAGCGACTTTCTCGACGACCCAACGGTTTGGGAGACCGCTGCCGCTGCGGATTCCGCAGCGGCTGATGAAGAAGAAGAAAATCAGACGAACGAGGAAACGAAAGACGAAAGTGCGAATGCTGCAGCAGCAAAGAAAAGCCACCTGACCATCTTCCTCGAGATCGTGGGCTGGTCGCACAAGAGCGTCCTTGGCCTCCATCCGACCGCCAGGATCGGCTTCAGTTCGAACCAGCACGGCGGGGGGTCGTTCTCTGGAGGGAACTGCAATTCGTCTCCCGCAGGGTTATTTAGTAGCGGCATTCCTGGCGGTTCTCCGAAGATGTCTTCAGGCTCGCAATTCATCCCGCAGGAAGCCTCCTCCCCTCTCGGTCCGAAAGGAAGAGGACCGGACTTCGTGTACTCCGCGGACGACTTTCCATCTTTGCACCACACGGTGATTCACCAACCCGGCAGCAGTCCCAGCGCTTCAGAAGCCACGGCGACACCGAACAGCATCACGAACCGACGGGCGTCGAGCGGGCGGCAAACGTCGACCACGACCAACCGGGGCCGGCAGACGAGGCGCCGCCAATCGATCGCGAGACAGCAGCTGTTGCAGGAGCAAAAACGGTTAGAAGAGCTCAGGAGGAAGCGGGAGCGAGACATCGACGATTTGGTCTTCACACACATTCTGAACCACCCGCAACTTTCCGCCGCCTACCTGCTGCAACGACAGGCGACTTTCGCGAATTTCGAGGACACGGCCGGGGATTTGCTCTCGCTCTCCCGGTTTTTGGAGCGCGAGCAAGCGGCGCAGCAGAAGCTGAAGGAGGAGAGAATGCTGCAGAAGACGCTGCAGAAAGTGATGCAGAAACAACAGGCATTGGCGGAGCAAAATTTAAGTCAGCAGCAGGCGGGACATCAACAACTACACCAGAGCCGGCTCATCTCCAACGAACAAACGACCCGAGAAATTGAACTTTTGGAGACCGAAAACCTACAAATCCGGCAGCGACACGAACAGGAGAAAGAGGAGCTGCTGTTCCAGCTCTACTGCATCGGCGGCTTCAGTGGGTTGCTGCTCATCGTGTTCGTTTTGTATGTGATTCTGCACCCGCGACCCGAGGATCCGCTGAATGCGCCGGTCTTTATGGATCATGACAGTGAAGAGAGCGACCACGGGCTAACTGGCGGCGACAACATGGCGAGCGGGGGTGACCTGAGCTACCAGCGGATCCAGCACATTAAGGACATGATGCGGGACATCACCGATTTAGAAACCGCCTATGAAGAGCAGTTCATCGAGGCAGTGAGAAAGACAGAGTCCTCCTCCTCTGTGGGAGCAGGGTTGAGCGCCGAAGTCGTCACGACCTCCAGCATGGGCGGGAATAACGGGAAGCAGGGAAAGCAATTTACTGAGAAAGCGTTGAACGAACGAGAAGCAGCAGCTCCGGTTGATGTCCAGAATGGAGGGTCATCCTCTTCGTCTTCTTCTTCTTCTTCTTCTTCTTCTTCTTCTGCGAAGTAAGGTTTGTTGGGAGGCTTTTTCGCACTTAAGTAATCATCCGGCCCAGTAGTGTCCGCCCCCACGTCGCCGTGATCATTCTGCGAAACAGACACGACCATTTCGACTGATGCTATTAGTTACTATGCCTACTGAACCACAACCAGCTTTCCACCCTCGCTATGCTCCTGGTTTAAAAAGAACGACACTTTTTACATTAATTTTGCAGTATGTGCTAGCGTCGCTCTCCTTCTCCGCGTCGCCGGTACAGTAATAGATGACGGCTTCAATATCGCGTACAGTAGATGAAAATAAGAGCCACGCTAATATCATTCTGTGCCAGCTTGTGACACGCCTGTACCATAATTACTAATATTCAATGTACTTCTACTACTTACGCACAAACAATATAAAATCAAATTTTGCCAGACCAGTTACAGACAGGCGAGTTCGCTGTTCTTGTAGGCTGCTTGCAACGAGGTGAACAAATGTCCAAGCAGAAGAGAGCAGCGTTTCTGCCTGAATGCCATTCATATGGTACAGCCGATCTCTTCTGGAAAACTGCTCCCGGCATTTGACAAGTAGCAGTCACGGGAACTCGACGCTCCTGCAGCTCTATAAGGTATATTTTGCTTCCGCATGCCGCCAGAAGAAACACTTTTTGTTGAGGTAAACAGCCGTTTGCAAACTTTCGTTTCTTTTTTGCCCGACCACTTAGAATACAGAACTTTCCAACTCTCTTTATGCAGGTGAATGATCGACCACGACTGTGCTAATGATTTTCAAGACTTTCACTTTCATCTCATGCCTTCTAGAAATCAACAACCGCACGGCCCTCTTCATCTTCTTAAAATGTAAAAGCTACGTCGCCTTTTCTCGAGTAAAATGCCAGCACGATACGTCGACACTTTGCGTCGCAACGATAGACAAATCAAATCAACATCATGAACTGGGTCATCATGCTGAAGCATCGATTTTCGCTCTTATGGTGGCTGATTTGAGAACAAGAGTAATGTGAAAATATTTTTTTTGACTGTCAAACGAACCCGCTTTCATGAATGTTTCTTCGAGATACGGTCGTCCGATGAATGAAGTTTGCAAAAGGAAAAGGACAATGTTGAATGAAGCAATTTCTAAGTATGTCTCTGCAACACGCACCAAATTTTTCGAATGTCATGTTTATAGAGACAATACGAATACAGATATTGATATCATTATCAATAAGGCGTCAAGAGGTTTGTTCCGCGCGTGTTGTCGACTCCCACGTGGTCTGCTGGTTTTTGTCAGTAAGAGACCACAAGTGTTCGAAGCGGACGAAGTGATCATCTTTCTCTTTGCTTCTCTCCTCTCAACACCGTGGCGAGTAGCAACGCTGTCGCTGCTTTCTTATTGAACGCAGCGCATCGCCGTTGGCGCAAGTGGTCTTGTCGTGTTGTAGGAGCGGGCTCTCGTCCACTATTTGCAACTTAACGAACTCATCCGGCTTGCTCTCTGTCTTCAAAAGCATATGCCTTGCTAATTACATGCGTCGTTGCCAGAAGCAGAACAACCAGCACGGGGAAGGTACGGATGAAATTAGGAAGTTAGTAGTTGAAGGAAAAAAACTAATATTTTTCATCATTCAAATATGGTTCGCCCCGACGACTACGATTACCTCTTCAAGATCGTTCTGATCGGGGACAGTGGCGTGGGGAAAAGCAATCTACTCACCCGCTTTACCCGGGATGAGTTCAACCTGGAAAGCAAATCCACGATTGGCGTCGAGTTTGCGACCAAGTCCCTCCTGGTTCAAGATCCAGACTCGGGCCAGGACGTCGTGCTCAAAGCACAGGTACGGCGCTCTTGCTCATCATTTTCGTCCGGGGGTTTATTTTGAGGATATGATTTATAGGAACCTGAATTGTGATGGAACTTGGTGTTTTTTTGTTGACACTGTCACTGACTCGTCCGCAACAGCTAATGGTAAAAATGACTGGACATATCAGGTCTGGGACACGGCGGGGCAAGAGCGGTACCGCGCCATCACGAGCGCATACTACCGCGGGGCGGTCGGCGCGTTGGTGGTCTGCGATGTGACAAAGGCCCAGTCCTGGAATAGTCTGAAGGAGAATTGGATTTCTATCCAGTGCAAAAGTATCTTCGCGCTCGTATGTTAGGCATGAGTTGCACTTGTGCACGACAAATTCGCTATGAATCTGCATGAGGACGAAAAGTAAGCTTCAATTTTCCATCCTCGTAGCAAATTTATACTTCTCCGCAATTTCTGCAATTCATAGATACCAGCTCGATCCGACAGCTTTTGCAATTGCATAAGTTCGGAACTGCAGCAGCACAGCGACCCCAGCATATCCCTTCTGCTCGTCGGGAACAAAACGGACTTGGTGAATCTGCGGCAAGTGAAGTCGGAGGATATCAGCAGCTACGCGGAAGAAAACGGGTTCAAGTCAATAGAAACCTCCGCCCTGGACAACACGAACGTGGAGGCGGCGTTTCGACAAATTTTGACCGACGTGTACGCGAAAATGCTGGAAATGCAGAAGAACAACGTGCAGGCCAACGGCGGGGGAGGGAATGGCGGCCCGACCTCCGCGGGTCTGGCGCCGAACAGCATCCACCTGGATCAGAGAAGTAACTCGCCTAGTAGAACCGGGAGAGGATGTTGCGGGTAGGTAATAGGGCTGCAGCGTCGTAGATCGATATTATACCTACACTGATGTTGGAGATCAGCATGGGCAGATTTTTTGAATTTCACTGTATCGGATTTATTGTCAGGAAAAATGAATATTGCAGCCCTCACCGCGCCGGCAACGAAGATGTGTCTCATGAGGCGGTACCAAAAATAAACCCTCTGCAGTGCTTTTTTCGTTTTTCGTGTTTTCCAGTCGACCTCGGCGTGGTCCTTGTTTACTATGGATTCGACAAGGAGAGCATGTAGGAGCGGCGCACACACCTGCCGTGCGACTTTTGCGAAGGTCGAGGTGGGAGATTATGGCGGACGTTGACATGAATGAGCGAAAACTGATACCGAGGGACAAGCTTCATCGTCTTCTACATGTTCTCGGCACGCATTACCCTTTCCTATTCCTTCATTGATGAAGCGGGGGAACTTCCTCGAAGTAGGAGTAGTTGTAACGCATTCAAATTCCTTTGCCCCCCCCCCCCCCGATCTTCAAAACCTTTTACTGCCTCGTCTAAGAGTCAAAATGAACCCTGACGACCGCAATCCAGTTCCTTTTTCCGCCCCGGTCGGCAATCCCAATCCGCATTTTGAGGTGGAGCTGAAAGTGCCTTCAGATGAGGTGGTGGAGCAGAACAACAGCTCAGGCGGACGTCCCGTAGTACCTCCAGCTCTGACTGATGACATCAACCAACTCGCTTTATTCGGTGGAGCAGCACCCCTCTCTACTTCTGGTCAGATGTTACAGTCAAGCGCCAGCACGCCGGTGGTCTATATTCAAGATCCGAAGAACCCCGACAAGCCTCCCATGGCATTCAAAGTGCAGGTGACACAAAGGGCGGGACAGCACGGCGGGGCCACGACCCCGTCCAGCGGGTCGAATTTTTCCTCCCCGATGATCCCCCCTCTACTACGGAATGGCACGTCGAAGCTCGGCGCACTCAGTACGAGAACAATGGACGGCCTCTTTGCGCCCATGCAGCAAACCATAGTGCCTGTCCTGGTGCAGCAGCCGGGAGCTTCGGAACAAAATGGCAATCAGTTTGCACCGAATTATTCCGGTTCCGGCGGCGGGGGTGGGCCTATCTTGCAACCACCACCAATGGAAAGCATTGCCGGCGCCAACACAACGGGGGCAACAGCTGCGTCAGGGATTTACGGAGCGTCTACTTACCAAGGTCCAAAAACCGTGAACGTCCACATCAACAAGAGATACAGAAGACAGGAAACGTTCAAACAAACACTACTGCAATCCACGCCGGAAGAAGAAGCAACAGACGCCAACGCTCTTTCCTGCAAAGACAAACTGTGCGGCTGCTGCTGGCTCGTGTTTGTTTCACCCTTTTACCTGCTCAGCTACACGCTCGCGTTTGCATTCGGGCTGATCGCGCTGCCAATCACTTTCGCGTACAGTCTGTGTTGTATGAGCGCAGCGCAGAAACAGAAGCACAGTCGGGAGCGGCTCGAGAAGAAGCTGCTGAAAGAGCAAGAACGGGCTCGGCGGCAGAGGCTGCACGACGAAAGACAGAGGCAGCAGCGCGGAACTGACTCGACGTACCACTACCAGGCGCACAACCAGTGCGACCTGTGCTGTCTCTACTGCGACTGCGGGCGGAACTGCAATTACTGCTTCGGCGCTACCAACGAGTGCGAGTTTTGCCGTCAGTGTTGCTTCTGCTGCTACCAAAACCACCCGACCAGCTATTTGGTGGACGACCGGGATTTAGGAAAGAATGCGGCCGACGTGGTTGTCAACCTGTCAGCAGTCGCACCTCCGGGCGAACAGCTGGCAACGACCGGCGCTGAAGATGTCGGCTTCTTGGCGCCTACAGTGATATTAAACGTCGGTGACAATGTTGGAGCAGGAGTGAGTGCTACCGCAGACTCCGCCAACCAAGGGCTGCACTTCATTGGGGAGCAGGCGCAAACCGCTTCGGGGGAAGTGATAGGGAACATCACGAGTGTTGGGGACTTACCCGGGGCAGAACTCGCAGCTGACGCGTTCCAAGGCGTCGCGAACATTGTCATGGAAGGCGGGCAGATTGTTGGCGTGGTGTTCGAATCTGCGGGGGAACTCCTCCAACCCGCCAAGGTGTGCGATGCGTTCTGCGGCCAGGTGAGCGACTGCTGCCAGTCGTTTCAAAACTGTGTAGACCAGTGCAGTGGGGTGGAGTGCTCCTGTTGCTGCGACGGCGAGCAGTTCTGTCAATGTTGCTGCCTCTGCAACGAGTGCGCCTGCAATTGCGACTGCGGAAATTGTGACTGCCCCGCACGCGATTGTTGCTGATAGAAAGACTTTTTGGCACCTGTGTACCATTGTGGATGCTCTGTATGTTGAAACGCATTCCGAACTCTGTTTGAAGAAGGCATGTCGTGACTGACAAGATAAAATGAAAAGCTTTTATTCTTTGCACCAAAAGTAGGTTTCTCGTTCTCCATGACCCCGCTCAGCTAGACAACTTGATGCAAGTAGGCTACTTATCCTTTACTAGTAGCTACGCCTTCTTCCACACAGTGTGTTCGTGCAAAATATTACATGACGGAAAAGGCGCCCTGCGTGCCATCACCAGATTCGGCCACAGCTTTTGCTATTGATGCTCGAGATCGAGACACGAACACGATTTTTTGTGACAGGCGGCGCAGTTTTTTTATTTGCGCTTTATCACAAAACGGCTTCTCTCTCGCCGTTTCCAAAGTTGTTTCGGTTCCGCTTGATCATCAAACAACGAACAAACTTACAGGACCATGATACCCACTCCATTGGTAAGCCCCAACCCTGTCAAGGACCATTATCATTCTTGTTCCCTATTGCCCTACACAGAAGTCGTAATTTATCGATTCACTTATTACAAGTAAACCGAAACGCGGATCTAAGTTCTATCTGTCTGAGTCTGACGTGTCCATCATCTTTTTTTCTCTTTTTGCGCGGAGTTTTTTTTTGCCCCACCCGTGTTTCGTTTCTTTTCGGTTCATTGGCTCTCGTGTTGTTTTGATTGTAGAAAGTATTTGAATCAACATGAGGTTGAGGACAACCGACAACGACATCGAATTTCAAAAATAAAGAGGATCAAATTCTACATCTATGCACTTGACCACGCCCGTATCAAAAATTTGTACGATTCCTATATGGCGGCCCGATATTTCACTATTCCGATAATATAGCTCTGGACCAAGACCTATTGTCCTTGTGGTCCAACAGCCCTTGAGAAAAAAGACCCATCATCTTCGTGTAGAAGCAACAAGAAGATGTACAGTAGTCGTCCTGGACCGTACAGCAACCCGTCCCGCGGCAGCGGTGGGGGGCAGTTTGGGGGCGGTAGCGGGCGGTACCGTTCCCGGTCCCGTGACCGCGATCGCGGGGGCGGCGGCTATGGCCGGTACCGGTCTCCGCCCCGCGGGTTTGGCGGCGGGGGGAGTAGCAGCTCGTTTGGGAATTCCCAGCTGGGCAGCCGGTTGGACAACGTCAACTGGTCCCGGCACCAGCTGACGCGCTTCGAGAAGAACTTCTACCGCGAACACCCGAACGTCTCCCGCATGAGTGAGCACGAGGTGCAAAACATCCGCCAGGGCATGCAAATCAACATCGTGTTCGGACACTGTCTATGAGTTGCAAAAGTATCGTGCATTGGTACAAATTGCGACGACGTATAGGTAGACAAGTTTTGCAGAAAAAAAAAATGCGATTTTTGATGCTGATTCAGATGAACGCACTAGGTTTGTGCTTGTCTTCATGCTGTTCTGCAATTAGTACAACCAAGAACGAGCGCAATACTCTTGCAACCCATACTGCCCGCGACCGATCACGTCCTTCGAGGAGGCGCCGTTTCCCTTCGACATGAAGCAATCGCTGTACAATGCCGGGTTTAAACAGCCGACCGCCATCCAGGTGCAGGGCTGGCCAATCGCGCTGTCGGGGCACGACATGGTGGGCATCGCGGACACGGGGAGCGGGAAAACCCTGGCCTTTCTTCTACCGGGAATAGTGCACATCCAGGCCCAGCCGCCGCTTGCCAGGGGGGATGGACCGATTATGCTGGTACTTTTTCATCATTGATGTAATTGTATTCCATTCGCCTTTTTATCTTGTGGTCAATATTACGGCGAAAATGTTTATTTGCATTGCCAGACATGATGCCTAAATAACAGGTTCTTGCCCCCACCCGCGAGCTGTCCGTGCAGATTCAGGAGGAGTGTAACAAATTCGGGCGAGTCGGCAACTTACGGAATACGTGTGTGTATGGCGGTGTGCCGCGGGCCCAGCAGTCGCGTGACCTGAAGGATGGGGTGGAAATTTGCGTGGCCACGTGCGGTCGGCTGATTGATTTTTTGGAGTCGGGCGCCACGAATCTCCGCAGGGTCACCTACATGGTCATGGACGAGGCCGACCGAATGTTAGATATGGGCTTTGAGCCACAGGTAGTTACTAATCATGCGTACAGAAAAAATGCTGTTGATGAAGTTAGGTGTTTACTGTTGAAGAAGAGCTACGTGCCGGTCGTGCTGCCTGTGACTAGCATAAACTGCTTGTTGCCGCTGCCACAATAGACATTCACGCTCGACGCATTGCCAAATCAGAAATGCGTCTGTTCCACATCAAACAATATTCAGGTCCGCAAGATCTGCAGTCAGATCCGCCCAGATCGGCAAACTTTATTGTGGTCCGCCACCTGGCCGAAGGAGGTACAGAAACTGGCGCGGGACCTGTGTCGCGAGGATCCCGTGCACATCAACATCGGAAGTCTGGATTTGAAGGCCAGCCACAACATCTCGCAGTTCGTGGAGATAATCTCAGAATACGACAAGAAGCGACGTACACGATACTTTTATTGCGTTTGCGGATTCACCTTTAAGCATCGGCTCTAAATTCAGTTCGACTTCTTGCATGTAGAAAATATGGTGCTATTTGCGTGACTACACTGGATCCATGTGAGCCTGATACTGTACATCGGTACCGAAGAGAAGTTCCACGCCCATTTACAAAAAAAAATCTCTGAACCAGGCCTGCAAGATTTGATGCACAACATTATGGACGGTTCCAAAATCTTGATTTTTACCGAAACGAAGCGGGGCGCCGACACCCTAACCCGGGAAATGCGGCAGGCGGGTTGGCCGGCCCTGTCGATTCACGGGGACAAGAAACAGGAGGAGCGGGATTGGGTCCTGAAAGAGTTCAAGGAGGGAAGGAACCCGATTCTGATCGCCACCGACGTGGCGGCTCGGGGGTTGGACGTGAAGGATATCAAGCACGTGGTGAATTTCGACTTCCCGAACCAGATCGAAGACTACGTGCACCGGATTGGGAGGACAGGTTCTTTGTCAGCCCCAGTTTCGTTTGAGTTTTCCCGTAGCTTCTTCAAGGCAGAAATCTGTTTCTGTGATGTAAAACATATGCGTTGTAAGACGACGAGAGCTTCAAATCAAAGACAAAAACATATACCAACCTCTCTCCAGGTCGCGCCGGCGCCACAGGCTCTGCATACACGTTTTTCACTCCGGATAAGGCAAAGATGGCGAAGCACTTGGTGAAAATTTTGCAGGAGGCTAGCCAGCAAATTCCTGGGGAACTGACCCGTATGGCCCAGCAGCCGAACCAGTACATGACCAGCGGCGGGAATAGCAAGGGCATGGGAAAGCGACGGTATTGAGAAAGCAGACGATGAAGCTCGTCAAATCTTTAGGCTCCTCGTACTTACGATTGGGTGATGTAGAAGCAGCCGACGTGCGGTCGCGATCGTCACCTATGAGCACAAGTTTCAGCCTAGCGGGGCATCATGACAAAGAATGAACAAGGAGAAGAAATTTTAGTACCACAATTAATGCCGTTCTATTTCCTGCACCTGCGGGTATTCAAATTTACACAACTACTTTCAAGAAAAACCTCCAGCGACACCAGTTCTAGCGATTTCTGTCAAATAAAAGGTGATCTACTGCGGATGCAATGCGAATTCCCAAAGTGAGCTAGAGACACTAGCGCCAAAACAAATAGGGACATTATTTGTCAGCACGTCTTCATCCGGTGCAAAGAAGGTGTTAATGTTTTCTAATCTCAGAATTTATGCTCGAGATCCGAAGAAAAACGAAGCGGATTTTTCTGGTGCTAAGTGCATCTTTCGTGACCGTCAGAGATGGAACAAAAGATCTTGTCGCGCAAAGGCTGTTTCTTACCGCGACCGCTTGATGATCGTGATAGTCGCCATTGACAAATGTTGTGCTATCCTCGACGACGCACCTGCACCTCTTGGAAGATGTAGCTCTGTGGTGTAGACGATCTCGATCTAAAACTATGTCGAAGTTATTTCTGATTCATCTGCGTCTAACCGCAGCAGAGCCTACCTACAACCACATCTATCATTGTGAAGTTGATCACCACTGCTCTTAAACCTAATCTCTCATCAACCGCCAGCGGACAACTTCGTATCAAGCAGTGTAGCCTAAGCCTATCGTTCGTTGCTACCTAGCTCCTGTAGGATTAATTAGATAGATTTTATATGAACGAGATCGTCCATACTTACTGTTGCTTGGCACCCCTACTACCGTTTCGAAAATGTCCACTAAGGTAGTACATCAAGCCGCAGGCATCAACATGACAACATCTGTTGTAGTTCTGGGAAAACTTATACTTAGGAACATCACCCTTGTCTGTTGGCTCCTAACAATGTATTTTTCACATGATATCATTGCAGCTACTTACGCAGTCAAGGTGAAGATGGACATACCCAGCACGACCAGGAGTTCCGACTCTCGTCCGGCGGTACCTCCGAGGCAAGAACTGATTCCCGATCGCGGCAGGAGAACAAACTTCCCAAACGCGGCGGCCCATACTGTGACACCAAACGCCGACTCAGCCCCGCCATCTGTTCTTTTCCAAGCGCGAGCAGTTCCTACTGTAAAAGACAGAGCTGCCTCTTGTCTCAGTGAAGTGGCAAACGCTTGGGTAGGAAAGTACGAGGAGGCTCCGTGTGCCGTCACTGTTGGAACTTGCGTGGGATTGTGGATCGCCCGCGATCACCCTGTTTTTGGCTGTTGCTGTGTCTGTGCGAGTACCGGCATGCTGCTGACGTCCCCAGAGAGAGTGGACGCATATCTTCGACAGGAAGCAGTCGCTCCCACCGACAATCAGCGACGGTTAAGGACTACCTCTACCACACGGCGCAGGCCAGTGCGCGCCGCGCGTTCAGCAAGTATGAGTGAGGACAGATCTTCTGCAGCACCGGTGGGTCATGGCGCAGCTCCACGCCCCCGAGCACCTCGTGCTGGTGTTAATGTCGTTGCGCGGCAAGCTCCGGGGCGAACAGACAGATACAGATTGGAGCCTGACGCGGAGCCTGAACCTTGCGCCGCCTTTGAAACAATACCTCCACCACAACACGAGATGATGTTCTCTGGCAGTATTGCTGGGTCACGAGAAATCCGCCGTTGACATGCGACCAGTGCGAATTCGCCTCATTAGACAGAGTTATCATGGAGAATTGTCATGCCCGTCGCAGACTTGACGACGGTTTGACGAGGAAAAATCCAAAGCGGATTATGAAGATTGTATGATATTTGTGTTTCGAAGAAGGAGTACGCAGCCGCCACCAGGTCAATAAGTGTACAATATTAACGCAAACGCTCCTGCGCGGGGACGCTGAAGATGCTATCAATGTTAAAAAAAAATGTTTGCGCTTCTATCGGGTTTCTTCTGTGCACGTCAAGGAAGCGATGCAGAGCAAGGTTTTGCGCTGACGGTAGGAAGGAGACCCATCGATGAGCGGCGACACGGCCACCATGACGATTGTTCAGAAGTGTTGCGGTGTGTCAACGTGGTAGAACTACGGAACAAATCGGTGCGTTCTCGTTTTATTTCGTGGAGAACTTCTGTAGGACGAACACGAACGTGACACGCGCACGCCATTCCTTGCTCGGTCTTCATCGCCTTTCAAGTTTGACAGAAAAGAACAACAAGAAGTGCTTCCCAATGCCGCTCTGGAACAGATGCAGCTCCTACTCGGGACTCACTGTCACTTTCTGATCAGAAGATCTCTCTGTGAACAACACGATCCTCGTGGCACCAGATCTTCCGCTGTATCTGCGTTGTCCTGATGAGAAACGCTCTAAAGGATTTCGTCCAGATGAAAGACGATGCCCATGACAAAAATCCCGCGATGATGGGTAGGATCTTGCCGCGGGGCGCAAGAGGTACGAATTAGACGAGAGCTCTTGTGCTGCCTTCAATACTCTACTGAGTCGGTAGCCACAGTTCACCACGAAAACCATTACTTTGACTTTATCGCACAAAGAGAGGGACTGACGCGGAGCAGCAGCAGCAGCGACTGGCTGCTACATTCCACCGATTTTTCATGTCTCAACATTAGACCGTAGTCGTAATGGTAATGTTCAGTCGAAGATGTTTAAAATAGGTTTTATCAAAGCAGCCTTTTCTCATCCCTTTACCCTTTTCAAAGCAGGCGATTGGCTATGTTGGAAAGATGGACTTCTCTAATTTGGAACAAATAAACTCACATGGCATAATGCGCCAGGCGGTTTTTCTCTGACTCGGACCCCTACTTCGAAAACAGCATCGTAATGGCCGCCTCCGCAGCAGCTACGGCCACTGCCAGCACCGTTCCGAGCATCGCCAATGTCCGGTTTGATGTCTTCTGCCGGTTTCTGGAGAACCTGCACCGCTCGCGCAAGAAAAAGGACAAGCTCGAAACCCTCTGGGGCTTCCTCCGTCCGGTGTCCGATGGGGATCTGTGGCCGGGATTTCGCTTGATGTTCCCGCACGCCGACCGGCACCGGGGGAATTACGAAATGAAGGAGAATAAGCTGGGCAAGCTGGTCGCCGAGATTCTAAACGTCCCGGATCGGGAGAAAAAGCGGCTTTTGGGGTTCAAAGACGCGGGGCTGCAGGAGGGGTTTCGCTGTATACCAGGGGATTTCTCCTCGGTGTTGTTTTCCGTCGTGGAAATCCGAGCGAACTACGCCTCGGCGGGATTGACCGTCGGGGATGTGAACTTAGTGTTAGACCAATTATCGGTGGAGTACGAGGATATTGAGGACATAAGAGTTCCGGGGGGAGGACAAGCACAAGGGAAGGCTGCGAGTATCATCTCAGGCGAAGTCACGGAAGGAAAGAATGACGCCACAACGTCGCCTCGCGGAGGAAAGAGTACCGCCGCCACAACCTCCGGGAGACCTCCAGCAACATCAGATGCTAGCGCCGAACTGCTTCAAGAGCTGCAGCGCGCGCGGCAGAACCCAGCGTTGTCCACCATCAGTGCCTCGCTCACCGCGAACATGAGCCGGAAGGTGAAGGAGATCAACACGAAGCAGGACAAAGCGTCGCATCGGGTGTTGCTCGCCGCCATCCGGCGGATGTCGCCGGTGGAGATGAAGTGGTTGGCGAGGTTCATTTTGAAGGATACGAAACTTGGATTCTCGGTGGAATCCGTGTTGTCAAAATTCCACAAGGACGCGATCTCTCTGTACCAAGAAATGGCGGATTTGAAGATGGTGCTGGACCGGCTCAGAGTGGGCGTAAACAACACGACGGAATCGTTCACTTCGTCCGTGAATTTTTTGTTCCAGAGGATTCAGCCCATGCTCGGTGGAAGACTAGGGATCGAGCACTGCGACAAGGTTCTCTTTGAAAAACCGAAGGAGCAAATCGCTGCTGCAATTGCGGCAGCCGCGGAGAAAGAGAAGGAGAAGGAAAAGAGCAAGCAGAATCTGAATAAAGATGCGGCTAGCAATGAAGAACTTATCCAAGCAGAAAGCAGTGGAAAAAAAGAAGACCCACTCCAGGGCGCCCAGACCGAACACCCTCCCCAGCCAGGGTACTTTGTGGAGACGAAGCTGGACGGCGAGCGCATGATTTGTCACATCGACAAGTCGCAGGGGATTCTCCAGTTCTTCACGCGCAACGGAAACGACTACACGCCGAGATACGGGCCGCAAATGAAGGAGACCATTTTGAGTTGCTTCGGCGGCGACCAGGGGATTTTGGACGGCGAAATGCTCGGTTTCGACGAGGCTTTGCAGTGCTTTCTCCCGTTCGGCACGAATCGGAACGTCAGCTTGGACCTGAGCGGCAAGACGCACTTGTGCTACATGATTTTCGACGTGTTGATGTTCAAAGGGAGAAGTCATGCTAATGCGAGTGCTTCATCCTCATCCAAGGATCCGCATCCTGCTTCTACCACCACGACAAACAAAATCTACGATTTCCGGTCGAATTCTCTGCAGCAGCGGAAGCAGGTCCTCCAGACCATCATCCGGCCGAAGCGCAACTGGGTGGAGCTGGTAGAACCCAGAGGGCCGTACTTCGACGCCAAGGAGGTCGAGGCGGAGCTGGAGCAGGCCGTGGAGCGGCGGGAAGAGGGCATCATGGTGAAGTCGATTCACAGTAAGTACCGGTTCAATTCCCGGAAGTCAGGCTGGTGGAAGCTGAAACCTGAGTACGGAAACAGGTACGCGGACCACCTGGATCTGGTCGTCATTGGCGGGTATTTTGCGGACACGGCTGGGAGGAGGCGGGGCGGAACGGAATTGGTGGACAACGTGTCGAAATTTTTGCTTGCAGTGAGGGTGCAGGGAGATGTTGACAATCCCGGGGGAGAGGATGACGAGGACAATCCTGAACAAGACGCAGAACAAATAGCGGATGATGGCAACGAAGAGTTGCAGGAGCTGCTTGCCGCCGGAAGGAGCGACGGAGAAAACAATAAAAGTCTACTTGTTCCGAATAGACTCGAGAAGCAAAATAACGCCTTGTCCTCTATGGAGCCGAAGCCGCGCGAGGTGGTTTGCTTCGCGAAGGTTGCGACCGGCTACAGCAAAGACGAGCTGGTGCAGATTTGCGACCTGATGCGCCCACATGTGACGCGGTACGAAGCTGCGAATCCGCCAAGTTGGTTGCAGTACAAATTTCCCGCGCACACGAGGCCGGACGTTGTGTACAAGGATTTGAACGACTGCAACATTGTGTTTGAGATCGAAGCATCGGAGATCATGCGGTCCGTGGATTTCGAATTGGGGTACACGATGCGGTTCCCAAGGTTCGTCTGCCTGCGGAACGACAAATCCTTCGGCGACTCCATGTCGTTCGAGGAACTGCAGCAGTTTCTGACCGCCGAAGCCGCGAACCAGAGATTTTCTCTAGCGACCGGGGCGAACCGAGGGAAGGGGGAGGAGGGGGAGGCAGGAACAACGGATGGGCAAAGTCGGAAAAGAACCAGGACGACGACAGTGCGGGTAGCGAAGAAGCCGAAGATCGTCGGAAAAGTGGTGGCGCCGGCGGCCATGCCGATGGGCGATGTTGTGTCTGACCTCCAGGGATTGTCTTCACTGGCAACGAGCGGGGCGGCCGCTATTGGGGATGATGAGGACCCAGATACATCTTCAAAAACTGGCGCTGCAGCAGGAGGTCAAGCTACTCCAGCACACCTGGAAAAGAACTATCCGCACCACATTTTCAGAAAACTACCTGGCACAACAACTTCTTCCTCAAGCCCCGAATCTATCCCCCAACCCGGCGACGTTTACCGCCAGCTGTTGCCCTTCGTCTGGCAGCGGCAGATGCAGTTTGAGAAGGACAACCCTACGATAGTTTCTGATCTCTTCAAAGACACAGAAATCTGCGTTTTGAATCGGGTGACGAAAAGCACTCTGAGCCGACACTTTCCCACCGCCGAACAGCAGCTCCTCGACCATTTACTCCGAAAACACGGCGCGAAAGTTGTGGCGCAGTTTTCGAAAAATAGAACCGATTTTGTCCTCGCGGGAGAAATCGATCTGCGGGTGCGAAACCATTTCCGCATGCACTACGAGCAGGACGTGTTGCATGTTTTGTATGTGCTAGAGGCACTGATGTGGTGGTATGGGCGGAAGGAGAAAAATGAAAGCAAGCTGTTGTCAACGGCTGCTTTTTCGTCCACCGCTGCGGGCGCAACTACCTCCACGAATGGACAACAAGCAGAAGAACAGGCACAGGAAAAAAATCAAGTTCTGCAAGTCTTCCCTCCACGAAAGCGACATTACTTGTTGACGAGCGACAGCACGAAGAGCAAATTAGCCACGGCGTTCGACCAATTTGGCGACAGCTTCACGACGGAGATGACGAGGCTCGATTGGGACCAAATCGTGGTGGATACCACGACAAGCAGTACGGTGAGCGGCGGAGGAGCTCCAGATAGCAATGAGAATCACAACGCGCCCACTAGAGAGTATTCTGATCAGGAACTTGAAAAAACGATCGCAGAGCTCATGGCATGACCAGCGCCAGCGGGGACTGTCAGCATAAACAATCAGTGAAGAAGTGACGAGATGCAGCAAGCCGCAAAGCTTTGCAAATTTGGCTGTGTTCCTCGTAGTGCGCTGTTGTACGGTCTTGCTCTTGTCGTACTCGAGTGTAGTACCTGCTACATGAACCTTTTCCAGAATCGCAGTAAGGAGACGCGGCGCGGCCAACCGTCGCGCTACCTTTTCTTTTTACAGATTGCGTTTGCTCCATTACCTTTACCTTTCCCATTGTGATCATCATGTTGTTCTTCTTCTTTTCATTCTGTCGTAAGTGCATCAGACCATGACCAGCGTTTCGCGTGCGATCGAGGTAAAATCGCCGCACGCGTTGCAGCAACCACTACTGCCTGGGGGACTAGCAGAAAAACTACCGTCAGCGCCCAAGCCTTCGTTCTCCCCATGGCCCTCGTCGACGAATATCACCCGTTTTCGCCGCGCTTGGGCCAAAACCAACCCGAACGATGCGTACGCTATCGTGTTTGGTCTTTCCATCGGGCTCCCGACGATCTGCAGTTACGCCGCCGTGCAAGCGGCGGCTGCGGAATTCCCGCCGCTGACCGGGCCGGTAGCGAATCAGGCGGTGCTGTCCAGTTTCGTGGTTTCTATCTTCTTCGTGTGCTTCTCCCGGTTCCAAACTTGCGGCAACGTCGATACCATATCCGCAGTCCTCCTCGGCCGCATGGCGAGAGACAGCGTCAAGGAGCTTGCGGAGAAGTTTCACAAACCGGTGACAGATGTGGTCGATCACGTGCTGTTTCTGAACGTGTTCGCCTCGGTGGTATTTTCCACCGTTTTGCTGTACTTAGGGAAAAAAAAAATCGCGATTTTGATGCGGTTCCTACCCTACTCAGTGCTCGCGGGGTTTATCGGCGGCACAGGATTGCTGATAGTGCAGTCCGGTGTGGAATTAGTCCTCGGCTTTCCGCTGCGGGACTTGCTGGCTTTAGCCGTGGGGGTATTCCAGACGAGTATGGAAACGGATGAACTGAGGGACGGAGATAGTAGCAGCAACAGCCGGAGCAGGAATAATTTTAGCCTCTTGGACGTTGGACGCAGAATGGTGTTTGCAGATGAATTCGAGCAAGATGTGTATCTCCAGGAAAAATCACACCCGGCTCCTCCATCCCCTGTCGAAATCACCACCAACACGATTCTTCTTTCCCTCCTCACGATCCTCTACGTTTTCCTCTCGCTCTTTTGGAAAAGGTATCACCGGCTTGGTGCGATCTTCACCTTCCTGCTCTTCGTGGTTTTGTCGGAGGTTTTTCGCACCTGGCTGCCGGGAATCGGGTATCCGAACGCGGACTGGTATCTGGATCTACACGCCGGACAGGAAGAACCAATAGCGGAGGGATCTGAGGCTGAAACTACTGCAGGTGAAAGTCATAATCACCCACAATCAAGCACTTCGACAGTCTTCCTCTGGTTCGAGTTTCTGTACCTCCACGGTTATTTGACCTCTTTCTCCAACATGTTCGAGCTCCGGCACGTATTGCCAAACCCACAGTCCCTGCTCTCCTACGTCGCGATCATGGTTTTGAACTGGATGCTGCAAGTCGCCGCGTGTAAGCGTCTCGTTATTGCGAAGGACAGAACCCTGGCGGAAAAGTTCGGGTTGAGTGCGGACACGGCGGCGGTGGGGCAGAAGATCTTCGGAACTAAAACTGCCGCGCTTTTCGAGGATGCGGAAGAAGATTTCATTTCGCGATCGATTTCCCGGAATCGGAGCAGACGGAACAGCCGCGACGTTGGAATCGCGAGGCTCTCAAGTCCAGCCGTGCAGTTAACACCGCGACTGAACTACCCCGCGGGCGGGGCCGCGGGAGGCGGAAACAGCAGCAACAGTGCGAAAAAGCAGCAGATGGTCGCACAACACCGTGGCCAACACTCCTACCCGCCTGGTCGGCCGCCCTTCGCGACAGCGCCTGGTGGTGGAGCTTTCTCGCCGCAGTTGGCAAATTTGTCACGCACGGTGTCCCGGGAAACGTCCAAAACTAGGCCGTCAGGGATAAATTATGCAAACGTAAACCCGGTGACAAACCTGAACATGAACAATTTAATTCCCCCTCACGCCGCGTCCAGCTTGACCACGCCTGAGCTGTCGATGAACAACGGCAACCTAGTTTCTGCAACCTCCACCCCCCGGGAGCTGAGCCACGAGATTGACTCGACCTATACCGCCACGCCAAGGGATATTGTTGGGGAGAACGGTTCTTTTGGCGTCACAACCGGCGTTGTAAGCAACAAGATGGACGATGCGACAGTAGAGAGTCATTTGGCGAGGACTGTGACGCATTCCCCGATGAAAAACAATACTAACGACAGCTGCAACGGTGCCGACGCACCGTTTTCGCCGATCAACGAGGACCGCGAAACCGCAACGCTAGGTTTTGTCAACGCCGTCGCGTCCCTGTTGTTCTCCTCCCTCGGGTCCTGTCAGAGCCTGCAGATTGCGCTCCCGATGCAGGAATTACTGAGGGCATCTTCGACGGCTGGAGAAGACGGGTCTTCTACTGCTGAGACGAAGGCGAAAAGGCGCCCGACAACTGCAAGCACCGCTACAATAGCACTCGCCGCGACAGAAAAGGAAAGCCAAAACATCGCTACAACAGCAAGCAACGAGAACCACAGCGATTCTAGTTCATCGTCAGCCCAGCCTGAAAACACCTCCAACTGGCCCTGGCTGTGCATCCTCGTGTACGCGCTTGCGTTTTACTTCAGTCCGGCGTTTTTCGTGAAATTTCTTCCCAAATTTGTTCTCGCAGGGCTGGTGATTCTAGTGGCCGTGGATCTCATCACCGATTCGCTGATTCAATCCCGGGAGAGGATCGCCAACAATGAGTGGCTGGTGTTACTCTTAACCGCCCTCTTCATGAGTTACGACATCGCGGTCGGGGTCCCGCTCGGTCTTGTCTTCTCGCTCATTCTCTTCGTCTTCGAATATTCCCAGATGACCGGGATTTACTGCGAATCGGACCTTGCGGACGCCAGATCCTGTGTCGAGTACACGGAGCACGAGAAACTGATTTTGTGGAAAAATCGCGACCGAGTGCAGGTTCTCTTTCTGCATGGATATCTGTTTTTCGGCTCCGCGACGGTGGTAGTGGAAAGAGTTAGGGCGAAAGTAAGGGAAAGAGAACAAAGTACGAGGATAGTAGAGACATCGAACGAACTCGACCAAATGCTGAACCATGACCCAACAAATTCAGCTTCGACCGGAGACGGAATCTACGACAGAAGTAGTCCGAAGAGAATTAAAACGGAAAAATCGAGGACTAGTGCCATCAAGAAAACCATCATAATCCTGGATTTCAGCTCCGTGCCGGCCATGGATGCGAACGGGGTCTTCGCCATCGCGGAGCTCGCAAGAGAACCTCATGTGCAGTTGGTGGTTTGCGGGCTGGTGCGACGCCTGAAAAACGCCTTGCAGAACGCCGATTTTGGATTCAACGAAAACAAGAAGGACTTTGGCTATCTGGTCTTCGAGAAAGACCTAGATCACGCACTCGAAAACCAGGAAAAGCTGATTCTGTTGGAGTCGCGGAAAAAACTAAAGCAGGCGGCTCGATTGGAATTAGATTTGAAGAGTAGTGTTTTTGAACCGAAAGTTTTGGTTCCACTGTTGCAGAAAGACCTGACAACGCACGCGCGTTTAGGTGGTGTTGGCACCGCTGAGGACAAGCGCACCGGCATCGAAAGCGAAGACGTGACAACTACAGCAGCTGCAAAAAGTGCGTCTTTCTTGCTGCCAATCCTGGGTCCAGCCGCCCTGGACTCAGGAGCGAGCGGCCGCACCAAAAAGCTTTTAGTGGGCGGGAAGAGCAAGGGACTGCCAGATGTTCAGGACTTACTCCAGCCCTTGTTCGAGTACGAGGCGATCAGTCTAACGGAACAACACATTATACAGACTCCGTCTGTATCCGTTTCTCCGACGTTTTACCTGACCAACAAAGTTTTAGCGGTTGAGACAGCGCGGTACATATGGAGACAAGTTCTGCAAGCCGACTTCCACCTTTTTCCCAGCGCACTGCAGGACGGGGGGAATTCTTCTTCGAAAGAAACGATGAATGTGAAGAGAGTCGGCGTCTCAACGTCGCCCTTGAAGCACACAGGAGCTCCTGTGCCTACAGTTCCTTCTTCCACAATTTCCTCGGATGACGACGAAATTCTCGAGTTGCTCGCGGCCCGCTCCTTCCTGCGTGTCTTCGAGAAAGACAGCAGCATTTACCTTGCGGGCGACCCGGCGAGTGAGCTCCTTATACTGCTAGACGGTTACGTCGAGCACTTTTCATCTGAGTTGGACACAGAGAATTTGAATTTAGTTCCCGCTCCAGGAGGTCCTCTCACTGGGACAGCGGCGGATCGGACGAAAGTAAGGAATGTGCTGCTCCCGCGGTATCACTTGAATGAAAAGAAGGGTGATTTGTTCGCATTTGAAGAGAACCCGGCGAGGCTGCGGGTGACGAAGAACGGTTGGGTGCTAGGAGTGCAGGAGTACTTGACGCATACTTTTTCGACTTGTTTCAGTGCTTTCGCGGTTCCAGATGCGAAAGCATCATCCTCGATCATGGGTTTCAAGACACAGATGGCGGGGGAGGTGGGGGCCCCACCTTCCCCGCCAGCGATACAAGCGCAGGCAGTGTTTCTTCCCGACAATTTCTCAGTCAGTCGACGCCTTGATTCCGCTTATGTTTCCAGCACAGCACTGTCCACATCTTCCAGCGCCGGTCATCGAAAAAATTACGGTGCCGTGTTTCTAAGTATTCAATTTAAAGACTTGTTCATTCTGGAGCGGAGTCACGTGCGGTTAGGAGCGGTTTTGAGAAGTTGGCTGACAAGAAACCTGATGCACTTGCTGGCAAGAGCAGGGTAAACATAGTATTTCCCTTTGAGTTTGACGTGACCGTGCCGATGCGGTGCAAATACTTTTCTGCTTCTTGGGTTAAAGAGAAGGCGCAGAAGCCGTTCCGGGAGCTGTTTTTGACTTTTCAGAGCAGTACTGATGAACGTGATGTAAAATTTTGAAGAAGAACACCGCTGGGTAGAACTAGAAGTACTTCGTTCTGGATGAATAAAGAACATAGCATAGTGCACTGATCATTTACATGATGGAGGTGGAAGACAATAAAGACAAACACACTCACGAAATGCATCCCCTCGACAACGACTATGTGATCCTCAGTTGTCGCAGTTTTGACCGCCTACGAAGACGTTTACGAAGTCAGCAGAGGCAAAGCAGTATGCAAACTCGTCCATCGTGCCCCTCTGCCTGACTTCATATCTTCAGAAATGGTTCGTCCGAAAAGCCTCCCTCGGTCTTTGTAAAATAGTGGCACGATCACAGGGATATGGATAAAGCAGACACTTCAGAAAGCACAAGCAGGAATACGCAATCGATGTGGTCAGAATTTAATCTGACCCTGAAGTACACGCACACCATAAGCGAAGATCCTCAAGATGTTGTTGAATGGACGAAATCAATAACAGAAATGCAAGTGGCTCCTGATCATCATCCGTGAACGTTGTGACAACTCAAAATTGAAGTCTCAGCTAAAAGATCAAATGGAGAGACCGTGTGTGCCTCGAACAAGCACTTCAATGAAATGCGTGACAGATCTCGGCGTTCTTGATCCGCAGTCTGTGATCCTCTTTCATCTTCACACGCAACTTGCCACTCAGGACCTCATTTTCTTCATGTAGAGCTACCCATGTTCATCTTCTTCTTTTAGAAATAGCGTTTTTCCAGAACGCCTATAGTAATCGCGACACATCAGACTACACTCCTTACAACTCGTTACCCTTTTCTTTTGAATAGTGAACCGCCTAATTTTACGCCCACCCACCCAAGCCCACGATCAAAATGGTGACCGACGCTGCCCTGAAGACGTACGCCAAGACCGGCAACTGCATTCCCTGCGAAGATGAATGCATCCTGGCCGAGGATGTATCCATGTCCCCCAAACTGCAATCGGCCCAACTGACCCCTCCCGCGTCCTGGACAGACAACGCTATCGAGCCGTTCCTCTTGGCGGGTAACTCCATCGGCTACGCGACGGACACCATTTGGGGCATCGGGTGTATCGCGGACGACGCCGAAGTTGTGAAGTCCTGCCTGGCAAAGAAGGGCGAGAACCGAGCGCCGGTCTGCTCGGCGTTGTTTCCCGATCTGGAGGAAATGAAGAAATGGACGCTTTTTGACCAACTCCCGGAACAAGCGAAGCTCGCGGTGGAGAGTTGCTTGCCCGGCCCGTACACGTTTGCGCTGCCGGTTCTTTCTGGTGCGACGCCTGGTGGTGACGCTTACGGCGCGAGGTCCTTGCTGCACATCGCGGGCGAGGGCCCGACGGTAGGCTGCAGGGTCATTCCGGGGAAGGAGGCGATGAAGCAGGTTTTGAAGAAAATGGGCAAGCCTTTGATCACGACTTCTCTGAACTTAACCGGAGAGAGATCGGCAACGACTGAGGCGGAAGCGAAAGTTGTTTGCGAGAAGATGGGGATCGCCTGCATCAAGGATGACACTACTACTACCGCCTCTCAGTCGGCAGAGCCGGAGGCGAAGCGACAAAAGATCATGGAGAATGCGGTGGCTCCAGCTTCCGGCAAGGGGTCCACGGTTTTGAAATGGGATTTTCAGAAGGCGAAGTTCGTCGTGATCCGCATGGGATCGGGTGCGATCACGGAAGAAATCGAGAATGCCGGCGTTGAGCTCCCGGCGGAAAAGGGAGGGGCGTAACTTAAGTACTTCCCTTACTAAGGGCTAGAGTCCTGAAGAAGAGCAGCTTCGTTGGAACAAGTCTTCATGGGAGCTAGCGTAAAGAGAAAATGGAAATGGACACTCAGCTACACAATCTCACGTTCGAATATATCAACGCGCTGATCTTCATCAGAGAAAGTTCACACCCAACAGAAAGTATCGCTGAGGTTCTTTTTTATCCGGACCGCTCTGCTCCTCGTGTCGCTTCTCTACTACGCAAAGGCACCATTATTCTCCACGCACAAGAACTAGAGACTTGACTGACGCATCATTCATGTACCCAAAAAACGAATCTCTATCGCACAAAGACAAAAACAACGACCATAACTGCTTCACGCGGAGCCTCCAAAGTCGCTTGAAAAAATGTTCCTTTATGTGATTCTGCTTCACAGACATGCGCCTCGTCGATCTCGACGTCATTTCATCGTCTGTATCTTCTTCGTGTTTTGTGGTTCTAATTTTCGACTTCTTGCCTCTCGTCTTTCTCTTTTACAGTTCTTCACTTTATCGTCTGTGTATCTATCAAAAGGAACAAAGCCAAAGATGCTTCCTGGAGACAACAACCTCGCGGAGCCGCTGGAGCTTCCCGAGGTGGTCCAGCAGCGGTTGCTCGAGGAGATCATGCTTGCCGAGCAACAGGAAATATTAAACGCCGAGGAGCAAGAACTTCCACCCGCAATTGCAGCAGCAGTGGGCGGCCAGCAAAACAACCAAGCGCCCCCCCGTCCCCAACGCAGAGGTCCTGGGGGCTTGATCGTGCGTGGCGGGCCGCGAACGCGACGAAGTCGAGGGAGGCGGCGAGGCCGGAGATCCACCGACGATGCGCCCGCCAGTCTGTTCATCATCGCCATGATGGCGGTTTTCGGGGCGTTTCTGACCTACTACGCCTACTGGTATCTGGAGCAGGCGCTGAAGCACGAGCGCGAAACGGCAATCGAAAAGTACAACCGGGTCGCTCGGAAGTGGTCGCTCGCGGGCCGAGAGGAGTTCTCGGAAGAAAATTTCGAAATCGCGCTGGCCCCAAGCGAGTGGAAAGAGATGGAGGATTTGAAGAACGAGAAGAAGCCGCAAGTTCTTTCGTACGCGCGGATGCACAAGTCCGTGCACTTGACCGATGTGGAGGACCTGTTTGCGCACGACACGACGCACGGTGGGGGAGAGATCGAGGTCTACAAGCCACTAGTATTCACGAAGAAGATCGAAGTCGTCAAAGGGAAGAACGGAAAAGATGATAGGGAAGCACAAGCAGTAGATAAGTCGGCGGCCGGACTCGGAACAAAACAGCAACCCGGCGAGGACGAGAAGATAGATCCGCTTGACAAAGAGAAGCTTGAAGCAGAGATTGAAAATAACGCTGCTGAGGTGAAAGAGGCGCCTTTATCCGCACCAGAAGTGAAAAAATACAACCACTTCGAGGACGATTTTTTGAACTTGTACGTGAAAGGCAGCACTTTCCCGCCGGTGAGAATATCGCCACAGATCCCCCTGGAAATCAAGCACGTGCGGCCGTTCTCAGAGCCAGGAGGGTACAGCCAAATCTACACACAGCACCACAGCCCGTCTTCAGCCAGCTCCGAAAGTGAAGAAGAGAGGAGGAAGCAAATGAAAGCGCGGCGACCCAGCTTCCACCCGATACCCGGGGCGGCGAGCTGTGAGAGCGAGGCGGCGAGTGGGGTGTTTCAAACAAATTTATCTACCGGTGCAGCTGCAACAACTTCTACCGCCTCCGGCACGGCAGCTGCAGCTGCAGCTCCAGCGCGCAGCTACAATCCGGTAATCCACGCCATGCAGCTGCGAAACAACCCAGCGCTGTCGCCAAACTGCTTGCAGACGTGGCGACTAGCGTCGGTGTGCCTGCTGTACAACCCGCAGACGCACAGTGTCGGGTTTGATACCAGTGTCGAGGGGAAGAAAACCGACCCGGGCGTGCTTTGCGGTGAGCCAATGTATGCGCCGGTCGTGTTCATACCGCCCAGCTTGGCGGCAAGTAAGGCCGCAGCAGCAACGACACCGGGAGGCGGGGTAAATAAGCCTGCAGCTGCAACAACAGGGGCGAAGGACAGCGCTAGTAGGAGCATGGAAGATTTGACAAGCAAGTCTTCGTTCCCCGACCTAGTAGCAGAAACAGAACCTGGTCCTCCTGCTCTTACGCCGCCTCCCAGACAACCTCCACCTCTCTCCACGTTCGACGGCAGTGTCTACCTTCCCACCGCGAGCACACGGGAGGCGGTGGTCAGTGGGCATTTGGACCCGAGCGCGCTATTGCTGAAACAGCCGCACCGAGACGACGGCACCGCGAGCAACGCTTTGAATCTCGCGGACCAGCAGCAGAGAGCGGAGGAACTGCTTCGCGAGGAGCAGAAAGAGGTACTGATGAACAATATGCTGGACCAGACAAGAATAAGACGTACACTACAGGAGGTGATGGGAAACAGAGTTGCACCAGCAGGAGCTCCTCTATCAAGGGTGACTTCCGCAGATGATCGCCCAGTTTCTGGAGCACCTGCACCTCCGACAATTTCAATAGAAAATAACGGCGTCCTCCGCCCGGTCCAGATGCACGGGAGCGGCGGAAGCAAGCACGAAGTTCCAACGATAAATGTGATTTCAACTCCGTCTACATCGGCAGCAGGAGCTGCGAGAAGTACAACCTACGGCGAAGTTTTTGAATCTATCACCGTGCAGATCCGTTCGACAGAAGACCCCTTTCTGTATCTTCGCGACGCCACGGCGGACAGCATGGACTTCGGGTTGGAGGCCCGGACCGGGTTCATCATCGGCACGGTGCTGATGCTCACTGCCGGCTGCGTGTGCGCGTTGCCCATCGTGAAGCTGTTTCAAATCTTGAACTACTGGGCGTCGGGGTTCTTCCGGTGTTTCGCCGACTGTTGGAGATGCTTGCTGTTGTTGATCGGCGTCAGAAGAGCGCGGGTCGGGCCGGGAATGCTGCGCGCGAACCAGGAAGAGGAGCAGCAGGAGTTCATCTCGATCGAGGATTTAAGGATTTCAGAAGACGAGGGGTCTGCGACGGGAGGGGAAGGGGAGGATGTGGAGTTGGAAGCAATAGAAGGAGGTGGAGGAGGTGGGGAGGAGTGAGCTGCTATAATCCGGCGCCTAAGCCATTGTCTGTGATTGATCTTGTCTGTCTCACTTTTTTCTGAGAATACAATGGATGCTACTTAGTCAGTCCAGCGGAGGCGCCACGAGAAACGTGCGTCTTACAGGTTTGCATACTGAAAACAGATGATGATTTGCGTGCCTCTACTTGCAGATCATTGGAGTGTGCTCGTGTGAAACTATGTTCCCTGATGTCACCATGTGCAAATTGAGAAGTCCCTTCAAAACCAAGGCGTTTCCCGACTGTGGTTCCTGTGCTCCTTTTCAGTTTGTCGTCGTCTCGTGTTATGTAGAGCAGCACACCGCCCGTCGGTATCTTTTTGAAGGTCATGTGTCGTTCTCTAACATCACCTGGCTGCGGATTTGTTTTCTTCACATTCGTTCAATTGAAAACGACAGGAAGTCGCGTTTTTTGCGCCAGGCTGCACTGCAAAAGGTGATGCTTTGTACCAGCACTCTCTTCTCTGAGTCTGACTTATGGCACAAACTCCAAATAACGCCCTTTTGCGTCCGTGCTACACCCAGAGAATGCAGCACAGACTCCAGACACCAATGGTACGACCCGCACCAAGTTCAATCCGCGCGCCTTTCTCCCGCGCAAGATGCTGCCCAGCCACTTCTGCTGGCGTAGCTCCGAGTGCAAGCAGCATCCGTTTTCTTGGTTCTTCTTCGTCATCCTCCAGTGGAGGTAGTGCAGCCCCCGCAGCCCAAAGCGCATTGCCGCAACATCCTCTGAAGCCGCCAGACGATGTGGCAAACCCACAAAATCGGAAAACGCCTCAAGAATTGAACTACGAGCTCTGCCAAATGCCAATGTCAAACATCAACCGAGCCCATGGAGCGTATTTGCCGCAGACGAATCCCAAGCATCCTCTGTACGAGTCGCGTACTAGTAAAAACATCGAAAGTGCAGCGCTGGCTCCCGCGCTTCAAGCATTCTCCTCTACACTGGCGAAAGCTTCCACTTCCTCGAGTAGTAGCTCCAGTACAGTGTTATCGACTACGACATTCCGTGTAACTACAGGAGGTTCCGAGCTGATGGGTGACGTGCCACAAAAAGGACCAAGAGTCGTCCTTGAAGATAGCACCGCCAGTCGCGGACGAAGAAGTGTTCGGCGACAGCGTTTGAGGGCCGCTATGGATGAGGTAAAGGCTTCTACGCAACATGATCAGGGTCAGAACGAACCTCATAGCGCTGCAGCTACCACCAATTCCGTCACAAAAATCACTGCTCACCTTGACACGTCGACTCCTGTGTTTTCAGAAGATGCTTCGGCAACAACTACCCGACGACCCAAAACCCGGAACTTCTCGAAGAGAAAATACCGTCGCAAGCCGCATTGGCAGTTCCCGATGGAAAAAGTTCCCTCGGAACTGAAATCCAAACTCCTCCAGCAGATGCGCGACCCGGGGAAGCTGCAGAGATTTTTGAGCAACAAATTCAAGAAGTTCACTAAATCGCTTTTGAAGTTCAACCGGACCCGATCGGAAAAAGCGTTCGAGACCTCCTGGTATCGCAAGTTGGTCACGAACAAACGACCAGCCGGCATTCACGACCCGCCGGTGGTGCGAAGACCGGGAGATCTGGTGCAAATGACACCACTGTTGAAAAACTGGTGGTGCATGCCAGCGGTTGGGTTCAACAGCATCCTGCAGATTCCAAGTCACAAATTTGAGGTTTTTGAAGACGATTTTCCAGAGGAGCAGGAGAAAAACGCGGGTACTGCAGAAAACCACCAGGGTGCAGCAGGTGCGGAATCATCATCATCATCGTTCAAAGCCGACCCCACGTCCGCTGCCATCGTCGTCAACAACCACCTGGTTTCCAACACGGGTATCATCGTTTCGCGCGATTTAAAATCCGTTTTGTCCGAGGTGATTGTCCCCAACGATGTCTTCGGGTTGCCGCTGCGGAAAGACCTGATCCACTGGGCGTATTGGTTTTACCGAAAGGCGTTAGCCGGGTACGACAACCAGTCGCAATACGACAAGGCCGACTGGCCGCAATCGAACAAAAAGTTTCGGAACCAAATTCGCAGCGGCCGAGCACGGATGAGCACGCGATGCAGCCACAAATCGTGGGAAGGCAGCTTCTGCCACCCGATTAGGCCACATGTACTTTACTAAACTTAGTCCGTAATAATCTTGCCGGTGGTTATGATGTTTCTCGACTCGAAACCGAAAAGATGGAAATTGCTACTCGATTTCGATGCTTTCTTTTGGTTTTATTTCGAACAAACTGCTCTCGAAGTATTCGCTATCCTCAAGCTCAAGTGGCGCGCAGCTAGAATGGTCTAATAAAATCACTTGAACTACGCAAAACTCTTCAGGATTGGCGGCAGAAAAACAACAAGCGGATGATGTGGCTGGCGACAAAGTCCATGCTTTCCGCGAAGTTCGCCCAGGGCGAAATCATCCTTGTCGACAATTTCAATCTCTCCTCCCACAAAACCAAGCACGTCGTCCAGTGTTTCCGGAGACTTGTTGGGGACAAGTGCAACTCCGCCCTCTGTTGCCACGAGGGCACCCGAGATGTCAACGACGCTTTCCGCTGGGCGACGGCACACATCGCGGCCGTGCGGCGGTGCAACGTCGAGGGGATCGACGTCTACAAGTTGTTGAAGTACCGCTACCTCATCATCACCGAGCTCGGGTTGCAGAATCTGATTTACAAGCTGCAATCCTACCCGAAATTACGGAAGTGGGGCCCTAAATACGCCACGCCGGACGGACGTGTTGTTCCGGTGAAACACCGACCGAAAATGGTCCCCGGGTGGAACTCAGCTTGGAAGGAACGGAAGGAGAGACTCCGGAACAGTGAATTCCGCGCGAAACTGTACGCCGTGGAGCGGAAGAAATGGAAGTGGAGCAACCGGCTCGAGGGGGCCTTGAAACTGCGCGCAGAAGACCCACTGTACCGGTTCCGGTTGAAAAACTTCGGCGCTCTGGATCAAACAAAACCGTGGGAAAAAATGGAGGACATCTACTTAGACGACGAGCTGACGCTCGAAGACGCGTACCAGGCGGGAGAAGAGGAGATGGAAAGGCAGGAAACCGAGCAAGACCCGGAGTATTTGGTGGACGGAAGCAGTTTGCAAGAGTCGATCGAACGCTCGCGGTTGATGATCGGAACGAAAGAGGGGGTGAAAGGGTTGAGTCCAATGGGAAATCGGTATGTAGACGTGGGGACGACGAGCACCCGGAGTGCTGGTTTTGGTTCGACATTCCCGGAAAATGGTCGTGAGGAACTACAGGCTGGTGCTCGAAAAAATTCCAGCGAACAACAAGACGACACGTTGAAGAGCGTGTGGCGGGCTGGTGCGAGGTACGACGCTTTTGTCAAGCAGGAAGGGAAGGCCGAGGCGACCTCTCCCAAGAAGATGCTGCCCACGAACAAGATGAAGAACAAGAAGGAGGAAATGTCTTCCAAATCCGACGAGGACGATGAGGATTTTGATTGCGAAGACGATGGTGAGGACGACGAGTTTGATGAGGATGACGACGCGGATGAGGATTTAAACGACTAAAAAAGCGGCTCTTTCAACTGAAGCAGCAAAACTCGTTCTCGTCGTCGTTCTGCGCAAGCATCAGCTGGTGTACGTGTTTCATGAATTTTCCTCATCTGCTCGTACTAGAGAATACAGATTGAAGTCCTCATATCCAACCTTTTAGAGAATCAAGATAGTGGTACCTCTGTACGGCTAAGCCGTCGTGCAAATGTGTGCTGAGGTACACCGATGTAGTGATCCCGTACGTCCTTGTTCGTCGTACAACCGCCTAATTGGGCTAGGCATTGATCGTTCTTGTTTCCTGAGAGACTATTTGGTCCATTTCCGGAGAGACGTTGACATTTTCGTGCACACAACAAAAATCTTCTACCTCGAGTGACTTGTACGTACGAATAACGTTTTGCGCTTGGCGGGCTTTTGGGTCGTGCAAACGAGTAAATTGGGGGTTGCTGTAGCACTCATCGTATGTTTCTAAACGTCTAGTAGGCCCGCTGATTTGTCATCTTCGAGTGTGACGTCACAACACCGATCAGGGCTCCTGGCTTGATCCCAAACGCGAAAACGAAGTCTCGACAAAATTATCTTCTGATTTCTCACTACCACTTCATCTTTAGGGAGGAGCTTATATATTTGAGAAGCTAAACAGTTCTCCTACACTTTCCTTTACCGCAAAAGCACTTGAACCATGACATCCTGCGCGAAAGCTCTCCAGATATGGTCGGAGAAGAACGACGGCGCGAACCCCGAGGAGGCAGAGGCGGTCGCGTTGTTGTGCCTGATCCCACCAATCAACAAGATGGACTCGTCGCTTAACGGCCTCGTAAACTGCAAACGATTGTCCCTGTCCACAAACGCCATCGATAAGATGATCTCGCTGCCAGGACTCAAAAACCTGGTCAGGTTATCGCTCGGAAGAAACCAAATCAAGAAGATACAAGGTAAATTTTTGTGTTGTAGATGGAGCGCTTAATACAACACATTTATTTTCAACTCACAAGTACAGCAGAGAACGAGAAGATGAAGAATGAGAAAGAAGCAGCTCTCTTGCAGTGTCATGCAAGAAGTTGAAATCATAATCAACGAAAAACACACCCAGGTCTCGAAGAGGTCGGTGCCACGTTGGAAGAGCTCTGGATATCCTACAACCACATCTCAACGCTGGACGGTCTGCATCCCTGCGTCAAGCTCCACACACTTTTCATCTCGAACAACAAGATCAAACAGTGGGAAGAACTCGCAAAACTGCAGCAGCTCCCAGACTTGGGCAACCTGCTGTTAGTCGGGAACCCCATCTACGACGGTATGACCAAGAAGGCCGCCGCACCGCAGGTGCTGAAGATCCTGCCAACGCTGAAAACCTTGGACGGAGAGATGGCCGGGCTCGACAGCGGGGACTCAACCGCCGGAAATGTCCGGGATGCAGGTATTGACTTAGGTTTTCGTTCGAAAAAGTACGATTACGCTGTGACGCATAGTAGATAAAGAATCAACATGACAGGTTTTCTGCTTGTAGTTGTGCATACCCCTCCGAAAGCAGCAAGTATTTTCTGTCATGCAAAAACACCATGCGATACTTTACTACAGTCGGCGGCAACTTCGACGACGCGGTGGCTTCTCTGGGTATGGACCTGTCCGCGGCCATGGACAAGGGTGCGTTTGTCGGTGCTTTGACCGGGCTCGGCGTGTCCGGCGACGACGCCGAAGCGCTCTTCGACGCGGTGGCTTCGGGCGGCAACGCAACCTTGGAAGCCGCAGCGGACTACGTGGCGAACAACTAAATTTTGTTTTGAACAAGACAGAGAAAGTAGAAATTTGTTTGGTAGAGCAAGAAAGTCTCAAAAACAAAAGTGCCTGATTTACCACGACAGCACAAACGGAAGGAAAAGCCGAGACCTTTTGTTAGATCCTGAGTATTACACTATTAGCAAATATTAGCAACGACCGAATACAATTTTAACAAATATTCAACCTTCAGATTTTAGATTTCTAGAGCAAGAACAGGTGCAACCTTCATTGAGAGCTAATGCCACAATTTTAATGGAACAGAGCAACAGAAATTGAACGTGAGACGGACTATTGTTTTCGTGCAGAAGACTAAACAAACTAGAAAAGCAATCGTCTTCTAGTCGACATTTCTTGTACTTGCGTTTTATGAGTCCTATTCTCTCTTCCCGGAATCTCAAGAAGAGACTGTATTTATGGTTTAGACACAAGAAAAGAGAAAGACGAACAAAGAAAAGTTCTCCGTTGGGGATGGCCCTTTGTTTTGTTCTTGGGACAGGTGGCAGTTAAAGACAAGGGAGTGAGAGTGCTGAGCGCACAGAAGTATTTCTTGTCCCGTATCTTGTACTTGCATAGCTGCGCCCCGTATTTTACACTTGCACTTGTGCATTGGCCTTGAGTGATGCATTGCACACCTTGAGGCTGCGAAATGAGGAAAACTTTAGAGACCTCTTAGGTCGAGGTAATGAACTACCTTGTCGGAAAAGGAAAATATCTTGTTTATCCTTACGTATGACATACGTAGAATTGCTAGTCAGGTTGTAACGCAGGAGAATACAAACATGAAGAAAATGGCGCGCGCATCAATTGCCTCTCGGCCATCAACTCCTGTGGCGCGGTGGCGTGCGACCTGTGCGCGTTGGCGGGCGGGGCATTGTTTGTTTTGCGGTTTACTTGGGGCCGCTTGCAGTTCCTACGCACTTGGGGGGCACTACTGGTCTCCAGGCCGGCCGCGTGGCCGATCGCGTTCTCGTTCATGTTTATCTATGCGAACTGGCGACGCCCGGCAAGCACGGCGCCGCTCTCCGACGGTGGCGGCCCGCAATACTAGCACCACTGGCAGAAGAACCAGACAGGCAGCCCGGCGCCTGCCAGAGTTCCTGTTGCGAAACGCGTAGCGTGAATGAGAAAGCGGAGGCGAAAGCGGTGGAATTCCCGCCAAAGCCCGACGCCAACAATTTCCGGAAAAGGAACGCGGCGACGAAGCGCTGGGCCACGAATTTGCCCCGGTTGGGATTCACTCGGCAGCGCGTCGCCCGCGCCCGCCTCGCGTCTTGGGCCCTTGCTTTGCCTTAGCTACATGGAGGAGACGCGCGCCGTTTCCCGGTTTGTCTCCCGGGGCGCTGGTTCTGTGACACCCGGCCGCAGGCCCGCGCCCGCGCATGTTAGCAGATGCGCCGTGGAAGCCTGTCAGGGGGCGTTGGCCCGCCCGGTTTCGTTGGTGGGCCTGACCGCGCCCCGCTACCTAGGCTATTCGCCGCCACCAGCCACGCCGCCCATTCGCACGCTAGGCCTTCACTATGCCTCTTTTTACAGGTTGTTGTCGCGCTCGCGCCAGGCGCGCCCTGCCCTTCCATCCTGGGTGCCGCCGCTTTCGTGCGGTGTGCGTTGTTCTTGTAAGCGGGGTTGCATTGTGGAAGGCCTGGCTCAAATTTGTGCCACTGACTCTGCGTAGCCAGTTTCTGTTCCACCTCCACAGCCGTCGGCAGCTATTTAGGCAGCTTCGACTCCGTCCCTCGCTCTGTTCGATCTATCATCTTCAAAATGCATCAGCGCGGGTCACTGACTCAGTGTCGCTTTTGCAAGCGCCGTGCAAGAGGTGGCAACTTAGTTCTCCTTGTTTCGTTTTTTTGGACGAGATGAATAACGACAGGAGCCATACAAGACCGGCGCTTTTCACGAACTCGAGTTTCTCAATCGGCCTCATTCTTCTACGAACGCAAAGGTGAGCGGAGCGTGCTTAACAAAAAAAGTTGCGGAGTAGGTACCAAAATGGCAGTCTTGAATCTCTCGTCAGTCTTTGCGCTCCCCGCAAAATTGCGATCGCCGCACTCATCTGCACTAGCCCTAGCTCCATTGTTTTCATCCAGGCCAGCCGGGCTCCTCTCCTGTATGACACTGCCAGCGTCTTCTTCTGGGTCTGGACTAGTCAATGTGCGCTACACAAACTGCACACCAGCGGCTAGCGCCTTTTCTCACCAGCAAACCCGCTTCGTTCGGACCAAGGGTGTTTTGAAGCTCCACTGCTCGGAGTGCCGGTACGTGATCAAGCGACGGAATGTCCCAATTCTCGGCGTCGATTGCAACGCCAACGTGCGCCACAAGCAGCTGATGACGAACCCGCCGAAACAGTCACGGCCGGTGCCGGACTGGTTGGAGCCCTGGTTGGAGGGACACCAGCTGCCCAGGCACCCCCGGTGGAAAATGGATTTCACCTCGGCGTACTTCACCAAGGCGAAATACAGGAACACGCACTACTAGTTTTTCCGAAATTTAGCAACTAGAACTCTGAAGAGACAGACGAAAGTAAAAAGCATCGGAGGCACTTAGTTCCACTTATATCCTGTTTGCACTTGTTGAAGTCGGATTGTGTGACTCTTTTCGAGTGGTTGCGGTCTATCCTCGTGGTTGGTGTTAGCCACTACACAGGCGAACTTGATATCTCCAAGTATAGGAGATGCGGAAATTGCTGGAGGTTAGACCTAACCGCAAAACCTGCGTCCCGCTGTGTTCGTCATGTGCTGTTCGAGAACTTTCTTGAACAGCTGAAGTGCTGTTCAAGAAAGAAGTGTGTTGCCTCTCTTCGGTTGTAGCGTTTGCCAAACACTACAACTTTCTCTTCCCTGGCTACCACGACCTGATCTGGACTTTCTGAGTGAGCGAGAGACGGGTTGCACGGACTGCCTTGGATCACTTTCGGTATGCCAACACGGCTGTAAGATCATAACAAAACATCATAAACAACTCTTGTACACTGTAGAAGAAAAAGAAGAAGATATCAAGGAAATCACCATGCTAGGGGGCCGTGCACAGGGGGGGATCCAGCCCTCGCCCGTGACCACGCTCAACCCTGGCTTCACCACTGCCAATGTGCATATGGATTGTAAAAATGTCTGGGTCTGGAAAATTGCAACTTGTCATGCTGTCTTTGGATCCCAAAAAAATCTGTATTGCGTGACCAGCAACAGGGGTCCAGTTTGTGTTACGCGGAGGGGGCATTTGTCATGCGGAATAGGCATCAGGAAGCCCTCTAAAAATCTGTGATGCTAGATCATGCATTACATGAGTCATGGATCATACAAAATATGCACCACAAATCCCGGAATCTTCCAGACCCAGACACTTTTCCACTTGATAGTGCAGCCGGCGGGGCGGTTTACGCTGAAAATCGGCGTGCTCGGAAATCAAAGTGTCGGGAAGACGACCTTGCTGAATTCCCTTTTCCAGTATGCAACACAAATGTAGTATTCCACACGTACAGAGCCTCCAAAACGCGTCCCGCTTTTTGTATGCATACTAGCATTTATTTTTGACACTGTTGTATACGACAAGCACAAGACCAAGACGTTACTCCATAGGAGTCTGTGTAATCTCGTCATGTCAGGGCTCCAGCTGCACGTGCAATTTGTACGTGCGCGGTACTACTTTTATCTTGCATATCCGAGACCAATTTGGGTCGGTATCGGAAAAACGATGCACAGCCGGAGTACACCATTACCACATAGAAGTGCTGCCGGTGACGGCGGAGGCACCAAAAACACTGGTGCAAAGCATCACGAGCGTGGTATACAAGACGTGTGCTTTTTTTTTGGATGCTCTAAGTGATCTTGCTTCGCATGAGAGATGTATCACATAGCTCATGCGAAGATCTTCGCATTTTCATTCTCAACGAGAGCTACACCTTGATCTCTCAACGCAAAACAGTTCCTGTCTTCGAAGCCTGAAATCCGCCCTGCGTCGGAAGTACATGGTCAAGTTTCAGAAATGGATCGCGTGCTCCGCCGATCTTCGATATGACTTGGAGCCGTGGTTGGAAATTTGTGTTTTATCAGTTCGTTTTGTTCCGTCGAACTAAGTTCGTTGTAGTGGAGTTCACACGATGAAAAGCATGAGCATCCGCAATCGAGTCTCTGTCGTGTGCAAGCCCTGAAGATTTTCGCAGATCCGTTTGCCTTTGCCTACATCGAAGGAACATGCCTGAAACCAATTCCCATTCCACACTTCTCCTTTCTCATACCCTCTCACGAACCGGGACAAGCCTACCAACGCCGCATTGACGAAGGTGGAGAGCTGCAACTGGAAGGTCAAGTGCCCCGAGATCGTCAGTCTGGATGAGACCATCCCGAATGGCGGTTTGGATTTGGTGTTCGTCGACATCCCCGGAATCAACTGCCCCGACAAGGGCGAGGCGTACAAAACGTACGTAAGCGAGAATTTCTCCGACTTCGACTACTTTTTGATAATGGTGGACGGCGAAAAGTTGATCGCGCAAAACAACGCCAGCGAAATGGGAAGTCCTGATGTGGATAAGGTGGGGAAGGTATAATTCTTGTGCGACGCCAGCATGATCACTACAAGGTGCGCAGCAGCACTGATAAAGTTTGCAGTCATGCGGATGAACATGAACCAACAACTGGATGTTCATATAGAAATTTCCTATGCGAGGAAACGAGACTATGAGTATGATAATCATGAGCATTTTTCACAAAAAATCAAAATGATCAGCTCGCCGACGTGAAGATGCAGGTCGATCAGGACAATAGTAACAAACCGATGAGAACAACTTCGTCGAAGAACAAGTCATCGAAAAACCGATCTGCTAATAACTCCTACCGCGAACCCCCGCAAACTACTCGGGAGCACCACTATAATGACAATAAGCAGCAGCAAGACGATTACAGCAGCGCCCCGTGGACCAGCGACTACGGCGAGCAGCAGTTCGCAGCGGTGGACCAGTCCCATGTCTATAACGCCGATGGCAGCAACAGCAGCAACTGGCACTCGGCGAACAACAGTGGCAATGAAAACAACAACAATTCAGGGTTTTTTGACTACCACGACCAAGACCCAAATTACAACTACATGCAGGAAGAACACTCCGCCGAGGAGTGGAAGGGCCAGAACGATCACGAGAGCGGTCTGCGGTACGGAAGCTCACTGAAAAGGAGTCGGGAAGAAGAGGAGTATCCGGTATACGCCAGTGTGAATTTTTTAGTAGTAACGGTAACCCGGCTGTCCCCACCATATGCCGGCTTGTGTATTTGTGGTGCTCTGTTCTTGTCTGCGCATTGAATTTTGAACTTGCAGTGTCGTCTGCTCATGTTGACCGCTAGTAAGCAGAAATAGAGCAGTAAAATCTTGTTAAACATTTCTTCGCAGTCCGCCGGTGCAGCCGCGCACGAAGTTAATGCCGCCAGTCCGTCTAGCTCCGACAGTGACCTGTCCCCGTCTTCCAGCGACAACCTTTCCTCGCCCGAGATTCAGCCACCGGAAGTACACGCACCCTTTCTCGGGGAGGACGACGCGAATCTCGTCCGGTGGTTCTCCAACCTCATGTTCGCGCAGGGACAGCATCTGGACATGCCGCCCTGCTGCATGTTGATCAACAAAATTGACGACACGATCGTAAAGGATCGGCGGGAGATTCAACAGACGATAAAACGCGTGAAGAACGCCAAGTGGTTCAGCTACGGAGACGAAGCCGTAAAGAGGGCAACAACCTTCCAGCACGTTTTCCCGATTTCGGCGATCGGGGCTTTAGGGGTCAGAATATCGACCAGCCGAAATCTGAAGGAAACCGTGGCGACGGTATAGTGAATAGACTGAACAAGAAGATGTTTTTAACTATTCTGGAGTACTCGATGTAGTACTTCTTACATTTAGCTTCCCGATGTGGCCGTTGCGAGGTAGCTGCATCACCATCAGCTCGAAATTATGTGCCACCACTAGATATCTTAATGTTTGTAAAAATGCAAAATCGCAATCCTTTTAGGTCGACCAAAACTGTCTAGTCAAGCTGGCCGAGAAGCACCTACCCATGTCCTACGAGGATTGGGCAGACCTGAAGGAGGACAAGCGACACGCGGAGATTATCCAGTATTTGAAGAAGCTCACGCCGGAGCAGCGAGAGGAAAAGCTGAAGAAGAACAACTTCCACATGTTCCTCCAGTTTCTCGAGTCGGAAGTGGGAAAGAAAAAGCAAAAAGAGTTGCTCATAAAAATGATCAAGCGGCAGATGAATCGCGTCGCCGTCGAAGGACTGCAATTCGCCGACCTCATTAAATTTCACACCCGAAGCCGACAGCTCTGCGACGGGGTGGACATCGGCACGCGGTTCCGGGAGATTTTCGAAAAGTCCGGCGGGATCGGGTTGCAGCTGTTTCGCTACGCTCCGACGGAGGAAAACGCAACCAATCTGAAGTCGAAGATTTTCGACCTGTTGAACGACTACCTGAACTTCATCGACAACAACTCGAAGGTATGCACTGGAAAAATATCTGGGTCTTCTGGCTATCGCGTTGTGCTGCGCGTCTTGTCATGAAGACAACAAGATCTATGTAAATGCATGCATATGCTGCTGCGGAGCCAACAAAAAACTTGTGTGTCACCACGATCTTCTCCTGCCTGGCAGCACACCAATCTCGGATGCAGGATTCATAGAGACTACACGTACACATCGCATCTAATTTGCCAGACCTAGAGATCTTCGCAGTGGATAGCTTAAGGACCAGGCGGACGTCTCCTTGAAGCATTTGGCGGAGGTAGAATTTGTGATTTTTTGTGCAAGAGGAAGAGCAACTACAAGTGGAGTACTTCGATCAATTTGTAATGCTGTTTACCATTTCAATTTCTTGCGCAACGCTACCGCAGGTCGAGAAGCAGGCCAACGATTTCCTCGAGCAGTGGCTGCACAACCTCACTGACAAAATCGGGTTCTGGTGCTTCGGCCTTGGTTCACACACCACGACCGTGACGCACCAAACCCAATCGAACAACGAGCCGGGATCCTGGGGCACACTGGAGCCGCACGATTTTGCGTGCATCATGGAATCAGTGACGCTGGCTCTGGAACTAGGGGAGAGCTTCAAGCGAGCCGAGTTTTATCCACAGGAAATTTGACACCGCATCGTCGGCACAAGTGTTGAATCCACAGTGTTTTACGAGACTCTTTTCTTTGCATTTCATCTAGTTGAGCCAGTGGACAGCTGTTGGCTTTATTTAGCCATACAAAAGATTTCGGAAGATGTTTGTTGTAGACGCCTTCATTTCTACAGCTGCTTCTGCTCATCTTGCGCCGTGGTGTGGTAGTAATTTCTATTTCATACACTCCCAACAGACATGATAACGATTTGGAAGTGCTTCAAAGACCTAGGGATGAGCAAGATCGAAAGGTCAGGCGGCTCGAAAAACTGCCCGCCAAGCTCAGCAGGGAAGTACACGCAGTCAAAGCCGGTATAGCCACTGAGTAGTGTACTTCACCACGACTTGTTGAGCGTTCTGCTCTTTTTCGTTTTCCCTTGAATGTCGCAACCGCGTCTGTAACAAGTCATGGGCGTCTGATTCACATGCGCAAGAACTTCATTCTGTAGACGGAACAAAAAACACTGATTGAAGTACCATATCAAAAAACAGAAGCGCGACGCGGATCAGTGCACAAGTGGCAAGTTTGACTTCACAAAGATGAAGCAGACCCTCGCAAATGTACAACGCTTCCCGCAGTTTGTCCGCCTGCACAACAAGTTTCTTTTGCACGCGAAGGAAGTTCGGGAGCGCATCAGTGCGAAGAGCGGCAAAAATTTAAACGGGAAAGGAGGTGCGGAACTGCAAAAGATCAAGCGCGTGAACAGTTCCATCGACGAAGAAATCGAGGTGGAGCTGGAAGAAACCAGCGCAGAACCGGCCACAAAGCGGGTCCGGATCGGCTGAGGGGATTTGTGGCAAGAAGGACATTATATCATGGTGGATAAGTTTTATGTCTACGTGCAACTCCGCCACAAGCAGGTATTGGTGAGCAGCAAAGGAGATGTCTTCGCCGATGCGCAGCAAGTTTCACGTCTCAAACCGAGACACTTTCTCGTCGAACCGAGAGGATTTTTATGTAAAACATCTTTTTCGTGCGATCTGCATGCTGCAAAGGGTACGGAACTCAATTTTTAAGAAGAACGTACATTTTCCTTTGTTGATTTCCTGGACAAGTGTTGTGGCACCTAGTGCTAGTGGGGGAAAACAGTCATTTTGCAATAGATGAGAAGCTTCGCCTCTACAAATATGTCGATTGAGTGTCTAATTTTCACTCCTGCTTGTACACTTCTCTTCAATCGGCAAGGGCCTCCTTATTCTGATTACTTTGAGTTGGATTTTCGTGAATATTGCGCTTTCCAGTCTACTTCCTGCCGCGCCCACCTCCAGCATTGTTTTTCTTTTATGGTGGTTATCATTTTTTCTGCTGCATCAAAACCACAGGACCCGCTATTTTCAGAGACTGCAAATGAAGACAGCTACTTATACTTCTATTCACTAACTGCAATTACCGGGCCAAAGATGTCTAGCTAAACAATCAAAAATGCGAATCTTATGTGTGCCGCCTGCTATTGTATATGAAGAAAAAACAAAAAAAAATTGGGAAAAAGAACCATCATTCATCGTCGCTGCAAATTGATGTATCGACGCATCATTAGAATTCCATAGAGAGCTCCCGATGTGAAATGTCTTCGCTCATCAGTAATGGTGCACCACTTGCTGCGAGGATGTCGATGTTGCTACTTACGAAAGATGAACGAGCCCATTGTTCATGGAGATCTAGATCCATGTCATAAGTATGATCTTCAAGCGATTTCCGATATGTCCAAGGAGATATTTTTGCCGTTCACCCGAGATCGCGACGATCCACAGGAAAACCCAACAAGATCTTGGTTTCCTGGGCCTCTCGCCCGAGGGGTCCGCGGATCGCTATTGCTGCGAAGCTTTTTGTGATCGTGACACTTTATTTGCCATTACCCTTCTTTACTCCCGAACTTGCACCAGGACCTCATATTTTTTCCAGTGTATATGGTCATGCCCATGGATGGCCCGTCTTAGTCTATGCGTAGATTATAGCTTGAGTTCGTAGTTGTACCAGTGTCAAGATGCTGCGCTTGTTTCAGAAGAACGTTGCATAAAGAACTTTGACCCCCGAAGTAATAGGTGTATTTTACATGAATTTATCTTCTTCCTTCTCGCTGAGTGATTTGAATTCTCACTTTTTACGACCCCCGAACACCGACTAAAACATGGTGTCCGTCCGGCCCGCCCGAACGGAAGACCTGCTGGGCATGCAGGCTTGCAACCTAAGTTGTCTCCCCGAGAACTACCAAATGAAGTATTACCTGCTCCACCTTCTTTCCTGGCCCCAGCTACTCTACGTCGCAGAGGAAAACTGCTCGAAGAAGATAGTGGGCTACGTACTCGCAAAAATCGACGAGGATAACGAGGGGGTAATTATAGACTCATTGTTTCAGCCGGAAGATCCTTGCATAGTTTTTGTTTTCCATGTTGTCAACATCTTCATGCCAAAAGCTGTGTATATCAAGGCGGGTATTGATGAAGCTTCAGCATTTTGACTAGAGCGCTAGTGCATTCATTTCATTGAAAAAACGGAACGCAAGAAAAAAAAAAACAGATCCACGGCCACATAACGTCCCTTTCCGTGCTTCGTTCGTACCGAAAGCTTGGGCTCGCCACGAAGCTGATGCGGTGCACCCTGGATGCGATGCAGGAGTGCTTCGACGCCGAATTTGTCTCGCTCCACGTCCGCGTCAGCAACCGAGCGGCGTTTACGCTTTACAGCACCGTCTTGGGCTTTCAGATACACGACGTGGAAAAAGCTTACTACGCCGACAAGGAAGACGCGTACGACATGCGAAAGGAGCTGAAAGCCAACTCCAAGGTTGGACATAAAAAAGCACCGGGCGCGAGCAAGGATGACGTCAGTGGGCAAGGCAGCCTGGAGGATTTGCAGTATTTTTTTTCTTAGCCAGTTGTGATTTTTTTGCCCATCGTTTGAAGGAGGTTCTTGTCCGCTGCATTTTAATATGTGCATGAGTGTGCTTCTGCTTGTATCAGCAATCACTATTACATTTAAATCCTTTTAATTGAAACAGGGAAAACAACTTTACGGATGGCGAGAAAAAGCCGGCGGAGGGAGATGTAGACCAGCTTGCAGAAGATAATGTGGATGAATCCAAACCCACAACTGCCGACACGACCGCATCTACAACAACTGCAGGGGGCGACGCAAAGAAAAAAAAGAAGAAAAAGTAGATGAATCCTCTGGAGTAGTCCGCCCGCGCTCCTATTCCCTTCTGAAGAAACAAGAAGAGGCTGCTGATTTGTTTCACACACTGCTGCCACTAGAATGGAGGTGCAGGTACTTCTTCATCTGTGGGCTCAGATTATTCATCTAACTTCGGGTGGCAAACATATTTTTAACGAAGACCTACGCGTTTAGCATGTACATGAATTCCGCGAAGAATTCTGCAGAAGTGGCAACTACAATATGTCGCAACATTAGACGCTGCTTCACCGCGGTTCTGATCTTCTTCGCCGTGGTGTTCTGCTTTCACATCATCAGCTGCACTAGAGAAATTTGGTGTATTTTTGACCATGGTTCACCTTCTGGTTTCGTTTTGGATGCGGAGAAGTTCTCGGACATGCGCTCTAGTATGTAAGAGCGTGGTCAGCCCTTCCGGCCCTCGTCGTGACTAGAGGGACAGAAAGAGAGATGCGTGAAGTGTCGGACAGAAATATATGCGATGAAGCTACACGCACGTATGTGCACGGTGCGTGCGTTCACTTCAGGTTGGTTTCAAGCATCAGTTCTCGGACTATTTTTCTTTAGCTTCAGCAGTAGATGACCGGGAAGAGGTGCCGGTGCCGGAAGATAGAGATTCGATGTTGAAGACAAGATTTTTATTAACTCCCTGCAGCTAGCGACAAGCTAAGCGAGGTTGGAAAAAAATGACGCGTCAGCACGGTAGTTCATCTTCCGGTCTGGATCTGCACCGCGAAGCGAGGGAGCACTCTGCGGGCTACGCCCCATCGTCTTCCTCCTCGAGCGCGTTTTTCCATGCTAGCAGCCCACACGGAGGTGGATCACATGTGGAAAATGGTGGTCCAGGATTTATTGGTGTTCCTGCAAGCAGCAGCGCGTCTTCAACATCTTCTTCAAGTAGCGCTGCTCTGTACGGAGATCATCAACATGCTGCGATGAATCATTTCGGACATCTTCCTCATCACCAACACCACCTCTCGCTGTCCCAACAGAGCGCCAGAGCGCATGCGCACCTGCATAATCATGCGCAACTCCACGGGACCGCCCATGCACTGGCCGAAGGACAGTCGTCATACGCTTGGGACCACATGCACGCCATTCACCACCACGCGAGAAGGTATAGGGGAATTTTTGTGGCGGTGATCTGTTTTCTAGATAGATATAAAAGTAGTAATTCGTACTACTTTCACACCATCTCCCTTCGGTGGTGACGGAGACACCGCGTTGATCTTGATGCTATCGCTATGGCATGAAACAGTATATGCTATGCTTTAATTGTTCTGATGAAAATCATCGACCCATGATGATATTTCGTTCCCAGGTTGGTCGGCATGCCGGACTACAAGTACTCGCTTTTCGAGACGGAAGATGTGACAGCGTGGCTCGCCTTCACGGGCTTTTTTTTCCTGCTCATCTTCTGCGACTTGTTTCTCATGAACCGCAAGAAGCAGCGGATGACGCTTTTTGCCGCGACCTGCCAAACGCTTTTTTGGATGTTCATGGCAAGTCTGTTTTGCGCGTTTCTCTACCAAAGATATGGGCGGAAAGACGCGTACCAGTGGGCGAGTGGGTACATTCTCGAGTGGATGCTTTCCTTCGACAACTTATTTGTCTTCCACTTGATTTTCCGAGTTTACCAAACGCCGGAAACATTGAAACATAAACCGCTGATCGTCGGCATTTGTGGCGCGGTGGTGCTGTATGGAAGCGGAAAGCTGCTGCGCTTCTATCAGTGAGATGTCAAGGAGAAATAAGGTCCCGCAACATGCATATATGTGCAACACTATTTCTTATTTGAGCTGTACACGAAAAGCAAAGACCACTCTGCGGTCTACATCATGAAGACTCATTTCCTAGGAATTAACTTTTGAGGCGTGGCGGGACTCTAGAAGCTGCATCGATAGATTCAGCGGCTTTTCGTTGCCACATGACGCGATTAGGGTTCATCGTCATTGGGGAGCTTCTGATGCACGCCATATGGGCCGCACACCTCGTGTTCGGGATGTTTCTCGTGTATATTTCGTTTTTGAAGAACATAATTGTTTTTTACCAGCATGAGCTTTTGCCCTTGCATGGAAAGGAAGCAGCGATGTTTGGTAACCTCATTAGCAAAAGGTATTTCAAAAACAAATAACATGAAATCGATGTCGTAATTCCAACACAGATACACTGGCGTCCGCGCCATTGTCCAGGAGGAGGACGACGAGGATCCGACGCAGTTTTCTTCTGTGCGGTTCCTGCAGAAGCGGGTGCCCTTTGTCGGGATTTATGACCAGGAGGGCAGCTTCTTCATCCAAGTCCCCATTTATGCAATAGAAAGAATTTGGTTTTAGATACAGCAGGAGCGTGCAGCACTAGACATAAAAATTTTATTTCATGATCTTGCTCCTGCTGTTGCTGGTCGTGCTGAGTCATAACATAAGGAGCCGCAATATCCGTAGCAATTAAATCCGAAAACAAAAGATTCAAAATCATGCACATTGACATTTCACGCTCGTCTCCGTTTGGCGAGTCTGTGTGTGTGCCTGCGGTTAATGTACCACTTTTCTTTCTCCTCATACCACGGACGCAAATGGGAACCTTATGAGCGTGGAGCACTTAAAGTACGACCCCACTCGAGATTCCAATTTGAAAGGAGAAAGTAGTATGGCTGCGCTTGCTGGTTCCTCTAAGAACGACGACCTCCAGCTGCACAACGCCGCCATAACAACTACGGCAGGAGCGAAGATTAACAGTTCAAGGAGTAGTTGTGATGCGGACGCAAACAGTTGCGCTGCAAATGGTGCGAGGCAAATCCTGATGTCACCGCCAACGTCCGTGGACGAGTTGAAACTGCTGCGGAATATGAGCAAACCAAACTCTTCTCCGCGGCAAGTTGCAAAGGGAGCAGGACCTAGTACAACAGCATCAAACGCGAACTCCTGCGAAATTGTGGTCAACAAGGAGCAAGACAGGGACCACGGGCAGTTAAGCACGACCACCGCAGCAACGAACAGTAACGCGAGCCTAGCGGCACACGACCTTTATTATGAAAGTGGCCACTTTAGTAGTCTCCCTGCCGATCCGCCGAAGAACGTCCATCATTACGAGACCCGGGCGACAATGCTGTTTTTGGTTGTGGTGTGTTTGGAGATCTGCGACCTGATCTTTGCCGTGGACAGCGTCTCCGCCATCGTAGCGCAGGTTTCGGACCTGTTTCTGGCATACACGAGTGCGGTGTTCGCGATGCTCGGGATACGATGCTTGTTCTTCATCGTCAACGCACTAGCAGACGTACTGATACTAGTGCTTTCTTGTTGTACTGAAGAAGAAAAGTCCAAGTCGCGAGTAGCATTTATCTGTTCATCGTGCTCCTGCTACTACTAGTACGCATGATGAAAGTGACGACTGGGAAGATTGGAGATGCGAGCCGTATTTGCGCTAAACCTAAATTCGCACAGCGTCTACATAAAATTTTCAGGTTTTCGCCCTACTACAGTACGGCGTGTCGCTGATCCTGATTCTGCTTGGGCTGAAACTAGTCCTCTCGAAAGTGATCGAGATCAGCCCGGAGATAGTGTGCTTGTCTCTGTTCCTGATTCTAGTCGCCTCGATGGTCGCCTCAGTCGTCATGGACATGTGCGAACAGGAGAGGAGTAAGTCAAAAGACAGCTCATCTGTGGGCTTCGGTTCACCAGGGGGCGATATTGCGAGCCACCGGGAGGACGTAAGTCCTCAGCATGAGGTGGAACAGCAAAGAGAGTCACGGAGTACTCCGGCTCGAGGCCCAGGAGTGGAGGCAGGACCTGCTCATGAAGCAAAAGTTGTTGCCAGAGCGGCACCGGCGGTTTGAGAATCATGCGCTGGAAAGGGCCAGGATAAGGCCAGGCAAAATTGGTTTCAACACACGTAGACTTTTTCAGCCTCGGGCCGAACAATGTCGGCTTCAAAATAACAGCCCGAAATTGATGCAAAAAATGACATCACGACGATTCCTTCGGCTGCAGCCTAGCCGCCGCATGAATGGATGGATGATGCAATGTCAGACAGATTTCGATTTTACTTCACTAGTTTGTTACGTTTAAGCATCCCTACCCTTTTGGGTTCACTTCGGGTAGAAATTTGAATTAGACTGAGAATATAGGATCGACGTAGGCAGCCAAGAACAAAGCTAGAGTTCCGCCGAGTAGTTTGAGTAGAGACTACAGCTTCGCTTTTTACTTTTTTTTCACCAAGTGGAAGCAGAACAGCACGAAACAATGTTTGCCGAACACGTTTCCGTTTTGTTTTCAATGTAGAATGCAAATGTAACAAAACCAAGAGAATACTTTTTCTGAGAGGGTGGCTCGTTGTTCCCAGTGCCACCCTCTTGATCATCAATTTGATTGTACACAACCAGTGGAACATGCTGAAATTTTTCACATTTCACAGACGAAATGCATACTCAACCGATGAGAACACGGAACGCCACGCCAGGGTGGCAGCCGAACAGCGGTGAGACGCCACCGCGTAGATATGTTGGATGTTTTCTTCTTGCGGTAGTACATGTGATGTTTTGATGAATCCGTCGCGTCCTGCTTCCGGAGCGACTGAAACGCACCATTTTGAGTAGGAAGCGAAGGACACTGAGAGCCGGGCTCAGACGACGTGCGTGACCGAATGAGGGCGTCGAGAAGAGAGCCTTACTGCAACTGCAATGGCACCTAAGAAATTGTATGATTTGTCTATCACTCTATACTGCAGTTGTTTTACCCGTTCCGTTCGTTTCTTTGTGTGTTTTGGTTTTCGAGGTCTCCGTCTCGTTGCCACGTCGCAACTACATCCATACACAGCTAGACAATGGCTGAAAGCTGCTGTGACGGGGATATCTGCCCGTGCCGTCTGTGAATCTGTGAAGGAGGAACAGTTGCTTGGCGACGCGGGTCGAAAAACCGGTCATCGGCTGCGTGACGAGCCGGTCGTGTGCGAATAAAGCAGCTCCCCCGCTCCTCGCTTGCTGTGTGGATACGGCAATATTAAGTAGACCCCGCTCCGAGCAGCAGTCGCCACGAGGGTCAACATGTCGTCCATGGCGGCTACTACAACACTCCTCGCCGGGAAGATGTCCTCCTCCATGCAGCGCGGCTCGCTGATCCAGTGTTCCCGGATTTGCCGCGGCGGCATGATAACGGACGGGCCCTTTCCCGTCGTGAACCGAACCCCCCGAGCAGGCACGGTGAAGCAGGCACCCCCGAGGCCGCCGACGCACGGAAAGCACGTCACGATAAAATTGTCCGAGGAGGAGTGGCTGAAACAAACACCCGGGACCGGGTTGTCGCTCCTGTCGCCCTGGAGGCAACCGTATCGGCAGGTAGAAACTGCTTCTAGAGAAAATTTGTCATTTTTGAGGGAACGAAGCTAAAGATGTGATGCGTGGCTGTGTAGCATTGCTGTTCCTGTGGCATGAGAGTAGTAGGAAGACAACGACCGATGAGTACAAGAAGCAACATACGTTACCAGACCCACGGCGATTACACTCAATGCACCGTGGGAACGTTCGGCGAGATGAAGGGGTGCATGCCGAAGCCACGGCGATTTTTCCAGTGGCCGCCGCCCCCGAGGTTTATCGACCAAGCGCGGCTAATTCTCGTCCAAGACCAGCTTCGCGGAGAGCACGGAGAACTGTCCGCCTCAGCGCTGGCGAACGTCACGAAATTTTCCGAAGGAGTAGCAGCGAGCAGAAAAGCCGATATCACCGTGAAAGATTTGGAGCTCGGGGTAAGTACTAAAAGTCGTGGTTGTGTTTGTGTTTGTCAGTTCTACTATGCGTGTGCGTGTGCAGTCCAAGCATGAAATGAATCATTGGCTGTGTGCATCATGTGCTGCCGACATGAGAATAGTAGAAGCCATCTCAAAAAGACAAAACCATCTACCATTATCTATCAGGGTGCCGGCGGGTACACGGATGACTACGCACGGAAGCTGTTAGAGTGGCACAAAAAGCCGGACGGAAAAACCATTCCGATTCCAACGGACCAGGATGACATTCACACGTTTGTCATGGACGGTTTGCGTGACGAAATGACCGTGGAGGACGTCGCGTTGCACAGGATTAGGCAACAGGAGGTATTTCTGCTCGAACGCGGATCGACGCATGCGCCTTGCCTTCCTGCATGACACTGTGAGCCTTCCTTCATGACTGTCGTGCATGAAATAATGATGTAGAAGAGTACTAAAATCCTATCAATTGATGAAAGTAACTTCAACGCCATTGAAATCAATAGGAATTCGACCTGATTAGCGCCATCAACGTGGGCGGCGTGTTTGTCTTCCTGGGAATGTGCACCATGTAAGATTTTTATGATGTTTTCGTTTTTGAATTTCTTCAAAAAACAGACATGCAGTTGGAGTAAAGTTGAGCCAGCTCCTACGTACACGCGCATTTCTTGTTCCATGATGAAGTTGAAAATTTACCTACACGACCGTCCTGCACGGAAGCAATGAAAAAATTGATTTTGAAAATCGTGTCTCCAGCCTCCTGATTCCGATTTGGTGCATTCCGATGTGGCGGCCGTTCATGAGCAGAATGTGGCACATCATCGACGATGACGACTGGTGCATCCGACGCTACGGCCGCGGAAAACTCTACGCGTTCTAGTAGAGGAGCAGAGTTTATTCTTCACGCAGCTCTACTTTCCCCCGAAGACATCAACTTTTAGTACGTAGAAGACGCCACGGAGACGGACGGGGAAGTTCGCTTGACGACTTTCAAAAGTTGCGTAAAGTCGACAAGTCAACATCACAATATTACTCTGTGAGTAGAAAGACGGCGCGAGGAAACAGAATTGATGATGACAAGAGACGAGAAAGCATTGAACACCCGGAAGAGAAAAACTCCGCAGATCAGAGAATGCACGAAGGACAAGATGAAAAAACTCACAATCAATACATACCGACGAAGGTGTTGAAAGTTCTTGGAAGCCCATTCTTGTCGCTGTGTGGGGAGCTCCTGGTGCTCTCGGACTGGAGTTCTTGTATGTGGAAAAGCTGATGTGCTATTTCCTCCAGGGCTTCCATCCCTGCTCCACCACCTGCGATTTCTTCATTTTGGGGGGGGGGGGCGACCGGGCCAGAAGTTGTCGGGGTGTCTTTTTTTCTCGAGAAACGGAGAATCTTCGCATCAAATTGGCAAAGCATTCTAGGGGAGATTGATAATGCACACATGAGTGAATCGTGTCTTTGAGTATGAGCGTACAGGGAAAGGTAACGTAAGAGGACTGAGAAGAGGCTGGTTGCCCTTTATTTTGCAAAAGTGCCAAAGTGTTTTTTTTGTCTTTGTGGTCTTGTTTCTCAGGCTGCAGCTGCGACCGAGGTCGCCCTCGCAAACGTGATGCCTTGACCTGCTTCCGGGCCGGCCCTAGAGGACCAGCTTCAGCTGTGGGAGCCCGGCACCGTGTCGCCTCCCCTCTGCCAACGGGAGAGGTGCTAGGCAGGGACGGATCTGCGGCCTCAAAACAAGAATGAGCTAAAGTGGTTGAAGAACGCCACACGAGGACAAGAACACTCCACGAGAAGCTGCCAGCAATGACGGTCTCTCCGACGAAAGCTGGCAGCACCGGCAAGCCGATGAAGTCGTATTTCAATGCGGCGCAGTCGAAGGCCGAAACCGGGGGTGGGGCGGCACGGGAGCCAATATCGCTGCTGGAGCAGCTGCGGGACAAATTATCGTTCAATGGGATGGAATACCAAGGTAATGATGTACGAACGAATCAAGATTAAACGGCCAAGTTTTTGTAGTACTCCCCCGACCCCGTATTTTATTGCATGACCGAGGACGATGTAAAAATTCTTGATTCCCCAAAACTAAGTACTCCTATCTAAATCGTTAAAACCAGATTCTTACGAGCATGTGAAGCCGCTCGCGGACTTTTGGAAGATCCTTTCCCGGCGGTCCACGGGGACGAAGCGCCACGACTTGATCGAAAACCGACGGCTCCAGCTCCCCATGAACATCCCCGACACGATTGTTTTCGACAACAATTTTCCCAAACCGCTCTGGCTGCACACCAACGAGGACGGGGGGTTGCTGCTCAAAAAGTGCGAGGATTTCGAGGTCGGGGACCTGTTCAAACACTTCGAGAAGAACCGCACCGCGGTGCTATGCATTGCAAATATGTCTGGGTCTGGAAAGAATGGGATTTGTGATGCTACTGCTAGCTGTCGATCACTATCACACAGAAATCTGTATTGCATGAGAGGCAACAAGAGCCGGACAGATTGTTGCCACTCAAGGAGGGCATTTCTCATGCAGAATAGGCATGAGAAAACCTTTGCGAAAGCTGTGATGCTAGAGAATGCATCACAGGCATCGGAGGCCATATACAATTTGCATGACAAACTCTTCCAGACCAAGACATATTTGCATGTGATTGGTGCTGCGCACCTACCAAGACGACGTGGACACGAAAAAGAGCGTGAACATCCCCGTGGCCGTGATGAAGACGGCGCAGGGGCGGTGTAACTCGGTGAAGCTCATGTACGGCAACGATTTCCGGGACTTGATGGAGGAGTTTTTGAAGCAGCGCTACGACATGCCCACCACCGTGGTGCAGAAGTACGTGAAGGCCCGGGGCGGCTACAACCACATCATTCGGGTGGTGTGGCGCCGCGACATGCCGATTTTGAAATACATCATCCGGAACCAAATCCCCATGTCGCAGGGCTGCTTCTACGCGAAATTGTACTCGGGGAACAAAAACAAGAAGCAAGTGAAGGTGAAAGTCCCGGACCGGTCAAAGAAGGGGATTTTACGTGCGAAGTCGCCCCCGAAGCCCAGAAGCGAGAAGAACGTCGACGAGAACGAAGAAGACGACGGAAAAAGGGCGGCGGAAGAGGCGGCGAAATTACTCGAGGAAGAGAAGAAAAAGCAGGAAGCCGCGGCGAAGCCGAAAAAACCCGAGTTCGACGAGGAGGGGGTAGTGGACGTGGTGCCGACACGGTCCGAAGCGTACGCAAGTTTGGACCAGGTGGTCAGAAACACGCTGGTTTGGCTCGGAACTGAAGCGGGGCTGGAGTTTGACGAATTCGTCATCGATTTTATCGACGCGGAGGAGGATGAGATCGTGGAAACGATGCAGCTATGCAGTGCGATCAGGAATTTTCTTCATTAAACCGGACAGAGTACTAGAGCTTGCATCTTCAAAAATGCGTATGATATTTAGGCATGGACAGCGAGAAACGTGTGATACAGCACTGGTTGAAGCAAGTAGAAGTTGAAGTACTAGAAGTCCGAACCCGAAGTGCAGATTATACTCTCTTGCAATGCATAGCAAAAGCGAGAGTCGCTGATTTTAGCCGGGGGAGGAGACGATGATGGAAACAACTCGGCAACGAGTTCCTCTGGAACACGAAAAAACAAGGCTGGACTCCAGCTCACGGGAGTATTTGGTCCCAAAGCGGCGAAAAAGAAGGCCAAGGTGGAGAATTTGCAGATGATTCAGGTCCGAGCGTTCAGAATACGACCCTCGAAGCGCTTTGGGTACACGATGAAGATAGAACGCCCGCTGGATTCCTTCAAATTCAAGGACAAATTGGTGCACTCAAAGGTATATCAGCACAACGCGTAGAGGTAGATGAAATTGAAGTTCTTTTCTCGAAGATTCTGATTCGACGCAAGTATGCGATCTGATTTGGGTTTTTAGCACGCGGAAAAGAAAATCCAGGTGAGAGAAAGAGATGAACACGATACAAATATAAAACACCTCAGTGCGGCGTTTGCGGTTGCAGCTACCTTCCTTCCGAGCTCCCGCACGAAGTCCACACCCTGACTATCCAAAACATGTTCGAGCAAGCCAATCGCTTAGGGCTTCACTTCTCCTGGAACGCAGCCACTCTGGCCGCGACGCAGCGGGACGCGAGCAACTACAGCCTGCATAAGGTCTCCCGGGGGTGTTACGCGCTAATCCAGCAACTGCGGCAGTTGTTTGAGAAAGGGGAGGAATACGCGCAATACTTCCAGGACAAGGAATTTGACGACAATGTGCGAAGTTGCGCGCAGTTGCCGAAGTACTACCCGAACATCAAAGTGAAGAAGGCCAACGAGGAGAACACGCACGACATGCCGGAGACGTTTGAACTGGACCCAGATCTGGTCAGACTCTCCAGAACCAAACCCGTGGAGCCCGTCCACTTGCTCACGTTGCAAACGCTGAACAACGACTACAAACAGATCCGGAAAGTGTACGAGTTCCAGGACCCGATGTTGCGGTACAAAGTAGTGTTTTACTTCAAGCACTGCACGGGGATCCCGGCGCAGTACAAAAACTGCGAAATGGACCTGAAGTTCGACATTTTCGACCACGAGTGCACCGTTCCTTTGATTACCTGCAAAGACCCGTCCACGGGCATGAATGATCCGGACTACAGTTACCTCCAGGACGAAAGTAAGACCAATCCGGAAAACCAGTTTCGGGCGCCGGAGGGGTCTTTGCTAGGCAGGGCGTTTGCGTTCAAAGCGTTTCACGTGCTCTGCAAAACGCCGAACGGACTTGTACAGTGGGCGAGGGAGCACCAAAAACTGAAGATTTTCCTCCGGGCGGACGGACAAAACGTCGCGACGGTAAGAAGCGTGGTCGTTGGTTGATATTCGCTAATAGAGATTAACTTGTGATCATCTAGTACAAAAATGCGGTGCGGAGAAAGTAAACGCGTTGTGGTGCCTGTGTTTGGCAGCGGTTCAACAGCACTCTTCCTGATGTTTGAAACCACCACCGACAGGTTCACGCCCCGATGCAGAAGCTCGCCCTAGAGAAGTCGTTGATGAAGAGCTTCAAGCTGCCCTTCAAGCAAGGCCCGATCGGCTACACACACTTGGATATCTCACTGGGGGTAGGAATTATGATTTATGAAATTTTCTTTACATGACTGCCCCTGGGAGCACTTGGTACCTTTCTCCTGAGGATTGTATTACCGATGGGTATGTAAATGTATATGTTTGCACTTGCTTGAAGAAGCATGCACATAATATCTTGTGGGAATCAAACGTTGTTGTCCCAGATTATCGGCGGGGACGTGTTTGACGCAATCTACACGCCCAAGCGGAAATACGAGCGGTTTCTCTTCCTCCCCCCGAAGGAGTTTTCCGTACCAGAGCCCCTACCCGACGCTTGGCTGGAATTGTTACTCAATGATGTCGATCCGGGCACGAGGAGACGAGCCGAAGCGCCGGCGCCAGATAGCTTGTCGAGACGGGTGATCGAAAAGATAAGGGTGGAAGACGAGAAGAAAGCCGGAAAACAGTATTTTAGGATTTAGGGCTAGCGAGCACGCGACTCAGTTTGACAACTTCTACTTCTGAATGGCTATGCTCGATGTAGCAATGCAGCAGGCCACTTGCGCCGTGGATTTGCTGTAGAATTGCATGACAGCAGACGAAGGTCCTACTTCTTTTAAACGAAGAAGCCGCAATTTTTAAGTATTTATTTCCCAGATCCGGCCCCGTGATTACCCCAACCGAGGAGCTCGTGATGCCATCCGGTTCCTCGGAATTTGTCATCACCGACGAGGAGAACTTCTTTTCCATGTCCCGCCCCGCCTCCGCTAAAACCTCGTCACGCCCCGGCTCCAGCTCCCAGCCACGACCCGGCTCCGCGAAAGCGGCCTCGAGCTCTCGACCCGGGTCCGGCGTCGTCAAGAGCTCTTCCCGCCCACAGTCTGCCACGTCAAACCAGGCGGGGAATCAGCAGCAGCAGCAACCGAGCGCGATCCCAGACGAAGACGCACGAGTGGTCTATACGGGGACGAGCAGCAGCTCTTCTTCGACGAATAAGCGGAACTACCGTGGTCGATCCGGTTCGAACGCCAGCTCGGGTCGCGGGAGTAACTCCGTTCCCCGGAGACCCCAATCGGCCAACACCATCGTGGAGCAGCAGCAGATGCGGTACTCTTCGATGGAATCCCCGGTCACCGCCGGCGGTTCGGGGGGAATCGGCATGGGAAACAGAAACAATTCTGGCAGAACCCCGGGAGGAGCGCGCAGGCCCGCGAGCGCGAGACCGCCGTCCGCAAGACCGGCGAGCGCCAGTGCCAGGGAGCAACAGGATTTCTTCTCGGCGAGAAGAGCCACGGGTGGTGAGCCAGGAGTAGAACAGGAACAGCAGATGGTCTCCTCGTTCGGAACAGCAGGAGGACAGCAGCAGCACATCCGCAGCTCCTCCGCAAAAACTAGTAACAAAGGCGGACATCATCAGCCTCCGAGTATGAGCATCTTGACCAGCACGGGAGTACCGCAAACCTCGGAGTCGAGGGTTCTCAGTCACTACGAAAACCTTATTTCCGCTTTGGATGAAGACGCACGAGATACGGAGATGCAGGACTTCGATCCCGATGAGGAAGAGGAAGAAGAGTTGGACGACGCTACGCAAGAAAAAATCATCATACATGCATGAGGCGCACTAGACACAATATTCTTGAAGTTTTTCCAACTACCGATGAACGCATGGCTGAACAACTTGTCATGCTGACTTGAATGCGGTGGCGGTCCAGGGCGAAAAAAATTGTCATTCTCATTCAGTCGTGTTAGCATAATTCGTGCGTCTATGGTGAAAAATTGCTTACTTTGGATAGATGACGACGAAATCGTCCTCGGTGCGAATGACGAGATGGAAATTATCCACGCACATCATGCAAACAAATCCCCGCACGCGATGCACCAGCACCCGCTGCCCCACGACACGAGCTACGCGCCGGCACCGGAACCCTTGTTCCTCGAGGGCCAATTACGCGCGCTGCACAACGTCGGCGCGATTGGGGAAAAATGGTACGTGAATCTGTCGATTTTGGACGGCATATTCCACCTGGAAAAGGAGACGGAGCTAGTGGTGGGCCCGCGGCTGCGCGAAACGTTCGCTAGACAAGTGGTAGGGCCGCTGGACGACTTGAAGTTCTGCATCAAACTCGACGGGCTGGACACAGAGAGCTTGGCATACATGCGGAGGGTGCTGGTACAGAAATTGAAAACTTTTGCACAATGTCCTCCTTCCCTCACCCTACCAATCTACACAGCTGCCTGATGTCGAATATTTGCCGCGTGGCCGCATGTAGTTCGCTCGCTTCTAGTACCTACTTACTTATTTCGCGGAAAAAATCAATACGACACCGAAAACTCAGCTCCGCGTGAAAGCTTACAAGCACCTCGAGGGAAGCACCAATGCAGCCGTCGGTGTCAAAAAGTCCGGCGAGTCGGAGGAGCTCCCGGTTTCGCTCGATATGGCCAACATTTCCGACGTTATCGTCGACAAACGCCACGCCTTCGGCAGCATCGAGTTCGCAGAGCTGAAGCACCACCAGGTCAAGTTCCCGAATGCGCACGTGTTCGGCGCGTTTTACCTGAAACGCAGACAGGAACTGGACGCGCAGACGTTGCGGCGGATCAGTTGCAGCCTCACCTGGAACGCGGCGTACAAAAAATTCGAGTACACCGAGGCAAACCGGTGAGGGCGGCGGGGAGGTGGTATTTGCCGGATCGCGAACAAGGCAGGGGGAGGGAGTGCGGATAAGATTAGAAAGCTCTCAACATCTCATACAACAAGATCATGTAAAGCAAAGATGAAATATCAAACCGTAGAAATATGCTTCATCCCAAGAAGTAAGTCGATCCATATTACATTCGACGGGACTGTGAAAAGTCACATGATTCTTTCCATACAGATGCAGGTGTAGCGACACCATGCCTGAGGCCACTTCATCATGGTGTTTTTTTATTGAAAAAACATCAAACACAGCGACAGAAACGAAATTGGCGAGTGCTTTTGACACAAGTAGAGTCGCATCGTCTTCAGCGACTTGCTTCGTTGTGTGAATGTTGGTGAATATTGAGAATTTGTAGAAACCGCGTATGTGTAGGGGTGACTATTCCACCCCGACTTTCACGATCGGAGTCAAAGATCACGAACTTCACAAGAATCTGACTATAGGTTGCAGAAAGGACTTCCTTGCAGCATATTTGCTGTCGACAGCCCAATGAATTAGTCGTAGGCCTAGCGACTCGCATCTGTATTTTTTTGTTTGCTTTTTATATTCACCAAGTGAAAGATTGCAGCATCCATAGGCATACCGACCTCTTAGCTAGCAAAATATTTTCAATTGAGAGCCCTATTCGGATAAACGAAAAGAATCAAAAAGAATGTCGACTGGGAGTGCTAGCTCCTCCTCTTCCTCCTCGAGGCTCCCGCCCCCGCAATTCCGTCTGCCCTGGGCAAACAAAAACAGTTTCGGAACGCAGTCGTTGCAAGACTTCGCGGTCCCAGAAACTCTAACTGAGCATCTCATCATGGAGCATGTTGCTGGCTTTGTGATAAAATACGGCGAAGCAGCAGAGTTCCGACTGAGGCTAGCAACGGAAAACAGTGCGAACGATGCTGCACGACTCAGCGCGTCGTCGAGAAGCAGTGGCAGTGGGAGCAGCTCAACATCTAATGGAAAGGTGGATCACACCGATACCAGCAAGACGACCAGCGCGGCCAGCAACAAACACAGCCAGCTCGCGTTTCTGGAGCCCGAGCACCCCTTGCGGAAGTACTACGAATGGCTAAAGCGGACCAAGGCAACACTGGAGGAGCGCGCGCCGCACTTACTCCCTCGCGGTTGGAACCTTTGGCGGAAAGTTTTACCGTCAGAATCCATCGTGAATACGCACGTCGAGGTCGTGAACAAAGAGGACCAATCCACTTCTTCGAGCGCTGACGACGCGGAAGATGGGAACATATCGGCGTTTCTCGGAGCTATGATGGGAGAAGAAAACACGAAGAGAAAGAACAAGCGGCACCGTCGTGCCAGCGCTGGGGAAGATGATGAGAGCCACAGCGAAATGAACGGTCGGGATAGAAGCGGTCGCCGCTCGAACAAACGTGCGAAAACTTTGTCCGCGAGTAAAGCTTCTCGCCCAGCATCGCCCTCGCCGCCAGAAGCGGAAGACGTCGGCTCCATGTTCTTTGAGGACTACGAAGATGAAAACAGCCAGGACTGGCACAGTGCGGCGCTGATTTGCGGCGCGCACAAACTGACACCGGAATTGGAGAAGGCGATTCAGGGCATTGGATGTGCGCTACTCGAGAAGAAAGATCGTCGCTTCGCAGACACGGCGTTGCGACTGAAACTGGACGAATCCGCTGTTCTCGTGCGAGATGAGAGCGGCGTTTTTATCTCTCTGAGCACAGCAGCGCAAGCAACCCGTGCAGCTGCGAAAGCATATTTTGATCATGTCATTGGCGTTGTTGCGAAAAAACTCGAAGCCGCGGCGCAACAAGGGTCATTGTCGTCACTAGGAGGACCAGAGGACAACTACATGGACAGAGGACCAGAGGACAACTCCACCCAGAGCGCACAAGAACTCGAAAACGAGTCCTACCACCTGAGTGCACAGACCGCTCATTTTCTCGCTAGGGTCGCCCGTAAAATTTTCGAGGAAGACGAGAAACGCGCGAAACGGGCGGAAGCCGTAGAGGATCCGTTTAAGCTGTTTTTGGCCGAGATAGAAGAGGAAGACGAAGAGCGGGCAGTTTCATTCGCGGAAGAGGATGTTCCCGACATACATTTCAACATTCCTGTCGTGGACGAGCAAGAGCCGATCGGACATGTAGAAGATGCCGCCGTAGTACTGCCAGAGGAACACGCTCTGGAAACTGAAGGAAGTCCACCAGCTGTCATCTCTCAGAATCTGGTGGTATCGGAGAACTTGATTGACGGCCTCCAGGACGAAGATGAAGAGCCGGGCGGGGCCTTCTGCTCAATCGAAAACGAAGAACTACGGAGCGCAAACGTGGTAGACACGTCCGAAGATAACGGCGCCGCTAAGTTTGGCGACACCAATTCTGTAGACGCGCAGAGCGTGAGCGCGCCAGGCAACAGTTTGCACAGCGAAGAACTTCATGTGGGGCAGGCTGTGGAGGAGATACAGCAGGCTGCAGCCGTTTCCAGCGTACGAAACACGGCCGTGCTGGCGCATTCATCTGCCAGTGTAGTTGCTTCGATTCGTGATGGAGGAGACTCAGTTCCTCATGTGTTGCCGCACGACCGGCAATTGCATCAACATGAGGGCGAGCAGATAGGGATCAACCAGAAAGAGCTGCCCAGTACCCGGCTTCATCGGCGTTTGACAGCTACAGGCAGTAAAGGGACCGCACCTGTTCTAAAGAGCGAAAAAAAAACATCGGGTATGTTCGATTACGACAGTGGCAGCTCAGACGAAGACGGCGATGACGCGCTGGCCAAATTTGAAAAGCGATAAACGAATGCGTGGAGCACTCTTTCGTCTCGAAGGCTTCCCAGGTTTACTTTTCCACATTTGGGCTGTAGTGAAAAACAACATCGCAACTGTCGTCCTCGCGTATCACCCTGGTGCCGTAGAGGCACTGTAGTGTTCCGGTTCAGATACTTGTAGACTAGGGGGAATGCTTCGCAATGGCCCCGTTGTAGTCCCAGTTGGTCAACATGAACATGGTTATTTATTCAGTTTGATAAACCAATTTCACGCCTCCCAACCGAGCCCGAGCTGCCAACGAAAGATCCTACTAAGATCGTAACACTTAGACAATGTTGGCAGAATGATCTTCACTGTGCTGGATTTTGGATCCTGATACCCAAAGTTCTTCTGCAGCGTAGGCATCACCGACACGACGACATGCAAAGGATCCATGTAGGACGCTGAAGGCAAAGGAGTTAATTCTGATTTTCCCTATGCGCCGTGAAGATTGTAGATTTTGAAGTCGAGCGAGATCCGTGATTGTTTTCTGAAGTTATTCGATTCTCATTCCCGTCTCTGAAGATCTTCAGCCCTTTTTTTTGCAGAGCTGCGTTTTATTCAGCCTTTATTATCCACCACAAGCCTTTCCTTGGCTACTTGATCCTTCCGACGACGCATTGCAAAATAAAGTTTGATTTTCCACCTCCCAATTCCAATTCGTACTCGTAGTCCTAGTTCGTAGGATTTTTAGAAGTTTTTGTTCTGGTCGTTGTATTCTAGTTTCGTATTTTCACGAACAAGAACATCACCAGACGAGTATTCAGAAAAAACTATCTCCTCGAAGATGAGTTGCGCGGGTGTGGTGAAGTTTTTCAACGTGACGAAGGGCTACGGCTTCATCACGACGGAGCGTGGGGATGTGTTCGTGCATGCCAACGACGTGTCCGGAAACCCGTTGCAGGAGGGCGACGAGGTCTTCTTCGACGAGGTTTTCGATGAGATGAAGCAGAAGATGCGCGCCTCACAGGTTCAGGGCGGCACCGGCTCGCACATGATGAACAAGGGCAAATTTGGCGGTGGCGGTGGCAAGTTCGGTGGCGGCGGCAAGTTCGGCGGAAAGGGCGGTAAAGAAATTGACGTTGTTGATGTTTCTTACTTGGTCCGATAGAGATTTCTTTATCCAACGATTCTGACTCCAGCTTTAGAACCGTGGTAGCTTTCCCATCGTGTAGATGAATTTCAGCTGGGTTGAGCTTTAGTCCGGATAGATCATCGAGATCTACTACAACCTTTCGTTCCGCACACTATGTTACCCTTTCCTTGTTTTCAATTCCATCCCGAACGCAACCAAGAAAAATTTCTACACACTTCTTGTTGACCATGGCGAAACAATCCAAAAACAGGATACGACGGTGGATATGGCGGAGGTTTCGGCGGCGGTAAGTTCGGGTTTGACAAGGGCTTCGGTGGCAAGGGGTTCGATGACTTCGGCGGCAAGGGCGGGTTCGGCGGCGGCCCGATGTGGTAAAGAGATTTGTTGACGTCGCTGACGTCGGTGAAATGCTGCTCTTACCAAGTATACTAGGTGCAGAAGTTGTTGCTGTGTATTGGGTGGTGCTGATCTCCACCCGATGCCTTAGCCAGCTCGTGATATGAGCTTGAGAACAAGTATAATCGCCCCCAGAAGTAGTATTTCTTGAGTCGTTTTTATCGGCACTTACGATCTTTCACTCAACTTTACACTTTACACGTCACATCAAATTTGCTACACTTGTACTTTAGAAAATCACCGTATTCGAACAAAATTTCTTCTTCATGCTTTGTAGTTCAATACTCAGAATGACGAAATAAGACTTCTTTCAACGACTGCGAATTCAAGAAATAAACTTAGAGCAGTAGACTATGTTGAATATGCCTATACCTGGAACAATAGAGGAGTTTAGAACTGGTTTCAACATGAACGAAGTTGTACTATATCACTGTCAGTCGAGCTTCATGCACTATTTTTGAATCCATCTGCTTCTGACCAAATTCGATATAACTACTCACACGCGAAAGTCTATTTCTACTAAAGCATTTTCTTCTAGATGCTCTTGCTCGGGGACCATCATATGGAGGAAACTACAAAACAAAAACGTAGAGGATGCGGATGGAATTCGAAGATACAAAACTGTATTGCTACACAGCGTTTTTTACGTGGACTGCCTACTCCTCTGGTAGTCCAGCGCAGTCCGTTCTGGATACCAGGTGAGGATGACATTCTCACTTCTACATACTAATGCCCAGTCTCCAGCAATTTGAACGAGGCGTGATCGTGAATGTCACGAGCATCACTCTGGTGATCTCATCGCAAGGAACGCAGTAAGTAGTTGTTACAGCTCTACTCTATCTCTAGACTCTATCTGATCAGGCTCTCTGTCAGCCTTGGAAGCGCCTTCAGGGACGTCGAAACACTTGTACTTTCGGCTGCTCTGGCGTGAAGATGTGCTGGCTCAGAGACAATGTAGAAAAGGCTAGATCTATCATGATGAGTTGAAGAAAAGTTCTGCGCCACCGAGTATCGTTACCAAATGCCGAATAGCACCATCTACCTGCTCTCCTGGTCTGAGAGTGAAATGTTGTTTTTCACGGAGGACAGGGAGTAGCGGGATCTTTTATGTTGCCATTGCTTTCCTGAAAAATGTAGTCAATGACTGAGACGGCGCCAAGGCAGCACGAGGCGCCGTGTGTGCCGCGAGCGCTCCTGGCAGAACTGCGCTGGAATAGCGATCGTGTTCTCTGTTGAGTGAAAGAAACAACTCGGTCGCTATGCTATTTCTTCGTGTTCGAAATGGCTTTTCGAAAATCGAAGTCCCGGAGGAAGATCGTGAGTATTTGTACCGACGTCGACTACACTCGAATGCATGATGTCTGAGAACATCATATTGAGATGACGTTTAGAGCATTTCTTTGAATTTTTCATGCTTCGCAGTACTCGATCAGCGAGGGACAAATTTTTGAGAAAACGAATTTGAGCTGAGATCGATCGAAGTGCGCGCTCCTGCGGTTTCCCGCGTTCAATGGTTGATTGTGCTGGAAAGCGCATGTGCATCTATTGGAAACGTGAATCGGAAGATATCTGCGATGCGACAGGACCTCATGCTATTTCTAGTGCCTATTCAATTTTCGTGGAGACTTTGTTCAGATAACTTCGACAAAAACGCTTTGTTCGTCATTGCAGTCATAACTGATTTTTTTGTCAAGTGGTAAGGGTCGTGAAGTGACGCGAGTGCGGGTTTATTTCCCAGCAGAGCGTGTCTTTGCGACAACGAGATCGTGCCCTGCAAGTTCCGCAGAAGACAATGAACCACTCGCGGCGAGCGCTCTTCGCTCGCGTACCGCCGCGGCTTCAGGCATCACACCCGAGACCGCGAGTCCCGACGGCGATATGGTCTCCCGCCGCAGGACCGGTACGGAACAAAGAGGGTACTTCTGCCAGTTCTAGTTCAGGCAGAACCACTTCCCCCTTCGCGGCAACCCCGTCAGCCTCCTCCACAGCGAAACGCTGGTTCGCCGCAGTGTCCGCGGTGCCGCAGCCCAGCAGTGACATTTCCTGGGCCGACATCGGTTTCGGGCTAAACCACAAGGAAAAGACGAAAATGATTGTCGTCACGGCGAAACTATCGGATAACGGGTGGGAGAAGAGCAAGATCGAGGTAAAGCCGTACGGTCCGCTGTCCCTGGAGCCCTCCGCGACAATCATCAATTACGGGCAAGGACTGTTTGAAGGCGTGAAAGCGTACCGAACCGTGAACGACCGCATCGTGGTTTTCCGCCCCGAGAAAAACTCAGACAGACTGGCGAGTGGGGCGAGAGCGTATTGAATTGATGCACATGATAATATTAGACCTTGCTTTGACGTCTGCCTCTGGGTAAACTCCTTGTCGCGGATTTGAGTAGTAGTTCTTGTCGTTGTCTGGATGTGTATTGTGATTATTCTGTGTTACATGAACATGATCGAATGATTCCGGTGAGTTTCCAAACTTCACCACAGACTTTCCATGCCGCCGGTCCCGACGGAGTTGTTTCTCGAAGCGGTTGCCGCCTCGGTGACCGAAAACGCGGCGCTTGTCCCCCCACTGGGCAAAGGGTCCCTCTACCTCCGCCCGATTCTCTTTGGGAGCGGGCCGGGGTTGGGCGTGTCACCGTCGACGGAGTATCACTTTTTGATCTACGTTTCCCCGGTCGGCGAGTACTTTAGCGGACCCGCAGCAACGCAAGGGGCGAGAATGAAAATCGAGCGGGATCACTCCAGAGCGGCACATAACGGTACTTTCTCTTCGTGGTGTTTCTTTGCTTTTGCGGTTTTGCCTATCATACAGCGTATGTAGTTTCATGGGGGTCAGCATATCATGAACATGGGTGACTCGTCCCGTAAAAGAAATGCACGAGGAATTTGTTGAGAGGAAGCTACTAACTGTAACTTACAGGGAACGGCGGCACAAAGGCAGCGGGCAACTACGCACCGTGTTTCAAATATCAGAAGCAAGCCAAGGAGGAGGGCTACACCGACATTATTTACATGGACAACTGCAACGGCCAAACCGCAGAAGAGGTCGCGTGCGCAAATCTTTTCGTTGTCACGAAGGACAAGATCTGCACTCCGCCGCTGGGACGGATACTGCCCGGAGTCACGCGGATGACGGTATCGTTTCTGCTATGCTGGATTATTATGAGCTTCGCGACTTCCTTTGTGTAAAGTCATGCGTAATACTATGCATGGATCTGCTCCACGATTCAGATTATGGGCACGGTGCCTATCCTAAAACAAACGATTCCTGTTTTTCGCAAATCATTCGTGTTTTAAAGCGAGACAGAAATAATCCGTCGAATGAATCAACACACGACAGATCATGCAGCTCATTCGGGAGATGAAGGACCAACTTAACGGTCGCGAGCTGGTTGAGGGCGACGTCACAATGAAGCACTTTGCAGAGGCCGAAGAGGTGTTTTGCAGCGGCACCGCTGCGGTCATCAGTCCCATTTGCCACGTTGGGGAGAGCGTCGAAGGGAGTAAGCACCAGTACAACTACAAGCCAATGGTAAGAGCCCGACATTCCATCTTGTCATGCTTGATATAACCTGCATCTGCCGTGAAGAAAGTTTATTCGATTGCAACTATCACAATTTTTTTAATTTTTGTTTCCTGCGTCTTCGTCCTTTGGCTTTTCCCAATGTTGAAAGAAGTAACGAACACAATCAAAAGGGCCCCGTCACCACGCTGCTCCGAGAGACGCTAACGGGAATCCAAGCTGAACGACTACCAGATGCGCATAATTGGCTTCGCAACCCCTTCGACTTGGACGCTTTCCGGCGCGTGTGAGATATTAATTCTGCATTTGTCGTGTTTACTACGTCGCGTCTTCCAATGTTGTCAACTGTAAACTTTTTCATAAAGAGCGAAAAACTTTTCGCGGCTACAAAGTGACCATTTGACACCTCGCTTTTTGGAATGTAGTGTGACCCTAGAGTTTTTCAAATTCAACTGTGGATCGTGCATTTTTCATACCCTTTATTAAGTAGCGTGGACCAGCACTATTTGGTTTCTGTTGATTTTGAGTTGCGCCATCCACTTGTTTCGTGTACGATTAATTTTTTCAACTTTCTCGATCTTCGGTACTCATCGAAGCGCAGTTTATTTACAAGAACCAACTTGATGTCGCTGTATAAAACAAGTAGTTGCTTGCCGACTCATCTCGACAGGCTTGCTACTTCTTGTGTAAAGTGTAATATATTCATACATTTTATTTCAACACTGAGACTGATCCGTTCTTGTGCAATCATTCATTTTATTCTGCAGTTTTTTACTCACACATGTGGTCTTGGTCTCCTCTCCATTCTCATTCATAGGCAGTTTAGGCTCGACTTCTGCCTGGCCAAGGCATGTTGTAGTGGGCGAAACCTTTCCTACCAGACGAGGCAAGAAGAGCGGTGCGCACTACGCGCGGAAATGACAAAAACTGCAAAACTCTCATCTACGGAAGTGTATGCGTTTGGAATCTGTCGGCATGGGCAAGGATGTTTATCTTCTACGATTCTTGTTGTGTTGTAAACAGAGAGACATCAGTTACAAAGAAGATTCATGCATCACTAGTCCACACAAGCGGAAGCGCCGAGCGGGCAGCGACAACGAACCAACTCGCTATTGTGGCTCTCGGCACGGCCGCTTCCAGAAGTACACATTGAAGATATGTATCCTTGCCGTGCTGCCTCCGCATTTTCCGTGCATAGGACACTCTCCAGGGATGCTAGCGGCAGGAACCCTTCCCTACCCGAGCGAACCGACGACAAGGACATACTCTCACTGCTGGCGCAGCAGAAGGCCCAGGAGAAACAGGCTGCCGCTGCGGACCAACGGGCAGAGGACAAAAAACCAGCGGCGGTGAAGAAGGAACCCGTGTCGGCTTCAAGCTAGAAACGGTCCTCCCGTCGGTGGAAAAGTCGTGCTATATCTCGCACTCCATGTTGTTGATGTAAGTATCTTGCGCTTGCGCAGCACATCAGCCTAATAGAGTAGCAGTACATTAGTCCGTTCGAAATCGAGTCGAAGACACCAAGTTTTGAATTTGAGAAGTTTTGTCATAGATCTGATCAGTACAACAACTCCGCTTCAGTGCCACTGGGTAGTGACCGCCACATCCACTGCGCCACGCATCAAGTACATAACTACCTACCTACAGAGCCACAAATCAAAGAATGTAAAAACAAAACTCTGTTGTCCCTATCACGGGATGCAGATTGATCCATCGTATAAGTTTTACCCGCCCTATTGACGATGTGTATTAAATCCTTCCTCTACAACAACGCCATCAGACCGCGTATTGATTTTCTATGTGTGACTGGGACAGAAGACGCAGTACCCCCCTGGGCCAGGCCGTTTTTACCGTTTCGTCGGGTAAAACTCAACTCCATACCACAAAGATTCGTTTCGAATTTCCACTTACTTACATCGCTTCTAGTAGCTCAATCGGCCAACAACAACGTAGGAAGAGGAACCATTGCTATAAAAATGAAAACAACGTACTTACATCTTTACTAAACGGGCTCACTCCCTCGATGAAAGCAAGAATCCTCAAAGAACTTTACTTTAGCTTTCCCTTCCACTTCGTATTAGCCTTTCTTTGGCTGCACTACAGCCACGGTCAATTTACACGAACTGAATGTCGCAGATGAAAGAAACAAGAATGATGAGCTTCCTTTGAAAAAGTGCTTCCCTGCTGTAGATATGCTTGGGAACGTAAAAATATAGTGCTTTGTTAATGTCGCGCTTGGCCGCTTCGGCACCAACGCGTTCCTTACGGGATAGATTCCAAGTTCTTCCCTACGTGTCTTCGTTTTTTTGTGGCAAGTGCTTCAGGAGGTCCGTTTTTTCATGTCGCTCCGCATGCAGGTGGGCCGACGTTTTCTTTTTGCGGAGAGATCTGTAGCGATGAAGAGAGCCTGGAGGCAAAAAAAGAGAGATAGCATGTTTATGCTCCGTTTTGAATTATATAGCGCGATTGTTATAAAGATAAACGGTGGAGTGAAATTGTTTTCGTTAACGATTAAGCCCAATTCAGTACTATCATGTTGGAGTTCATCAAGCCAGCCGGGTGCTTCGGGTCGTCATCTCCCCTAGTGGAGAGCACTTCGTCCGACGACCAGCAGGCGAGCAAAACTTCTCCTGGAATCAACACTTCGAGTCGTGCAAACGAGCATTACAAGGTGTATTCCCTCCCGCCGATCGACGCGGAGAAGGGTTTGTCCGCGTATGTCGGCATCTGCAACTGGTACAAGGCAGAAGATCTACAGCCGATTTTCTCCACGACCGGCGCTGGTGCTGATGGAAATTATGCTAGTGGTGATAGTACAACTCCCTTGATCAGTGCCGTCAAGCAGGCGACGAAGGATCTGATAACGCGCTACCCCACGTTGGCAGGCCGGATACGGAAGAAGCGAGTTAATTCATCTTCATCTGCTCCAGCTGCGGGTCAATCTCAATCGCAATCCTCAAAAACCTTTTTTCCAAGTCTCAGCACCTATTTGAAGCAGAACGTTCTGAAAACGGAAAATTTGGAATTGGTTCTAGACGAGAAGACCGCGTCCGTGGGATTTCTCGCGTTTCTACAGATCGACAAAGCGGTGATCAATGAGGAAACTTTGAAGGACTGCTTGAGCACAAACACCGGCATCACGCGCGACGCTTTCCTGAAAGCGACGGCGACGAAGCGAGATCCAGGCGGGTTTTTTCCCTACATGAGCAACGACGTTGTGGATCGAGAGGACATTCCGCTGGTTTACGTCGTTGTGGGCAAAACCGAAGACAGAAAGTTTTTTGGAATTACCTTGCTGGTACGATAAAAAAATCTACCTTCACTGCTTCTGCTGTTCGTGCCGAGAAGCTCTTTGTCATTGTAATTCCGGTGGCGCAGCCTTCCAGCATTAGAGATCTTGTTATTTCTGTTTGAAATTATCATGCAGTACTTTCACGAGCAGGACATGATGCAAACGGAAACGCGCATGATCTTAGGCAACACCATACTGCTCATCAAATGAATATGTAACACTGTTTCATAATGACCCCCCTAGGTCAACCACTACATTTGCGACGGCAGTAGCTATTTCCGCCTGTTAAAAGAGTTCGACGAGCTGCTCTGGACGACCACAAGCAGGAGCCAAACCGCAGCAAAAAGTGCCACGCCGGCTACAAGCACTGTCCCCCGACTCCACTTCTTCAGCTGCCATCCGGTGGGGAATCTTTTGCTGGACAAGTGCATAGCATCGGAAGACCACGACGGCGAAACAGCAACTCCAACGAAAGACAAGCCTGGCTCTTTACGTTCTTCTTCTTGCAGCCTGGCCCCGAAACTCCCGGCCGGCTTGGATTTTCTGTGCGATTTTGCGTTGGCGCAGGTCCGCGACCCGGAGGACTACCGGTGTGTGCTGATCAAGCTGGACGACCAAGATTTGGCGAAATTCAAAAAGCTCGCGGAGGCGTCGAAAAGCGATCCGAAGACGATTATCTCCACCAACGATGCCTTGTTCGCGCTCTCGTTGGAGGAGGACACGAACCCGGCGGAAACGGTCGCGATCGCGTTCCCCATGGACCAACGAGGCGTCTACCCCGAACTGTCCGACATGCTCGGGAACGCGACGCGCACGGTACGAAAAAATCTGAGGAAGGGCGACTTGAAAACCGTCGAATCGATCCGGGCCGCGGTGAAAAACCGCCCCAGTGACCCGTTGTACGTGTTTCAAGATTTGCTGAAGCCGCTGCTTTTCACCGCCGGTGCGGGGTTACTGCAGAAAATTTCCCGGCTGCTCATGTGCGGCAAGGCGAACAACGGAGAGAGGTCTGCCTCCCCGACTCCGACGGGACGTAGTACCTCCTCGTCCACCTCCTCATCTTGCTGCAAATTGCCAGTCACTCTGCAGCATGTTTCCTGGGTGAAAGTGCAGTATTTCCCGAAGAATTGCCTGTGTCAAAAGCCCATCCAGCTAGACAACGACCCGAGGCTGGTGCTCAGGAAGGTGCACCACCACGGATCCTTGTTCACCCAGTTTCAGCAGAAAAAATTATCCGGAGAGAAAACAAGCGCAGAAAACTTGTACACGCTACGGTTCTGCCACAGGAAGGAAGTGGTAGACAAATTGCTGCGGAAGCTGGAAAAGATCAAGGACGTTCGTGGTGGTAGTGGTGGTGAGAAAAATGAGTGGTATGTCGATATCAACTGAAGATCTTATTGTGCAGGAACAGTATGAGAAGCAGCTCTAGTATATTTTGCGTTTCGATGGTTGTGTATATGAATTGATGTCTTCTTCATGTTCATAGTCGCAATGGATGATCTTCTACAACATGATCACGCAGAAGTTTTCACGCTCACTGCAAGGGTACAACAGCTACTATCGGGTGAGTATGAGCTTCTTGCACGATCGAACATAAGAATAGTTTGCAGAAACAAACTGCAGATCATTGAAAGTTCAAGCGACAACAAGCAGCCGCGCAGACGAAATTTCGCCTGTGCTTGTTCGTCGTAAAAATTTCGCTGCTATTGCTTAGCACTCTCCGTGTGTGTCTTTGTAGGCTCAATAGAGTTCCCTTCTTCCACCTTGTCGTTTCACGAAACATCGGTATCAGCTTGGTCGTTCGCATTTTGTGCCCGCATTAAGTAAACGTCATATCAGGCACATCATCTTCGCCATCGGTGAATCGTCCTTCGTGCAGGTGTAGCCTTATTTTCACCAGTCGGTGTCGTGTGCTACACTCGTTCGCACCGTCACTAGGTACTGTGTCACTCGTTCAACCGTATTGTCAATCGCCGTAGCCGCGTGAATGTTCGTCCGTGTTTAGTGTTTCCTCGTAGGACAGAACGACCTGGAAGCTATGGTGTACTGGTTTCATCTATGTCTTCGCGCTAACTTGTTTTTACGATTTCCAGTTGTGCAGTTCTTTGAACTTCAAAAACACGACGTCAGGTTTCCCCTGCCTACGATTATCCGTCTATTTCCCACCTCCTCTGAGTCTCGAAGTTATGGACTTGAGTCTTGATGTTAAATAGACACAACACCACCAATTGTTAGTCACCCTCACGACCCCTGCAGTTCCAATGAAGATGATGAATTAACCTGCAAAATCTTCATCTATCACCAACAACACACCCCGCAACACCGGGCGTCCAAGAACGTCAACCCCATTTATTATACCCATCCAAAAAATATAATTAAAAATGCACCCCACCGCTTGGCCCCAGTTTCTCCGCAAGTCCCAGGTGGCCGGGAACGACATCAATACGAACGGCAACGGGCCCCCCAATTCTGCTTCCTCCTCGGGCACTGACCAAGCGGGATGGCAGAAGGAACGACTGGAAGTCCCAAAGCGGAAAACCGGGCCGAGCATGCTGGAACTGCAGGGCCGCAAACCGCGGAGTTCCAGCGTGGAGGTGCGGTCCGCTCTGTTTCCCGAGGACAACAGCGAGATGAACGTGCGGCGGAAAAGTGCGACGGCACAACGCCGTCGAAGATCTGGCGATTTGCTTTCTGGGATCATGGAGTATGATCCAAATGAAGTAGATCTTTACGAGAAGGCGAAGACTTTGCAGATGAATCAAAATCCAGGACAAAAGAAGCCAAAGAAGCAAGCCGTCGTGGTCCAGCCGGAGGGGGAGACGAAGTACTACTTCCCGGATTGGTTTGCCGGACAGAGCAGCTCCAATTCGAGTGGGGAAGAGGTGGTTCTTGCTGCGAATAGAAACACCGCTACTCCTGTGGGGCTCAACAGTCCACCTCTCGTTGTCGAACCAGCCTTGGCAGCGGACAGAACTCCCCCGCCGCCTCTCAGCCCGGACAACACGAACGCTTTCCGCAGCGCGAAAGAGATCATCCGAGAGAAGGAAAACAAGATGAAATCTGTGTTGCAGCAGCAGAAAGTTCTGTCCGCTTTTCAAACATCAAAGTCCACAGCCTTAGACAAGGAGAAAAAGCAGAAGGAAGTCGCCGAGAAGCTCGCGAAGAAAGCCGCGCAATCCGCAGTTTTGTCGGCGCGCAAGAGCTTCGGCGGGATGGCAGCAGCCGTCGCAGAGCAAGCGAAGAAGCGTGTTCAGGAGGCCGCACAAACTTCTGCGACGGGAGCAGTCGTTGGGAACAGAAGTACAGGAACGTCAAACAATATTGACAATACCTTCGGTCAATACGCATCTGAGGCTATGGTGACAGCTGCTGTGGTGCCGACAGCGCGAGACGAGAAAAATGAGCTCAAGCAGAGGGAAAGCCAAAGTTTTGAAGAGTTTGCGGGTCGAATCAGGAAGAACAAAGGGTGGAACACCGTTCGAAAGGAGGTTCTGCCCGCGACGTCAATGTTGGCAAGATTGAGGAACCTCAAAAGCGACCGGAAGTTGACAAAACTTTTGTCTGAAGAGCGCGACCTCCAGGACCGCGACCATGGCGGGGACTACGAGTCTCTTCCTGGACAGCTGTATCCTAGCGCTGGCATCGGAGTGGCTGGCGTTCCCGTTCAGCCGAGGCTGTCTGCCGCGGAAAATAGTGCTGAAAATAGCCAGTTTCAAACCTATGGGGAGCCACAAGCTGTTCGCCAGAGCCACAACAGAATCATCAGAGACGCTTCTATTCGAGAAGAGGAAAATAGTAGTCCTACGGCGGAAACGAGAACCGCAGCTCGTATGTCCGGCAGCGCTGTCGGGCAGAAAACGCGACTGTCAAATAAGCTGCAGCCCGCATCTGCCCGCGCTAGCTTGGATTATACGGGAAATATCGCGGTAACAGACCGTCAAATAAGGGGCGCGTCAGTACGCAGCAGTGACTTTGACTTTCCTGTGAGCCCCCGCTCTTCGAACAGAGCCACTCAAGTTACGGACGACCCGGTTTTCCAGGTGAGCTTTTGGGAGGGCATCCGGGAGAAGTTACGCACGGGAAATTTGAGCAAAGAGTTGAAACGCACGATGACGCCGCCGTTAAGCCCGGATGTTGCTACAAGGGCTAGTGCTGCGGAGAGAGCGGCTGGGACGTCATTTCGGGGCGAGGTAGTACGAAATCGAGGGAGTGGAAGGAGCATGAATGGCGCAAGTGGGCCTATGCCTATGGCGGGACAAGATGAATCTACTTCCGGTAAGAAGGCAAGGAGAAGCAGTAGAATCAGTCGTGATGGAGGTGCATCAGCTGCACCGCATGAGCGAGAAGCTCAGCCATCAAACAAGAAGATCTCCACGACATCTTGCGTTTCAGACACGGTGTCTGCAGCTTTGCTCCCTCCGAAAGCCAAGCAGGCGCACGGTGGAAAAAGGGGCAGCAGAACCGCGAGGGAAAGACCTGTCAAAAAGGATAGAAGGCGAGAAGATGATGTTCTTGAGAACTTTGACAGCGCGTCCGCCTCCTCCGCATCGTCGTCCTCGTTTGCTGCAAGTGGCTCTAGTACCACGTCAATTCCCGTCGCACGGCCCGGAGATGTTGCTGAAACGACATGGCGACAGAAGATTTCGAACGAGATCACCAAAGACGCCAAGATGCTCTATGAGTGGACAAGCAAGGCCATGCAGAACGTCACCGCGAAAGTGGCGGTGATTCACGAAGAAAGGAGGTCGAAGGAATCAACAAGCGCGGCGAATGAGTTGCAAGTTGCGGTTGATAGGGATGACGCAGTCGCAGAGGTAGAGGTGGAAAATTCCGTCGCGAATAATAACGCAGGAACGAAAGCCAAAAATACAGCAGCTGATCATGATGTTGCACCGCGAAGCGGAGCGGCCACTTCGGCTCTGCAGGCCTTGATGAACAAATATTTGACCACTCCTGCTGCAACAGTAACAGAACAAAAGCAAAACGAAAACACTGTCGTGGAAGAGGAAAACAAGCCAAGGCGAAGCACTGCTTGGACGGCGGCAAAGGCGAAAGCCATGGGCGCGGTGGACACGCTGCCCGGGTTGCGAGATTCTGCAAGCAATTTGACCTCGGTGGAGAAACTCCGAGGTGGACCCAAGCGCGCTAGTGCGGCACAACTTCCAGTGGAAAGAAGTAGTGCGAATTCGAATGGAACCGCTCCTGGTCGTAGCAGTTCTCCATCCCGCACTGATGTGTCCCCTTCCAAAATGCGCGCAATGATGCTTCTGTCCAAAATAGCCTCGTCCTCGAGGATGGACGTAGAGAAGAACGACAACGAGGTTATTGTTGATAATGATGCTCCACAAGAAGAAAAACGACTCACCTCTTCTCCTGGTGCATCCGGCGAGCGTGTTTCGCGAAATGAGAGGACATCACAGGAGCAGGTGGAGAGGTTGTTGCCATCAAACGCGAGAACTTCTCAAGCAAGCGAGATAGTTGCCGGGATGAACAATGAAGATGATCAAGACGTCGACCGCGTCTCCGAAGAGCCGCTGGACCAACAAGTCAACCCACTGCAGGCTTTGATGCAGAAGTACAAGGTCGCGAGGGCAGCCTCGGCGATACCGGGGTCCTTGCCCGCAACAACAGTGCCAGTATCATCTTCTGCACAACAAGAAACATCCCCACAGGACCCCGACATCGACCCGAGCGCAGCGCCCTTCCACAGCCCGAAGAACTCGTCATATCCTGCGGACAACGAGGAGAACCTGTACGACCTGGAGGTGGGCAGTCTCCCCAGCAGACGTCTCGGGACTAGTCTCGTGACCTCTGAATCTGTCCTGGTAGACATCCAGCCGAAGGACAACGAGGATTTTGTCCTTGTGAAGAAACGCCTCGCGCCGGACTGGGTCTCGAGCAACGGCACCACGGCGGCAGAAGTGAACCGAATTCTCGATTTGGCCGACGAAAAGGAAGAGCGGGAGGCCATAGAAGCGGCGAAAGAACTGCTTTTACTGAAAAAAAACACCACCGCCTACAACATTCTTGCAGCAGCAAGTGCTGGTGCTGCGGAAAATAAGAGCACGACGCCGAAGAAAAAACACCGCTCGCGAGAAGATTTCTCCCCTTTCAAGCGCACGGGAGTCGTCGCTGTTGTGGGAGATGATGAAAGAGGAGAAGGCACCACGGAAGCTGCTCCTGAAGACCAAACTGATCCAGAGGCAGAGGCAGATGAAAATATCGTAGCAGCAAAGACATGGCAAGGCAAGAGCTACGGCAAAAATGTTTACCCGACGAACCAGCCACTGGTCCAGCCCGCCGGCTTTGAGTACAATCTGACTGCTGCCCGAGCGAAGCAAAAGGACTTTCAGCGTAAGGTCGTGTATGAAAATCTCTTATCCACCACCTCATCGGACGACGCAGCTGAAGGCAGTGCTAGCAATTCCAGCAGCACGTCAGCTACGGATCACGACAGACAAAGAGAAAAAGCAGGGGTTTCTGTCGCTAGGTACTACGACAATCAATCTTACCCGATCATTTATAACGGAGATCCGAAAAATTCTAACAATTCTACACGAGGTCGAGGCCGCAGCGTGGAAAGCAAACGGTCCCGTTCGCCTGAGCAAGAACGTGCGAAAGAGGATTATTTCTTGCGGAAACTGAAAGAAGTAGAAGACCAGTACGAACGAACGCACTCGCCCTTCTCCCGCATGGTGCCCGGGAAGTCGCCGAAAAACCTGCACCGAAAACTGAATGCGGACCGGAGAACGCACGTAGAAAACCTGCTGTATCCGGGTTTCGATGTGCATGGGAAAAAGAAGAAGAACAATTCCGCTGACGGCGCAGAAAGCCCTAATATCAAAAGCAGGTTCTTTGAATCAGAAAGTGGGAGCCTAAATCTTTTCGGTAGGACGCCGGGAGCATGGTCGTACGAAGAAGAGGGTCGTGAAGCCGGTGTGCTCCAGAACGCAGTAGACGGGATTACCCTTACCGGGAAGATCACGGACAGGAAGACGACGAGGAGGAGCCTGATGAAGAAAAAGCAGGACAATAGGAATAGCAGCCTGTATGATGACGGTGAAATAAAAGCCGGCCGTCAGAGCAGTGCCACTTCGGTGGACACAACAGTACTACAGCGGCAAGGGACAGCACAGATCGCGAAAAGCGACTCTCTGAACGTCATTGCGGGGATTCTTGGAACTGAGAATGGGAATGACGAGGAAGAGCACGATTGGGAAAAGCACATCCCGGAGTTAGAAAACCTCGTATCCAGCTTGTCCGAAGATGACCCAGCACTGCAAGTGGTTTTGTCAATGCTGCAAAACGCGCGGGCTGTGGTGGCGGAGGAGGAGGAAGTGGAGGAAGATATGGACGACGAGGGCTGAAAATAGTCCTGCAACTGCAAGGCAAGAAAGCTCTAGACGACCGCGGGACAGCTGATGAATTCTACTTTCGGGTCGGTGTGGCTCTTCGAGAAAAGAAAGAAGGTAGGAAGTGATTGATGTGTGCCGTGGCTGTCAACGACCAGGTTCTTGAGTTTCTTTGAGTATGTACAACCATGTAGCCCCTCGTACGAACATGAATCCATATTTTTTTGAGCACAACTTGCTGGATTGGCACCGTAGAAGAAGTTTTTGCTGGCGTTGTCAGTACGAAATTCAACTTGATTTGCCGGCTCAGAGGGCACTTTCGCGGACAATGCCATGCGTGTTTCGTGCTGCTTTGTTCGATGTTCTCTTCGTCTCGGCAGTCAACACGACCGCTTTGCTCATTTTTTCCTCCTGTGGATGTGGAAATGCAACTAATTATGTCGCCGGTGGAAGCTTCAAGCATACCAAGATTGTGAATCCGGCCGCAGATGTCGCTGTTGGTGTTGGAGTAAGCAAGAAGCAGATGGAGGCGATGATAGCGAAGGCGGTGGAAAATGTGTACGAGAACAAGGTCAAGACGGAGATCCAGAAAGCGGAGCAGCGGGCTACCAATGTTGCAATTGGCCTGGTTCAGGATGTCGATTCGAGACGCCGCAAGGACAAGGCGGAAGTCGGGGGGCGCATGAAAAAAATGCATGACAAGCTCAAAACGACGAAGGCCGAGATTCGCAGCGCGATCGACAAGAAAGACCTGAAGGACGACGACCGCTTTAATCAGATGATGGCGATGATGCAGGGCATGCGGGTCAGTGGAAATGAAAGCGCTCCCGCCACCACGGGTGGAACTAGCAGCGGGGCGGCTACCATGGAGCCAGGTGCGGCGGCGTTGACGGGCACTGCGGCCACCGACACGACGGTGGTCGCCCCTGTGGTCGATGACGAACCCGAGCAGAAAACCTCCAACACCGAGGGCCTGAAGAGTTCGAATTTTTACCGCGCTGGCGAATTCAGTGGTGACGAAGACAGCGACGATTTTTCCGACATCAACCAGTCCGATGATGAGGGTTTCCAGGCCCGGGTCGAAGAGATCATCTCGTCTTCAACTGGGTTGAAAACTCGCAGTGGGGAGCAGCATACTGAAGGCGATGGTGAAGAAAATGATGAGGAGTGCGTTGACGGCCCGGCGGCGAAAAAGAACAAGCCCAGCAACGTCGGCAAGTCGGAAAGTGCAGCGAAACACCTCGAGGGGCGGTCGGGGGTAGAGGTAAATCACCTAGAGTTACATGCGCAGCTGTTTACTTTAGATGGTGAGGTGGGCGAGCATAATGACTGGGTTCAAAATGATTTCATGGTAGCGGCCAGCCCCGGCAGGCACTACTCCGACTTCATTGCGAACACAAATGAAAAGAAAACTCAAAAAAGGAAAAAAATAATGGAAAAAAAACAAAAGAAAAATCAATTACAAACAGGCACAGCCCGCTACTGCCTAGGGAGACGGTAATGACACACTTCATGCGGATGCGCGACTGTGGATCTGGGAACGGAGGCAGAAAGACGAAGCTCAAAAACAAGAAGTTGCAGGCTCTACCAGTTTACAGACGATGGGAAATTCTACAGCATCAACTACCAGTACGAAACCATAAACAAGAATGCAGCAAAATCAAAACTATTCACAAGCGGATGAGCGTCGGATGCTCCACTTCTTCTTCTTCCTCTTCAAACGAGACACAGCTACAGCTTGTTGCTGATGCACAGGCAAAAAGAGACGTAACTGCTTATAATTACGCAACCAAGCAGCTGGTGACGTGGGTGGACGATTACAGTGGGGAAGATAATACTTCGGTGAGCAAAATGAAAAAAATAAAAAAAAGCAAAAAATCTACAAGCACAAAAAAAATGAAGAACTATCAAGAAGCACCTGCATCAACAACGATTCTACGGAGCAGCAACTACAATCGCGAGGCATCTTCAGCAGCAACTACTCCAGAGCGGAAGGACTGCAATGGCACCGCGTTCACAGCACAAACCGGCTCGCCGGGTAGTCACGTCTTCCTCGATGGTGGTTCACAAATGAAGACAAATGATCACCCCGCCGACCGGAAAAACGTCTTACGACCGGGTCTTGCGACTCGGGCTGCGGATGTTAGACCGATGGTGGTGGCGATCGCGGCGGCTATGTGGGTGTTGCAGCTATTACACACGCTAAGGTCAACGCTACTAATCCTTCTTGCGCAGATCGAACATAATCACGCAGTATGGTCGGGATCAAAGAGCAACGGACGCAGCCGAAGGAGTAGTGTTGGTGTTCGCAGAAATAACGAAGACGGTCGGTGCGTGTTGGTTGAGCCAAGTAAACATGACCCCAAATGGATGAGGAGTAGTGAGATAAGATCAACACGGGCGAAACAGATACGATTTCAGATCAAATCACAACAGCGTGCGTGGGTGGGTCATTACTTCTTCTCGGTGGTGGTGCGGCCGTGTTTGCGTTTGGTAAATAAGATAAATTTTGGTTACTCGCACTCACTTTCTTCTGTAATCAGGCATGCTATCTCCTCGGTTGATGTTGTTGCGAAAAACCTAGAACAGATCTACTGGCATCGGCTGCCGTCGCTGGAAACGGGCGGACGGGAGAAATTCGTCAGTTCTCACAGTACCGGGGGGCGCGTCGCGAACTCGTCGCTAAGGCGGAAGTTGCTATTGGTCGTCTTGTTTCTACCTTTGTGGTCAGCAACCGCTGCGGGCTGGATGATGTCGCACGTGCCCGGACTCCAGGTGATGACCGGCTGCAAGATACACAGACATGGAGCGGTGCGCGCGTCTAGATCATGGTGTCGGATTGGGGTGGAGACATGCAATGAGTCTTGCGCTGCACTTGCAGCACGAGACGAAATGCTCAAAACCCTCTGTGTGAACGTGTGTAGGACTTGTTCCTTCGGCACGATAGGATATCGAAAAAAAATGAAAAAAAATGAAAAAAAAAGAAGACGCAGTAAGAAAATAGCGCAGCGATGTCGTGACGAAGCTCGCGCACTCTCTCGGGAGTGGGGCGAGCTCAACAGGGTGACCGTTCTCGGTCGATACGAAATGAAGGAGGAAAAAAATCAAAAAATAAAAGAAAATCAAAAAACCAAATCTTGTGATTACGAAGAGGATAACGTAGCCTCAGGTCTTGTGGGGGTCACCCACTCGCACGGCAACCCCAAGTGCAGAGCAGCATCCTCTTGTTGGTATGCGGCAGCAGATTCGCGACAGGAAGAAGCGCTGACAGCGCCCTCCTTCGGCCCTTGCGAGCAAAGTACTTCAGTGCCGCCGGGGAAACAAGAACTTGGCCTACACTTCGACTCGGATATGGCGGGGGCAGACGATAGCGGCGGCGCGACGGCAGATCAAAAACCGATTGGAAACTCGACAGCGTCACCTTACGGCCGTAGCAGTCAATTCGCCGCAGTATCATCGGGGGAGCCAGTAAAAAAACGACACTTCGAGCGGGTCACCATGGGGAGAGCCGAAACTCGGGATGCCACAGCAGATGTGATTATCGAAACGCCGTCGGAAGATCAGGAAGCACAATCGCTTCGGACTACTGCTACTACGGGGGGAGAGACGCGACAGCCTGCTTTTGCGGGGGCAAACGATACAGCTCATCCCTGCGCCGCCGCTTCTAATGCGATTTCCGTAATGCCGCCGTGGGGGCAAACTATTGAAGTACACCAAGCCACAGCTACTGCGGGTAGACAGCTTGCTTTTGCGGAGACAGATCACGCGGGCCTGCTCCATTCAGCCACTTTTCGAACTAGCACCAAGGGAGGTAGTGGCGCGCATTCAGATGCAAGCACACAGTACGCCAGCGGCAGCGACTTTGACTCGGACAGCGACGACGGCGAGCAACCTGGCATGGAGGGCCGCGACCCTCTGCCACCGGTCGTGCATTTGGGAGGCGCAATCAGCGTGCCGGGCGCTTTCGATGCCAATGGTATGGAGCATACGTCCGATGAAGAAGAAGACGGACATAGTGGGAAGCGCGGCGACAGTCCTAACCAGCCGGGGGGCAGCAGCGATGGAGGTAACGAAGGAGAGGGTGGCCATGGAAATGACGAAGATGACGCTCCTCCAGACCCGGACCCTTTTGCGGGGCTACCAATTCGGGAAGATTTGCTGTCTTACGCGGGGCACCAGCGTCTTCGGATCGGTCTGGTCAACATGAGGTCGTCAAGATTAGGTACGAAGCGATTCGCTTGGGCCCTCCGGGTTGCTTCTTGGAGAAAATGGGGAGTGATGTTGCTGGACGAATTCCAGTACGAGAAGTCCTCGATAGATGGCGAGTCGGGCAAAGGAGACGATCCCGAGCCGGCGGAGGCTGCCGCGGAGCTGCTTGGGCACAACTCCGATGGGGAAGGCGAGAACCTGCAGGGCGGCGACTACATGCAGGATGACGACGAGCTGGAGAGCATCCCAGACGCACCAGAGACCGGCCCAGATGCGGTTTGGGAGCGCATGGAAAAATTCGACATCGTGTACACAAATGGCGTTGCCATCGTGGTAATTGTGCCGGCGCTGCGGAAGCAGCTGGCGAAGGCGATGGAAAACCGCAAGGAGTGCGTCCGCGCACGACCCAGGATGCTTTCCATATACTTAAACGAGTTAGTTCTTTGTGCTTTCTATGCTCCAACAAGTTCGGCTTCCAAAGAGATGCGACAGCGTTTTGACATGAATTTTATCGCTAACATGCTGGAAATGAAAAGAAGAAAGGAGCACAAATGGAAGCTCCGCATTATAGGGGGGGACCTAAACGCGCAAATAGGTCATGAAGAATGGGGGATGTCGGGCATTCATGGTGGGGAGGGGCTTCCCCACACGAACCCGCGCGGGAACGAGGTGGGGGGCTGGCTCAGGGGGAGCAACGCAGTACTGGTTGGCACCCATTACCCGTCAGAAAATAGCGCTACAAGGGGCGAAAATGAGTTAGATCATATCATAACAGATGGACGCTTTTTGCATTGCTTTCGCACCTACGGAAGGATAGACATGAACGGCGGGGGGGGGCCAGGAAAGGAAAAATCGCCCAAAAGGTTTGACCATATGGGCATCGAGTGCGATTTAGACGTAAAAACGCACGAGAAGCTCAAGATGGAAGGCATTGAAAGACGCGCGGCTGCCATGGTAATTGAGTCAAACCCATCGCCCAAAAAGCTAAAAAAGTTCAATCGTCGGCTGGGCAACAAGATCAGGGAGCAGGGAGACAGTTTTGGAGTCCCAGAATTCCAAGACTACCTGATCGAGTCGCTCCCGATGTTTCTGACCAAAAAGTCAAAGAGCCCAAAAAAATTGCCGGAGGTGGAAGAGTTAGCCGACAACCCGCAGTCGAGAAATGAGGTTTGGGCGCTCTTTCGGGAGCAGCTCGCCAACAAAACGGACCGGACGGTGGGAATTACGGCTGAACAGTCCAAGAAGCAGCTCGAAAAGGTGGGGTCCACGCCATTACATCCAGGTTTGCATGAAGTACCTGCGGCCCCGGCGGTGTCCGGGGTTGTGGAAAGGCTGTCCGCGGAGGACTTGGAGGAACTGGATAAAGAGGTGGACTTCGAAGAGTTGGAGGAGGCGGTAAAGAGCCTGAACAGAGGGGGCAAGGCGAAGGACATTTATGGGCTTACAGCGGATATCTTGAAGCATCTCGACTCGGACCGGACCTCCCTGCTTTGTCATGTGCTAAATAGAGAGCTGAAGGGCAAGAAGCTAAGTGACATCGACAAAAGGATTCATCGCTGTCGAAATATGCCACTTTTTAAAAAAGGCAAGCGTGACGACCCGGACTGTTATAGATTCTTGTGCGTGAGCCCTTTAGTGTTGAAAACTATAGTAAAAATCTACACAGACCGGCTCTATTTCTTGCTCGAACAGAAGGGATTTTTTCCGAGCACGCAGTTTGGCTTTCGAAGGGGTATGGGGTGTCTCGACTCCCTTACCATTTTCGCACGTCTGCGGGAGGACCTGGAACACTATGGAGAAGAAGAGTTTTTTAGAATCATCGCAATCTTAGTCGATTTGCGGAAAGCGTTTCCATCGCTCGACTCTAGGATGATGGAAAAAGTAGCAGAAGACATGGGCCTGTCAGGAACAATTTGCTGGGAGGTGCTAACAGCAAGCCACAGGAGTGCCCAGCACAACTTTACGAGTGAAGTTGAAAAAGAGTTCACACTGCCGCATGGATGTAAAGAAGGCTGTGTATCAAGCCCGCTATTGTTCTTATTAACGTACACGGTAGTAGTGCGCCTATACATGAAAAAAGTGGAAGAGGAGAGGCCATTAGACTGCGGGGGGGTGGCTCTTCGTTGCCTTCCTGCGGAGTTCCACGAGAAACGCCGCGACAAAATTTTCAGCATCTTGACCCAGGACCTAGGCAGCACAGCCCTGAAAAAGTTAGAGCTGGCCGCCCTTTTGTTTGCAGATGACACCACGCTACTTTACATTGCATCGCGCGCAGAACTCGAAGAAATGCGGCAAAAAGACAAAGAAAGGAGGGAGGCGAAGCCAGAGCCCCTTCCTCCGTCTGACTGCCCAGCGACAGAGATCTTGACGGAGATTTTGCATGCGTGTGGGATGAGAGAAAACGACTCCAAAAGGGTGCAGGAAGACGTGACAGAAATCATGACTCGAAATCTAGGCATGAACACGAATAACAGTGAAGACATTCGCATCAAAATAAACAAAGCGTGGCGGGCTTATTTTGGCCTCCGGTCTAAGCTCGCCACGGTGCAAGGTTTAAGCAACAAACGCAGGGGCGAACTAGTAGCGGTAATGATCAGGACGGTGCTCACCTACGGCTTACAGTGCCGTAAGGTGGAGCCGTACGAGATCAGGCAATTAGAGTTGGTAGAAATGCAAATAGCGATGAGGTTGCTAGACATTCCCTGGTGGATGCGCACAGCGGGGGAGGTTCGTAGCTCTCAGCTGCGCAAGAGCATGCGGCTTCCGCCTTTGGGGGCGTATATTAACTTTATCCAGGCCAAGCATTTCGGGCACGTAATGAGGAAGCCGAAGGGCGACATAGTGCGGATGGCGATGACAGGGCATTTCTTTCCCCCAGTGACCCAGGAATTCGACGCGCGGGGCTACATGCGTAGCGATGCGGACATCGAGGAGCTGGATGCCAAAAAGCGCGCAGCCAAAAAAACCTCCTACGTGGAGCACCTGGTAGGGCGCTTGCGCGACAAGTGTTTCATCCCAGTGAACATGCAGCATCTGTTATTCGAGTCGGTGGAAGAATGTCGGGCGCGGCGTCCTGAACTGGAAGGAGCGCAGTCCCTGTATCTGCAAAACAAACGGGCCTACTACGCTGCAACGCGCTGGCGGTTCATTGTGGAAACGCTAGAGGACTGGGACAAAGCATCTACGCCAGAAGAAGCGGAGGAATCGGCGGACTGGCTGGCGACAAAATACTTTGGCAGCAGCACGAACTGCACTAGAGCAGAACTACGGAAGCGCGCGATCGACGCGGGGAAAAGCGTCGAGGAGGCGGTGCGGGGGTATGAGACAAAAACGGGCGGCGTCCAAGGCATTCAGCTGGCTGAAAAATGTCTGTGGTGTAACATGAAGCTCCTCGAGAAGGAGGAGGCGGAGCACTTCGAACCCACGCACCCGAAGAAGCCGCCGCCGCTGCACCTGCAGATGCATCTACGCGAGCGGCATCAGGTAGAGTATCACTTGGTGAACGAGGTGCAGAGCGAAGCAATGCGGCAAAACGCCGCGGACGATGTAGAGCGGGCGACATCTTTGCGGCGGGATATCCTAGAGGAAAATAGCGACCTACTATGCGAAAAGGCAAACAATGGCGGGCGGTACTTGATGGGCCGCCGGTGTTTCGTGCCGCAGATTCACTGCAAGGCCTGCGGCAAGAATTTTACCTCAACAGCGGGCGCCATGGCAAAGCATGCGCAGGACCACCGGGAAAACAAGTATGTCCGCTTGGCGCAATTAATACGGCCGCAGGCGGCGAACGGGCTGGCACCCGGCGAATTCCGGCCGGTATATCATCTGTGGGACAGCGCGAACGGGCGGCACATTCCGGGCCCGGATGCTAGGATGACGAGCATACACATTCCTGCCGATCGCATTTGGAAAAACCGCAATGATGAGACTTTTCTCCGCTGCAAAATCTGCAAGAGCAAATACAAGAAGCAGATCGCCGAAAGCGGGCAGCCGATTTGTTACGACTCCCACTCCCTCGCGAAGAAGATCGGCATGATGGAAAAACATGAGGAGCGTTGTGCCAAGAAAAAAATGAAAAAAGAGAAAGAGCTGCTCATTGATCAAGCGCAATCAGATAGCGACAGCGCACCACAGGAACACTGATAATTTTTAATTACAGTATAGACCCCGCAGCTGGGTACATCATCATCATCATTGAACAATTTCTGCCCTGGCTTTAGTACAGTACCTTCGAAGTTCCTGCCGCCGTATGGCGGATCATGAGTCTTTTTCGAACGACGAGCAAATCCAAGTCTTTTGTTGATCCCGTATATGTCCTCAAGAAGCGGCAAATCGGTTATTTCCCTCGGGTCTGGTCGACATTCTGGAGGTTTCATGTTCGAACTTCAGCAAGCTCTGCTTGTGGATCTGGAAACGAGGAACAACATCATGGCAATCGAAATTCTTCCCCAACTACAGTTCCCACGTTCATCGACCATTACGCCGTCCTCGGTTTACCCGGCCCCTTTCCGAGAGAAACGTCACAGAAAACCGCTGACACCGCGATCAAAACGGCGTACTTTCGAAAGGCGAAGCAGTGCCACCCAGATGCGAAAGGAAATAGAGAAGGCGACGCAGCCGGGGCATCCGCACGATCAGTCCCTTCGGCTAGTGCGACACCCCAGGAGAATCAACACGTCGACGACCACTCGCAGAGTGGAGGGAGCAGGAGTGCGCAACTACAGGAAGAGCAGCTTCAAGCTACTTTAAGCAGCTCGAACGGTGCAGCCTCCTTCCTGGCTTTGAACCAGGCGTACCGAGCTCTAAAAAATGCCGGCGCGAGACTTCTGTACGACCGGGCCTGGAGAGGCAATTTTCAACCAGAGGAGGTCTCTGTGGCGTTTGAGGAGAAGCGAAACACGGACAATGTCGCGGAGACGAGGTGGAAGGGGCCAGCGGCCGCTGCGTCAACCGCTCGCACACTTCCTTCAGAAGGTGATGAACCAAATAGGATGCGTCAAGCCCCCTACCCGAAGAGCACCACTGCCTGTGCCTCAACGTCGGCTCCACCAAAAGTGAACAAGCGGCACCACGCAAATCATGTTCCCGCGGCAGCAAGTACAGTTTCGTCGTCGTCGTCAAGAGGGAACAAAAGTCCTGCGAATCGCGCTTTCAACCTGAATCTAGGGTCCTCGGCTTCCCCAGAAAAGGCCGATGGGAGCACTGCCGCGCCACCGAGAAGTACCAGCCGAGGAGAGGCGGGGCGAGATGGGCAAAAATCAAAACAAGCTGCGCAAAAAGAGCAGCCCATCAGCCTACAGTACTCGCCAGCCATGTCGCACGCGCAGGCGAGGGCGCTGTGGGCTAAAAGCAAAACGGGAAGGGAATACGCAGAGGAATCTGACGTGAGAAGAAGAAAAAACCGAGAAAGAGACGCGATTTTGAAAAGCAATCCTGACTTGCTGTTCCAACAAATTGTAAACACGTCGGGGGTCTTGAAAAAAAGAAACTTTAAGTGACGCACTTGTAGATCGAACGCCAGTTGTGAATTTCTATTGTAGTAGATCTATCCCTACGGTGACGTTTAGCTGCCTTTGATTCCACAGTGAAGAAAGATGATGTTCATGACATAGACATACTCATGCACTTTTCGTGTGCCTTATCTCATTCTCAGCTCTACGTGGTCCCTCGGTCATTTCTATCTTTTCTTTGGAGCCACTCCGACTCAATAGCTTCTGTCATATCTGAGCTACTTATCCCGCACTGCGGGCAAAATCGGTTTGAATGAGGCATGTCACTTCTGATTCTGTACTTGTTGACGGTAGCACTATGTATTGTCTGTGCCAGTGAAGTCCGTCGAGTTGTGGTGCTAGAAAGAAGTCGGTCGCTCGCTTTCTTGGTGCAGCTTGGACTCGCAATCGTGAAGAGGTGTTGATCTTGATCAGCATTCGTTTTCTACCGGATTAATGAATGTTGAACGCAGGGCTCCCATTCTTGAAACCTTTTGCTACCCCATTGATTTTGCTGACCACCCAATTTTTCGCAAAAACACGCCCACCCTTGATAGATACATTTATCTTTGCCCCCCACTCTATCTAGCGATCATTCCTGCGCACATCTAAATCATTCTCGATTTTTGAAGTTGTTTTGATGCTAAGAAGCTACAGCGTTCTCTTGCTCGTAGTAAGTACGTACTACCCTCTTTATCCATTTTTTTCATCATCTCTTTTTTACATTACAGCACTCACCTCCATACCCGTCATCACCCTCCCATGTTGCGTTAACAGCACGTGACGAAAGTTATAATCCTCACGGCATCAAAATGGAGAAAGTAAAGGTGGTGGTGCGATGTCGGCCGGAGTCCGACGAGGAGGTCAACAAACGGTACGGGGTCGCGGTCAGGTTCGACGATGCGTACCAGATTGGGATCACGGACCACACGTTCCGCTTCGACAAGGTGTACGACATGAACTGCAAACAGAACGAGCTCTACGACGACAACGTGCAAAACATCATCGACGGCGCGCTCACCGGGTACAACGGAACCGTCTTCGCCTACGGGCAAACGGGCTCGGGGAAAACGCACACAATGAGCGGCACGCTCGCGCAGCCGGGCGTAATTCCAAGGTCCTTTGCTCACATCTTCGCGCGGATTCAGGCCGACAACGAGGAAAGGTCGTTCGCGGTGCGCGTGTCCTTCGTGGAAATCTACATGGAGGTATGAATTCTTTGTACTCTGTTCAGGTTGTTGATGAATGAGGATGAGGTGATATTAGAGGTTGGCTTCTCGTCTTCCAGAACTACTAGCATCTTCTTTCGAGAAGTATTCTTGCTTGTACAATGGAGCGAAATCTTTCGCAAGCTCGATTGAAATCCTCGAACCGATGTCAAACCACAGGGCATCCGCGACCTGCTCTCCCCTCTTTCCGGGACCGCGCAAAATTCGAATCTGCAACTCCGCGAATCGTTAGAGCACGGCGTGTACGTGGAGGGGCTGTCCTTTTTTATCTGCAGAAGAGAAGAGGACATGCATCACCGTTTGAACCAGGGGAACGCGAAGCGCACGACCGCCTCCACCGCGATGAACCTGACCTCCTCCCGCTCCCACGCCATTTTCTCCGTGTACCTCGAAGCGACCCAGCAGGTCAAGGGCAACAGCGAAGTGACGCGGTCCACCCGCGGAAAGCTGCACCTGGTGGACCTCGCGGGGTCGGAACGCCAGAGCAAGTCCGAGGCCCAGGGCCTCACCCTGAAGGAGGCCGCGAAGATTAATTTGTCGCTGCTCACGCTGGGCTCGGTCATCTCCGCCCTGGCCTCGACGCCCCGGCCGAACCACATTCCCTACCGAGACAGTAAGTTGACGCGGTTGCTGGAGGATTCGCTGGGTGGAAACGCAAAGACCGTGATGATCGCCACCGTCGGCCCCTCCAACTACAACATCGACGAGACGGTGCAAACGCTCCGGTACGCCAACCGGGTGAAATCCATTGTAAACAAGCCCACGGTGAACGCGGACGTGAAGGACAGACTGATCAACGAGCTGCAGCGCGAACTCGACCAGGTGCGCGCGCAGGCGGTGCTGCCCCCGGACTTGGAGCAGCTCCCGCTCGTCAAGATGCTCCGGTCCGATTTGTCGAAGATGAAGGCACTGCTGAAGTCCGCGGAGCGGGCGGCCATCGAGGCGGAGATCAAATCCGAAAAGCTGGAGAGAGAAAAGCTGGAACTGCAAAAACAGTTCGAGGCCTTGGCCGCGGAGAATCGCAGTTATGAATCAGAAGTATTGAACTCCGTGGAACAGTTGAAGGTGCTTGAAACAGCAACCGGCGTCGCGGTGAACATTTCCGGCGCTGGAGGAAAAACAACTTCAAGAGCCGCGGCAACTTCGACGACGGGGGTAGGCACGTCGGGACCAACGACCACAGAAACCGGTACTACGGGACCACCTTCCAAAATGAATACAGATGCAGCGACCGGCACAGCACAACAAGGTGGCTCACCGCTGGACCAGAGCCAAAGTAATCTGAACCCAAATCAATTTGCGCTGGTTCCGTATGATGAGGAGAAGGCGAACAGGATCACGAGGGAGAAGGAGTTAATGCAAAAAGACGCGGATGCTTTACGGGAGGAAAACGAGGAGCTGATGAAGGCCCTCGCCACGGTGGTCACAGACCAGGAGGAGCTGATGGACCTACGGGACAAAGAGCAGTATTTATTGCGCCAGGAGGCGGAACTGATCGTGGACAAACACGACCTGTTGCAGTTGAAGGACAACCTCGCGCACTCCGAAAAGATGAACGCGGAGTTGCTCGTGAAGCAAGAGGAGCTGTTGGAACTGGTCGAGCGACTCTCCTATCAAATGCAAATATGTCTGGGTCTGGAAGAGTGCCAGACTTGTCATGCAGGTTTTCCATGACCCATGAGCTCTGGTATGTAGGACATAGCATGACAGACTCTGTGAGCGTTCTATCATGCGTACTCTGCATGAGAAACTGCCTCTCGATTAGGTCAAAAGTGGGCAGCTTTTGGTAATCACGCAACACAGATTTTTGCACTATCCAGAATTAGCATGACAAGTTACATCCTTCCAGACCCAGACATATTTGCAATGCATATCTCCAAACGCGAGGAAATCGCGGAGGAGTCGTGGCGCGCGGTGTCCGAGTTGCGCGCGCGGGATATCAAATGTAAAAATGTCTGGGTCTGGAAACGTGTGATGCTGGGTGGCGTCTCATGATGAGGCTACAGATGCTGGCTCAGCATGACAAGTTTCTGAGCTTCTAGGTGTTGCCTATTCTGCATGACAATCTGCGCTTCTGCATCACAGAAAAACGGAGCTCTTGCGTAACGTGCATGACAGATTTAAGAGTCATGCCAGACAAGCATGACAAACATACACTCTTCCAGACCCAGACACCTTTACACTTGATACGGGACACGCACGAGCAACTGTCCCAACAAAACCGGGCGACTAACCAGCATTACCTCGCCACGGCCAGCCAGTTCGGGGCAAACAACTACAACATGAACACCGCCGCGCCCCCCGGCGGCGCGGACGAACTGTACCGGTACCCGGAAACCGCGACGGGCGGCAACCAGTACCGCAGTTTTCAATCCCCGGGCGTGGATCTGAACACCGGGGGGGTGAACAGCTTTTCCTTAACGCCGAACACGCAACAGCAAGTGTCCTTCCGACACGCAGACACCATGTTGCGTGCGACAGAGAACAATAATTTCGATAATAGTGGTGCTGCTGGTGGTGGCGGTGGCCAATCTAGTGCTGCACAAGCACAGTATGGAGGTCAACAAGAACAGAACAGCAATCTCTTTCCTCAGCCGAGTTCAACAACTGCCTCGAATAGTACCGGGCAAGTCCAAGTGAACTTGGATATTTTGGAGCTGGTCCCCACCAGCTCCGTCTACCCCATTCCCCTCCCCGAGGCGTTGCGCTGCGCGGAGCTGCTGTCCGCGATAGCCCTGCAGCAACATCAGTACGCGGTGGACCAGCAACAGTCGGCGACCCGGGCGTTCGGCGGCACGTCCTCCGCTTCTCTCTCCGCCAAGGAGATCGCGAAAACGGCACAGGAAACGCTCCGGGACGCGGAAAAGTTGGAGTTCAAGTTGCGGGGCTCCACGAACTTGGTGGGCCGGGCCGCGGCGGTGATCGGGTGGCGCAAGAAGCCGGTATGGGGTTCTCAAACGTTCTTACATTCTCAACTGTTACATGAATTTGTCATGCAAGAATGGCAAAAGTCAAAGCAGGGAGGTTGCACCTGTAGCATTACAAATTTCGCACAGATTTAGGCGCTGTTTAGCCTTTCAAAAATTTGTCATGCGAAGTAGCTTCACCTTGTGGATGTTGATGGTCGTTTTGCATGACAAATCATGTAACAGTTGAGAGTGTAACGCTTGAGAGTCCCATAGCCGGTGGACCAGAAGTCAGGGGACGTGCCGAAGGAGACCATGCTGCAGCTGATTCAGGTGCTGGACCGCGTGTTGAAGATGCGGATCCAGTTCTTGTTCGATACGGACTTGAACAGCTCCAACCAGCCGGCCGGCTACCAAAATCCTATCATCGTGAACGACCGACAGACGTGCAAAAAGGTCTTCTCCTGCGCGGAAATTCTCGGCGTCACGGTGAAGCGGTCGGGCTCGTTCTCAGCGGGGGGAAGTGGTCCGCAATCGACCACCTTCCCGAAGGACAACCACCGGTTTTCTGAGGAACGGGGGCAGCCGAACGTGCGGCCCGGCGGGGCGATTGGCTCGCCCTCGTCGGCATCAAGCTCGGGAGTGACCAGCACCACCGCAGCAACGATGCTCCCACAAGTGCATGGAGCGACGCCTAGGTGATAGAGGGCGTGATAGGTGGCAATCAACCTCATAATCGCCGCTATCATGCTGATGCTGTTCTTTCTTTTTGTAGAGGAGCAGCACGAGAGCTCTTTCTCCGCATGCCTCTAGTGTTCTGGTTTCTTTGCGCTGAACAAGTGTCGTGGGAAATTGGAACGGTAATTTGCTGTACTTAATTTGCTTATGTTTTTCTCGCCGAAAAAATGTCGTGCAGCAACCTGCTGTACGTAGTAACCGAAGCAATTTCATTTGCTCGTCCTTTGGGCGCTGGCCCCACCGTGTTCTTTGCAGGTGTAAGCATTTGATTGTTGGAGAGAGCAGAATCAATGACAATGCAAGAGTGATATCGATTCGCTACGGGTCGTCTGAGAGTTTGCGTAACACACTAGCACGAGTGGAAATCGTTTTCTCGCTTCAACTGTGACGAATCGCTGGTAGCTACGACTGCAAGGGACGGCTTAACTCGAACTGTAACAGGAACCATAACTCGTTGAAACTATTGCCCGACAACTGTTGATTACCCTATCGTCGATTCTTCCACGCTGCAAGCCAATGAAAGTTAGTACCGTCTAGGTCTAGCAGTAGAACATATCTTCAGAAGATAATGCTACCGACTTGATAATTCCCCTTCCCGCCACGAGCCGTTGCTGTTGTACTATCAGAGCAGCCCGCCGAGCTTGAACAATGACTGGCGCAAACGTGTTACCACCGACGGTGCCGCCGCTGGTGGTGTTTGTCATCAACGCAAAGACGGGGGCGACGGTATGGGCGGAAATAAGCACCAGGGTCCCCGTCAAGAGGCTGAAGCGGTATCTATGGATTATGCTTTTTCTTTATTTTTTTGCAACGGGTCAATGTAGTTCATTCGATTTCGTCGAACAGCTCAAACCGAACGTATGCGTAAAAATTTGATCTACTAGTATGAAAACGAGCGTGATGGTCCTTACCTTCTTGTTTCTTCCAGGGTCGTGGAGCTCCAGACGGGTATTCCAGTGAAGGACATGATGCTGGTTAACAAGGGTGATGCGTTGATCGACGACAAAATGATTGGGGACTCGAAAATTGACCCGTTTTCCACGATCATGATGCTGGACGGACGGGACATCCCGGAGAATCCCGAGGGAGACGAGGAGGAGGGGGAGCAGAACTGAATGTGACAACTTTCTGATGTAGAACTTTAGCCACGACAGAGCGACGTTGTAACGAATTTGATTTCCTGCGTGTAGCTTGATTTTTCACGACGAAGAAACCGATACACAAAAATTGAAAATATCTTCGCAAAAGATATCGTTGGTAAGGTGGAAAACGGCCGCGCAACTGCTCTGGAAAAACTTATAAGTGATTCAAGTTGACATTACCGAAGAGAATGTACAACGGCGCGCTGGATGTTTTAAAGCCGATGGTGATCGTGTTTGTCTTCGTGATTTTTATTTATTTCATCTCTCGTAAACTAAAACTCATCCATTCGTCGTGCTGGTCGTCCTCGTTTATGAACTTCGGCTCTGCCTCTGTAGTCTGTGCTAGGCGTGGTCCTCGTGTACATTCATAGTCAGTGCGAGAAGACGGTTGTGCCGAGAGGGTATCTGAGACTGAGAGGCAGTACAATTACGTTGTTGCCTCGTGCAGAGTTCACGCTTGCTGATAGAACTCTCATCGAAAAAGTCGACGAGGTTGGTTGCAAACTTGAGCTGCCATTTGCTTTGTGCTCATCCTATCGCCTCTTCAGGATTACATCGCATCGCGTGATTTGGTCCTGCTTTGCAGTGACGTGAGAAAAAATTCAAGTATCCGATACTTTTTTCAGAAACGAAAATAGAGAAACTAGCTACCTGAAGTGCTACCTAGTTGGATTTGACAAATAAAACAACGAACATTATATATATCAACCCGTACCAACAACTCCTGAAACGTGGTCAGCGCCGTGAGTGCTACCGCGTGTCCCCGCTTCTACTGCTATGTTTCCCTGTCCGTGGGAAGTCGCTGAGGAGTGCGTCGAGGAAGTTGTCGGTGAGATCGTCCAGGAGGGTGGCGAGCGCATTCACTACCACCGACTCGCGGAAAAATCTACTCCCTTCGCAGCGCAGGCGGCCTCGAAAACAATACTGTCGCAGCTCGGCATCGCCTTTGTGCGTCACGAGTCTCTGGAAAACGACGATTTCCACTTGGAAAAAATCCCAAACATACAACCCAACCCCGCGGATTACTGGGGCAGGATGCTACGACCCATCATGCCCATGGACGAGCATGAGAGAAGAGTAAAAGCACAGGAGGACGCCGCGGCAGCGATGGCATCGCCAAGTGGGGGCGGGGGAAAAACGTCACCAGGTGCGATATTAATTTTTTTTTGTGCTTTTCGAGTGGTACTTAGAAGCGCTCCTCAGATGGCCACGCGGAGGACGGGAATGATTGTGATTCGTTATCGACTTTCCAGCAATGAGAATGAAGTTGAGCATGATTTTTTTATTCTAGGAAGATCAAGATTCATGTAGCAGTAGGAGCGAGTAGCGCTTGCTCTGCCATGCGAAAAGTAAAACAAACCTGACCAGGTGGTCGCAGCAAGAAAGGTGGCGCAGCCAGTTCCGACGCGGGAAAAACCGATTCCAGAATGGACGACCTGGCGAATAGAAAAACGAAATTACAGGAGGACATCCAGGAGGACGAGGAGGAAAACAAGTACCGCCAGGTCAAGGAGCGCGAGGAGAAAACCAAGCAAGAGGCAATTGCAAAGGCGGAGAGCGACAAGAAAGCGGGGGAAGAACAGAAGAGAAGGGCGGACAAGTTGCTCGAACAGATGGCGCAACAAACCTGGACCTTTGATACAGCGGGGAAACTGATGTGGGTCGACCCAGCAGACGGAAACAAGTATTTTTTAGCGGTTCCGGTCCTACTGTTGGAGATGCACGACTAGTCCTGTTCGTATGCATGATAATTGTGGCGCAGCATCTGTATCTGATGTATGCATGGCGATGTGAACGTTGAGTTACGAAAACGAAAACAAAAACAATTCATTGTTTCAGGTTGCCCAAAGTAATATCGGAGATCACATCAAAGGGAGAAGCGGTCGGGAAGAAGACGAGCAAGAAACAGGGAGACAGCCCCTCACCAGAAAAGTCACCGAAGTCCAGGTCAAGGTCACCCGGAGCGAAAAAGAAACCGAAGGGCGTACTGACTTACTACTATTACTAGAACACAAATTTGTGATGCATGCTTGCGATTCTATGTCTATCATGGTGATGGATTCTTTTGTACTAAGTAACGCAAAGGTACAATAACTTTATACGACAGCCACAATTCACCGATGGTTTCACGCGGCTACAATCCGAGCAACCGCCGATTACAGAAACGATGAACGTAAAATCCGGCGTGACTTTGATGTCAAAGGGGCAGGTGAAAAAAGGTGGCCCATCCGACGACACAAGGATGAGCCGAACGAAATATCAGCAGTTTCTCGAGGCAGAACAGTCTGGGTAAGTGCAGCTGCGTTGGAACTTCAATCATGTGTTTTCCATATCCTTTTTGCATGAGTTTTGTAAGCATGGATTCTCGTAGTTGTATGTTCATCACCTACCTACTGCTTTTTGAGTTGATGTCTGTTTTGGTCGAGCGCGAACTCTTGGATGCTCGTCAGCACAGTCAACTCAAAATCAAAAACAGGCAAGCAACAAGCGCAACCTTCTACACGGCGACTCAGAAGACCGAGCCTGCAGCGGCTCCAGAGTTGCCACCACTAGACGTACAACTTGTTTTGAATCTGTGATTTTCATGAAGGGACTCAATGTGTATAGGGCATGACCATTATATTGATGATTTGTATTGCACATGCTTCTTCTTGGTCGCATGACGAAATAGAGAGTATCAAAGCGAAAGCGACATATAGATAATCACCGACCTAATCCAAAATCAAAACTTAAACTAGGTCTCCCAAGCGTCCCCCGGCCCGAAATCCGGTGCCGGCAGTGCCGCAGGTTCCGCGCGCGGTAGCGCCGCGGGATCGCTGGACCAAGACCGTCCGGGCGGCTCCATGTTCGGCCCGCTCTCCGCACCCTCGACCACAAAAGACTGGCGGCTCAAGCGGGACGCAATCGGGAATCTCGGCCGGTTTCCCCGGCACCACGTGGGCCTGCTGGGAACCACGGCTTCCGCTGGGTTCGCCAGGTGTCTACCGCAGCCGATGCTCGGAGCCACCATGGGCCACGGCTTGAAGAAGAACGAATCCTTTTTCTTCCCCGACACGCTAACTACGAACGAGTTTGAAAGAAGCATGAGCCGCGCGAGCACGACCGGGAAGTCATTGTATCAATTCAGAACATTTTATTCTTTGTGTCTTACTTTTTTCTAGGTTTTATATAAACACGGTTGAAATAATTGCACCGTGCCCACGGCGTGTGGGAGTCCTCGTTTGGACTTTTTTCTGAGAGATGTAAGTCTTGTTTTTGTTGATTCACACACACTGATCATAATGGCTGCTCGTTGTGTGCTCTGTGTCTTCTAAAACCATTCGCACGCTGCTACACCTGCGCAAGCCTCCTACTTCGCGTTGTGTCGGGCCGTCGCCGGCAGCGGATGCGCTGGCCATGAGCGGCGGCGAAGGAATGGATACTAGCTCTCACGGCGAGGAATGCAATACTGCCGTCGCGCCGATGGAGGGCACCGGCGACGACTTAACTCCTGAAGAACAACCTACGGCGTCCATGGTTCAGCCGGACAAGCGTGCTGCTTCATCTGCGGGCAACTTTTCCTTCGACGCGTTCAAACATGGCAAGTTGCAAGGCAACTTTGCAACCAACGGACCTACTGACAGTAGCATGTTCAAGAGCGACGGATTCCAGGGCCTCAAAAAACCGTACAGCACCACTTTGGACCTCGATCATTGCATGCCGCTGGAGATGAAGCTGGAGCCGGGGGGTTACGTTGTCGGTCAAGTTTTGAACTTAGGCAAATGCAGCAAGACCGGAAATCGCACCGACGGCTACTTCTTCGTCCAGCCCATTGGATACACGAGCATCGGCGACTGGGTAGCAACCAAAAACGAATACGGAAACTACAAAGGCATCTACACGACTTTCAACTCCACGAGGGAACAGAAGCCCGGTCTCTACCAGAAGGGGACCTACTGCCGTTTCATCATCGACATTTACACTAGAGGCTGGATCGCCAAGGACCTCCACGTCATTCCATCCCCGAACTCGCCATACCACATGAGGCTCCAGGCGGGCGAGATTTTACCTCCTAGCGGCTACACGAGCCAGCCGACGCCTGCCCCCTGGGCAGCCAGCGCCAAGACAACGGAGAACCCGCTAACTGGTGACATTATCGAACACTTCCCGGCGTTAGAGCAGCGCGCAACAAGTTCGTCCTCGACTACCTCCTTCGCCAACAAGACAACCACAACGGGCATCACCGAGGAGCAGGTGAGGCGAATTGTTGCCCTCGAAGTGGTGAAGGTTACTGACGTGAAGAACAAGGAAATCGCCGAGCTGAAGGGGAGATTTGAGCAGCTTGACCGGGAGCTGACTACGGTGGCTGATAACTCCGTGAGCCATCTCTGTATTCATCGCGACGATATTGACGACCTCTACGATCGCGTCGGGCGTGCGGAGGATGTGCTCTGCACGCAGCAGGACGTCATCGAATCCCACGGGAGCAGAATCACGGCGCAGGAGGAGAAGCTGGACAAATGTGAGAAACACATCTACACCAAGCTATCGAAGTCGGTCAAAGCCCTCGTGGATGATATTGATGAGGTATTGCATCGCTCTGCTTCTTCTTCTTCTTCTTCACCTTCAGTCGAGCTACAGCTTGCGCCAGAACGCCAAGAGCTGATACGCATCACACCGCCTGACCCGTCCTTCGTGCGCGTGAGTGCGCGGCGGGCCCTTTGTGGTCAACGTGGTCATGCACAGCAGGCAAGAGCGATGATGTTGCAGCAAGAAGTAGATGTCTCTGTCGGTCCACAGTATTTTCCTCTCTCTTTCAATATTGACACTTCTGACTTCTCTCCAGATGCAGCAGCAGATGATGGCCGTGAAGCTAACGAACGGAAAGGACCCGACAGCACCAGCACCGACGGCGCAGGCACTGTCATCGAAGACTGCAGTGCAGGGCATGGAGACGGTTGTTCCGGACTCGGAGGCACCGACGTTGCTCAGTGCCGCGTCGGAAAATCTGCATGTTTCCGCGGTCGATGCATTGCGGAAAGGAATGGTGCGGCGCAAACGACCCGAGCGGGGCGAGATTTTGGATTTTCGCGTGACACAGGGCGAGCAAAAACGGGCGAGGGAGGTGGAAGCGCCAGGAGCCGACGACGTGGAGGAGGAGGACCCGGTGTCGCCCATGACCAAGAGCAAGAAGACCAAGACGGACAGCAAACCAGCGGCGCCCCAGCCTCCTGCTGCTGGGAGTATGGTCGGCGCTTGAGCACCCTCGTGTTTTCGAATTTTGTCGCACTTCTTGGTGTTGGGTTTTTGATTATGACCTTGTTTCTGTACTTGATGATGAACATCTCCTTGTTGCTGATTTTGGACTACCTTCCCATCGTTCTGGAATTGCTGCTGACTTTACTGCCCACACGTGCCGCGCGGTTGTTCTCGGCACCTGCAGCTTGTCCCTACGAATTGTTATTGACCCTGATGCTGTACGTGTTGTTAAATTTCTGGACTTCGACAATCACGTTCCGCGATAAGACGGGCGCACTCGGCAGAACTTGGAGATGGTGGACAAAGAGCCGCCGGAAGCCTGGAGAGGAAGACTGTGAAACGAGGACAAAGTGCCTCGGCGTTTTCCCTGTCGAATGTGTTGGCTTCGATTCGATTTCAAGATCTGCGAAAAACTTTGACTTACTGCTGGTTGGATTTTGGAAAGGACTTGTACTCTCTGTGCGCTCAACTCTGCGAACTGCAACCTGTCGGAAAAAGAAGAAGCGGCGTTTTGCCGCCGCTGGCTCGGTCTCATTGCGTGTTCTCCGCTCTGTCTTTTTGCTCTTCGAAGCTCTACCTGTTGCCTTTGCTGGGGGGCAGGGTGAGGATGACTCGTGTTTCAAAATCGCGAAGTACCGCCTCCGCAATACCGCGGAACGGGTTGGCCGTGCGGACGAGTATGCGGCGCTTGTTCGCCCATCCTACTACCAGACGGTCGCGAAAGCTGCGGCGGAACGGAAGGCGGAGAAAGCTCGACGCGGCGAAGCCGCAACCGGTGGCGCGGAAACCGGCGGCACTGGGAAACCGAATGGGGCGACATCATCTTCAGCTTCATCATCATCGTCTTCGGCATCGTCGTCATCTTCTTCTTCATCTAGCTCATCAGCACTTCCTTCCTCACGTCAGATTCCGACTGCTGCTGCGGCCTGCGACTACACCTGCTTCAACCGGGGCCCATGTGAGTACGGGGCTTTCTCCTCTTCGCGGTCCTACACGAGCAAGGTCATCACGATCACAACCCAGAACTGTCGCGAGGCCCTGATTGGAGGGAAAGCCCGCGACAAGATCCTCCGTTGCGCCCCGAAGAACACCGACAAATACGAAATTTTGGCGCTGACCGAATGCCGCTGGGGGAAGAGCGGCACGGGGCTACAGGGGGTGAGGCGGATAAATGGCGAAGTCGTGGGCGAGGTCGCTCCCGACCTTGACAGCGACTCCGATTGTGGCGGACCACAGCCATTAGAGACTTCCGATTTTCTGTGTCGTGGCTCGGGCTTTATCTCGGTGTTAGGACCAGGCGCGGGTATAGTTTTGCGGGGTGGACCGATATACCAGGAGCTTGCGAAGCTCAGCGACCCGGACCTTGCGGCTCATTTTGTTGTACGCGAGCGCGTCGTAGTTGGACTGTTTCGGGGCTTCACGCTTTTCTCGGTATACGCGCCAGCCTCTGGGGATAAATACGCAGTTGCCCGATTTTTCCGCGATTTGAACCGTTTTGGGCAGGAGTTGTTGCGGAAAACCGGTCGGCGGGACCTTCCCTACTTCTACGCTGGGGATTTCAATGCGCATGTCGGCAGCGACCAGTCCGGATTTGCGATCGGGGAGTTTGCCTCCTCCAAGGCTTCTAGTCCCAAAGGGGTGCAGCTGGCGCGGACTCTGGCTGCGGGGAACTTGCGGCTGGCCGACACCTTCTTCGACTTTGCCACCCAGGACTCGCGTGCAACTTTTCTGCGACGGGGCTGCGATCCAACGGAAATTGACGGGTTTGTAACGGCCGGAAGGTGGTTGGGACGGGTCTCGAGTGTCGAGCTTTGTCGCGAGCTGCGGGACGTTGTGGTGGGGAAGGAGGAGGCTGACGGCGATTATGTACTGGACCATTACGGTAAGACGCTGCGTTTCACGTGCACGCAGCCTCCACCAGAAGATGCTCCAGACGACGACAAGCGGACGGCCTTCAACTACGTGGGAGTGGTGCCCTTGACCCCGGACGTCTGTGCTTCCTTCTCGTCGAATGTGTCGGAAGTTCTTGGTGAAACTTTGCGGAAACCGGATCGGAGCTCGCCAAAGCCAACACTTCAGGAGGTTTTATCTGCTATCACGGCGAGTGAGCATCTTGTACTCGAAACCGGACCAGAGCGGCTTTTACGACAACAGGCATGCGAGAAGCACAAGAAGAAGGCTGCTGCCGAGTTGCCGCCCGTCCTCGCCGCGGACCCTAGCAAGCCCGCTAAAGTTCAGGCGGTTTGGAAGCACCTCGGCATTGCAAAGCGGCGGAAGGGGAACAGCACGGCGCCGACGGGATGGGCGAAGCACTATCTCGAGAACGTTATCCGAAAAGAAAGCAGTTCGTCGACTTTCCCTGCTGCGGATTTTGTCGAACATGTTACGGCGGCCAGTGTTGCAAGCCTCGACGCCCCGATCACAGTGGTGGAGTGGAAGCAGGCGGTGAAAGACGTGAAGGCCGGCAATGACGTACAGGTTTGGTCCAAGGAAATTTTTTCTGCACTGGATGACGCGACGACGCAGGTCCTCTTGGACGCGATCGAGGGCGACTTGCGACGGGGTGTGGGGTTGCGGGAAATTGACGAGAAATACAGGACAACAAAAATCTCTTTGCTCCACAAAAGCGGAAGTAGGGAGGATTTGAATAATTTCCGTGGAATTAGCGGGGTGCCTACCCTCTCCAAGATTCTTGCTCATCTCTTCACGAAGCGGCTGCAGGACGTTTTGATCCGCGAGAATCTGTACGACGAGGAAAACTACGGGTTTGTGTTTGGTCGAAATGCTTCGGATGCGCTTGTGCTAGTTCGGCGCCTTGTCGAGTGCAGCCGGGATTATTCCGACTTCGAACAATTCCAGGATGTATGGGCCGCTTTTATCGATTTGAGGAAAGCTTTTCCATCGTTGTGTTGGAATGTTACAACGGAAATCGTGGAGCATATGGGGATAGCCTCTACCCTCGGGTGGAGAGCTCTCGCCGCTTGTCACCGTGACATCAAGTGCCGTGAAGAGCGCGAGCGGGTGAGTTTTGACTTACCATTAGGATTGCAGGAGGGCTGTCCGTCCAGTCCTTGCATCTTCGTCATGGTGTTCAGCGTGATCGGCCGGGCACTACGCCAGGCGCGTGCCTTGCTTCCTTCGCCGGGAGGTAACGTAGACCGCAGAGGGGTGCAGCTTCGCTGCGCCACGGGCACGCACGTAGCAACCGAAAAAGAGAAATTGGAGGTCTTGCTGCGGCCGTCCCAGCAGGCTTCGGTCTCCACGTCGCGCGTGGGTTCCACGAAGTTTGCGGACGACTCAAATTTTTGGGGAGAGTCGAAAAACGGAACACCAGACTCGCACGTTCTGGATGCCACGCTGCGTGTCCTGGCTTCGGCCAGGATGGAGGAGAATTTGAAGAAGCGGGTAGTGGGCAAATTGGCAGACGTAGTGGTGAAGTTTTTAGGCATTTGGCTGTCAGACGAAAAAGACACCTCCGAGCGGATAAACCGTGCCTGGAAGGCATTCCACGGGGCGCAGCGGCTTCTCGTCGGTTTTGGGGAGCTAAACAGGACACACCGGCGTGCCATCGTCGTGGCGCTTGTGCGGGGGACTATGCTTTACGGTGCAAATGGTCGCTCGTTCTCGTCGAAAGAGCTCGAGGAACTGAACACCGCCGAAAGCAGTATTTTGCGCCGCCTTTTCAACACCTCGATGCGGCAGATGGATGCGGCGCAGATTTCCCATGCTGATCTTCGTTGTCACCTCGAGATACCGCCTCTGGCTGTGGAGATCGCCTATTCAAGGCTGTCGCACGGGGGCCACCTTCTTCGTCGGGGCCAGTCCTATCCGCCGCGGCAGGCCTTTCTTGGTCGCTTTGTTATCAGCGCCGCCGATCCTGCGATCACACCGGAATCGAAGCCGGAATTTTTCCTGCTGCCGCCAAGCTCTTCCCGCGTGCCGTCTGTCTACGAATCCTTCGTCGATGCATGTGCGTCGGCGAAGATCCCGGTCTCGGATTTTTCTTCCTACCTGGGGCAGGACTCCAGGAGAGAGTGGTACGTGAGGACGAGATCTTGGCACATTGATGCCACGATGCAGCATTGGTTTTTTCCGTCCTGGTCCTCGGCCACTTCTGACGAACGTGTTGCTGCTGCATTTGACAAGCTGCTGAAGAAGTACGGAATCACGGACCAGGAGTACGACGCTGCGTATGGTGATCGGCCGCGGGTGGCGAAGAAGCGAGCGGTCTTGAAGGCCACTCGCAGTCTGGCTGATTTACGGTCGCGGCAGATTGCCCTCGATGGGTCGATCACGGATAACCAGACGCAGGAGCTTGTTGCTTCTTCCGCTGGCGTTTACACTACTGCAAGAGGCGACGTCGGGGCCGTGCACTGTGAGGAGTGCAGTTGCGACCTGAAGGGGAGTAGACGGGCGCTCCGAGCACATTTGCGACTACACCAGCAGGACGAGTTTGTGCGACTTGTCCAGGAGCAGGATGGTGCGACTTGCACTCCGGTCGAAGAATTTATCTACGGGAGGTCGGGGCAGTCCATCATTCCACCGGCGTACAAGCAGACCGCGCGTGCTGTGTTGCCGCCTCGACGTTTTCTACCTGACGGGGCCGACAAATGGACTACTAGACAACTTACCTGCCCGTGCTGCTCGGTCCACGCCATTGATTGGCCCAGCTCCTTTCAGAAGAAGGTCGGTGCTGCGAGTCGTATAAAAACGCACGAGCGGAAGTGCGCCAACTCCAAGAAACTCGACCTTACGGCTGACCTCGATCCTATTCCGGAGTGTGCCGACGTTGAGCGACGAGGCGATGATGAGAAATGATGAATGGCGTTGCTATTCGATCTCGACCACAGCATTCTGCACTACCCATTTTTCGAATGCTGCGCTAAACGATAACGAGGACACGTCCCAAAACCCCTAGCAATCCTCCCCTATGCTAGCAAGATGATGATGATGATTTGTGCATGAAAGAAAAGGACTGACCACATTTTGAGCAGAGCGGACACGGCAAGCAAACTGATGAATCTACTGCACAAAAAATTCTATCAGTTACCGCAACGCCTCTACCACCGAAGCAACCACCTTCAGCGACTTGATGGAGCGTGACCGGCGAGAGGTGGTTACGAGCATTCGCCGCATGGACATCCGGTCGAACCTGCGGTCTGGCGGCGGCCGAATGCAAACGCGGGAGAAAGGGAGAGCGATTCTGGACAAGGCTATGATGGGGCGAACGCAGTGACCAAGTCCAAGGACAAAAGCCGTGCCGGTCCTCGTTTTCCAGGGGAATCTACGTTGTAAAAAACTACTAAGCGACGAACTAGCAGCACAACATGAACTTGTATTTCTATTTCGTAGATTGATATGTAGCAAAAACCGTAAATAAAATGAGCTTCTGGCTGAGAAATTAGAGTTAGACAGAAAGCTGCAGCACTGCCCGTCAGCAACACTGCCAGCGGAAGTACTGCCAATCCACATCAACGCGAAAGCTGAAAAATGACCACTTCTGCAGCTTCATTTCTACTGAAGAACAGAACTCACAACTGTTAATCCATCAATTTACAATTTAGCAAAGCTTGTTTTACCGTTTGAAAGTTAGATTTATCAGCAGCTGGATGCACGGCTTGCTGTATCAGAATTTTATCGTAGATGACCAAATTATATGCAAGCCGCTGCTCTACTCCAGTGGGTGCTACTGCTAATGCTTGCCAGACATCCCGAATATTATGACGAGTCGAAAGATATTAATGTACACAACTCCAGCTGAAATCCAAAACCAAATCTACTATCCGCGCTGATAGATATACTCCATTGTACAATTATCCAGAGAGAAAGAAGCGCGACCAAAAGAACGTGCTTTTCGTGCAAGATGGATGCAGCAGGGAACTCCTCTGCAGTAAAACAGACGCGCGTGTTGAACTAATTGTACGAAACTGATGGTGGAGAAGAATAAAAAGCGACCAGCAGCGCCGAGCCCTTGCCCCATGATACGAATTACAAGAAGGTGCAGCGGGGCGGTGACTCGTCACAGTCATCTGGATCAATCTTCGTCGTGTGCGATGAATCGTCGGTCGTGGTTTCAACGCGTGTCACGGATCAACGGCGGAGCTGGAGCGAGGACTGAAAGAGAATCGAGGCTCTCGTAGTTGTGCGATATGATTCAGACTACTTAGCGTTCATCTACGGTTGACGTCATGAGGAGGCGTTGTCGGAGTCGCAGGCGGTCGTTGCAAGTCGTTGTGTCGGAAGAGAAGTTTTGGGGAGTGACTGCAGAGTGATGAGTTTAGTTCAAGAGTTCGTTGCTTTTTCAACTACATTTTCAGCACTGATATTGAATGAAAATAGCGACGCTTAAGGACGAAGAGAACGCGGCGAAAGAGCCGCTTTTTTCCTTCACAAGATGAACGGATTATGGGTGGGTGAAGGGACCCGTGAGTCCCTACGAACAAATGGCTTCAAGAGCTTTGAAACAAGGAGGTCACGATCAGCAAACCCAACGTAAGTTGAGGCGTGTTTTGATTTTTCATGCATTTTTGTATGGACGATGAATTGAAAGAAATCGGTTCTTGCTCTCATGCAGCTAAGGACCAATGAAATAGTAAAGGCAAACAAACGGAGCTGAAAAACAAAAAAGGTTTTGGGCCAACGGACCGAGGGGAAGTACGGATCGACCTTTGGCGAGTTTTTGCGAAAAGCCTCTCAACCGACCACTAGCGGACCATCCAAGTACTTACTTCTAAGAGCCAAAATATTTTTGTTTGTGGTTTTCGTTTTTCATCATCTATTGTCTCATGGTAAGCATGCAGCTCCTTTGAAGATTCTGACTGCCGCAAACTTGCTGTTGCGGGTGAAAAACACAATGTGGTAAGTACTCTAGATGAAACTTTGAAACGTGAAAACTCGACAGGAAAACCAAACGGGCCACTTTGCCACAACAAATCGTCGGACTACCGAACGAACGCATCCCTATCCACCTATCCCTACAACTGGAGACGAGGGAAGGCAGGGATGTGGGTGCCGAGGCAAAACAAATCCTATGACGCTTTTATGCATCCAATGGAGGGGATTGCTGGCTGGGACAACTCGTATCAAATATCTCTTTTCTGCTGCAAGATTTATTTTTTTTCCGAAACTTTATAATTCTGCATTTAGGTGGTAAATGCAACACTGTAGTACTTTCTTAAACATGAGTGACACTCCCTTTCAGCAAGCATGTGCGTGTCGTGATCGATACAGATTCTAAAATGAAATGCACAGATATACCCACCAAAACACGCACTTTGCGCCGACAAATACGCAGTACGGCAGCTTCTGGTTTGACCGGAAGCTCCAGCCAGCGCCGAGGGTATTCAACCAAACTCAGCCGGGTACGAAAATGATTTCGGAAGTGTGGACGGGGTTCAATTAGGATTGGTATGCTGACGTTTCAGCAACTCATTTATCTGCCCACGCGCTCCCGTCGGTCATCACGTTATGCACCATGGTATGACGCTGTTGAATAAATAACCAGCATCATAACATGGTGCATGATCTTCTGCACCACGCTATAAAGAGGATCCAAAATAAATGATACTTGCCGAATTCAGTTCATCGATGACGTGTCTGTCGAATGACAAAAATTATGTGAAAATATTTGGGATCGCATGAAAATTACCGCTCGCGGCGCGCATTGTATTTCAAGTGCAAGCGACAAAACAGAAACTACTTGCCGTCTCCTGCGCATCTTGTTGTAGTGAGCGAACGACTAATATGGTTCTGCTGTCGAAAAGTACCTTGATCATAGCATGTGGAGTAATGTTATGCAGGACGGTATGCGATCAGATGGCAAAGCGGTAATTTGGTTTCGTGCAGTGCCTCCTCGTGCATCATCTTATTCTCCATGGTACCGCCGCAAGAAAATCAATGCAAATTTCATGACAGTAATACAATAGATATTGCAACGCTGACACTCGTTATCGCAATTGATTCCTTTCCAACCACCCACACTTCTTTTCATTTTCATACTCCGCGGAGGGTGGTATCCGGTGTCACACGGCCACAGACCGTGAAACGATGATGATGTTTGTCCTCTTGTATGATGGAAAAAACGCATTAGTAGCTCGTAGAGCCCTTCTTCACCTTATCCTTGTCATATCAATTTGCTAAATCGATGTAAACTATTGGACTTGTTGTGGTTGTTGAGAAAATTTGTACCAAACCAGAACCAAGCCACTGTATAGCTTCAGAAGTTTGATGCTGACCGTAAAAGAAACAGGATTTCACTAAATACATCCCGAAATTATGGCCCAATTGAAAGAAATTGGAATAGGAAATTGCTTCAAAAACTGTACCAAAGTTGAGTCCGCCTGCGGACATGGACGAAATGTCATTGTATGAAATAGACCGCACAACCGAGCAAACTTAAGAAACACCTTTATACGACGTCCCGCACGATTATTAGGGAGGATGCAAGTTGTTTGGCTGTTGCAACCGTGTTTACAAAAAAAGATGCTCGCAGCTCCTGTACACTGTACTTAAAATCATAGTCGGAGGGAAGTACCCGCTTCAGAGTGTGTGTGCGAGAGAGCGATGAAGGCTCTGTTTGGCGAGATTCCGATTTCTGATTCTGGACCCTCACTTTTCCTAGTAGGATCGACGTAGGTAGGCCTGAGCTTGACTGTTCATCTTCTTGTTGTCGTCGCTAGATGAAAGATTGTTGATTCATCTTTTTCGCATCAGCAGTTTGCCTTCGGTTTATCGTTTGTCGTGTTTGTTGGATTTATTCGTTTCCGTTTCGACTTCGGATCCGTTCTCTCGGCTTGACACTTAGACGTCAAGACCAAGAAGCAAATGCACATTTATTTTTGAAGCGATTTTGTACTAGGCAGCTACTTGTTTCAAATGTAATAGATGGCGCGTCGTGCGGTGCACAGCAAAAACTAGGTTACCAGTTGTATCTTGCGGAGCGCGTTCCACCACGACCACGCCGGCTTGTTTTAGGAAATGCCGGAGCACCCGCAACACCCGGGATCTGACGTGGCAGGAGCGAACGCTGATCAGGGTCTGCCGAAGCGGACCTCAAATAACGAAGGGGCTGTGCTGGATAAGCCGATTGACGTAGTTGCTGCAGGAACGACACGTGAAAGTGCGACTGTTGTTCCTGTCAAGAACGATAAGACAGGCTGTACATCATCTGCAGTTCTTGTCGAGACCACTACGGGAAGAGAAGTGACTTCTACAACACGTCGCGCAGGTGGTGCTTCATCCTCCTCAACATCTTCTTGTGCCCCCGCTACTTCCTCGTCGACAACAGAAGCATCTGGACCTCTTGGGAATGACGAGAAAACGCCTGTGTCCACCGCGATTATTTCGCCGACGTCTTCATCTTCCACATGCAATCACTCGACGACGAGGACTGCATCTGTTACAGGGTCGATCCTCGAGCAACCACCACCTCCCTCTGGAACTTCCTCTGAAACAGCAGCAGCGGCGGCCGCGGGGGCCATGTCTAATACCCTTTCCACGGCTAGCACCTCCGCTGCCCGGGACTGGCCGCTTTCCAAGGCGGAGAAGCAGAAAATGCTGCGGCAGATTGACGACGACGAAAAAAAGATCATTCAGGAGGAGTGTTTGGCCGCGAGTCACGTCATCCAGAAGCTGGAAAAGGTCACGAAAAGACGGTCCATGCAGCGAGATTACTACCGAAAGCGACTGTCGCAATACGAAGAAGACTATTTGGCTACCGCGACTACAGTGCCAGCAGGCGGGACAACTCTTTCTAGCGATGTTGTGAACAAAAAGCAGAAACGGACGACTAGTAGTAGTGGTGGTGGTGCAGGTAGTTCACTGCAGCAGGCGGGCGCGGGGGGAGGAGGCGAAAACGATTCTGCTCCTAGTACTCATGCCAATAAAGCAACTTCTTCGAGTGCAGCCGCGGCAGGTTCAGATGCTTGCTCCGGGGAGGATCTTCATACAAGCGCCGCCGGACGGGTCGAAGCAGCCAGTGGCAGTGTGGGTGAGGAAGGACAGGAGATCAAGACGGGCACGGATGACCTACATCAAGTAGCTGCAGATGATCATGACCTTCAGGAAGAAGAAGGAGATGAAGATCACACGCTGCCACCACGAAGTGCTGGACCCCACCACACCAAACTGCTTCGGGAGCACGAGCACAACAACAGTTGTCAGAGCTCTCTGTCATTCACCGTCGAGAGCCACGTTCTGGATACCGAGCACGATTTGCAAAGTAACGAACTTTCGTTCGATCTTTCCCTTTGATCCACCGCTCATTCTTTGTATCTGTCGGAAAAATGATTTGAATTTTGCTTGGAACAATCTTCGAAGGTTTCATGTCTCACACCTTTCCAGGCCTGCAGGAATCCGAAGCTACGTTCACAGCCGACGAGCACACGAGCTCCGAAACGGACGAAATCTACGAGAACAGCATGGAAATGCAGGCGTCCTCGCAGTTGCAACACGATGGCGGAACCCGACGAAACAAAGACAAACCGGAGAGAGAGCGTGTTTTGCATAATTGCGGAGTTCCAGGGGAGGCCTTCGTCACTGATGGCCACAGGGTGAAGATGCGGCAAGAGGACAGCGAAGTAGTGATCAACGCGACGGCGGGCGGGGAGAGGGAGAGCAAAGGGGACGAAAAAAACATGGCCGTTGACATGCGCGGTACGTCGAACGAACCCAGTTTTGTGTGGTGTTTGAGATCATTTTGTCTAATAGAGAGAATGCTCCAGGATGAAATGTAATTGTCATTGCAAAATCACGCTCACCTTTCATAAAAATGAAATTTTAGAATTTCGCGGATTATTTTTGTCAATAAAAATATAATTTTAAAATTTCGCGAGTTGCGACACTAACAGCAGAAGATGAAAAACACTTTATCATCCATATGCGGGAGCGTCTCTGACGTGCCTTATAGCCGGGAATGACGTCCACTAGCTATCGAATTCATCTCCGTCAGTAATAAAAATAAAATTTTAAAAATTCGCGGATTTCGCAACTCGATAAAAATAAAATTTTCAAATTTCGCGGATGTACACAAACGCTTCTTCAAGAACAAGCGTTGCTTGGTTTTCAGATCAAAATAAAACGCATCAGACAATAAAAGTAAAATTTTGAAATTTCGCGGATGCGCCCCGCCATTCGTCTTTCTCACATGTCGGAAATTAAAATAAACCAGATCCGAGTCCTCAAGGAGTGACCGAGTCCGGCCCTGAGTCCGTGTCCACCGAGTTCAAAAATCAATCCCGTTCTTCTAGTTCCGGATCATCTCTGGGTCGTGTATCAGGAGCGTGTGCTCCTTTCCTGGTCCTCCCCGAGCCCGAGGAATACGCTCCACTAGAGTCGAACACCCTCCCAGTAGTTCACCAGCTGCACGCCCTGGAGTTGCCGCATGTTGCGACGTTTTTTCCGCCGCCCTCGGACGATGAGGTAAGCAGTTGCGGAGCTGCTTCTGCTGCGAATCAGAAGTGCCGCGAGACGCAGGACAATGCTGCGAGTAGTCTCAGCCGCGAGACGAGTGCACGTTCGGAACTGGATCTTGCAGAAAGGAAAACGGACCCGGAAAAGAATCACGATGTAGTTCTTGGAACCGCCGCAGCCTCTTCTGCGTCGTCGTGTGCAAACATCGGATCTTTACACCATCCGCAGTGTAATTCTCCTCTGCAACTGACGGGTGCCGCGAGCCCTTCGTTACCATCGCGTCCTTCCTCTCAATCACCGGGCAAGAGCAAGAGGAGGGCAAGTTGTCCAGGAAAGGCAGCAAGAGCGGCATCAACCGAGCGACGGCAAAAAAGGAAAATGTTGTTACCCCAATATTTCTCGATTCGGGAAGACCAGGATACGGTGCTGGACAGCACGGTATGCAGCACTAGTTACATCTCGTCGGAAGCGGAAAGCAATTGTGAGAGCGGTCGGAGGAGGACGAAGAAATCTACACCACTGTTGGATGGACGAGGCGAACAGCCGCCAGCCCTCCAGCAGGTAGATTTCAGTGCGGACGGTCTTCGCGAAAACTACGAGAACATTCTGAAGCAGCAGTTGGATCTTCGTAGCGCCAGTAGTAAACTCGCTCGAATCGCTGCAGCAGGGTCTTCAGACGCAACAAGCGCCAGCATTCCGCTATCCTACGCCATCGACATGGACGTCGCACTTTCGGGCACCACGACCGGCGCAGAAGAAGCCGGAAGATCATCTTCTAGCGGGATATTACCCTCTTCCTCGCTCGAAACCGACCCGCCGCCCGCCCGGATAGCTGCGGCCCGCGCGTTCGTCTCCATCGCGCTCACGTCGACGGCACGGTGTTTGGCGGACGTGGGCCTTTTCGTTTGGCTGCAGCTCACGCGCCGACACAAGCTCGTCTTGCTCCTGCTCAGCTGGATGATCGTCTTTCTGTGCGGGTACGCCGTGGCGACGTACTTCGACCACGACTTCGCGGGGGAAGTTAAACAGGCCTGGAAGGCGGTTGTGAGGGTTGCTGAGAAGAATTGGTTGCTGTGGTCCGACTTTTATTCAGAATCCGAATGAACATCAAAGAGCGGTCGCTGCGAGAACGAACGTAAACGTAATAAGGACGTTGCAGATATTCGGCAAAAGCACAGTGTCGCTCTTTCCCGTATTGCCAGCTGTGTTGTCCGTGTTGCCAGCTGTGCTGTGAGCAATTAATGCTGTCGTGCTTCATCACGTTCACGTGTCGCTTATTTCGCACTTTTTGATGGTCTCGTCTTCGCGAGGGTGAGTGACTCGAACAATGAGTGGGAAAATGAGTTGTATACTAAAAGTGGTATACGTGATTGATGTGCTGGTTGTCGTGGTCTCGATACTTTCTTTACGGAGCTGCGTCGACCGTCGACCGCCATATGATTGGAGCTTTAGCTTTACCCGATATAGCTGTGGCGATTGTTTTGCTCCTATTTGTTTCATCTACTTCGCAAGAACAGACACAGAGTAATGATGTACTCCTTGCAGTCGCCTCAGCCTCTACTAGCATAGGATCAAAAACTAGTACGCTGGATAGCAACACACCTAGATACCACTACTTCTTCACTCTTATGGCCGGCACCGCCCAGGACTACCTTCTCACTTCTCTTACGAAAGACTGGGGCGACGGCGCCACCGGCCACGAAGCCCTTGCGTCCGTGAAAATCGCCGGCACGGTCGCCACCAAGGCGGCGAGCTACATGATGGAGCTGGCGAACCACGCCCAAAAGAACGCCATGGAACTCGACCGGGCAAGAAGAGCGGTTGAGAAGTACGTGCTAGGGACGGACGTGGACACCATTTCCGATGCGGATCCCTTTGTGAAAGCGCTGGACTCCCCGATGATCGTGACACCGCAGGAGTACTCCACCTTCCAAACGCCAAACGGCAGCACCACGGCGCTGGAAGAGGGGCGACGGATGTTTGGCCAGTCGGGACTGAACACGTTTTTGCCACCGTACTTGATGTTGGACGCCCAGAAAACGCCGGGACTGCGACCCACGGAGATACCTTCCGGCGCGAACGTCGGGGCGGCCCCGCCCGGCGTCATTCCACTGTCCACGCCGGCGGATATGGACGGGCACTTTTTACAAATGTTTGACAACGCGTTAGTGGCGTCCAAACACGACGGAAAAGAAGAGATTTTGGCCAAGCTGAGCTGAAAAGTCGACGTTGCAGGGAAGGCGACAGTGTCTGTAAGATTTTGAGGTAGTTTCTGTAAGAACCTGTACTGGGCAATTCTATGACTGTGATTTCTTTGCAGCGAGAAATTGAAACCTTCTTGAGCCTAGCGTGGTAGCTGAGCTTTGTTTTTGCAAAATTGTTGAGCGATTGATTGCGTGTGCACGTGCACCACGTGCAACAAAGCCATGCATCTGAGAATGAACAGTTGGTTCTTGCAGCCATTGCTTCCGATTCCGCAGTGGCATCACTCGTCGAACTAGAAGTCATGTTTATCTGTTACTTTATTTGACGAGAAATGGATAGATCGCTACTCTTTGGTGCCTTTTAAAGAAATTGTCGTCATTGCTCTGCAGGAGCAACAGAAATCGCTTCGCGAGTCGTAAACTTCGTGGACAGCTCGCCGTTTTTGATTCGATTCGACCAGCACACCAGTCACTGCTCCCGTCAAGTAGTTGTTTGTGTATCATTGGGCTTGGTATTGGACTGAAATCCATCTTTGTAGGACGGTGATAAAGCATACGACGGGAACGCATGAGCAGTGCAAGGACAAGGTCGATCCACCATTTTTATTAGAAGACTACTATGCTAGAGGATGATATCATAAAGAGGCCATTTCAAGAACATCAGTCTATCACTATCAATTCGACTGTAGAACCGATGAAAGTAGTCAAAGAACGATGAGAAACTTGATCCCTCAGCACTTGCCTGAAGCTCCCCTGCTTGAGCACGAGATCACCGCTATCGACGTTAGTACCACCGACGTGTGCGGCAGTTCAGGTGTAACCAGTACAGGGGCCAGTGGCGGGCGACGGAGTTGGAGACTCCGTTCTTTACAGAAATCATGTGCGCATAATTCTAACCGCGCTTTTTCTGCCGAAAATAGCCACTTCGGATTTATCCGATATAGACCAGTCACGTCGTTCGCGGGGAACATTCCGTTACCGGAATTATTTCCCGCAGGAGACGACGTTGATCCAACCGCACCTTTGGAAACTTCGATTTATCCCCACTCGGCGAACAAAGCTCCAATTGTGACCGCCACGGCAATCTTGCGAAAGCACGTGGACCCCGAGTTGCAGCCCGGAATGCCGATGCACTGCACACGGATGATGCGGAGTATTGATTTGAAGCCTGATGAGAGGAGTGTGAAAAGAAGCCAGCTACCAGTGGGGAGCGGATTCATGTGAGAGAAAATGCGAAGACCATGGTTGATTCTGCACTTCATCATTTCCGCTCGTGACCAAGCAGACTCCGACGCGAGGATTTTTTTGCACAATTTCAAGGCGCGACATGAGAATTAAGCAGACGACGTATGAGTAGACTGCAGAATGTCTGCACACTGCGATCGTCTGCTGTTTCCTTCCGTCTGTAGTAGAGCAAACGTCGTTGGGAGCGGCTTCATCATCTTTCGCTGACGATAACTGGAATGGAGTTCGTCATTGTTGGTTTGCATCCGTCAAATAAACCGAGCGAGCGTGCTAGAGAGTGAGGATGAGAGGCTGTCGTGTTTCGTGGACCCCGTTGTCTGTCACACTGTCGTCATCGATTTGGAGTTATTGATGCCTGCCACATCGAGTTCCCTGAAGCATGGCAGCACACAAATCATGCACAACTTATTCGTCCAGTCTGGGACTGCTACACTTTGACTTTTCCTCGATTTTTGCTCGTTTGGTTTTTCGTTTTCCGAGTTCAAAGTCAAAAAGAAAAATCTGGATCTTCTCAGTAGTATAGCAGTACTACCTGAAACGACCAGAGAAATAAATAAACGCACGTTTACACAGACAAGTGGCGAAGAAAAAATTCATTCTACTTTCTTCTTCTCTGTGAAAAGAAAGTTGTATTTTTCGTAGATACAACATCGACAACGGCATGATCGGTGGTGGCTTTTCGACGTTGATCGACTCCGTCCGGGAGTCGTTGGACGATGTGCTCGCGCAACTCCTCGGCGGTCAGCATTTCTACAGCGATCTGCACCTGAAACAGAAACATGCGAAAGGACCACTACAGCAGTTGCGAGCAGCAACAGCAGACATTCCCGGTAGAAGAAGTACCGCAGCGTCCTCATTTTATTCATCACCGAGCTCAACAACGACCTCATCGCGATCCGCCGTCACAGCGGACACTACCACCAGTAGCACGACCCTGGAGACAGCGAGAAGCTCCAGCATGGGCAAGAAGATCGCCGAAAGGTTGATCCCGCTGAAAATCTCCGGCTTCTGTGGGTTCGGCGATAGTTGCACTGCGGACGTTTGCGACGAGCGAATGCGGTTGGCGAAGAAAGCCGCCGAATCCGAGTTCGACGACACCGGGGCGAGCGACGTATCACATGTTTGATTCATCTTTACGTCGTGCATCAATAGTGTGATGAGGATGTAGTTGTGATGTCGATGTCGTGTTCGTGGTTTTTGTGCGCAGCAAGAACTACGGTTATGTAGAAATCGAATGCACCAACATGCAGCTTTCCGCCTCGGCAGAGAAGCGCGCTATTCACGAAGCTTGGGTCCACGCCCGGAAGGCGCAGGACGCGGCGAAAGAAGCTGCAGACGCCGCAATGCAATCGGTGGAAGAAGCCGCTCGGGTACAGAAATTCCTGGATCCATATCCACTGCAGATGCATCGTAGTCGTCCTGGTAGATTGCAGAGGCGTATGCATGATGAATCTCATTTTTAAGCCTTATCTTGCATGACAGATTTGATCATTGCTTTTTCGAAGTTGAGAAGATTTTCTCTTCCACTGCAATTTCTACCAGACTGATGCAGATGCTTTCGCAGTGCATAGTGCGCATGACGTACTGAAAGTAGAGGATCAGACGGAAATGGACGTGAAAAAGGAGTCACTAGCCGCGGGAACGGTGGCAGAGTGAGGTGTTGTGTAGTCGGAACACGAAATTGATGTTGCACGGGAGGGAAGTAAAAAGAGTAGAACGTAGAAGAACTGTCGTGGTTTTGCTTCGTATAAGCCAAAACCTCAAGCTTGATGAGAATACAGAGACTGATTACGACGGATTTCAACTTATTTAATATCTGTGAATGGGTGGCACATGGCACTGGTGTTGTTGCGGCTACCCCGATATCGCTATTTTCTCGCAGCTAGGAGGGACCTCTGTACGCATACGTAGAGTTGTCCTCGTCGTTCTTTTGTTTGAAATGAGCTTGCTCCTGCTACCAGGGCTTTACCACAACGAATAAGACCCCACTGGCCGAGGATCATATTCTGAGCAATTTCGTATGAGGCACTTTGAGTTCGAGTTGTTCTTTCCTACAAGAAATGAAGCGGCTGTGGGTAAGCTCAAGCTGAAAAATGCTGCCGCCTTTCCGTTGATGGATGCGAGTGGCACTACGTGCGCCCTGCCCGAGAAACAACTGTAGACCAGAGCAGCAAAGAAGAAGATCATCTCGAAAGGAGAGAAGGAGTGATGCATCGTGGCAAGACGATGGTTCAATTGAACCTATTACGCGGATTCTGTGAGTATCGTATCGTTGGGAAGACGAGATTGAGGAGGTGAAATTGTTCGAGCCGAAGCACGTAAAGATGAAGAAGAAGACGCTCTGAATTCGACCGCCGAGGCAGTCCTCCTAGATGTTAAGATAGAAGATGAATTCGATAGACCGTGCAGGGGAATAAGTACACTGAATGAAGTCAAAACATAAAAGCACTTAGAAAAGATGCCCTTCACGCATTTCGCGCACCACATCTCCTCCTTTCTCGACCGGATGGTGACCAGTTTTGCCGAGCAGCAGATTCCGGGGCAGCGCACTTGCCCCATGAGCACCGTCACCACCTCCAGCACGAAGAAAGTGGATCTGAACGGCGCGATACACCATGCGGAAATTAGCAGACAATTTGCGAACTCTTTCAAAGACACGACTTTCACCGCGGCGGCCGGGACGCCCCAGGAACACGTGATGAATATTTACTCGCAGTCCGCCGCAAACGCGGTGGCGGAGTTGTCCAAGGGGATTGACATCATGAAGAAAGAAGGCTACCAAGCAGCCGCACCGCAGGTAGATATGACGGCGGGGCAACGGGCACAAGCAGCCGGGCCAGGAGTCGGAAACGTGCAGGGATATTAACTAGGCGAAAGCATCCATTGTTATTTTCGCATGTCTTGGTTTTCCGTTTTGGTTCCGTCTCAGCGGATGAATATCGACCTGCACAGGAATTCCCGTAGCTGAGCTAACTTTGCGTTTCGTTCTAACTGATTTTGCGGAATGTTTCAAAGCGAAGACTTGTTTGTCGCATCTCTTATTTCTGTCTAGTACGAAGTTGCTGCAACAAATACAAACTACGTGGTGCAACTCGTGTGTCGACTCTGTGTCTACGCTCAATCTTCAAAATTCATTCCGTGTTCTTCGACCGAACAGTTTTCATGTTTCACAGCTTCAGAGTGAATGCCACACTCTTCCTTGCATGAGTGGAGTGAAGTAAGTGTCCAGTGGATGAACTAGAGAGACTTTTTGAGCCATCATAGACCACAAGTGCCGTAGTCTAATGTTAATGACACGAACCTCCGCCTACCGGAAAAAAAAAATCTGCATGAAGAGCCAGCAGCGCGCATCGCCGTCGACCGATTTTCCAAAAACAAATACCAGAATCTCCTGAGCAGCTACATGCACCATACGCATAGTCTAACTCCGGGCGGCTTCTCCGAGCGATCCGCTTCAAAGACGTCGGTTTAAGGCTAGTTCAGCAATTCAGACTCGACAAGCACTAGCATTAAGTCTCAACTACACGAGGCATCTCTTTTAGAAAGTAAGTAACTAGTTTTGAACACTTTAATTTTAGTCTTGAAGAATGCAGTGTGTCGCCGGTCTTGACGACCGATACCAAGCTGTTGCTTCGGACATTAAGACCTTCCTTACGTCCAACCCTTCGTACGACGACGGCAGCTATGGTCCGTTGTTCATTCGGCTCGCGTGGCACGCCAGTGGAACTTTCGACCAGGCATCCCGGACGGGGGGGAGCAATGGCGCAACGATGCGGTAAAACCAAGATGCTGCAGCACCTAAGTAGTTGTACTAGTTTCTCGAAGATATAGTGGATTTTAGAAAAGATGGAAACTGGAGGCGCATTACAAAGCGATTGGCGCGGACCGAAATAGCGAAGGTGGTTGGATGAAACCCGACCGAGAGACAAGAAAACTGATGTAATCATATCCATCAGTGTCGTCAATCTGATCATGCTCTGTCAACGAATTTGAACCCATTTATCAGATTCGCGCCCGAGTGCAGCGACGACGCAAATGCGGGATTGGATTTGGCAAGGAAATTGTTGCTGGACAACATCAAAAGCAAACACAGCTGGATATCTTTAGCGGACTTGTGGATATTAGCTTCCTACGTTGCCATCGAAGCCAGTAACGGGCCAGTGATGCAGTTCCGACCGGGGAGGACGGATGTACGTCGATTTATTTTTTGTTGCTGCTTTTCCTTGTCATCTGCATCTGGATCTGCTCAACTACCTCTTGACTCAACAACACGCAGCACTAGGATTAAGACCGAAACGCATCAGATATTTCCTAGTTTATTTCATGGTAATCTGAGTTTGGCGCACAACTGCGAGGAAACGTCAAAGCTTCATCTGCGCAATGGAAAACAAATGATCAAAACGAAACCAGGCCCCGAACGCCGAATCAGCCAAAATTCCGCCAAATGGGAGACTACCGGATGCTGCGATTGACTACAATGTCCAAGAAAACGTGATCAAGCACATCCGACATGTAGAAAATTACGCCGGTTAATTTTTGAGTCTGTGTACACTGTTGATACTTTTCTCGATGATTCAGTAGACGCATGATTGATAAGCCGTACGAAACAAACTGATAGAACTCGTCTACTCTGGAACATGACAAGGACTAAAAGCGTGAAAAGATGAACCGCTGGCGTACTTCACGCTCACAGGTCTTCCAAACGCAGATGGGGTTTACCGATAACGAGCTCGTTGCTCTCATTGCCGGCGGCCACGCTTACGGTCGATGCCACCGGGATAGATCCGGATTTAACGGGCCGTGGACCAACAGACCGACGAACTTTTCTAACATTTACTGCATCCGACTGCTGAAGGACAAATGGACGCCAGTAGACGGCGTCAAGGATCTGGGACAGTCAAAGTGCCCCATTGCTCCCATCTTGGGCAATAAACAGTATTGAGTATGGTTTTATTTTTTTCTCGGCGTCCTGTCTAGGTGCTGTGCTGAATTATTATTATATGCAACCAACACAAATGCATGCTTGTTGGTCCTGCAAGTAGGAGTGAGAATGAGTTGTGTCCACGACCTTCAATAGTCTTCAAAACAATATTAAAACGAAGTCGATCAACAGGTATGTCAACCGGCAGGGCGAAGGCGACCTGATGATGCTGTACACGGATATGGCCATGGTGTGGGATCCGGCGTGGAAGGCGCAGATTGAAGTGTACTCGAAAAACGCCAAGCAACTGAAGGACGACTTCGGGAAGGTGTTCAAAAAACTCACGGAATTGAATTTCCCAGCACCAGGAACCAAATTGTAAAATTTCATTTTCATCTAACTCCAGCTGCGTGTGTATTTCAGCTACCAATGACAATAAAGTACACGAACTGGAACTGCCAGGGCAGAAATGCTGTGCAATCCCATTTATTCTTGATGAAATCGAACAATTATTGTTTCAGTTGTGTTGACACCAGCTGCAAAAATCTACTTCTCGTTAAAAGTGTATGCTGTGACGTAGATTTTTCGCGCAAAGTTTTCCTTTTCCATTTTCCTAGCCCACCCGATGAATCTGTGGCAACACTCCAGGCCACCATTCGCATCCGAACGATAAAAATGAGCAGCCCTAGAGTCAGTTTCATGAAGTCCGTATGTATGAGTATCTTCAGTATGTCCTCGAGCTCGAACTGCTAATGGATGAGCTGGAGAAGCAAGCACTGAAAATGCATCTGTTCGAATATTAAGCAAAAGTTCTTTTATGTAGTCGTAGGAACAAACCAATTCAAAAATGTTGAACTTGAATGAACTTCCGTGAATGAATACGAATAATTGAGAATCCATTTTCTCTTTGCACACGGAAAATCAAAACAGCGAGACGCCACGAAGTGTCTTGTTTCGTGCAGACAGATTCATGAAGATTCACGCTCATGGCAAAGTCAAGCAGAAGCTGACATATATCAATTTTGCAGCATAATTATGTGGCTGCTTCCACTTCGGAGGCACGCAGTCAGCCCTCGGCACACACCAACTAGTGTTCAGGGCATCCTGCCGCCAAGAGTATTGTGCTAGGTTTTGCGTTATTAGGAAACTGTCAATGAGAAGTCTGATTCTATTTCTACTCCGGCAGTTTTCTTACAAAGTGATATATATTCTATTCGTTCGCAAGTTCGTGCGCTTTACTGGCCATGATTTCGTCCGAAAGTCAAATCGCTTGCCTCGTCGTCGTTCTCAGCCTGAGTTTATTTGGCGTATTAACGTAAGTCGTCCTAAGCCTAACTATTGAGTTGCATCGTTCCGCAGAGAGAAAAACAGGCTGACGAGCGATAGAGAACTTGTTTGACCCTGTTCGTGGTCACCGAGCGACGTCACAACTTCGTCAGCACCCAAAGCAGGAGTATAGGCGAGAAGGTGAAAAATTATCTCCACCACCAGATTATTTAACGTACTCTAGAAGGAGAACAAGCGAAGCAGCTCCAGCTTCACCCCCCGGATCTTAGGCAGTCGCGACAGCCATTGCCATGTCGCGCCTTATGGGGTGCGCCTGAAATCTAGTTGAAGCTGCTGCTTTTCTCGGCAACTTTACCTCTAGCGTTTTATCGTAGTTGTCAAGAACAATCTGTATTATTATTTGTCACTGAGAATACAAGAAGAGCCAAATAAATAATGTCGAAAGCCAACAAGGCCGCGTCTTCGGACAAACCGGTGCAACTTCCACGAAACGAGAAGGGCGGCATTCTGATCGGGGAGAAGGAGCTGAAAGTCGCATGGGACTTTTTCGACCAGAAGGGCACCGGGAAAATATCCGCGCACGAAATCAAGAAGAGACTAGCGGTGTTCTACAAGAATGTTTCGGTGAAGGAAATCCGCTACCTGCTCAACAACCAATCGGAGATAACATTTGACGAGCTGTATAGATTCCAACCACTTTTTTGTTCTGCTTCTACAGCCCTTTTCTATTTCGAAACTTCAATTTTCGCTCCTGCCTCATTCGATTGTTTTGCATGATGCACGGTGGAGCTGCAGCTGCATTCATCGTTTTCTTGCATCAGAAAATTGCAAATCTTCCCCAAATTTTTATTTCGTACACATGACTAGCAAATAAAAACTAAAACATAAATACAGCCGAGATCTTCTGAAAGACAACACACTCAAGAACGTCGACCCAGTAAAGGACGCGTTTCGAGTCTACGATCCAAACGACACGGGAGAAATTGACATCGGGGTATACATTATTCAGTATCAAAACTCGGCAGAAGCACGTACTTAGTGTTAGTACCACTAGTGTCAGTGATCTTGACTGCTTTAGTATCGCCTCTCCATGCCTGGCGTGCATTCATGTTCAGTTCACGCTGATGAAATTTGTATTGCGCGATAAAAAAACTAAAACGAGCAGGTAATCCAGGAATTGTTTCAGGGCTTGGGATTCGGAGAGATATCAGACGAAGATGCGCAGTTCATAAAGGAAATGGCGGACGCCGACGGGGTACTAACGCAAAAATTACATCAAATATCTGAACCTTGAACTCCATCATGATTACCGTTCTTATCCTCTACTTTTCGTTTTCATATGCAAGGCTATAGGCTGCATGACTTGTTGCCGGCGTCAGAAAATCATTCATCAAGAACATGAAAAACAAAAAATCAACAGGATGGAAGAATAACGCTAGAAGACTTCCGGCAAATGGTTCCATTTGGCAAGGTGCAGAAGCCCGTGACCGAGCCCAAGAAGGAAGAGCCGAAAAAAGAAGAGCCGAAGAAGGAAGAGGCGGCGTGAGTTTGTGGCTGTCTCATTTCACTGCTCCTTGTTGAGCCTGCACTAATACTTGTATCAAGCGCTTTTGATGAGCTTCACACACTCCTTCGCACACTGGTGGATCACCATGAGAGCTGCTGTGAACCCCGCAAGTAGCTGGGCTAGCATTTATTCCTCGTCGGTATTCAACGGAATGTGCCCTGAAATATTCAACTTTCGTTGAGAATAAAGCGAAGCTTCTGCTATGCAGTACGGATGATACGAAAGATTGTTTTGGAGTGAAAGCTAAATCAAAGAAACGAAACTGTAGGAATTCTTCATCATCGAAGAAAATAGGCGGATATCAATTGGAGTGTTCCCATTCCTGTTTTTGCTTCGAGCTTTTGCGTTGTGATTTCTGCAACGCAAAACGTAAAAGATTTTTGGTGAGGTGCATGGCTATTGTTACAACACAAAAGAACATTCCAATTGTTACCTATGCGATCTCGATCTGCTTCTGCACATGAACATGATCACCTTTCCCTTGTAGATTGGTATCCCCGCGATCACACGTTTCGCTGCCAAGCCATTGCGTCCAACGAGGCAGGACCCAATTATGCGAGAATCCAGATCGTTGTTTTTTTTTCTGTCGCGGTAAAACACCCACGACGACAGAAGGAAGTTAAGTAGTACCCCACCTCCACCTTCTTGAAAGCCCAGTTTAATACATCAAGCTCCCCTACATATTTTCAGACGAAAAGTAAAGGATGTTGGTCGCGCGAACAGCCACCGTGAGCAGTTCAGCCCGTTTGGGCAATCGTCTCGTTTCTTCCTGCTCAAGGGAACTTCCACGACAAGCGTCCGGGTTGGGTGCAGCTTTAGCAGAGCCAACTACATTGCGCTGTCAGTTATACTTTGGCAAAAATTCTGGTGCTGCCGAGACCTGCAGCAGTGCTTCGAGCAGCAGGCCATCAACCTCGTTGAACACGAGCATATTCACAAAAAATCCCCGGTCTGGTACAACACATAGCAGGAGATCTCTGGCAACCTTGACGGAAGTTGCGTCCTCTCAAGAACATGATCATGCAAGAAGAGCCACTGCAGAAGACGGAAAATCAAGAACTGCAACGCCTACTACACCTGGTGCTGCATCATCGACATCAAGTAGTTTCAGTTCCTCGACGTCCTCCCAGAGTAGATCAACAGCCTCCTCCAACACAGCGGCACTGAACAAAAAGCTGGATGATCTGTTGGCAGAAGCACGCTATGAAATGTAAAAATGTCTGGGTCTGGGAACTTGTGATGCTGGGTAGCGTCTCATGATGAGGCTACAAATGCTGGCTCAGCATGACAAGTTTCTGAGCTTCTAGGTGTTGCCTATTCTGCATGACAGACTGCGCTTCTGCATCACAGAAAAACGCAGCTCTGGGGTAACGTGCGTGACAGATTTAAGAGTCATGCCAGACAAGCATGACAAACATGAATTCTTCCAGACCCAGACATTTTTACAGTTGATACACGCACACACTTCGTGCATCAACGTTACGACGAGTGTCTGGAATCGAACCGAACGGTGATAAACCTGTACCGCGAAGAGCATCAAGCTGAGCTGCAGGAGGTAAAGCTACAGGGTGTAGTTGGAAATGCAACAGGATCCTCGTCCACCGCTAAAGACGCGACCTGGGAGCGCGCCGCCGCGGCGCACGTCAACAGCGCGTTTGTGTGCAAAATTTTGTGCAAGTTTGAGGAAGGGATGGCCCTGGTGCGAGGAGCGTTGCCTCTGTTCGAACAGCACTACAGCGAGTACAAACGGGAATTCGCTCAGGCGCACGATTTGCTCGCGGAATTACTGCTGAACGCGTCACTGCACTACAACAAAGCTGATCCGCAGTCGATGTTGGAAGGACAAACCGGTAGTGCTAGTGCTACAGTAGAGGAACCTAGTAGTACTTCTGCGCGCGCAGGAGATGCTCTGCGCGAGGCGGAGAAGCTCGTCCTCAAGGCTTTGGAGATCAAAAGCGACTACCTCCCGTCCGAGCAGAACACGCTGGGAAGTCCCGAGCGCGCAACGAGCTACAACCTGCTCGGGCGGTGTTACGAGCTGCAGGGGGACTTGGGAAAGGCGATGGCAAACTACTGCAAAGCGTTCGAAAGCAGTTACGATGGCAGAATGGTATTGAATAACGAGCAGGAGAACCAGAAAAACCAGACGAAGCAAAAGCCCCTCATTCACCCCGTTGCGTGCGCGAGCTTGAGCAACTACGCGTCGTGTTTGCAGGAGCAGGGGAACTACGAGGCAGCGATGGGTGTGTACGAACGAATTCTGGAATTTTTGGAAATAAAGGCTGCCGCGGGCGGTGAGAAGGATGTAGTTGCAGCTGAAATTAGAACATCAGCTACCTCAGAGCAGGGAGGCGGCACTACTTCTACTACATCACAACTAATGAAGCAACAAGAAAAGCAGACGCACATGGAGGCGGAAACCCACCTTGCCCTGGGTGTGGCGGCTATGGGTGCGCGCATGAAGGACAAGAGCGCCTACCACCTGCAGGTGGCGCTTTCCTTGCACACCAACCTGTTTCCCTCCGGGCTCTCCGGCATGGAATCCCAGCCAGTGCAAAACATTTTGTCGCTGCTGATGCGGCTGAAGCAGGTGGAAAACACGAAGACGGATTTGGACCAGAAGCAGGAATGGATTGAGCAAGGGCACAAGCTTGTAGACGAGCTCTGCCGAAAGCAGCAAGTGACGTACGTGGAGTATGCGGAGAAAGAACGACGAGGAAAGAACTTGCTGAGTGTCAGCGGGGAAAGCCGGTATTTCGATCACGCGGGGCACGTAGGTCACGGACCCAGGGGAGATTCTGTTCGGCTTCGTGCAGACAATTACTTCCTGCCGTCGGAAGCAGAAACGGGCAGATGACAGTGTTGTTGGGATGATATAAATATTGTTATGTTGGAGGAGTATGGGGGTCGTGTGGCGCTTCTGGCACGATGACTCATTCATTGCATTGGACAACGTCCATGCATTCAGAAAATTTTCTTACCCACAATAACTTGATATCTACGTCATCAAGTGTTGTTGAGTCAAAGGCTGAATTTGATTTTTTTTTCATATAGTGTATGTGTTTTAAATCAAAATCACGGTCAGAGGCTCTGCTTTTCCCAGTTCAAACTTCTTCGCTGTTTGTTCAAAGAAGCAAATTTTCAGGTTTGTGTCCTCATTGGTGCTGTCACCGTTGTTTCGAGATCATCTACAACAGCTCTTTCGGATCACAGGGCTGCATGTTGAGCTGCCGAATTTAGTAATAATCCCACGGACCTGCTCTTTAAATTCGAAGTTTTTACACGGACTTGAAAAAATTTGTGAAGATCCAAAAAAAGAGTATTGGCTACCTGGCATGATTTCGGAACTCGTTTGGTCCTAATGTGAAGGTAGTGAAATGATGTTTGAGCTGTCTTTTGGACGATTACAAATCGCTTGTGATGCTTCAAGATCACCTTTTTGCTGTGCAAGATCAGCTTGAAATTATTTGAATTAAGAAGCATGCCATCATATATAAAAAAGTTGTTCAAAATTTTCCTAAAGCGTATAAGTGTCTTTCATGCGACGACATCAAAAATAAAACACACCGGAAATTAAATGTAAAACAGCACGGCGACATTGACATACATACGGGCTAGTGATGTCTACATAGAAGCCGCATCTTTAGAAAGGCCGAAAATCCAGACCTAGTTGTGAAGTTTGGGGTTCTGGTTTTCAAACATATTATCACTCCTCTGTGAAGATTCTCCCGTCCTTCTAAATTAAAATGAGTTCAGCAGCAGCAACCATGCCAAAATGATGCTACCATCAACCCGCAATATCAGTAGGGACATCGTGAAGCTGAAGTACAACTCCTGAAGAATTGGACTTTATCCCGGAGGGGGAGGACGCACACGGTTTTCTCCCGGTAGGAGCTCCAGCCGCGAACTCGAAGACGAGAAAAGTCCATACATCACTCAGCTCAACACGACCACCCAAGAACTTGTTCTCCAACTGGACCACAAGTTCCGCCTACACTTCTGCCAGCAGCACTGCGGAACAACAAGAGTGAGTCAACACAGAACAACTACAACCAGCGACCTTGAAAAAGAAATAATCAAACTCGAAGATGTCGAATCCTTTCACCCCTGCGCACAGCAACATGGACGTGACTCCGGCCCATAGCATCAATATGGATGTCACGCCGGCGCACAGCGCCCTCGCGGACGACGAACTCGAGTTCGTCGACGCCGACCGCAGCGATGTGCACATGGGGGACGAGGAAGAGTTGCAGTTCGTGGATAATCAGGAGGGCGAACAGGTACTAGAAGAAGATCCTCAACAGGGCGCGGAGCAGCGACAGCACGAGATGAATTTGGTGCAAAACGGCGTGATACCACCACCTTCGGGAGGTACTACTGGCGGAGATGACGCGGTCCTCGCCGACGAGGTACTACACCCTGCCCGGTCGCGGTCTCACAGTCGCAAAAAGCGGGAGAAGAAGCGGCTGGAGAAGCAAAACCAGCTGGATTTGCTCCTTCTGGAGCACGAAGCGCTGAGTTTAATCGGCGGTAGCGACGCTGAGGGGCTCACGACTCTGGCGCACCGGGTGACAAACAAGATCAGGTCTCTCGGGCATCTCGTGCAGGACGAAATCGAAATCCTGGTGCCCAAGACCACACAAGATAACGGGTACGGTGTTTATGTTTTTTTGATGAAGACGATTCTCTGACTGACGAGAGGACAACAGCGCGCTATGTATTATCCCTGCGACTTCATCTCATCTGGTCGTTTATATTTTTTCTTGCGCACCGGCACCGCAAACAAGAAGTACTAGATGTATCTCTCTATTGATTCCCAATATTCGAAACTGAATTTTCCTTGCATGATCGCCAAAAGCAAAGTCTAAAAATAACAACGCACAGCAAGCACCGGCGGATGCTGTTCAAGAACGTGCCCGCTTCCCAGCACGCGCTCGCGCTCTCCGAGATTTTGCCGCTGGTTTCCTACGCATTGCAGAAGAAGCGGGAAGATTCTGGGCGAGAGGAGTACGTGAGCATAAAGAGCAACAACGCGCCAGCCACCAGCAGCACCAGCGCGGCAGCACCTGACACGACCGCAGCGGGAGGACCCGCCTCCAGTGCCGGCTCACTCCCGGGCGGCGGTGGTCTGAAAACGCCCGACAATGGGAGCATCGGCGGGGCGGGCGGTCTCAACTTTCAACAAGCAGGAGGATCTATTACAATGAAAAATGCCCCCACCCCCGAACTTGAAAGCATTTGTATTGCAAATCTTTCCAAATGAAACATTCGCCCTCTTGCGTGTATCAGCATCACAGAGTTCCGATCGTGAATAGCAAAAATGTGTATTGCAAAAGATCCCAGCAAGAGCGGTGCTTGTCATGCAAGCGATGCGAAACACGACTAGAATCTGCATCAGAAAGATTCTTACTCCTTTCATGCATGACAAAAAGCTTTCATTTGGAAACTTCGCATCACAAATTGTTGCAATTTCAGGGGTGGGGGGTATTTTTCACTGTGATAGGATCTTCGACATCTTTGCTGGTAAACGAAACGTATCAAATGTAAAAATGTCTGGGTCTGGAAGAATGCGCGATTTGTCATGCAGCTTTTCCATGACCCATGAGGCCTGGAATGCAGGACCTAGCATGACAGATTCTGCGCGATCTCTCTCATGCCTATTCTGCATGAGAAACTCCCTCCCGACTTGGTCAAAACTGGACGACTTTTGGTAATTATGCAACACAGATTTTTGCATGCTGCAGATTTAGCATGACAAGTTACATCCTTCCAGACCCAGACATTTTTACATTTGATAAAACGAGCACCTTTCCAATTCCAGCGAGAGGAGGCACAGCGACTAACCACTCAATAGGCTTCAACAGCAATATGCCCGGAATAGATGGTCAACAGCCACCGCTTGACCAGTCCGGCCTCCAGAGCAACCCACCAATACAAGAGCAAAACGCGGGTGGCAGCTTCCGCGATGTTGATAATAGGATGTCAATGGAAAGAAGTCGGGAGCGAAGCCGCAATCGCCACAGCATGCCCCGACGAGGCTCGGGCGGCGATCTGCAGGAAGATTCGCACTCTGGAGCGGGGGGCGGCGAGGGCAAACCGCTGAAGGGCGACGGAGATAAACCTTACATCGGGTATATTCGTAACTGTAGGAAATAAATTCTAGAGGAAAATCAAAGTTGAAGAGTTACCCACCAACTACTCCATTCAAAAAAATCAAAGTCGAAAGTAATTTTAGTATACTTACGGAATTTACTTGAACGAAAAAAAATTGCAATTGGAATTCAATATCCTTGGCTCTTTTTCAACATCACAGCAATTGGGAGCGCGGTAGGACTTTCGGCCTAGAGAAGGGCGAAATACAAAAAGTGTTGACGGTAACTGTCGACAAAATAGGGCTGCTTATCGGTCGAGGCGGGTCAAAAGTGAAAGAAATACAGGAGTCAACAGGTACGGCAAATACGGTCGTGATGATTTGATTGTGAAATTGTTGTGGACAAGAAGAAGATATTATAGAAGATTTTTTTCTTCATACGTCATAAAAAATGCAATCTCAAAATTATCCCAGGCGCCGAGGTCGTGATCGAGCCGACGGACTACCGCACCGACCCCCCTTCCACGAAGGTGAGAGTGACCGGAGCCATCGACAAAGTCGAGAAGGCGGTTGGCATACTAGAAGAAATTCTCGCCTGGGCAGCGGCACACCCCCGGGAGGAAGCCGGTATTGAAAAACTGCTACTGTTTGAACGTGGTAGAATAGTAGATTTTTTGTCGCACAGTTCTGTCTCTGTGCCTTTATTGCAGGAGCAACTTAGTATCGAGATCGACTCTGACACTGAGTTGTTGATTACTTGCAATTACGGCTGCATAAATCTACTTTGACCTGCTTCCACTGACCCATAATTTTTGCCAGGTAAAAAAATGGAAGTGAATTTACACCACGTGCCGAAGCTCCTGCGTTTAAGCGCAGTGGAATACAACGATCAGCACCCGCTGTACCACATCGGCAAGATCTCCTCGAGCATGACCGGCGCCGAAAACTTGAAGGTGATCGAGGAAGAATCCGGCGCCGAGGTGGAAATCGACCAGACCACTGGGAACTTGGGGTACTATGTATGATGTTGACTACAGATCATGCATATAGTTGCACGTTTTGAATTGCTACTGCATGGCAAAGGCGAGAGGCTCGCGTCGCAGCAGCTTGCATGAAGACCATTAGATGGACAATCAGCAAACAGTGGCTTTTATTTTTGTTTTCAATTTTTCCACTATGTTGCCATCAGATACTCTACTATCCTGATTCGCGGGGACGAAAAATCAATGGCGGTTGCGGTGGATATTATCACGAAGGACTACGTGTTCAAGGGCGAAAATTCCCACTTGTTTGTCGAGATGATGGCCGAGTGGATGTGCCACCCGTCGGTGTGGCAGAAGCACATGGCCGCCCGCGCCGCGGGCCTGTTTGTGCCGCCCCCGACGATCCTTCCCGGCCCCGCGCCCTTCGAGGGGCTGACCAACCCAAACGACAAGAAGGGGAAGAAGGGGAAATATTACAATGAAAAATACCCCCACCCCCGAACTTGAAAGCATTTGTATTGCAAACCTTTCCAAATGAAACATTCGCCCTCTTGCATGTATCAGCATCACAGATTTCCGATCGTGAATAGCAAAAATTTGTATCGGATATTGATAAATATTCTTGAACTTTCGGACTCCCGCGCCCCCTTTGAATCTTCTCAAAAAAAACGAAGGGCGCGCCGGACATTCTTCTCAAGAGAAAAAGAGCGGGCGCGAGAAAGTTGAGGAATTATTAGCACGACCCACAGCATTTTTCGGATTCAACAAGGGGCCCGGGGACGCACTCCCATTTGTTTAGTAATATTTATCGACATCCGATTGCAAAAGATCCCAGCAAGAGCGGCGCTTGTCATGCAAGCGATGCGAAACACGACTAGAATCTGCATCAGAAAGATTCATACTCCTTTCATGCATGACAAAAAGTTTTCATTTGGAAACTTCGCATCACAAATTTTGGCAACTTTGGGGGTGGGGGGTGCTTTTCATTGTAATAGGAAAAAGGGCAAGAAGGACGGGGACGCGAAGGGCAGGGGCAAGAAGGGGAAAGACAAGGACGGGAATCCGATCCCCCATGACAAAAATCCGTTCGGCGGCGACCCCAGCAAGGGCCCCCCCGGGGGGCCCCACCACCCCTTCGGCGCCGACCCGTTCGGTAAGGGGCCCCCGCCCCACCCGGGGATGGGCGGCCCGCACCCCGGTATGGGCTTTCCGATGGACCCCCACTTGATGCACATGAAGGGCGCGGGCATGCCGCCGCACTTGCTGCACGCCGGATTTCCACCCGGAGCGCCGCCAGGAATGGATCCGATGATGATGGGTATTTTCGTTATTTCTCATTTTTTTCTTTTCAATAGCACAGTGCTCCTGCATGAAGATCAAGATGTCCGGATGTTGGGAAGTTCCATTCTTGCTCCGCACGCCCTGTCACAGGGCTTGTGGCACTACTGGTTGGTTCTTCCTCGCGACAACTGGAAAACACAAATTCCTTCTACAAATTCAGGCAAACCCGGCATGGATAAGGGCAAGGGTTTCGGCATGCCCCCCTTCGGCGGGGATTTCGGCTTCGGAAAGGACCCGTTTGGCAAGGGCAAGGACCTGTTTGGGAAGGGCAAGGACCCCTTCGGGAAGGGAAAGAAATTCGGCGGCGACCCCTTCAAGGGGGGTAAGCCCGACCCCTTCAAAGGTGGCGACCCCTTCAAAGGCGGCGCCCCCTTCCCCGGCGGACCCCCTCCGCCGCACTTTCCTCCCGGCGGCAAAATGGGTTTTGAGCATGGCTCCCCAAACAGCAGCCGACCCGGCATCGGCGAAGGCGGAACCCCTATCGGTGGCGGCATGCCACCACAGCAGTTTCCACCGCAAGGAGGAGGCCAGGCACCCATGATGATCGGGTAGAATCGTCCGACACCACTTGACCGACACCTCTCGACGACGACGACGATGTCTACTTCAGGCTCTTCATCTCGATGCAGCTGTGAAGATGATATCCGTACGACACAACGAAACGACAGCGGGTGCGTGGTCTTCAGGAGGAAAAAAATGAAACGCACCTTGCTGCGACAATCTGACGTCTTTAGAAGTCTCGTATAGTACATCATGGCGAATGAATTCGAACGATCCTGAGAATATTGAAGCTACGAAGGTACAAATCCTAGCCGCGAAACAGTCGGCGGCAAGCGAGTATCTATTCTGGTAGCCGAAGCGCTACACGACCTGCGGGTAACTTGATGAACGCAGCAAAGCTGTTGTTCCGGTTCCATGCTTTAGCAACTAGGGAAGTAGTCGTGCAAGTCGAAGCCCTTTTTAGTGACAATACACTTCTTCATCGCTATGTTTTTTCTCTCTATGTATTTGATGTTCTAGATCTTGTTCTTCGCAGGAAAATTTGATGAGTGTTGTTCTACTTCGCCTCTTCACCTGAGTTCTTCTTTTTCTCTACTTCTACACTCACAGAGCATATCAATGGCGTTTTTTTAGGCCGGCGTTCTCTTTTTGCGTTTTGCAGCGTCGTCGTCTGAAGCTTCAGGTTGGAATCGTCCAGTGAAACTTACTTCGAAATATATCTTCTGCTTGCAACGACGAAGTCCACATACCGTGCGACCATGACGGAAGTGCATCGATCTGATGCGCCCAAAAACTGGTCCGTATGCTCTTCGAGTTTTCGAAGTTGTCGCGCATTTTCGTCTTCGTCAAGCTCAAGAACGATGACAGGTGTCAAGAACTTCGTGCAGGCTGCGAGTGCGTGGACGAGAAATCTTTACTCGTGTGAGATCAACCCTCGCCCACATGTCCGCCGACATGAAGGGCCGCCACCTCGAAGTCCTTGTGACAAAGCTCTGCTCACAAAAACGTCGACTACCCTGGCAGCAGTTGTGGCCTTCTTCACAAGTCGTTTCTTGAGTCCCTTTATTTTGACCTTTTTGCCTCTGGTACAACTAGTACAGCAAGCCACCACACCAGCGGCGGCGATCACCTACGCGGGAAAGCCGCACCAGCCGTACCCACACTGTTTGGAAAAGGACGTGGTGATTCGAAATGCCGGCCGAGCGCTGTTCCTCAACATGGGTGCGTTTGGGGCGATTGAGGGCTGTTACAACGACGACTGCACGATGACGGACAAGTTTGCGGCACCGGATTTCGAGACCTGTATCAATATGTGCTACACAATTCCGGAGTGTACCTGGTGGTCGTTCGGGACGGAAAAGTCGGATAACATGACAAAGTGCTGTAGGGGAATGTCAGGTTTGAAATCGTCAAAGTTGAAATGATTTGCAATGCTGCATGAAATCTTCGATACCAGGCCGGAGTCAGATTCCTAAGCGGCGCTGGACGACAAATTTTGGCAGGGACTAGATCCAGTCCTCTGTCATGCTGTTTGGCGGGCAATGGGGCTTCACTTCTCTTGTCGTGCCACTAAAGCAGCTGCATCTTCAACCCCAACAGGCTAGGCATACAATCAAATCGCCCTCAGTTGTTGCATGCTCTCCAATACAGGTAGACTGTGCGGCGCTGCATCTTATTCTATTCATCATTTACTGGTGGCGCTTACGTATCTATCTTCATATATATAAGTGGTAGTACATTTTATGCATTGGCGGGCGTTTTCTGTGGCGTTTCCGTTTGGGTATTCTTTGGTGCACTTTATGCATTCCAAATCTTGTCAACTTTGTCGATTTCGATTTTGTCGCCTCCATATTTTGGATACGCGTGGCGGACGACGGACGGGAGGAGCTCGGTGAAGGGTCGGGCTTCGTTTCCGGGGCGAAAGTAGATTTTGGCTTTTCATCGTTTTTTTTTCACCAGCGCTGCTGCAAAAAATACTTAAGCAAAAACATATTACACTATCGCAAACCATTTCTATTCAATCTATGATTGCGTCGATTTGTTCTCGTTCTGGTTCTCACGACCAGGTCTGCCTCCCGGAGACGGTGAAAGAATACCCGATGGGTAATGCAGGATGCTGGATCGACGGGTTTGACTACGACATGTGTTGTGACCCAAAATTCGGCTCCGCGGGCAACACGCAGTGCTGGGACGGTCACTTTTCGCACGAGCGCTGCTGCGTTTCCCCAGAGCAGATAAGGAGGTGATACAGTTGTAGGCTTCATGACCGGCGCGAAATGTAACTTCCACTTCTTTTTACTTTATCTATTGATAAAAAAAAGTAAACCATGACCCTCACGTATGACTACAAAATGAACCAGGCGCAAATTAATTGTCGAAGAAGCGGAGCAAGATGGTGAAAATGCAAAAACTTTCTACACTAAGATCTGTGTTTCCGCTGTCGCAATCATGCCAGCAACGATGAAAATGATAAACCAGAGCTCGCGTAGTTACAGAAACTGCCCCACGACAAGCGTAAGCGCCCTAAACAATTTTGCAGCACTGCAGTGTCGGCTTTGATATGCTTATGTCCTCGAAATGGCAATCAATACATCCTCTGCTTGGCTGTAATCAACAGTCGCCGACATCGAGACCTAAAATAAGAATTTTCTACACCTCCTCGTCTAGTAGATTGATACTACACCCACACAGTTGTAGTGCCCAAAATCATAGTACATGATGTCGGACCCGGCGACCGTCTCTTTTCTCCGCGACCTTTCGGCGCCGCCCGAGCACGCATGGACGCGCGCAGCCGATGTTGCTGATTGGATGACACGAATGCAGCAGCAGTACGACCACCTGACCCGGCAAAACCTCCTGGACGCCCGGGAAAGGGAAAAGTTCCAAATCGTAAAAAGGCAAGTGGAGCAGCAGTGGAAAGAGTTGCAGAAGCAGGAACTGCTGTTGACAGGTGGAGGTGGAGGAAAAAATAAATCGTCATCCTCTTCGTCCTCGCCGAAAAATAGTGACGGAATAAACAGTACTAGGCAAAATGACAGCCACGACAGCGGCAACCAGCGACAAAGAAACCAGTCGGAGAGGGAGGAACTAACGATCTTAAAACAGCGCACCCAGCAAGCGACCGAGCAGATGTCTTTAACCCAGAAACAGCTGGAAAAACAAGCGGAAAAGCTTACCGAAATGCAGCAAATCTTTGCTGATTTCGACTTCTCCCTGCAGGGTGCGGGCAAGGCGATGCTCCTGCTGAAGGCAAAGGCGAACGCCGATGCGAAGTACGTCTACGCTGCGTTTTACTTCTTCGTCGCCGTTTGCGTGCATATAGTGCTCCGCCGGTTGAAAGTGTACTTCTTCGCCAGCCTGTTTCTGTTCGACCTGCTGCAACCCGTGTTGATAATGCTCTGGGACGTGCTGGCTCCGTTGCTTTTTGGAGAGGAGGCTTCAGCTGGGCTGGTAGTGAAAGAAACCCTGGAGCAGGACAGGACGATACTCGCCGCCAGCAGAAATCAACCGCAAGCGCACGGCTCGTTCGGGGAATTGTAGCAGCGGAGGAGGTGGTGGTCAGCCACATTGAGGACCCCGTTAAGACAGTTGGACGAGCACAATAACGGCCTTGTAGTCATTCTCCATTTCCAAGAAAACGAAATGAATACTCGAATCAAAAACGAAACGACTACGACAACGCATATTTGTTTACTGTGAAGTAAGGAGAGAACGCTCACAATGTACAACCAAACGGACGTTGATAACAATCGGATGTAATATACCAAAAGCTTCATCGGCTTCGGCACGAGAACTAGATGGAGTGCCATGAGTATACATGACGAGTGTACATGTTGCTGCTCAGGTAGATTTATTTCATCGTTGTAGGTCGTCGTATGGGAGTCAGTCGGTTTTTCTGAATCCGAGTTGCTTGTACTCGTATTGTTTGAGTGAATGACTGCATTCGTTTTCGTTGCATGATAAAAGAGAAGGGTCGCAACATTTTTTAGCGGGCGATTTTTTTTGTCACACTAAGTTACTTAGTTAGCACTGATTAGCAGGGAAGTAGGAATAGGATGAAGAAGAGCTACGAGATTGCAGCATCAACAACGCAGCTGAGCAGGTCTTGAAGCACTAGCAGTGATGTTGTCTGGACAACAAACACAACCTTTCTCGAGCATGTTTCCACGTCAAGCCCGCCTGGGCTTGTCAGCTTTGTTACTTCTGGCGCCGGAGAAAACTGCTGCTCGCGAAGTGGTTGATGTCGGCACCGATGGCCTAGCAACATCCCGAACGGATTGGATGGAGGACGGGTACGACGAGCACTCCCCTTCCGCCCCTGCTGCGGACGCCGAAGGACCGGGAGAAGAGAACAATAGGCACCCGTCTTCAGCATCTTTAGCATCCTCGGCTTTTTCGCAAATGCACGGCATCCCAAACTTCTCGACGCCGGCGGATCCCGTTTCCAACACGCGACCCGTTTGGGAGGACAAACTGCGATCAGCTCGCTTCGAGGGCGAATGGATGGCGTACGTTGTCAGCACCACCTCGATGGAGGAGCAGCTACTGGGAAGTGTTACTGTTGACGAGCTGTGGAAACTGCAGGTACTGATAAGAATTCTCCTTGGAGAAGGAAAATGTAGTTAAATTGGAAAACTTCTCATGAACGATTCAGACATCAGAACCTCAAAAAAAATTCTATATTATAAATACGTATATATCTGTATCACACGGCTAAACGCTTCACTTTTAAAAACCTCACTTGCTAAAAAAAAAATTTTTTTTAGTGAGGTTTGACGCTGTTGCTTACAGCATCGGCAGCTACGTGCCGACGGCGGCGATTGCGGCGCCTGCACCTTCTGGATCAGTGGAAGGACGACTGAGCCTTGCTTTGGGGGGCAGAGATTGGCTTTTGACTAGTGAAGACGCCACGACTTATAATTCTGAGAGCGAAAGTTCCACAGAGTCTTCATTTGAGTAAGATGAAAGCAAAAAGTCAACTTTTGTGAACGAAAAAGTGAAAAAGTCGACGACTTGAAAGTAAAATGAATCAAGCGTCATTTTTTTGAGCGTAGCACCGGCCGAAGAATTCGCAAAAATCCAAAAACTGGCTCCGGGGGCAGTTGATTCATTTTCGCCGTTTTTGGCCACCGTAGAATCGGCGCGAGCTCTCAAAAGCGAGCACTTTTGAAAATCGTCGAAATGGTGCATCAAAGCGATGCTTTTGCGAAAAGTGCTATGGTTTTGAGGCATTTCTGGAAAGAACATAGGTGGGATTGTCATTTGATTCACCTCTCAAAACTGGCCTTTTTTGGTGGCCCGAAAGTGACTCCTTTTTCGAGGCCTTTTGGGTTGGAGCTTAGGCGTGGCTGACAAACGATTCACCTTCTCGAGGCAGCTGCTTTGCTTTCAGAGATCCAAAAAAACACCAAAAAAAAATTTTTTTTAATGAGTGAAGTTTTTAAGCGTGAAGCGTTTAGCCTTGTGATAATCTGTTGTAGTTTCGTGGCCAGTCAAGATGTCTGATCGATGCAGCCCTCCTGCTTTATGTACTTCTTGCACGAGAAAGCGTACGTAGAAACAGAAATAAACTTCTATGCCGCTCAGATACTGAAGCGGAAGTTCCAGCTCCAATTTCCCGGCCTCCTGCTCAATTTCGGCGCGTACCGGTTGGGCTTGAACGTTTTGAACTTCGATACCGACAACAACTACCGGCTTAGCAACGAGGAGTTCGCGAGGTTTTTTGAGCACCAATTGCAATTGTACCGCGCGCAGCTGCTGATTTCGTCCTCACCGTCTAACACCACCGAGATGCTGAACACATCAGCCTTGGCAAAAATAAACAACACTAGCATGACGGACGACGCGGCGTTTTGTTTCTCGCAGTTTGACACGGACCAAATACCGGTTGCCGAGCTTGTCGCCGCGGCCTGTTTGCAACAGTTCCCGGCTGACCCTACGGCAGCAAAGATCACCAACGCCACAGCAGGCGACCCGTCGTCGACATTGGAGACGGGGATCAGCAGAACAAAGTGGTCGCTTTCGGACTACAACCCCTTTTCGACGTGCTCCTTTCCAAGCGTCGCGAGCTGTGGCGAAAATTTGTGTGGTATGAACGGACAAAATACGAGAAAAATCCTGTAATGGCATATAGCTATAGCACTACGAGTACGAGAATGACACGGGAGGGGACGTCGAGAATGACGCGAGAAGGGTTCTCGCGGGGCTTTGCATCATCATGAAACCCCTTCTTGCCATTCTCCCGAAAAGTAATGCTTTCACGAGAATGGGACGGCATCGGCATCGGATTTCACGCCAAAACTTAGCCCCTGCGAGAATGATCATTCCCACCCACCCTTTTTCGAGCCCCCCGTGTCCTTTTCGTAGCGTTGTATGCTATTACAGGAGTTTTTCCCTATTTCGTCCGTTCATATTGTGTGGCATTCGCGAATGCGTGGGGTCTCGTGTGCTCGGCGCGGCCGAATGGCAGCGCCATAACGAAGAGGTGGATCGCGAAAACGCCCGACGAAAAAAGGAGGAGGAGCGCGATGAGCGCTTCCGAGAGGAAACAAGGAGGAATGAAATCGGAAGGATTGCCCGGGAGAAAGACAGCGAAAAACGAGAACGGATGAAGAAGGCGTACATCAACCGGTATGGAGAACCACAACCACGGGAAGAACCACATTGGGATGTTGTGCGAGAAGTCGCCCGAAACGGAAAAGAGCAAAACCCGCAGCAAAGGCGAACTATGCAGGCTTTGAACGTTTTCAGAAACCACGAGCAAAGCCAAAACGGGCTGTGGCCATTTTCAAGAGACACCGAGACCGAGAAATAAAAACGAAGATTCAAGGTGGTTTTACTTAAGAAATCAATCTTTTGATTTGTCTTCGGAAGGTGTAGAGTCAACATTTTCGACAGCGCATCGTGATGAGAAGTATGAGTATCACTGATCGTTATCAGTATAACAAACTTTTGCTCCATGAAGATCACTCTCGGTGAACAGAGAAGGCCGTCAACGCAGTCTCGTTGTTCAAGAGAGTCGTCCTTCGTGATCGATCACCCACGATCCCGCATATTTATGTCTATCAGCAACAGAGATGAACCACGCACACTTTCATCATCCGGTCTTTTCGCATGCGTGGAAGTTTCAACAGCTCTTTCACTATCTGTCATCTCCTCGTGAATAGATTTCAACAACTCCGTACCTGTTACTGCTAGCCAAGGTCGAGGTCGTGGTGCTGGTCGCCATACTGCTGTGTGCATATTCAGCAAACGCGCTGCGACAGCGCTTTTGGATTTTGTCGATCACCCGGGGACGTGCAGTACCTAACCTGTCCGTCCTTGACATTTTAAGTAATAATTCACATTCCTTCGGCCTTGTAGTTTTCTTCCCAAAAATGTTTCGTGGTCCTCGTTCTTTCATTGGATCGACGATCTCATTTACTTTGTCAGATCTTCTGGTTGCGGGTTGAAAGCGAAAGAGTGATCCGGGCGTTCTTCACCAAGAAAATGCTAAAGCATTTACCAGTGGCTGTCGTGGCACGACCATTTATTCAAATGCGCCTACAGCTCTGTGTCCCGCGCATAAGTCGAACGTAAATTTTAGCTTGTCCACACACGATCATCGACGCGATCATTTTGAAAGATGTGCTCCTTCTGGTTGACCACACTTCTGATCTCTCTCCAGGCCCAACTGGACGAGATCAACCACCACGCGGTCACGCGTGGCCCGGACCTCACGGTTGGGCTGGAATACCAGGGGTTCACGTTTGTACACAATCTGCTGGCGATAACCACCGCTGCAGGGCAGCGGGGAACCGCTTCATCTTCACCGACGACATCTCGTCTTGCTGAAACAGAAAGTGGAAGTAGTACCAGCAGCGGCAACATCGCAGATGGAACAAGTGGAACAGAACAACCACCACCACCACCAGTTTCCTCCTACCCGCAAGGCGTAAAGCAGTTGCTTCGCCGGGCCAACCGCGCGGCCAACAGCATCGAGCCGGAGTTTGCGGACGCCAACGGCCAGCCGATCTTTTACGAGGATGCGGTCCTGCTATTCAACGGCGAGATCTATAACTACCGTGAACTGCTCTACGAACACGAGTTGCCGAATCCGGGCGCCACGGAGGGACAGGTGCTGGTACAGTTGTACCGGAAACTGGGACCAGACTTCGTCAAGCAGCTTGACGGCGAATTCGCGTTGGCAATCGTGGATTTTCGCCTCCTACAGACGGTCTTCGCCACCGACGTGTTCGGCACGAAGCCCCTGTGGTTTGCGGTCGGCAGGGGCGCGACGAGAACGGGAGGGGCGAAAGCGGGCGAAAGTGGAGAAAGAAAAAGTGCCGGGGGAGAGACGAGAACGAGGAGCAGGACCACTCTTAGTACAAGACCATCGATCCATATCGCCACCTACCGCAGTGTGTTGCTGAGGTTGATCGAGCAGCGGAGAGCGGACGCAGTAGAGTCCCACTCCTCGTCACAGGAAATTGAAGATGCTAAAAGTTCTGGCGCTGGTACTTCTGGAAGTGGCACGAGGACATCAGGCGAGGGTGGTAAGGAAGATGCAGATTCACCGGATGATGAACTACATGGTGATGGTCTTGGTCAAGTGGTGGATTTCCAAGAGTCCGATATCCAGCACGCTGAGCCGAATCGCGTAGTCACCTGTCCGTTCACCGCGACGGCGGACTCGTTTCAAACCCTCTGCACCTTCTCCACGGTGAAGGAGTTCGACTTGCGGCAGCACAAGTCCGACTCCAGCGACTTTGATGCCGCCTTCGAGCGCGCGGTCTACAAACGCGTGCACGGCCCACCGGGGTCCCGGTTCATTCGGGTCTTCATGGGGCTTTCCACGGGCTACGATTCGGGGGCGATCCACCTGGCGCTGGGAAAAATGCAGCGGTTGGAAGGCGTCACAAAAGACACAGGAAATGCAAATGACTTCGGGAAACAAGTAAAGATCAAATCTACAAAGGATGTGGATGCGGCGCAAACGAAGTCTTCTAGCGCTGGCGGCACTGCAGCTTCCAGTCGAGCAAGCAAAGAGGAAAGAGAGTCTTCATCTCCCTCCATCTCAACTAATTCTGCCGGCATTGCAGCTACGTCCTCCGTTCTCGCCGGCGGCAAAATCTTCCCGAACGGGAAGCAACGGGAACGACTGCAAGGCGACGACTTTGTGGCCTACGTGATCGTCGACGCCGCCTTCCGCGAAACGCTGAAGCAGCGGATTGCCTACAACAATGTGAACGTGAAGCTGATTTCTAAAACGTGGCAGAATTTCAAGAAGGAGCTGAATATCCTGCGCAAAAGTGTAATAAGTCGCACGCGTAATATTTATACGTATTAAATTTAAATGCCAGTCTTGCATGACAGATTTGGTCGCTCTTACCTGAATCGGCACGACAGGTTTCACTTTTTCTCTATTTGGAAAAAAAAGACATGATACGTATTGGTATTACGATTTAATAGCTATTGTGCACTGCATACTGACAACGCTGCAGCAAAAGACCGAGGAATACTTCTACGATGGCGGCAACTGGGCGGGCAAATCGCTCCAACAGGACGCGTCTGCCGCGCCGGGGATATCCCTGCTGACCAAACTCGCGGCGGAGGACGGCCGCAGAGTCTACTTGTCCGGCAGCGGAGCCGACGAAATCATTTCCGACTACGGGTTCAATGGCACAAAGTTTTTTCCCCACAGCTCGTTCGGCGGGCGGTTTCCGCCGGACCTGTCCAGCGTGTTCCCCTGGGCCAGCTTTTTCCTGGGCACGATGCGCGACTACTTGATGAAGGACGAGATCATCGCCGGGTTTCACGGCATCGAGGGCCGGTACCCCTTTCTGGACTTCGAAGTGGTGCAAGAATTTCTGTGGCTCCAGGACTCCGTCAAAAACTCGCAGTACAAGAGCGCACTCGCCCGGTACCTGCAAAAACACGCGTACCCGATCGCCTTTGGCAAGCAGGGGTTCGGCGCCAGCACAGATTTGAAAGTCTACGACCCGCCGAATGGTCAAAATCTTGTTCATCCCGGAGCTGGTGCCGTCGTGGAGCTAGAGCGTGTGACTGCAGCCGACGAGCGCGAGCGCGACACAGCTGCAGGAGAAAGTACATCAAGTAGCTCTACTTCTGCAAATATTCAAGCTGACGACGCGCCAACTGGCACTGGTTCTACTGCTGAGATGCTTTTAGACCCGGCGACCACTTCCGCCACGGCTACCAAGCCACCCACCGGCGACGGTGCTGTCACCTCCACGTTCCTTCAGCCCCCGCCGCAGTGCGGCGAGAACATGTACTTCGTGGCGCTCCGGAGCCGGTTGACCGCAAGGGTACTGGATGGTGAGGAATTTGGCTGTGCCAATGAGAATATCAAGCGCGACCGGGAAAACCTTGTTTACATTTTGTGGCACGACTTGCAGAACATGGTCACGAACCTGTTCGGGGAAAAACGCTTCAAGCAGGAATGCGCGATCGGGTTTTTCACGGCCCGGCTCCTGAAAACCGTAAGTTTAGTGGACAAGAACATGCTGGGCTCGTTGGGAGAACAACATGATCGATCTTCTCCCACGCCGCACAGAGTCGATGACAAAACCACTGCAGCCACGAGGACTTCTTCCTCCACTTTCTGGGACGGGCTGCACATTGAGATGCCAGATTTTCGCCTGAAGCACGTGCATTTCGGGAACGAGGAAAGATTTGTGGCGGTGATAGAGGGCAAACAACTCATGGATTCCAACGAAATCTGGCACCACGACCAGTTGGGCGTAAGACTGCCGCCGCTCGTGGCGGAGGGCGGGAGAAGGAGGAGAAGGAATGATGATGATGATCGACCAGGATTTATGTTCTTTCATCGAAATCATCACGCAGATGTCGTCGGCGAGCGCGACAGCCACAAAAATTCCTGGTCTTCCATTTGCACCTCTGGTTTCCCGGTCTTCCGCGTGCTCCTACGCCTACCCCAGTTGTACGCAAGTGGCCAGATGATGGATCACGACAGCACGTCGTCAACAGATTCAGATTCTGAGGAGCTTTACCAGCTCTTCGTCGGGAAGTTCGAGGCGTTTTTGGCGCAGGAGCTATTGCAACATGTAGGAACAACTTCTTCTGAAGTGCGAACAATCATAAGCAACGCGGATGGTGGATATCGCTACCTTCTTGCAGAACTGCTGCACAAATTCGATTCCGTGTTCGAATCCTGGATCCAGCAGAACGAGGAAAATTTAGCACAAATACCCTCCGTTGCGGACGCAGTTGACACAGTGCGAAGACTCACCACCTCCTCGCGACTCTGTGCACGGGAGGAGAGAAGGAATCAAAACACGATGGACGAGTGGAAAACTGCAGGTGAGAACCACGAAGAGAGGCGGACGTCGGGCCAGCCTAGTACGGAAGAACAGCAAGACCGCGCAAACAGTATGCGGTCCTTTGATCCTGTGTACTACCTTTTTTGGATGAACACGCGAAGTCAGATTTTCCTGTCGGAGTTCGAAACGGCAGACGCCGACGTTCATGGTGTTGACACGATGTTAACCGGTGCAGGGCCCTCTAGTGCTGGAACACCTTTTCTTTTGAATGCTGTCGAATTCTCCCTGGAAATTCTCGACTTTGTCCAAACAATCTCAAACAGCTGGGTCAGTCTGAGTCGCGCCAACCAAATCGTGTCGTTCTGCAATCAGTTTCTGCATATCAACTATGCCGATGGCACTTGGTGTGATGGATATTGACCGAGGGACGTGGCCGGAGTGGCTTCGCCTTCCTGATGTCTCTCTTGCCACCAGTGAAGCATTGATTTGCTGGGCAGTTGAGATTTTTACAACGAATTCTGCTCTCGCAACCTGTTCGAACTTGCTCCCATGTTGTATGTCGCTCTCTTTTACCTGCACATGAAGAAGCCGCACCATCGACAGGCGCGAATGTAACTTTCTGTCCCTCAGAAACACACACATGATGTGTGACACATCATTTGCCTTCGGTCGAGCCTTATCGAAATAAAGTTGTCGGTATGTGCTATGTATGAAATCATGCTGAATTTTTCCCACCAGTTGCATAAGTACATATTCACATTTGATTCGGTTTTTGTGCTTCCCGTAAGCAGCAGTTCTCGGTTCGTTCACAAACATTGACCTTCGTGTATGTCGTGATTAATCGTCGTTCCTTTATCTTCTACTTCTAGGCACGACCAGTCATCTTTCGTCCTGTGTGTCGTACTGTCATGTACATCTTCAATCAAGAGGCGGCAGTCGTGCCTTCTTCTATCGTTCAAAATGGATACCACCTTCACCTCGACGACCGCCCCACAGGAACCCACTCCAACTCCCCATTATTATTTCACCGCCTGGTCATCGGCCCCATATCTATAGGAAGACGCCATACGTTTACGTTGCATTTGCGCATACTGCACATGACTAGTTTGTTGATGGCAACTACGTAATCCAACAGCTAGCAATTGCATGCAACTCTGACCGACTCGTGCAAAAATCGATTGAGGCAGCCATATGAAGAGGACCACGCGACGTTCACTCTGACGTACTTGCCGAAAAGAATCGAAGACCACGACCTCCGCCTGTAGTGCTGTCCCTACAACTCTTCCTAGCTTGTCAACAACATTCGGTGAACAAACGTCATTTCGAGGATGTCGCGCAATAAGGCGGACGACATTCCGGAGTCGGCGTACTTCGTGCCCGAGGGCGTGGACGCGATTTACATCATCCGCCGGATGGCGAACTTTCCCGCCTGCCACGAGAAAATCATGGTACCCATGAACTTCCGCGAGAACAAATACAACTACACCGGGGCGCACTTCCGAAAAGACATCCAGCGGGCCGTGATGGAGTACGACAAACTGGACTACCTCCCCTCGCCCTGCGTGCGCATGTGGCACCGCCCGCACACGGAGGCGAAGGACGCCTACTCCGTGCTCTACAGCTCCCTCGGCCGCATGAACTTGGTGACCTCGGACTTCGAGACCGGGCCGGAGTCCTCCGGGAAGGCGAAGGCCCAGAAGAGCTCCATCGAAACCGCCATCTGGGCGATTGACGGTACGACGACCGTTATCCAGGAAAAAAAGTGTCTAAGTGTAACTTTCTTCGAGGAACAGCATCACAAATTTGCGCTACATGACAGAGAAAACCTGTGACGCATGGCTTGTAAGGGAAAACACACATGAAAAGAGGACTTCATGGCTGTCTGGCATGACAGGTGTAACTCTGTTGCATATTCTGCAATACAAGTTTACACTTACACAGTTTTTTTCTTGCATAACCGTGGACGCGGTGGTGAACGGCGCGCTGCGGTTGTCCATCCAGAGGCAGCAGGACGAGGACAAGGACGCGCAACAGCAAAACGACCCGAGCTACATCTCGGCCAGCGAGAAGCAGCGGAACCCCAACAAGTTTCTGGAAATTCCGACCGGGATTTTGTCGGACATATGAAATGTAAAAATGTCTGGGTCTGGAAGAGTCATGCTGTTTTTGCATGACAAAGAAGGTCTGGCATGGAAGCTCTAGCATCACAGGTTTCGAGAAGCTTCCGCAATGCCGAACCCGCATGAGAAATCCCCCATTTTGGTGCCAGAAAGTGGGCGCCTTTTGCTACCTATGCATGAGATATTTTTCTGGGTTCTAAAATGCGCATCACAGGTTCGGATCCTTCCAGACCCAGACACTTTTACATTTGATAGGACAACGTGTTTCACGACCGCAACCGGGAGATCCAGGACCACTGGAACATGCGGGACATTTTCAACGACTTCGAGAATTTCGAGGACACGAAAACCATGGTGCTGATCGAGATCGAGACGCACGGCAAGTCGCTCCGCGTCGACCAATCGTTCGAGCAGATGCTAGAGAACAACACGCACAGCTTCACCGTGGAAGACTGGGAAATTGCGATTTACATGGTGCCGCAGAACAAGGTGCACAAGGTACTCGACGGGTACTGGGAGACCCAGGACGAGCTCCTTTCCCCCGGGGAGCTCCACCGCAAGAAGGTGAAGGAGGAGCAGATGGCCAAGGCCATGGCCATGCAGGAGGCCGCGGAGAAGGAGGCGCAGCGGCAAGCGCGCATTCTGAAGGGCCTGCCCCCGCTGCCGGAGAAGAAGGAGGGGGAAACCTCCGAGGAGGAAGAAACGCCGGGCGGCACGGGCCCGAACGGCACGCCGAGCGGGCAGGGGTCGTCCAGCAAGCGCAAAAAGCCAAACGAGAAGAAGGAGTTCAAACGGGGGCTACGCGAGATTGGGCACCTGAAGTACCCGACGCACTTGTCCAAGTGCTACGACACCCCCTTGCTGCGCGTCCTGGACAAGCTGGACCGCACCATCGCGCAAACCCAAAACCCCTACGTCACAGACGGGAAAGTGATCAAGAAGTCCCGGTCGTTAAAGAACTGCTGCCTATGAAATGCAAAAATGTCTGGGTCTGGAAGGATCCGAACTTGTGATGCGCATTTTAGAACACAGAAAAATCTCTCATGCATAGGTAGCAAAAGCTGCCCACTTTCTGTCACCAAAATTATCGGGGATTTCTCATGCGGGTTCGGCATTGCGGAAGCTTCTCGATGAAACCTGTGACGCTCGAGCTTCCATGCCAGACCTTCTGCGTCACGCAAAAACAGCATTACCCTTCCAGACCCAGACACTTTTGCATTTGATACTGCCTCGCTTTGATCAACTTCCACAAGAAGTTTACCAACGTGAACGCCCTCTCGGAGACCGACGGACTGTCGGCCTTGCACAAAATCACGCTGAAGTTCCTGCTGCGCGGCCGCGACGACCCCGAGGATTCCATGTCCGAGATTTTCACCGCACTGATGCGGCACCCGTACCTGAATCTGGAGACCCGGGACATGGACGGCGGGAAAACGGTGTTAGAATACGCGCTGGATGTGTACTGGGGGCAGCTGAAGGCCAACACGGAGCAGACGGGCAAGTCCGCGTCGGGCTTTCCCGAGGAGATCGTGAACATGAAAGACATGCCGAGAAATAACATCATCGGCCCGGATATGGAACTGTCAGGATTGAAATTAACAAAGTTGAAATAATTTGTGATGCATAAAATCTATACCAGTTGGACCCACAGTTTCCAATCGGCGCATGACAAATTTTCCTGGCCTCTGAAGCAAGTCTGTCATGCTGTTTAGGGCAAGATGGCTGCTCCCTGTCATGCTAGTCAGCAGCCCAATGCTTGACCCTTACCAGCACTAGAATCTGCCTCCCTTGCGCCTTCAGCAATAGAGTCAGTCTCTGTGTCGCATTTTATGCAATACAAATTATTTCAACTTTGACGATTTCAAAGCTGACGCTTCCATACCGGAAAGGAGATATTTGCGGCACTCCGTGCTGTACGAGCTCTTCGAGCCGTTTTGGCAGCGGGACTCGAAGATGCGACCGCAGAAAATTAAGCCGTATCTGAAGTGCTTTCGCAACGCGAGGAACGCGTTGGCATTTGCGAAAAGACGGGAAACCTTCTCCATCGACGAGGAAATGGGTAAAACTTTTTCGTGCTTTTTTGGTTTTCTTTATCAAGAACAGCATCTTGCATACGTAGAAAAAGTGAAAAGAAAGAGAAGCACTTTCAGGCACTAGTACTTGCCAACAACATGATCCAGTTCGAAGATTCGGTATGAAACTTTTAAAAAAATACGAATACTTCAAAAATAAACGACTTCAGATTTCCGTGCGCGCGAGGCCCGACTGCTGAAGAACCCGAAATTTCTCGACGCCCTGAATGTAACCTGTTCCTGGGACCCGCTGGACCTCCACAATGCCCGGCAGCGGGATCGGGAACTGCGGTTCGACGGTCTGGAGATGATTGACTTCATCAAAAACCCGGTGTTCCGCCGCATCCGGAATAAGCAAATCCTGATCCGGTCCTTCCACAGCCTGCTGTCCCGGTCCCTCGTGGTCGACATCCAGAAGTCCTGGGCCATTCTGTTCAACGACCTGCAGAACGAGACCAACGTGGACGTGCATGCGTTGATGGAGTACCCCGACGTGTCGGACGGGAACAACTGTCTGCTACACAAAATTCTCCGCGTCGGCACCGTGTACGACGTTTCCATTGCCCTGACCGGCGAGTTATGCATTGCAAAAGCATCGTACTAGTACAAATTGCATTACAAATTTGCTCAGCATGAGAAACAACGCAATTTGTAATGCTGTTTTACCTTAGGAAGAAGATTTCTCATGCATATTTGCAATTAGTACGAGTACGATACTTCTGCACAGGATACGAGTGCGCGGTGGAGATGAACTACGAGCCGCTGGTATCCTCAGTAAAAACGTACCCACACCAGAGCTGTAATGCAGATTTGCAAAGACAGGGAGACTTGTAATGCGCATCCCCATGAGAGCCATTTCCAATCGTGTTTTGGAATTTGTAATGCTGTAAACAGGATTAGCAGTTGGATTTCTGATGCAGCTGGCCTTGCGAACCTGCACTACGCTACGGACTGCAGCTTGTGATGCGTGACTCACAAAACTCCTAGGCTTGTGTTGCAAAATCCCCATCCTGACTCTGGTGTGGGTACGTTTTTACTCAGGATAGCTGGTGGCGGCGCAGTCGGTCACCAACGAGCAGAAGCGGGACAAGGAGAAGGAGATGAAGCGGCTCTACGGCGGCGCCGTGTACGCGAAAATGAAAAAGCAGCAGGACCGGGAGGAGAAGGAGAACGCGCTGCCCTTCTTTCAGTCCTACGTGGACGTTTCCAAGTCGTTTGTGGTGGAGTTCCACGGCAACCGACTGCAGCCCGTGATCGACTGGAGCTACAACGTGATCTCGAATAGGTTGCTGTCCGGGGAAAAGTCCTCCGTGTTCCTCGGGCTGATCATCGGGTATGTGCGGTCGCCGGTCTATCGAGAGTTGTTCTCAAGCAAGGTGGGCAGGAGGTGGCTGATCTCGTTTTTCGTGCGATATCGGACCTTCGCCGATTGGGACTCAGTGAACATCAACGGGCAGTCGGTGCTCTCACTGGCAAACGATCCGAAAATGGACAAGGAATTCAGGTTGCTCATAAATTCCATCCAACAAAAGTGCATCGCCATGGTGGAAGCCAGGCAGAAATAATAAAATCTTGGGAGGTCGTAGACAACCCACTTAGACTTACAAAGTATAGATACCACCACGCGGGCGAGTTTCTAGTATCTTGAGTTATGATTCAGTACTTGAAAAGGTGGCAAAATTTAGGAGTGCTAGTAGGATTTTTAGCCCATCAACATATTAGTTTTTTCGGGATTCACCATACTCTTTTTGCCGCTACCAGTTTAGATAGCATACATACATTAGTTGAGCATGATTCTCCTTTCAATGCAACTAGCATTTGATTTCTTCCCCGCAGCATCTGCGTAACCCGCAAAAGCACTGTTCTTTCGTGTATCCCAAACCGAAACCTGGCACCCTGTGCAACATGAAGTCACTAATTTTCATTCACACACAAAGTCAGCAAGAGAGTTGAAGGGAGTGAGTTCCCCGCAGTTCCTGCGCTTCACTACTCTGTGTCTCCTGTTCTTATGTTCTTTACCCACAGCCGATGGTGCAAACGTGTTTCTCTGTTGTACGAGTTAGCTCATTGGCAGAGTGGGAGGTTGTAGAGTTCTATCGTCGTGCGCATTAAATTCAGTTGAGCAAGTAGTTGTGCACCGCAATAAATCATGTCGAGGAGAGATGCAACCTGAGAGCAGCCGCATGGGCAGACTGTCAGAAAGAAAGAAATTGTGTTTTAGTTTTTCTTGAAAGGAAGGCATTAGCTTTTACTGAAGCCATTGTTAGGAAGCGCTCACGTTCTTGCAGTTGCGCACGAGGAAGATGTTATCCTTCTGGCCCTCCTTCGTTGGTGGCAGTGCGGAGGAGGAGGAAGACCCTACCAATGGCGCAGACACAAACTACCCCATCGGCCCGCAGCACTCCGTCACGTCCAATGCGAGTTTTGGTCGACAAAAGTCTGTTTTTAACCCGAAACAAGCGGTCAACACGATCGCGCGAGGGACGTATTTCATTAGAAACAAGTTTCTGGCGAAGACAGCCAGTATGAAGAACGAAACTGCAACGGAACGCGATACGACCCGGAATATGATCACCAGCATCTTCTTCAGACCCTGCTGAATTGGTACATGTTGCATAACACGGAAAATGTCCTAATGTGGTTTAGCGACATTTTCTCGTAGTCGTAGTGTGCGTGGAGGTGCATACTGATACTGAACCGCAATGAAGTTGTCCACCAATAATAATTCTCGAGGAAGAGGGTGATTTTGCACGGGATACGCGAAATACCAGAAGGGTATTGCATGGAAGACTACGATTGCGAGTTCATCCTCACAACCTTGCCAGAAGTCTCTCGACTGTATCACGCTGAGTATCTACCGCTGGGATGCGACTGCAGTATATCTAACTTCTACTTTTTTATTTGCTGCAGATATGGTGCCGATCGACACACGTATTGCATGCAAAAATTCCATATTGTAAAAGTGGTTTCCGCCGCCCCTCCACCCGCTGCAATATTAATTCTGACTCACTTACTTGCACAGGCCTCCTGAAAGTCTACCCGGATGCGGTTCCCCGGGGAATGGACGTGTACTCGCTTTTGTCCACCATGTACAACAGTAAGTTTTCGTCTTTCCTGCCCCAATTCGGCTGCGACTTCCTTGACGGCGACGACTGCTCCTACGCCATCATTCTGGAGCCGGCGTATCAAATGCAAAAGTGTCTGGGTCTGGAAGACTGCGAGACTTGTCATGGTTGTCTGGCATGACCAAAAAGTTTGTGATGCGTGTCCAAGAAGAGGCCCTCCTGCCTGTCATGCAAAAACGCAGTTTGTCATGCGAAAAACGCAACGCAAAGAAGCGCAGACATTTCTCATGCTTGCCTGTGCATTACAGGGCATCCACTATTCCCAACGCAGCATTACAAGTTTCCAGACCCAGACATTTTTACATTTTATACGGCCTACCCGCAGTTTATCTCCGTGCCGAATTTCATCAAGGATTTTGCAAAACTGAAGCACAACCACGAACTGAAAAACCGGCTGCTGGCGCGGATCTTCGGCAAGTTGTTTTCCTTCTTGATCCTCACCCACGAAGAGAATTGCATGGGGTGGTTTGACTACGTGAACACAATGTACTTGGAAGCGGGGTACGAAAACTTGAAGTTTTTTCACCTGGGATTCACCCAGTATCGAATCGAAATTTGAAGCGACGGTGCACGACTTGCTAGAATCCACATGAAGTAGAAATGCTGACGATGCCTGAGTCGTCGAGGAAGACCCAACTGTATAGCAGCTTCCTTACGTAGGTGCAGCTTTTGCCTTGCGCTGATTACTTGCGCTTTGCATTTTTCTGCACGTGTGTGCCGGCTGCAATTTCTTTTTCAATGCATACATCCGATTCCAACAAGACGAGAATGCAGAAGATCGCGGCCGACTTCATGCAGTGTGCGGATTTGCTAGACAAGATCCTTCTTTTGGACGAAAACCCCGAGAAAATCCCCGCCGGCCACCCCTTCGCGAAGAAGAAAAAGCTCTTCGGAAGGAGCAACAGTCCGAAAATCGGTCATGGCGGTGCAGCAGCAGCAGGCGGAGCAAATTTTCATGCCGGTATGAATTCAGCGGCGTCGCCAGGAGGCAAAGGAAACAAACCAGCTAATCGCGGCGGCGTGATGAAGCGGGACCAGACGCGGCAATTTGACTTTGCCGGCTTGGAGGATGAGACTCAACATGGCGCAGGAGATTTGAATTTTGGAAACGATCCGAATAACGCGGATCAAATCCAGAATGATTTTGGCTTTCAGCAACAGGAGCAGAACAACCTGAGCTCCATGATCATCTCGCAGGAGGAAGCGGATGACGGAAACTACGGGGAGAACTTTTACAAAAATCAGCCGCTAGAACATCAACTACCCTCAGATGATGGCGTCGGGAACTACCCATACGGAATGGGTTACGGTGCTGGGGCCAGTTTCGCTGGACAACTTCAAGGGTTTGGAGAACAGGACCAAACGACGTACGCGTACGGCGCATCAAGTGGTTATAACTACGCGAGCACTTCTGGAGCAAACAATGACTACGGGCATCAACCAGCAGAAGATAATTCCAACAGCAACTACTTTTACAACAACCAGTACAACAGCAGCAACTTTTTCCAGACCGAAGGGCAGCACAATGAGGAGCCGGGTTCGGAGCAGGCGTCTTTGAACGACGTGAACGTAACGGCTGGCTGTATCGAGGTGGAAGAGGAGGAAGCAGAATTGGACTACCCGCACGACAACCTGTTGCAGCACAAATCCTTGATGGACTTCCGGAAGACGTTGCATTTCATGACGAAGATTGAAGAAGCGGTGAACCACCCGTTTCTGATCGAGTACGAAGCGAAGAACCGTATCGATTTGCTGCACAAGCTGTTCAAACGGAACGGGAAGGACAACCTCCATCTGTCGCAAAATCTCTGTGACTCGTCCGTGATTATGGGCGCATTGCAACGGTTGGAGAAAGCGGAGGAGGCGAAAAACAGTACTAGCGGCCCTGCAGGTGCTTCTGGGGGGAGAAAAAGTACGGGTCTAGCTGCACTAGCCGGGGGGAGAAGCAGCACTGCCAGTAGTATCAACGCCGCTGCAGGAGCGCTGCAATCACAATCGGTTTTGTCGGTCTATTCTAAAACGAAGTCGGCACTCGGAGCCGGCGTGGGTCGGCAGTCAACTGTTGGAAAAGTGAAGAGTATGAAAAGTTCGAACCTGAAGCAAATTGAGGAAGAACCCGGAGCGATGACGCGGCGGCAAACGCGCACCACCAGTCGCAGTCCGGGAGGTGGAGGGAGGATGTAAAATCCTCTGTTCTTCCAGACATGGGAGCAGGGTCGTCTGATATCATAAAGACCAGAGTCGCTCGAAGTGACATCAACGTTAGTCTATGAAGACAGTGTAGTACATCACGAGAATCGAATAGCTTCGCCCGCTGGGTGTGAAATCGCAAACTTGCGCTAGAAGGTTCAGTTTAGTGGAAAAATCTTCTCCGCCCGCGGTTCGCTCTAGCCCGACGGTGCACGCTGCCGGTACTTCGTTTTCCCCTCGTGGCGACGTCGAGGTGTTGAGTCGTGCTCGACGAAGGACTACTTCGTGTAGCGTACGACACCTGCTTGAAGACTGACTGACGGACATCATGCCAACCTGTGCGTCTCTCCTCACCGCTTGCTTGCAGACTGGTGGAAGCTACTGCTACGGCAGCTGACGAAACGATCACGATCGAAAGAGAATGCGTTCGACGTCTGTCTTCGATGTGGCACACAACAGGTATGAAGAAATTTATAAGACAATAAGCATTTTTGCACTACAGTGTGGTACGTTCGGCGTAGGTTGCAGCGAATTTTGAATTGACCACGTAGCACCACGTCGTCGCGAAGGAAAAATCGATAATCTAATACTAAAAAACAGAAATCACTACGGGATCGGTGCGTTGTGCGAACAGGGAAACGGGGTCGATCAAGAGACGGGAATCAGCCGGCAAACGTGGTGAACAAAAAAAACGTCTTTTGGGTCTTGCAGTGTCCACGGATGGTTGTAATGATATACTCATTATGTTTCTGAAGCGGAAAAGATGAAGTTTCTGGTTCGACATGTCGCCGAACTGGACTACAGCTGTCCAGTATGTGAATAAAAAATTTTGTAGTACTGTCCACACGGTGCAAAAAATGTACGACGAAAATTTGCAATTAGAACGGATGATATGAGACGCGCACGACTTACACGGAAAGATTTGTTCGCCGCGTATGTGACGTCCTCGAGGAATCAAGGACGCGAACAGCACGAATTACAGGTTACTGATGATCTCGCGCAGGTCGAGATGGGTGAAGTGCTGATCAATCGCTGATGTTGTAAATGTATAGATCCGGAAATTGTTGCTCACGCATCAAAATTGGAGCCACTCACCAATATATGAAAAAATGTAGGATCTACAGTGATCGCATATGATCGTCGTGCACGACAAACGTCAGGTCGTGGGGAGACTGTCGTACGACAGAAGAAATTTTGATCGTGATGGGGTTGTCGTACAATAGACGGAATTAAGATCGGGGTGGGATTGTCGTGCAACGTCATAGTATCCGAATGCAGTTAGTGATCGTCATAGAAATTATGTTCAAATAGTGAGCTCATGATGCAAAAATGAAAAAATGAATCTGGATTTTTCTACGCCACAGTTTTTCACTCGGGTCGATTGTACTGAAAGTTTTTTCACCTGCGGTCCACCCAGTGACGTCTTCGAGTCCATCGTAGTTTAAAAAATTATGACTTTTTTTATAGGGAGTTCTGGAACTTTATCAACGTTTATCAATCGATCGCGGCTACGTAAAATATTTGCGGAATAGATAGTCACAACTCTGTACAATCGGACAATCGTAACCAAATGCAAGCATACTTTTAGGCTTTCAATTTTTTTAGCACGGGGATTTTTCAGGTGACTCTATTTGATTAGACCGCAAGTGTAATATTTACAGTTTATTCTATACGCGGAGAGCGACTGAGTAACCCGGGCGGCACGGAATGGTGCGGCGATGCAAATTATCGTTGAGAAAAATAGGTCGTCGTGGAGTATACCACTTGATGCATGCATGAATGGCGACAAAGAAAAGTTGCATGTAGTTGGTGGGATCTGTACATGGGCCGGATTTTGGTGTGAAGTGAATGGACGGAGAATATCGCCAGTCGCCGAGCGTGGTCACGTACCATGATCAAAATGATATTGCTCCACGATGACGACTTTTGCACTTAATAAAAATGCGCGGTCGAACTCGACCCCCCAATTTCTTGTACACGGGACGCCACGGCTATGGAAGCGTCAGGTTTGAAATCGTCAGAGTTGAAATAGTTTGTCATGCACAAAGTGCAGCCCTCAAGGTGCCTGCCTTGCAGAGTATGCAAGTGAGGTATATTGTAAGCCGGTTGTGGGGTAGAAACTGAGCTGCTGAAATAGCATGACAGAACGCGTCTTTCTTACCCAAACAGCATGACAGACTGGATTGCGGCTCTGCCCAAATTGGTCATGCGCCACTTGGAAACTGGGTCACAACTTTCATCCATTTTATGCATGACAAAGTACTTCAATTTTGTCGATTTCAACTCTGAGACATCCATAACGGCTCGGCCGAAGACTCGCGAATGCAATCGTATAATTTTGCGGCGCAAGGATGCGGACGGGAAATTAGAGCCGCCTTCGATTATGATGATGAAGTTGTTACGCTCTTCAGGATGTTTAATGATCGCCGCCCCGCCGGCAGAGGAAACATGTTGAGGGGCTCAATCCGAGGAACACTCTCCAACAACCATGAAAATAGGTTGTGTCCGGAGTGTAGGTTGAACTTGTTTTACCTGAAGAGCTCAATCACGTCTGGACATGAGTTTGAAGCTGTCCGCCATGGACAGTCGTAACGTATTTCTTCTTGCGGTAGCACTACTGACTGTACAGGCACGGAGGGCGTAACAATACGACACTGCATACACGAATTCTGCCGACTCCACCGCGGACTTCCGATCGAATGTTTTGAATGCGCAAAACACTTACCCATTTCAAGTTTTCGGGAAGCCGTGCAGAAGGAGGTTGGATTTCGGCTGTTATCATCCTCTATGGTGTTGCTTTCGTCACGCGGATAGAAATTTGTAATGCATAAATCAGAAACATCGACCACACGCACCTCCAGCCATACATTTTATGCATTACAAATTATTTCAACTTTGACGATTTCAAACCTGACGCTTCCATAGACTATCAGGAGATAGAAGTCGCCCGCCGAGAGGATAAGACAGGAAAAGATTTTTTCTTTGGGTTTTAAAAAAAACCAAAATAAAAAACAGAAGGCTTCGTTGCGTTTGCCTATGTATGTCGCATCTCAAAAAGTCTCTAGTTGATCCTCATTCCGTTCAGGTCCTCTTCTCGTCTTGCGGCCTGTTATCTCGTTTTTATTTCGTCATCTCTTCCATTCTTGTCTCATCGTTTTGTTCATCTTGTCGTCTCGGTAGCCTTGCTCTTCTCATTGGCCTTGTCTGGTCTGTGTTTCGAGCGCTCTTACTGTCTTGTTCTGGTTGCACGGTGGTGTCGTTTTCTGTTGTTCGCAGTAACTTTCGGTCTAGTTGTCGTCTGTCTTGTCTCGGTCACGTGTTCGTATGAGTGGAGTTGTGAATTATGAACGTCGTCCGCGAGTTTAAACATGCCACGGAAAACCTGAAAAGAAGTAGGTCATGGAAACGCAAAGAAAAATCTTTGATTTATTGTCACAAAGACGATACCGCTCCTCGAACGGTACAGCCGGGCGCAGCTTGCTGCGGGTTGTACGTACTACCGGGAATTTTGTCGGTAGAAGAAAATGGTCGAACTTTTTTACTCCGCAACACGCTCCCGGCGATCTTGCTGCTGCGAAGGGTGAGACTTGTTGCAGTTGTTTGGGAAGGTTCCACAGGAATTCGCAATAGCGAGCACAACAGGGCGGCAGACTGGCAGTCGCAGCCGCGCCAAATGGAAGCACTCGGAGTTGCTGGCCGGGTGTTGCCTTTTTGGTAGTTTCCGAAGGCCTTAAGAAGGAGACCAAAACAGGAAGCTTTTGGGAGTGCTCTTCATGAGCTACGGCCGATTTTTGTGTGCGGAGCCAGCAAAAAAGGCGAATCATATCGGGCTGAGCCCCGAAAAAAAGGGATGCGAATTAGCTATTTTTGGCTATCTCTGGAGATCCGGAAGCGACCTCGTTTCCGACCCCTCGCGGAGAGCTACAGACAAACTTTCAGCTTGGCCGATAAAATCGGCCGAAAGAGCTCGGCGTAGGCCCGCGAAAAAAGGCCCTCCTCTTCGGGCGCCTGGTAGCGCGATTTTTTTGGCCTTCAGAAAACGTCCAAAATATGGCTTCATAACATTTTGCTAGCAGGTCATCATCGGTGCCTCTGCATTCATTCAGCAGCGGCAGAGAAGCAAAAATTTGAAAATTTTCGTCTACAGACAAAATTAACGTTAATAGTGCGGCTAGTCAACCAACACCAAGTTTGAAGACGTGGTTCCCCGCGAAAGGCTATCGAACGAAAAAACTTCTTGCTACGATCTCGCGCTTTCTGCATTTAAGTTCTTCCGTTTTTTGCATTAAAGTGCGTCTATTGTCTGAGAGATTCAGAGGCATTAGGGCCTTAGAGCCCGAAGATGGGAGTTAGGCAGAGCCTTGGGACTTTAAAGGAGGTTGTCATGGGGTAGGGCATGCATTTTGATCGCCTTTGGTGCGCGAATTACGGGCCACCAAGTGTACCGCTCCTCAGTTCCTCGAGAAGGAATAGGACGGGTGTCCGGCTGCAAGAAAAAAATTTTTTTTTTCTGATGAGGCCCAGACCCAACAAAGTTTTTTCTGGTAAATAATAGAAAGCCGTAGCATTAGTATTTTTAGGTTCCATAAGGGTGCTATTAAGCGACGGGAAGAGGCGGCGAATTACCCCCTGCGGCGAAAAATGAAAGAGCGACTGCGTCCGTACACTACGCCACAGGTCGCATCCCTCGTCGGGGAGGAGTGGGGAAGAGGAAGCGCGGCCTGTTACTTCCCTTATAGGTCGATCAAGTGAGTTTGAAAATAATTAGGTCGATAATTGAAAGCAATTAGTATTTTTTTAAATGAAAAAATCGAAGATAGTAATTTTTTAAACGAAAAAAGACGAAGAATAATTTTTAATTGAAACAGAGACGAAGAATAATATTTGATTGAAACAGAGACGAAGAATAATTTTTGATTGAAACAGAAAATTGCTCCGCGTTCGAACAAAGAAAGAAGGGAAAAGAATACTTTTTATGAATTGCACCAAGGAAA